GTCGGGGAACACAGGCTTTATGGCATACAAGTTTCCTGCGCAGTGGTCAGCTTTGGAAACAATAAACGTCGGCAGCAGCGGCAGCGTGGTCTCTGACCGCTGGCTAATTCGGACCTCTAGTGAAGAATTCAGCACCCATCCCCACCACCTTCGACAAGGCATGAAGAATCTAGGCAAACACTATTCTTATTTCATAACCAAGGCTAGATTTCAATCCGTGGGTCAATGAATTAGGGTTGATTTCAATGCTGAAGTCCTTTTTCTAGGCCAGAGACTTCAACGTGAGACCCTCTAGCCACCAGTCAACCGTTGGTTTCTCATCAGTCTGTTTTCGTTCAAAACTCGTGTTGGCAAGAGGCGAATGGAGACTAAGGTACAAAAGGTCTTAAATTCCAAATTTTTATTCCCTACTGCTTAACGTGAATCCATCTAAATTCCCACGTGCAAAACTAAATAGTCAAATAACTATTAATTAGACAGCAGCAGCATCCGCAAAACTCCACATTTATGCACAAGGGGTCGATATTTATTTACAAGGAAGTGCATGTAGATCTTAAGATATCAACTAGATGAGGAAATCTAAGATATGGGTCTAATTGAATAGATTAGAGTTTAATTATGTTTCGATGCAACACCATGCTTTTGAAGATAGTGTAAATTATTACTGGATTTATATAGAGATCAGTCTTTTTTAAACATGCTTCAATCTCAACAAGTTCTTTCTAAATTATGAATATTTTCCTAGTATAATGTTTGAATGATACAACCTGACTATACTTCTTCCAAAAGACTGAAATAATGAATTGCTTAAGCTAAATATATACTCTATCATATGTTACTTGAGAAAGCATTATATTTGGACCCTAATACTTGAGGATATATTGGAATAGTTGTTATTTCATGTTAACAAAGAAAATTCATTATATTTTAAAATTGTGTTTTCATTTATGAAATTTTGCACAATTTTTTTATTTTCTTCAACCAAAAATCTAAGACAGTTTTTTGTTCTCTTAAAATGGTTTTCTAATTCATAAGAAGAAGTTAAAAATGTTCCAACTCTTTTGTTGGATCCAATACAAGTCAATGAACTATTTGTAAGTTTGCATGTAATGAAGACAATTTTTAGATTAGAAGACAAAGGATTTCTTATATGACTTCATAGAACACGAATTTTTTTAAAGGAATAAGTTGGTGATAGTTCAAGATATTTTGCATTTTAATATCTTCTCTGGATTGATTGAGGAACCAGTATCCACAGTATAGGTAAATTATCTTTCATTTATGATGATTGAAAGAAAGCTTTTCTTCATTTTGGAAAATAACTTGTTAGACTCATAGCTAGACTAGTCCTACATTTCATGAAATAATTGTGAATAATCATGTGATTATAGATAATGATACTTTTAAAATGATTTTTCATTAAATGAATTATGAAGTCCTTGGGGTCACATATCTCTTTTGTTATCAACATGGGACGCAAGTTATGAATGAATCATGAATTATGATTAAAGGGACTCATACTTGAGATGCATGTGAAGTTATGAAAATACAAAAAGTATTGGTTTAACTAGATATGAAAATATGTTGGTTTAGTTTATCCATTGTGAGTTGACTGTTAGCTGGACGATCTAATTCAGAATAAGACCTAAATTGTGAATTGTCCTGGGCATTATCTAATTAACAATCCTCTTTAAAATGCATGCTTATAAAAGAACGGAAAAATCAAGGACAATAAAATTCATATGACAACGAGAATGATGGGAAAAGCTCATTTGTATTCAGATGAAATCGATCATTGAAATCCAAAGATTGAAATAGTTTCATGTAGTCTATCTTTGATTGATCATTTAACCTACCTATTTATCCCAAATCTGGAAGAGATTTTATTGAGAGGCTGCATCTTTAGGTTGATAAAAAATGATTCCAATTATTTTGGATTCTGAAGTGGTGGATATCAATTTTAACGAGTCTACAAGAGGAGCCAAAAGGGGGGGAGGGAGTGAATTGGTCTTTTTCTCATATCACTCTCAGATCTCTTATTTTCTACCTAGACTATGTAATGTATGTTTTATGGCGGGTTGACCACTTGGCCAACTCCACTTTCACTCTCTAAGGATCTAGTCCATAGGATTCTACTAAATTGAAATGGTATTAGTGTTGAACACCAAGGCTTCAATTAGCCTTTACAAGATTTAATGGCTCATGCCATTTGAAGCTTTTCAATCAAACACTCCTACACTCATAGGCTTAGAAATCCAACAATACTATGCTCATTAATCTGCTTATTATGTATGGCCCTAGGTCAGCTCAAGTACTAAACTACTCAATTAGATGTCAAGAATAATTTACGAACTATATAATCATTTAACTGGCCATTGTGTGGCTTTAAACGACATCAACTTGCTATCCAAGAGATATCGAAGTGGCTAGTGGAAAGAGACTTTAGAATGCATGAGATGATGCTAATTTAGATTGTTGAATCATTGGTTTTGTAACTTGAGCTTTGGGTAGACATGTTTCCTTTACAATGGCCAAATTTTCTTGACTTTATGTCATTTTTATGATGGAAAAATAGCTATAATCATCTCCAAAAAGCTAGGACATGTTTCAAAAATACTGAAATGGCAATGCACCTTTTTCACATCCTTCCTATTTTGCTTTGTGCTACATTTCATGTTTCTCTCTCTTTAGTTGATTCATTTCCTTTTATCAATAAAAAAATCCTATGGGAAAATATTTATCAAGTTCTATTAAATTTTTATATAAATAATATTATAGCATTTGCAATAAAAAAAATTGTGTTTCACTACAATCAAGTATATTGTAATATTAAATATCATGAAAGTATATTTTTGCCCTTGGGGATATTTTCCTCAGTTTGATGAGTGTCTTATCACGTGTGTTTTGATTCTAAAGGTCAAGAAGATTTTGATAGACTGAAATTACCATATTACTCTTTTAGATTATTTTTCTATAACTCATCTACTTAGGTGAGTTGACTCCTTTCTTAAAAATCACTAAGAGAGACTATTTATGCAACCAATCTTAAAATCACATTATACTATTTTAAGTGTTTAAGTATTTTTTCCCAATAATTTTAATATCTAAGCATAATTGTGGCAGTTTAAAATTACAATTTTACAATTATTTTCATAATGTCATAATAAAACTATATAGGCTCCCTAAGCTAACATAGAGTGCATCAATTCACTAATTAAATTGTATAAATATTTAGTATTTTTGAATCCTTTTTATTCTTCAAGAATATCACAATTTTTATGTTATATTCTTTTCATCTCTAAAATCTCAAAGATTTCAGCATTTCTCATTTCTATAGTTGGAAGATGTCACATTGAAGATAGTAGTTTTTGGAACATATCTATTACATGCAAAGGACACCAATATCTGGGATGAACTCGCCAATAGATGCATTAGATGGACTGCACAATTTCCCAAAGTCTTAAGTTGTTTTTTTTTTTTGGAGACTTTGATACTCTTTTAAAGCTTGGTTTTGTCCTTGCTAAAAGAGAATATAGAATGTATATATTTTCCATATGATTTCCTCAAATGTCCTTAAGATTTGGAAATTTGAACCCTTAAAAATCGGATTTATCCATTAGCATTTTGACTCTCATTTTAATTTAGTTAATATGTCACTGCACACTTTATCAATTTCGATTTTTTTATATGCGTGATTGATTATTTAAGAATCTTTTTGAGTGAATGTGATAATGACATAAAGTTTCATATTTTTTGGATGAATTTCTATTGACATGATTTATGTGCCTTGTTGAGGCACTCAAGAAAGCACAAGGGATGTAGCGCATCAAGACTAGGGTAATTTTTCCTTTCTTTTAAGCATGTATTTTGTGTACTTTAAAATTGACAATTTTTCTGAATTGGATTACCATATGGGCAACTATCGTTACCAGCTAAGACCCTACCAGAGGAGATGGGTCTCCTTTCTAATCTCACCCTCTTTCACCTCGCCTCTATTTATAGACCTCACTGAGCTGCCTCAGGAAGTGTGCCAGCCATTTCCTCCATTTCTTCCTTCTAGCTTGGCCTGCCCGTAATTGGGCCGTTGAGGGGCGTGAGAAGCAGTCCACATCTGATCCATTTTGCACGTCTCATCTTCTCTCTCTCTCTCTCTCTCCTCCACATTAAATGTAGTTCTTCTCTGCTGCCCTATGAGTTGACATGGATGTGGCCACTTTATGAGCCACGTGCCTAACAACCTCCCCTTCAACTCATGAGGGAGACTGTCTTCATGATTCTCAAAGAGTGTGCATGCCGATCAACTATTGGCAAATCTCTTACCTCTCTTTAGGCAGAATCTTTGTTAACATATCTGCTTCATTGTCATCTGTGTGAATCTTTTTTATCTATAATTATTTCTTTGTAATTACATTCCTGATCAAGTGGTAACGTACATCAATATGCTTCGATTTTGAATGAAATATGAGATTCTTACTCAAATGAATAGCACTTTGACTATCACAAAAGACCACATTTTTTTTTTTTGTGTTCGTCCTAATTCTAGTGAGAATTAGGACTAACACAAAAAATGGTGATTTGGTTTCAAGCCCGTTGGCCTTTCGTCTCTTCATCACCTGTTACACGTGACCGTGAGGCGTCAGACTTTTCAATCCAATCTATTAACCAGATGCCCGGATTTGGTGATTTGAGTCAAATGAGAAGGGTATTTTTATAATTATGCCACGACCGATTTGACCTTATCGCTTTGGTGGATCGAATTTAAAGACTATAAGTCAGAGATGTGATATTTAGGAAAATGAGAGGGACATTGGTATAATTATACTTTCCTCTTCCCGCTTCTGGAGGTAAGGGCAGGTGAGGGAACAGGGGGATGGCACTTGGCACCTGCAAGCGCAAACGATCTCCACGAACTCTTCCGAGGGGGTTGGCTTCTGGTTGGTCTCGGCTCATCCGGCTTTGCGAGGGGGAAGTGGAGATCTCCGAGGTGAGAAATGGCCGCGATGGGCGCCGATCTGTCGGCGGTTTTGCGGGATTTCCTGCGAGAGTCGGGTGGCTGCGCCATTATCGACGGAGGCCTCGCCACGGAGCTGGAAGCGAATGGCGCCGACCTTAACGATCCTCTGTGGAGCGCCAAGTGCCTCATCGCTTCTCCTGAGCTCATTCGAAAGGCAGGCAAAATGATCTCCTGTAGTTACTCTTGCTCTGTTTCACCCATCCCTATTGAAGAAGGAGCTTCTTCTGTCTTGCGACTTCCTGGAAATCTATTATCTGAAACGACAGGTCTAATGCTATGTTAAAAGATGCTTTTTGAAGACTTTACATATCAGAATTTCGGCCTCATCCTTGGATATCGAGTTTCGTCGAGTCATCTTTGGTTTTTAATCATTTAAATTGCTTTCCCTAATGTTCAATGATGACCTTTTGGGCGTCATTATGTCATTCGGAGTTTTGGATGGAATAATATACAACTTTTTCGGTAATTTCGAATATTGATCTTGGGTCGTACGGCCTCGTCGTTTTCTGGAAATCATTCTTACGATAATATGAATAAAGCAAGCCTGCCGCAGCCCATGAAATGGATAGCATGCAGACTGCGGAATGATCAGCAGCTGGGGCTGGGTTCTGAAAGCCCGGTGTGCTTCGTTGGGCTGAGCGAAGTCTGTTCCCAACATTATCGTCAATTCATGTTGTGAAAACTCACTTGGGGAATTCAGGAATCAATCCTGCAGCTCATGGCTTAACCTCAGGTGATATCAGGACAGAGTCACACACTGAGGTGCTGCGAAATTTGGTCAACAGTTATTTACACAGTGTTTGCAGCTTTTCTTCATGTATCAATTCATGAAGTTAAGCTTAATTTGTTCACCACATGGAAACCTTGGACCCCATGTTTTGTATGAAGTGCAATAAATCCTGAATGCAGCACGGGAACATGTCAAAGTGCTGTTGGTTGAGTGCTTTCTTTATTATGTGAAGCAAGATTTTTCCTGCCCAGTGTTTGTTAGCACTCAAGTCTCAACCTTTTCACTTCACGTGTTCTTCTTTTCTTACTTTTTTTTTTCTCTTGGTTGTGTAAATGAAGATATAACTAGAAAATCCTGACAGATTGTAGGTCCTATTGATTCATGTCATGAAAAGTCTTTTTCGTGGCATAAAGTAGTATTGAATATGAAAGGTTACTCCAGTGGATTTTTTTATGAACGTAATGACCCCATGCTTTTCATGTTTTCGATGGCAGAAAGATTTGATTTCAAAAGTTCTGCCCATCAGAAATCTTGAGCTATTAGACCTCGTATTTCTTTGATTTAGCTAACAGCCTGTCTGGATTCTAAGCACTGATTGAGACATCGATGCAACATGCAGGAGATGGAAGAGTCTTCAAGAAAAGCTAAGCAAGATGCTGTCTATTTTGAAATCTTATTGAGTCAGTGGTGCACTACATTTTATAAGTCTCCCTCACCTTGACATAAGCCATTTTATAAGTCTTCGATGTAATCTCAAAGGTCTCTACTTCCCAAGCATTCCATTAGGTACTGTCTAGGTTACTTTAATCTATTATCGATTTTCTTCCCAAGATGCTAGCTCTACTCTTTACATCTCCTAAAATTTTGCTCAATAAAATCTCTTGTTAAAATCTGCTGATAAGCCTTCAAAAAGTTTGGGAGCATTCAAATGAGCTTTCAAGGGCTCATTTGGACATTGAAAAGAAGATGTGTCCACTTTTCAGTTGTTAAGGGTGAGTTTCTAGATCTTGGACTTCGGGTTTTAAAAAATTATTAAATAATCTTGGTGAGTGATGTTTTTAAGCTGAAAGAGGGAAATTATCTGTGCTGAAAAAGCCCTCGAACAATTAGGAAAAACCTAAGCGTCAAGTTTTTTCTTTATTTCTGAAACTACAGTCTTTAAGATAATCAAACCTCAAGGGTGTTAAGTGTTGATCCTTGGGTTCAATGGATGTAATGAGTGTTGAACTTTCAAGGTTTCAGGACTTAGATTGCATGTGCACTCTGTAGCACGCTGTAGGTGTCAACCTTTGAATCATAGGTGTTGCCCCTCTAGATTTTAATGTCTACTGTCTACAGACATGGACCCTTAACATTCAAGTATCAATCGATGTGTATATAGGTTCCTATTTTCAATAGGTCTCATTCTTAGTGCCAAAGAGTGTCAACTCCTGTGTACTCTACTCTCTGTTTTGCCATAGGTATCGACTCCTGAGTTTCAAATATTAACGGTTTTAAATATTAACGTTTATGAACTGTTCTCAATATTTTGTCCCATTTCTTCATATCCCACATATTTTCAGTAATTTGACAGGAATTTCGAGGAGAAATATTTTTTGCCTACCAGAATGGTTTAGATGCACTATTCTCCTGCCTGGAGTGAGATCTCTGCTCTCATTTGTGATCTAATCCCTTTTCCCCAAATTTGTGCCTTCTGCCAAATCTTTTTTCCTCCAAGTATCACCAGTTATTTTGACTAGAGACTAGTTATTTACCCTTTGTTAGTTATGCCATCTTGTGAGAGACTTGTGATTTTCCAATTGTTTGAAATAATTCTTGGCTTCTCTTCATACTGGTAGGTTCAACTTTCTCGCTTTAGAGATAATGTAGTCGTCTAAGTTGGAAGCAAAAGTTAGTATGGGAACATGCAGTGTGCACTAACGTGTTAGAGAAAACTGAAAACATGTCCTGTTAAAATGGATATCCACGCCTCTGTATTTTGCTCTAAAATTTTCATTTTATTGATCAGGCAAGCAAATGGTGCTCTTTTCTTTCTTAATATCTCATTAAAAATTCTGGATATTTTATTCTTATGCTTTAACATTTTATGTATTCATTCCTTTTCTTGTCAATAAGCATGGATTCAGTGGCATCATTTCCCTTTATCTTCAAGTAGTTACCGTATATATCCGTAATTCTCCTAAGTTTTATTCATAATCCTGCAGGTTCATTTAGACTACCTTGAAGCAGGTGCAGATATTCTGATCACAGCTTCATATCAGGTGCCATGTGCCTTTTCACATCGTATTCAACTGGTGGTGTTACATCTTCAACACTCTTTGACCATTGGTTTCGTGTTAAACAGGCTACCATCCAGGGTTTTCAGTCGAAAGGGTTCTCTATAGAACAAAGTGAGGCTTTATTGAGGAAAAGTGTCACAGTTGCGTGTGAAGCGCGAGAGATCTTTTACAAGAAGTATACCAGCTCTTCGTGTAATTCTAGTTCAACCGCAGTACCTTTCAAGAAACGCCCGATACTAATTGCAGCATCAATTGGAAGCTATGGGGCATATTTGGCAGATGGTTCAGAATACAGGTTATATTATGCGGAATTCTTTTTTTCTCTGAAGCAAGCTCAGTATCTGTCATGGTTCTTTTCAACCTTTTTTCATTGTTAAGTATTTCTTGTAGCGGGGAATATGGCGATGCTATCACCTTAAAATCGCTAAAAGATTTTCACGGACGAAGGGTGCAGATCCTCGCAGAATCTGGGGCTGATCTGCTTGCCTTTGAAACAATTCCAAATAAGCTTGAATGCCAGGTATGTGATTCTGATTCTGATAAGGAAATTGGATTATCTTAAGACAACCCATGGGAAATGACCTTATGTAGGGTTGATTGGTGAAACCAGGTGCATAGACCTACGAATAATGATAATTCATTAAAGATGCTTTTGTCGCTGTTTTTTTTTCCTTTTTTGCTATCAATCACATAAAAAGGTTAAAAAATGTCAACATTATTGGATGGTGACCGTTTTCCTCAACATCCCTGGCATGTATCATGTCCACGTACATTTGAATAGGACTCTTATCTTGATGAACTCGCAAAGAATAGATGTGCTAAAACTTGAAGATCATGGGCTACCCGGCAAACACAAATGCAAATACAAAGTCCAGGTTACGGGTAGAAATGAATGGGGCCAGAAAGAACCCTGGACTGTTTTTTTCAGTCTTGGACTATAATTTTCCGTCTGATGTCCCATATTGGTATAGGCATGGATACCACTAAGATGCACGAGTACTGAACTTTCTGGATCTTTCAGGTCCCCAGTTGGTGAATATCCGTCAAGCCGAACGCATGTGATAATTGGAACTAGTAGAACTACAACATTTTCATTCAATATTGCTCCAAAATTGTTAAACCGATAGTGGTTTGATGAACGCATTTTCATCTTGATGAACGCATGTGATATCCGTCAAACTATCCGGTTTGATGAGAGATTAGCACTAACACCATGCAGGCGTATGCTGAACTTCTGGAGGAAAACGACATCAGAATTCCAGCCTGGTTCGCTTTTAATTCAAAGGATGGAATCAATGTGGTTAGTGGAGATTCAATACCTGAGTGTATATCCATTGCTGAGCAATGCACGAAGGTTGTTGCTGTTGGAATCAACTGCACCCCTCCTCGATTTATTCATGGGTTGCTTCTCTCCATTCAGAAGGTGTACCTTGTATTCTCCCCATATTCTTTGATATCATCTTACATTCTTTGGGTACAGTTCCCGATTTTATGATCGTTCGACTTATAGCCTAGTTTTTTCAGGACACGACCATTTTCATCTTATCGTGAGCACCATTTTGCTGCCGTACTCATAAGTGTGATTACTCATTAAATTTATATGTTTCAATGTTACTTTGTCCCTTTTGTAGAATTTACCGCGAAATATGAAGGTTTTGGAATAGAATGTAACCCTCTTCTGGGGCATCATCATCTGAACCACTTATGTTCATTTGTTTCTGATATCATTTGAGTGCGACTTTAGATTGGGCATAATTCATAATAAGAAAAGATTCCATATATTATGGTCCCTGATCCCGGTAATATACGTTTCTGGATGACGGTTCATGATTCCATCATTCAAGCCAGAATTAGACTGGCTCAGTTCCTCTGTGACCCATGAGCAGGGCTTGTGGGAACTTCAGTTCTTGAAGGTGTAAACGGTGTTATGGAAGCTGGAAGTTTGCACTAACCACCCACTCCCACATTCTTTTTCCTTGATGGGTTGGTCCAACCGAGGGTATTAACTTCAAGATTTCATGTCTGGGTCCGTTTCCAAGCAGTTCTCAGTTCTAGGCGAAATGCAATGGGAAGCAACCCCACCCCCCCTCTGATTCATTCCTTTGAGCGGTAGATTGGCACGTCATCAAGAAATTTCAAGTTCTCATCTTTGAGGAAAGAAAGTAGATGCGGGTATTGGGAATATTTCTTGTAGTTAATCATCTGACCGTTCATCTCTGACTGAAGATTCCAGACTTATCAAAGAACACAATCTTCATCAAAACTGGAAGACTTGAATCCTAGATGTGCAGATGGAATAAAAAGCATCTGCCTTGGATTCCTCAGATAATCATATTTTATGGTGTTTTACTTATTAATTTCAGCTGATCTGGCTTGTTTTGAAAGGCACTGTCAAGCTTTCTCAACCGCTGATTTCGCAGGTGACAACAAAACCCATATTAATATATCCAAACAGTGGGGAGACATACGATCCGGATGCAAAGGAGTGGGTGGTGAGTACGACTTAGATAAGAATCATCTGAGCATCTATGGCCCTCACCCTCTTGTGATGGCTGTTGTTCTTGAAGTTTTCTCGTTCTCCTCTCCCTCTCCCAGCTTCGAAACCTTGGCTGAGATCAAGTTCATCATCCACAGACTCTAATCTGCAGGAGACTTCGGGCGAATCGGACGAGGATTTTGTTTCCCACGTGATGAAGTGGTGTGAAGATGGGGCCTGTCTAATAGGAGGCTGCTGCAGGACCACCCCTAACACCATCAGAGCCATATCCAGAGCTCTGGGTAGGCATGGCGTTTGACGAGCACCTGTGCTTTCGTTTCTGATAAACGAATCCTGATCAACCTGAGATGTGCACTCTAATCAGTGCGATGATGATTTTGTATTGTGACACTGTTCTGCATGCTGTTGTCCGTAATTTGTGTGGATATTTGAATGCATCATCCCAAATTGGCGAAAACTACTATTTTAATATGATTATAATTATTATGGAGGTTTTAAACAGATTTCACTAGCAGATATTGGGCATTTCTCATTTATTAGAGAGGAAAAAGAAGGGTCTAAATTATGAAACATGCACTTTGACTAGGGGCGGCTAATGGGTACGACCTTGGATCAGATGTGACACTCCTTACAGATACAAGATTCTAGGATCAGAAATGGCATGAGGCTGCGTAGTGAACCAATTGGGTATATCCGGTGATGGCATGGTGATGCATGTTGTTATAGCAAGACATTGTGTCTGCACAGCACGGCATGTGTGAGGTGCACAAGGTTCGCATCCATGGTTCTGGTGGACAACTCCAGTATAGAAACAGGTCTAAGAGAGCATCCAATGAACTTTGGAAGCCACTAGCACAAGGTTGACAGAAGATCAACACAATGTGGCAGAAGATGACATAAGCAACACACATATGGAGGCATGCAGCATCGAGTAACATAGTAAGACATGAGACAACATGGATACATACAGTAGTCATAGAACAAGGTTAATAGGCAACATAGTTTTCATTATTGGTAGGCTTCAACTTGGAAACTTATATTGTTAAGCCAATCTCCTCAAGAATTAGTTACACTGCATCTCGAAATGGTGGCTAAACATCTTGCCCCATGTCCCATGGTGCCAAAATGTTCCATCAAGTGTGAGGGACATTAATCCTAGAGGTGTAAAACGGGAAAAGCTATAAAGGGTTCTTCATTATAAAAGGAGGAGGCCTTCAACCTCAAAGAGCAAGCTAGCCTCCTCTAATCAAGTGTACTTCTACATGAGAAGGGTGCAGTGCTCTTTTGAGTAAGAGAAACTTCTGAAAATGTGAAGGCTGCTTGGTTTTGATGATTACAACCAAAGTTGTCACATGGTAGAGCAAACAACATAAGCTAGGCTAATCATCGCATGAAAATTTAGAGCACAAGGAAGAAGATGGTAGGTGAGAGTGGAATGCACAGGTAGACAATCACTTGCTTGGAAAAGCAGATCACTCTAGATGTTAGCTTTGTAGAGGCTATGGAAACCTCCATCCAAATCGAGGAATGGTTGGAAGATGTGCAAGTGACTGTGAATCAGATAGTCACCGATACCCACAGATCCATGGGCAATAACATAGATGGGAATCAGTATGATACAAGCAAATATCTTTAAGCCGAAGCCATTGTTCATTAGTGTGTGCAACATCTGAGAAATAAAGAATTTTCTATTGGACCCCGACCTTTACTTTCAGGTGGTGCACATCCCATAATCAGATAGAATAATGCTTGCAAACATGTACCTCCCTTACGATGCAAAGCTTTGGTGGAGGACGCAGATGGAAGGTTAGGCCTGATCTCTCATCTATAAAGAGACAAACATCATCTCTTTTATTCAGTGAAAATGAATACAAACACGAAAGATATGGAGGAGAAGATTACGGAACGCAATCGATTTATTTGGTTCAGAGAATCCTCCTATATTCAGTCATACAAGCCATTTTTTCTTCTTTCAAAGAGAGAATGTTCTCACATGCACATGACAAGAGGTGGTGGAAGCCCTTTCCTTATGGATCTGCATATTTGTCGTAGACCCAACCTCATCATTCTCTGCGTACCTCCAGCACCATTAACATGTGCGAATGGTTCGAGAAGGATCTGAAGGATCAGCTCCTCACAATGAACAATGTGTGGATATTGTAGGAGGCACGTCAATGGGTGCACCAGAGTGTGAAAAAATTTACTTCACTACTCTGAGACATTAAAAAGATGTACGACAAGGAATCTATTCAGCTGCATAAGTCTTCAAAATTTGGGTGTAAGCTGAGCTGCAATGCTAAAGAAGAGAAAGATGTACAATCAACCATGATGATTAGCAGCGCCCATGTTGATTATAAGATCACCAGCACAAACAAAACCCAAAATAGGAACTAGGTGTCCAGATAGCCACAAACAAAGTGACCTAGGTGGTTCGCAGCCATAGTGGAGCTAGGGCAGCTACCACAAAGGTGAGGGCACAAGATAGCATCGGCAGCTTGGCAAAAATAGCCTACCAAGGTGGGGTTTTCTCATTTGCGTAAGTCCCCACCATGCAGAAGATTGCCTTTCCCATGCGAGTAGGGGTTCTCTGAGCACCATAGTGGCACACAAGGCACCATCCAAGAACAACAACTCAATATTGAAGCCCTTGCAATTATTGAGGCATGGTGTAGCCACCTTTGTTGAAAGACAAGAAAACTTAGGCTCAGCCTCTTAGAAAGTGAGAAGTAATAGTTGTTGAAAGATCAAATTTATTAATATTGGGGAAACTCAAAACTTTATCTTTGAGAAAGAATTGTGGTACTAAGTCTTGGCCTTGTTATGAAGAGAATCAAATCAAAACTGTCAACTCACTGGCACATACCTTTATAGTGACGTGCATTCCAATATAAGAGTCTAACATGAGAGAATGCAATAGACATTATGGCACTATTGATAAACAATATCAAAATCATTCAAAGTATGGATTTTCATGTATGATCATAATTTAGTGTCTTCTCCAATTGCATGGTGTCTTTGCAAGAGGACTAAGACTATGTCTTTCACAAGAATGAGGGAAACTATATAAGAACTAAAAATGTTATTCACCTTATAGCTTTGAGACGGCCTATGGCTGTCACTGTTTAATAAACAATCTAGTAATTCACAATACACACATAATGGTGTTGTGTTATAACACATTACTTTTATATGATAAATAACACATTTAGTAAATTTGGTACATTGGTTCATGCAAAATTATATAATTCAATGAGAAATAAATTAAATCATATTTTAGACAAGTTACATGAAATACATGCTTAGTACATATTCTCAATATTCCTTGATTATATGTTAATATGCTTTACTTGACATTTTTTACCTTTAAATATGTTATTATTAGGACCAAAAATAGATTTTTAATATTTGAAATTATTTTTTAATAAAAATATTTTTCTCTAATTTTTGGTGACGTTATAGAATGTTTGTGTTGATTTATAGCAGCAGTAGGAGGAGCATGTTAAAGAAGCCCATTAAGGAATAACTAATTGAATTAAAATGATGTGAGAAATGCACAACAATGGGCCGAAATGACTGGAAACATTTGAAAATGGTCGAAAAGTAGACAAAGAAATAGAAGTTGATTATCACTAAAAATCAAATGTTTGTTTAGTAAGTTGATTCCTCACTTCTTGTAATGGGTTCTAGATCTAATGAAAGTATAAAAGTTTCAATTTAGAGTAAAAAGGATGCTCTTTTCTTCCTTTTCACACTAGGTGATAGATGATGGTGTTCTATTGGTTTTTCAACAATTCTTGTGCTAGTCTAGATAAAAATCTGATTTCTACTTCATTCTAAATTCATTTCTTCAATTTATTTAGATGATAGGTGAATGAATCAAAGAAATAATTGATTTCTCGGATTTTTATTTAGAATTTAGCCCAAATTCGTCGTCCACTTGTCCCTAGTGTCAAAGGAGGAAAATTTTGATTTTGAACTATTTTCTGTATGATTTATTGAATTTTTTGAGTTCTTATTAGCATTAATTTGATTTAAAAAATAGATTCATGCAACAAAAATCAATTGACAAATTGACTCCCCGGTGTTGAGTGGAGAGCCCTCTTCTAGAGAGTGTGAAGCGCTCTCACTCAATCAAAAATAGGAGATAAAATCAGAAAATATTCAAGTGTGAGCAAAAGATTCTTCAAATCATGGGTTCCTCTCCCTCCCAATGATGAGAATAATACAAGTTATTGAACTTGTGTTGGAGGCAAGCTATTTACAGATCTGACAACTAAAGGATGGAGGCCTAGGTAAAATTGACCACCTCCTCCAGTGTTGCTCAACCTAGAAGTCAACACAGCACCAGCTTACAACATGGCCATCATTTCAGTCAAGATGACAACGAGAGATACTAAACAGTCAACTCACAAACCCAAAGGAGAGAAGAGAGAGATTGGGGGAGGGGATGGAGCCTTTTAAGTAATATCCTCTATTTTTAGAATATTTTTTTGACGACCTTCTTTGAGGAATTATTGTTTTTACTTTCTTTGGCAACCAAATTCGGGACACGGGCCGATCGCGCGAATCGGATTCCCTAATCGATTTCGATCCGATCCTGCCGCTCGATAGGGCGGCCTCCGAGGGATTCTCCCGCGCCCGGTTGCAGCCTCCTCGCTCCCCGTTGTGTTCGCCCTCTTCTCGTCTCTACTCCGACGGCTTCCTCTCGCTGGAGACGAGCGCCGCCTAGTGGAGAGGCGAGAGCCGCAATTTCTGGGCGCTGCCTCCACCTGCCACCTGTCTGGGAAGCTCCGCCAGCTCTGCGCCTTGGTTGGGTTCTCCTCTCCTCCGTTTCCTCTTATTCTTGCAGTTTTTATCTCCGATTGATTTGAAACCGGGTTTCTGTTTTTTTGGCTTCTGTGCTTCATGAAGCCAACTGTTCCGTGGTTGTCTTCGATGCCTTGCTTCTCCCTGCGACGCCTGCGGCATTTTGTGGGGGTCGATGTCGCCACCATGGGATTGGAGCATGATCAAGCGAGCGCTCCGCTGAAATCAGTTCCTTCCAGGGTTAAGTTTGTGTATTAGAGCCTTAGGAACTAGGGTTTATTATGTTCGTAGAAGATCCGATTCTTCAGGAGCTGTCTGTGATGGGATGCGTCAATTTGGATTCCCACAGAGTCCTTCCCCATTCCTAGCTTTCAAATCGCCGCGGGTGATTCTTCGAGCGTTAAGTGTGGCATGGTAATGCGATCGACGTAGGTTGAGAAGTTTGCAGGCTTGGTCGATAATGGAGCTATCTTTGAGAAATCTGCTTGGGATCGACGGACTAGGGTCGTTCAGGCTCCAGAACTCTCTGAACCAACCCTTCTTCAACTCGTACGAGCTCCATCGATCTTGACTTGCCTGAGATTTTTTCTGCATCTATATCGAACCACCCCAAGTCGTTTAAAAAGCCCTAAAAATCTGTAGAAATTCGTGGAGCTTATTATTCCCAACTCCTTGTAGATCCCAAAGCTTAAAAACGGACTAGCTTCACCAGCTCCGATCCTGCTTTCCCTCCATTTATGTGAAAACTGGACAGTTCTAGGCTTCCCCTATCCTATCGATCTTGGTTTTCTCATGCCTCTGGTCAGCAGCAAGAATTGACCTCCAGGAAGCTTAGAGTCAACTGCCTCGCTTTGTTGGGGGCTCTCAACAAGGACTTCCCTGTGACTGGCAAAACATTAAGTGATTTTCTACAAAGTAACCATTAAAAATTAAAGTTATGGAGAATAGGATTGAAGGATGGCAGAAAATCTGATGATAAACAAGCTAAAATAAGATTCCGAGAAAAAATTTGCACAAACAAAAACACTAAGCTCAATTAACACCGGTCGAAATGATGATGAACATGCTGGATGAATGCGAGAGCGTGGAGCCAATATGTACACAGGGGAAATTGCAATGAGTTCTCTTCGAGTGTTCTGGACGACAGTAAACTATGATTCTCTGAAGCCAATAGGTGGTCGTCAAATTTTTCACGATCATTTCTCCTTGGAGGGAACTTTTTCCTTTGGGTTGGATCAGAGAGTTTCCATTTATCAACATTTTTTTTCCTAATCTATTAGTAAATTTATATTTGCACCGAAAAATGGGGCCAAATGTCGTAATATTTTCAGCTGAAGAAGCATTCTTACTGGATTTTGGATTATCAACAGGTGATCCCCTGTTACTGGAGAACTTAGCATGATGGAGAGTAAGGATGGGGATCAGAGCTTCGGTACTCTGTTGAAGCAGGGGGCAGAAGCTGTGAGCGCACCAGTGCTGAAGAAACCGGAGTTTCCTGATATTTCCTAATTACTTTTATTCTTTTTGACCTTTGTTTTTCCATCCAGAGAGTGTTCGAGTCAAACTTCATCGGGCGAAAGTCAATTGTCAAGGAACGCTTCTCAAAGAAGTACAGGCACCCAGCCTTGGATTCAAAGTTGACACTCAAGCGTCTGAATGCGGTAATTGTCAAATTTGAGCAAGCCCTTGGATTGAATGTGACCACCATTTTTGGAAAGAAAAGAAAACAAAGCTAGCAAGCTTTGATTCCTGAGTGAGCAGCTCCCTCGTTTTTTTGGTAGAAATTGTCGCAATATGCCTGATGAAGTGAGGAATTTAAACCCAAATCGGCCCAGGATGGGAAATTATGCCAGATTGGAGCAGCACTAGTTACTAAGAACAAGAGCAAATCCCTCTTGCTCTTCTGACGATTTCTCATCAGTCAACTCATCGAGTGGCTTTGGATCAAACCCAACCACCATTTTAGAGGCAGAAGCCGTCTAATCTATGATTTTCATACGGGGAATTCTTTACTTGCCTTTTCTTATTGATGGAAACTTTTACCGTTAATATTCCCCAAGAATCTGGTGATCACATGAAGCAGATCCCCATCTCGGTATTCGTGACCTCTGATGAATGTCTTCTTGGGTGGCTGCAGGAGGCCCGGTGCATGACCAAGGCCAGAAGGCTGGGTGTCCTTACCCCAGCCCTGTATGCCGTCGATCCTCTGCTGCACACCTTGACTTTGGAGTACATAGAGGGGCCTGCAGTCAAAGAAGTCCTCTTGGGCTTTGGCTCCTGCGGCATTGAACCTAAGAAGCTGGGTGACATGGCAGTGCAGATCGGCTCCGCCATTGCAAAGCTGCATGATGGGGGCCTCATTCATGGCGACTTGACGACCTCAAACATGATTGTCCAGACAGAGACAGACCGCCTGGTGAGAGAGTCTCCCAACTTGCTGCCTTTTGATTTCTCCCCAATATGCCATATAATCTGTATGTCTTCCTTATTCTGTGGAATTTTCTGCCTGGAAACTTATTCTGTAGCAATGGAGGACCCCTAGATATTTCCGATTTGGTGATTAGTCCTACATTACCTCTGAGTAATTGTTTTCTTGCTTTGATTAGTAAGGATTTATTTCTGACTCACCCTCTCGACATGCCTTTTAATCTGCTAATTTTCCCTTCGAAAGCTCGGCTTTGTGGAGTTTTTTTATCGAGAAAGTTACTTTGGGATACAGAAAACACCTCTACGTTTCTGATTTGGGTATTATTCCCTCAAATGCTGCCGATTGATTTTATTTTTTTCTTCGAATAGAAAGATAGTTTTCAAACTATCCTATTGATTTCTTCCAGACGTACCTTGAGGTTGGTTGATGGTTTCCATTCCGCTTAAGGACCCAAAATTCTTTTCTCCGACATAAGGAAGAAGCCCTTCTATCACTGTTCCTTCAAGCTGGTGAACTTGACCATGGTTGAAATCACTCCGCCTCTAGCTGGTGGAGTAAATGACTGACAAGCCCATGTCTTACTCCATCGCCCTGAGCACCAGAAGCTTCTCTCTCTCTCTCTCTCTCTCTCTCTCTCTCTCCAGCTGTTGTCACTCACCCTGTCGTTCCCATTGTACTAAAGTTCCATCGGGCTGATTTTTTCCCAGGTTTGGAGAATTCCTTGTATCATCACAGAGGACTAATAATCACAGGCAAAGAAAAAGATGAAGATTATTAGGGTACTCAAAATCAAGAATACCTAGTTTTAATGCGATGATACTCTCTGGATCTTGTTCTGGCAGGTCCTCATCGACTTTGGCCTGAGCTTCACCTCCACTCTACCTGAAGATAAAGCCGTTGACTTGTACGTCCTGGAGAGAGCATTGCTTTCCATGCACTCAACATGCGGCAACGTGGTGAGTGAAACTTTGTTCGTTCGCTGCATGGGTTTGGTCCTCTCTCCACAAACTTCCTAAAAGGGCAAAATCTTTTGTGCATATAGCTGACTAAAAGGGCTTTCGGTTCCCCACCCAGTCCCACCACTGTTCCTCTCTCTAGATGGTACGGTGTTGTCGCCATTTTACATGGAAGAGGGCCTGGTGCTCTGCTCTCATCATTGTTTCTCTCTCTAGATGGCATGCATGATATGGTGTGGACAGCCTTCAAGCACTGGGCTGGGCCGGACTAGGCTCATTTCCATTTTGAGACTTGACTTTCGAATAACCATGTTGACTGACCCCTGGCATCCGGGCAATGGGAAAAGAGGCGGGTTTTCCTCGCAGCTTCTGCTTCTCCTGATTGTTCACGTCTGTGGAATCCCTGATTCTTGGGGTTTGTCGATCATAGCTCATCTCATCTTCGTCTCACCCTGCTGAGCAGATGGATCAGATTCTTGCTGCTTACAGGAGGTCCTCGAAGCAATGGTCCGCGACTTTCAACAAGCTCGCTCAAGGTTCTCTCTCTCTCTCTTTCTCTCTCTCCCCTCGTTCTACCCCTCACTCTCAAATTCGGAGGAAGCTTTACTATTCCTTAGCATTCCCATTGCTGCATCATCTGCAGTGAGACAGAGAGGTCGCAAACGGGCAATGATCGGGTAGAGTTGCACCAGCCCGCATCTCCGCTGCAGCTGGAGATGATACGCTCTGCACACTGTATCTCTCCAGCTCCCTGCATTAATGTACACCACTCAGGCTCTCTCTCTCTCTCTCTCTCTCTCTTTCTTTCTAACTCCACTCTCTAAAGCAGTCTCAAAGGAACACACTTGCCCATGTATTAAAATGCTATCAACTCACAATTCATTGCCATTGCTTCAGCTGTACTCCAGTTCCTACAAAAAGCATTCGAGATTTCGTCAGAAAGTGTTGGTTGTGTTGAATGTCATAAGATTTGAACCGTTTTAGTCATTCCCTTGTGGCGGCGAGATCTCCGACAGCCCAATCCGGTGGGAGGTGGCATTGGAGTTCTAGCCCACATTTGGAGCGAGAAAGAGAGTCGGTTGCCCCGAAATGCTGCGAATTGGGAGGAGGTCGATTATCCTGCATGTCGGAAGGGATAGAGGGAGATAGGAACGGAGGAGAGTAAGAGAGAGGGAGGGACAGTGAGAAAGAGAGATAGAGAGCCATGTGATCCACATGGCCTGCGAGCATGAATAACTACTCTGGGTCACAGCGCATTCATTCCGAGGGGATTTTAGCTCCTCCTCGTTCAATCCGCTTCACAGGGAGTGGCCTGCCGTCAGAGGCGACATGGGGACGCCTCCGCAGTTGCCGGTCTGGAGAGGGAGTGGATTTAATGTAGATCATGGGCCGGCCCCTCGTTGTCAGTGACTCAAGAAAGTAGCTTCTTCTCTCACCTGATAATGCAAATGGGACGGACTCTGTCTCTCTCTCTCTTCTTTCTTCTCTCTACACGAAACAAGACCAGAGAGTCTGTCCACCGGGTTGATTTCATGGAACCTTCAGAAACAACGGCACCAGCGCACGCGGCACGCCGCAGCAGCGGTGGGGCGGCGCCGCCGAGCATGTGGCCACCACCTTGATGGGGGACCGCACGGCGCTCGCACGGCCGTCGACTTGACCACCAACCGCCACCCACCGCCACCAGCGACGGCGCCGGCGGCGGCGTTTCACGGGGCCAGCAAGATGGAAGAACCCACATCAGTTGAATACACCGGCCTGCCCGAGACCAGCCCACTCAGGCTGGGTTCTTTTCCGCTTTAGGGGATTGGGTCCCAGAATTAAGCCTGGAAAGGAAACTACGCCCGAGCCTCCCTTCATAGTTCCCTCTCCCTTTCTGCATATCTCAAGTGGTGCAACTCGTTTTCTCTGCTTCTGACCCTTTTGGGAGGAACAGCGGCTTGGTTTCCTGCAAGTACGCAAAGTGTTCAAAGACAAGCTGACGACCCTCGTGCTCTCTTTTTTCCCCCCCTTTCTTCTTCTCTCGCTCTCTCTCTCTCTCTCACTCACTCTCTCTGCCATTAATGCCAACTGAAATCTCGGCTCCTCACCAACTGATCGTCAGTTGGGTTTCCTTACTCGAAGGGAATTCAGCGGTAGGTGCACGCGTACGCGACCTCTCCGCAAGCAAGATGTCCAGTTGCACCACCAGCAGCGAGAGAGAGAGAGAGAGAGAGAGAGAGAGATGCCTAGTTCCCATCGCAAGGACCACCCTATTTACTACCCTCATCCGGTGGTGGTGACGGTCGTCCTGTCGGACAGCGACCCCGCGGGTGGGGTGGCCGGGTTGCACCCCACAGGAGAGGGGGGACGAGTGCGTTCATGGCCCCCCTCATTACGAGGGTTTGTGTGGGTATGAGGGAGATCATGTGGCTCCTTCCTCAGCATTGGGGAGGGTTGTGGCCGTTGGAGTTACCCCTTCTTTAAGGTTATTGAACGGAATCGTTGACCTCGGACAATGATACGACCTAAAATCTAATTATTTATATTTTTAAAGAATAATTTCAGTGTTGCGGGGGAAGTGTCGTAGACCCAAGACCCTGGCTAGATCGTACCGCATCGAATCGGCTCTTGGATTTCAACCATAATCTAATGAAATCTCTAGCCCCTAGGCTGAATGAAATTCTCAGCCTAGATCCCTGCCTAGTCCCTATTCATGCTCAGACCGGGTTTCAAAAGGGTTCAGCTCAAGACGTGGTCATCTAACATTCACTCGTGTAGTGTGTCCCTCTCTCTCTCTCTCTCTCTCTCTCTCTATCCACAAGACCTTCGAAAGCCAGTGACGTTTTCTGGACTTTTCTCTGAGCTTTTGGTGACCATCCACCGAAGTTCAACCCATAGGGTAGCCTCTCGTAGGCCTATCTGAGGTCTTTAGGCTACATCTTGTGGAGGTCTTTAGGGCACTAATCTACGACGTGTTTCATCCATAGTGCTGATGGTAGTGTACTCATCACTAGACGTTGACGTGAGACAATTCTAGATCATCTCAATTTTTTATCATATGATTCCACACAAGAATTTCAGTTCTTCAACGATTGAAAACACGGCTGTGTACTAATTGGGTAGATTTACACTTTAAATTTTAGGCCAAAAATAAAAGGGTCGATTATTAGCTTTAATGATAAAGGATGCTGGTTTTTCGTAAATAAAATCGAAATAATTTTTTTAAAATTGGAATGGAATCATTATAAGGAAAATGTTGACGTATTGCATATTCCAAAAGATATAGATATCTACCAATGGAATAATTCATCTTTAAAAATCCACCACACATCCCCATATTTTTTCTTTTATAAAAAGTAACTTTTAAATTAATGAGCTCAAATATGACATAGTTTAAAGTATATATTCTTCTAGTACGAAAGGGCATTTATTTTCTACTTTATTGTCATTAAGTACTCTCAAAATATTTGGTCATATGGTATAATTTTCCATGTCGCCTTGTAATTAAAAATATGAACATTGACTTAAACGAATAATTCAATTTTTCTGTCATATTCTTGGATTATAAACTATTTTTGGACGTAAGCATAATGAATGTGATGCAAGGGCGTACATCACAATCTAGTATATCAAAGTTCATTGCATACGAAAAATATAATATTAATCCATTTCACCCATAAGTCAACGTCAGAGTATTTTAGTAGCCAATGATTGGATCTGGGAACATCAAACTACAACCCATAGCAGCTAAGCATAATTTATAAAATATCAACTTGGCTTAGGTGCTTGATTTAAAATATATAAGCCTACACCAAAAAAAATTAGGTAGAAGCCTTTTTAAGGTAGAAATGTTGGACGTGAATATTTTAAAGAATAATAATAGGAAACGTCTTCTATTTAATGGACACCGTCACCAAAAATTGGACTCAAGAAAAGAGTCGGACGGGAAGTTTCAAGAACAAACCCTCTTATGGATCACCAAGGCATGCGTGGATTATTACACAAATCACCCATTTTGGAAATTTAGTAATATATATTCCTGAGAATTTATATGCATAAACTTCGGCTTAAAAGGAGTTTTACAAGAAAATTTTCAAGGCAAATTATTTGTCTAGATATTTTCAATAATGTTTGCATATAATAAGTTGAGGTTAAGAACTCTCTCAAGGGGGTGTACACAAAAGAACATAGAACATAAGATGACTGTTTATTGTGCAATGCCGTCTTAGTCAACGCAACTCAGCGTTTGAAATAGAAGTATAGAGAGAAGGGAGGACTCTCTCCTATCCTCTCTCCCTCCTATCTATCTATCTGCCTATTTTTATCTTACGGGCGCTAATCTATTCCTTGGTCCATGTCTCGCTTTAATAGCTTTTAATCTCTTTTTCGTCAGTGGCCTGGGATGTTTCCCCTTGGATTCAAGGCGCTGGGGTTGGTAGAGGCAGAGATAGGAATTGTGTGTGTATTTGGAGAGAAGAGGAGGAGAAAGCGGTGGGAGGAGAGTGAAGAGGTTGGAGAAGAAAAGGTTTGTGCCTCTGTCATGACGAATGAGAGAGCGAGAGAGAGAGAGAGAGAGAGAGCGTGGGGGCTGTAGAGAATAAAGACGTTAGAAAGGGACGGGCTTGTGCCTCTGTCGACGTGTCAACGGTGAGATGAGAGAAGTTAGGGGGTGGGTGAAAGAGAGTGGAGAAAAAGCCCAGGAGAAGAGTGAGTAAAGATCCCAGAGGACATGTGGTTGTGTCTACGTGTCCATGTTGAGAGAGTGACGAGGGTAGTGAAAGCGAATGAAGAGGGAGCGAGAGAGCGAGCTAGAGAGAGAGAAAGAGAGAGGAGAGAGAGAGAGAGAGAGAGAGAGAGAGAGAGAGAGAGCGAACCGCACGGGAGAGGAGAGTTCTTTCCAAACCGGTATTCTCTTCAAATCCTCGTTCTCTCTCTGTGTCTCTGTGTCTGTCTTTCTCTCTGTCTCAGGTGTTCCTGCTTTGGCCTCCTCTGTCACCACGTTCCTCCGATTCCCAAGCCTCTCTGCACTGAAAACCCTGTGTGAGGAAAAGGCCAATCTTTTGATCTCGCCACAGGGTAGCTTGGCGGTGGGCTCTGTCCGTTCCCAATTGAACTACAGCAAGATCGTCCCCCGCATTCTCCTCGCTCCAGTGGAGGGAGAGGCAGTGAGCTTATTTATCTTTCTTCGAATTCTTGTGTGCTTATTGGGCTGTCAAGTGCTCAGTCGGAACGAAGACCGGACAAGTCTCCTCCGTGGCAGTGGACGGCGATGAAGCTCTGAAGCAATGAGCGATGAGAGCTCCACAAGGAGAAAGGTCTCTTCTTATTATCGAATATACATATATATGTAGCCTCTGAGATCTATTACTGATACTGATTCCTGTTTATGCCTTTTCCCTCTGAGATCGACGATTTATACTTGTCGTGAGTTTCGTGATTCTGATTCCCTTTTGTGTCGTGTTTCCCCGAGATTGCTGGTCGCGATTCCTTCCTGCGACTTGTTCTTCTGAGATCGACGATTCTGATTCCTCTTTTTTCTCCTTTGGGGTTTTGGGTATGAAGCCACCCTGGTCAAAGTGTCTGGTCCGGAAATGGTTCAACATCAAGAGTAAAGGCCAGCTCTTCCAGGATGTCGATGACAGTATCAGCAAAGGTGGGTTTCTTCGCGCTTCTTCTGTCATCTCCCCTTTCCTCTAGGCTTTCTGGGTTAAGCGGTGCTGGAATCTCCGGAGAGGAAACTTTTATTCCTCAATCCAGGATTGTGCGTTCTTGATTCATTTGGCGGTCATCATCATCATCTTCCTTTTTCTTCCTTCTCTCCGTCTGGACCCCCAGTCGCTTCTCCGTTCAAGGTTTTCTCCCTCTCGGGCGGAAACTACCATTCACGGAATCAGTGACCAGCCCCGCCCTTTCCCACTTGGGTTTTCTATGGCTTTCAGGAGGCGACGGGGAGTGGAGATCATCAAGCTTCTCGGAGAGGGAGACTTGGAGAGTGAAGAAAACCAGAAGAGGTGACTTGATGCCAGAGTTTCAAAACCATCCACGATATACCTTCTGGAATCATTCTCATTAGTACTCCGATTTTTCCGCAAAACTTGAAAACTTTTCTATTTTTGGGTTCAAGAAGGATCATCCAGGCAGAATCCCAGCCTTGTCCGGGGGAAAAGATTCGATCCAGAACCACCCCGAGTTTCAGGCGTCTTGGACTACCGGTGAATCGAATCACAGCGAACCCATTCTTTGTTCGGTTTCCTCCATTGACTTAATTATTCTACCCGCTAGTTACTCACTTCGGACATCTGTCGTTAGGATCTTCGTTTCCACATGGAATGTGGGTGGGATATGTCCACCATCGCGCTTGAATCTCGATGACTGGCTCCTCTCGTCCCCATTCGCCGACATCTACGTGCTTGGGTACATGCTTCCTTCAACCCAGGTCAACCTCTCCCTCTCCCCAACCAATCTTCCTTCATCCATTCAATCTGGGTTTGCTTCCAGATTCCAGGAGATCGTCCCCTTGAACGCCGGTAACGTTCTGGGCGCAGAGAACAATGCCCCAGCGAAGAAGTGGGTCTCGCTCATCAGGAAAACCCTTAATAGTCCCCCGAGAACAGGCAGCAACAGGAGCTATGACCCCAGTGTTGTTGACCCCGACGAAGACTCCGGCAGCTCGTCGTCCCGGAGAAGGGCGTTGCTCTTCCCGGACAGTCATTCATTCCGGTCCTCGAGCAACAGCTTTAGGACCGATAGCGGGCTGAGCCTCTCCGGCCGGTCAGCGCTCGGAGGAATAACCGGCGAGTACGATTTTCACTGCGGATGGTGCGGCTCTGATGTGGGGGACGACGAGGAGAATCCACGGGGGGACTCGTCAGGGGCCCTCATCTGCTCACCGAGCTCGGATCTACGCTGCATCTCATCTTCAATGGAGAGAGAGAGAGAGGAGGGGAAGCTTGGCGGCTCCTCCAGGTCCTCGATCTCAATCTCTCTTAATAGAAAAATTCCCTCTCTCTCTCTCTCTCTCTCTCTCTCTCTCTCTCTCTCTCTCTCTCTCTCTCTCTCTCAAGAAATTATCCTTCACTTCACGGTCCTCGGCTCTGGCAGGTATCTTCTGGTGGCCCGGAAGCAGATGGTCGGGATATTTCTCACCGTATGGGTGAGGACCGAGATGAAGGACGACGTGAGGAACCTGAGGGTTTCCTGCGTCGGCCGGGGCCTGATGGGACGGCTCGGAAATAAGGTGCATTCTTTCATTTCCCCTTCCCTACCACCATGAGAGCAGGGACATGGAAGATGCCTCCTTTTTCTACTTTCAACAAGCTTTCTCCCTCTCCAGGGCTCCATCTCGATCAGCATGTCGCTGCATCAGACCAGCTTCTGCTTCGTCTGCTGCCACCTGACGTCTGGCCAGAGAGAAGGCGACGAGCTGCGCAGAAACTCCGACGTCATGGAGATCCTGAGGCGAAGCCGCTTCCCTCCCGTCGATGATCTCGCTGGTGAGGGGAGACTGCCGGAGACGATTCTCGACCATAGGTACCTACTCCGATTCAACCGCACCCCTTCTCCCCAGAGTCCTCCCTCCAAACCCTAAAGAGCCTCTTTTTCTCCTGTGATCCAGCCGCATAATATGGCTCGGGGACCTGAACTACCGCGTCGCCCTCTCCCACAACGCCGCGAGGTCTCTGGCTCAGGCCCGCGACTGGAGCTCTCTCCTCGAGAACGACCAGGTACTTGCTTAATCTGGCAGCATCGACCAGTAAGGATCATGGCGTAGGGCTGATGATTCTCCCTCCCACACGGCAGCTTCATAAGGAGCAGAGATTCAGGCGGGTGTTTGAGGGCTGGAAGGAAGGCAAGATCTCATTCCCACCCACCTATAAATATTCGGCCAACTCGGATCGCTTCTCTGGAGATGACCTCAAAGTGAGGGAGAAAAGGAGGACTCCTGCATGGTTAGAGCCAGTCGTCTTGACATTACAGTCTTTTCTCTGTGCGGCGTTTCCTGATCAGGGAACCTTCCTCTTCTGCTAAAAAACAGGTGCGACCGGATCCTGTGGTACGGCTCGGGACTGAGTCAACTGTCTTATCTCCGTGGGGATTCGAAGCTCTCCGACCACAGGCCGGTCTTCGGCGTGTTTTCTGCGGAGGTCGAGTTGGTCTGCTGTGGAAGCCCGACGAAGAGCATGGCTTGCTCCGGTTCCCGAATAGAGGTGGAAGAACTGCTGCCATAGCAGCCGGCCATGACGAGCCTAGTGGTTTCCTGGAAAAGGCAAACTAGATGGCCATGGATACAGTCTGTACCCCTCCCCAAGAAAGAAGATACAGTCTCTGGTCGGCTACCGAAGGGAGTCAATGCCACCCGAGTCGGGCTTCGACGGCTTTGCTGAGGTAAATAATGATTACGTTAGATAATATGATTGTGGAGCTTCCAATCTCGTCTTCTCATCCCTTCCGTTGCTGTCTGTGGGATTAGGGTTTCTTAGGCAGTGGATCCGGTTCAAATCTCCTCCGACGGCCACGAACCCACGTGACCAGCATAAGATGATGGGTGAGTTTGGATTTGAGTCCGAAAAAGAACTTCTCCAAGTGGGTTTAAAGAGGAACCCTTCATTTAACGCAGTCAGCTGGCTTCCTTCTATTTTTTCTTCATCTTTTCATTATCTGTATCCATCTTTTCCCCGTGGCAGGGAATTCGGGGATCAGAACGTCAAAGCTGTTGTTCGTATTCTTTCCCAATCAGTCAACGTACTCCTTTAGTGCATCTAGAATTCATGTCTCCTTGGAGTCGGCGACATATAGCATCGTGAGTCGGGCCCAAGCCGATCAGTAAAGCTCTCATCTTTCTTTCCCGATCGTTCAAGGATGGAGGCCAGAAGCCGCGGGTGCTCTCGCCGAGGTCTTCTGAAGCACAGCTCGGATTTGTATCTTCAAAGCCGATCAGATCCGCGAGTACGCCGTCTCTGTGATCAACAAGGAGGTTTTTAAAATGATATATCGCTCATAAATTCTAAAATAGTGGTTTGAAGGAATCATCCAACGAACAGAAAATCCCATAAAGGATAGACCTCTGGTGAAGTAAAACCCAGACGGGTTTGCCAATGAGTAGCTGGGCTTTCAGATGTTAGCCCTCAAAAATAGACCTGCCAATCTCTCCCTCTCTCTCTCTCTCCCGTTCCCTCTTTGAAGGTGCTCGACTCTCTCACGGCCCCTGGACAGACCAAACTCCGCCTCAACTTCTGTATCAAACACTCTGACTTTGACTTAATGGCTCCTCTCCATGTTAGTCTCACGTGAGACTGGGGATCTATCCATTTCATGTCTCTCCCAATGGGCCCGACGGGGTGTGTGCCTTTGGTCAACGGAACTGGAAGTATCTCTCTCTCTCCTGGATTATTTTCTATGTATTAATAGTTTCCGAACTGAAGTAATATAGCAATAAGGTGAATCTTTTGAAATACCCTAAGACATTACTGAACAGCGGGAAATTCATATAATAAATGAATGTCTGATAATTCATATAATGGGGTCGGTCTGGAGATTATTCCTATATTTCAATAATGTTTTCAAACATTCCCGCATATTACTATGAATTTTTCAGTGAGCAAGATTGTCATATGGTATTTTTTCAATAAATTACCTTATCAATTAATTCTTCCGTTTGAAAACCATTATTGCCTTTTGGATTCTTCTCTATACATTCATGGTTTTCAAATGGAAGTAATTAATTAGTAAGTTAATTTACTTTACAACTGCGAATAAGACAGTATTGCTCACTGAAAAATCTGCAAATATATGACAGTATTTGAATAGACTGTTGTAATATTGGAACAACCCCAATACTTAGATTATTTTCTATACATCAATAGTTTATAAAAATAAATAAATAAATAATTACGTTATTTTTAAAGAATACCCATAAGACATTACAAAAAACTACCAAATTCATAAAAACGTCGTGCATTATCTGGGAAAATTATTCAAACATAGGAATAATCAAGTCATATTTATATATATAATGTATTAATTATAGAAAACTATAAATTTTAAAAATAGGCATGATATATTATTGAGAAAATTATTGGATATGTTTGAGAAAATAATAGAAATAGAGGAATAATCTGCAATTGGTTGCGATTTTTCCATCAAATAAATTTTTAAATAACTTTAATTACTTATTAAAATACTTTGTAATGAAATAGACGTTATAATCTATTCAACACAACCACATGTAGAAGAACCAATGGCAATATTTGAGACAACTATTGGAATGTAGGAATAATCTATATTTTTTTGGAATATTTCCTATAATTTATTTTTTAAAATTAAATTAATATAATTTTATCTGAAATAATATATTCATACGACATTTTTGAACATTGGTAAGTACATTAAAAAGCTGTCATGTTTTAAGAAATCCATTGTACATGCTCTAGCACTGACACCTATAAAAGTGTTGGTAATGTTTTAATATATAATATGAATATAGCAATCATCTTTGGCTTGTTGGAATTTTTTCCATAAAATATAACTTTTCAACAGAAGGTAATTACTTAATAACATAAATTTCTAAGGTATTTGAGATCAAAATTTATGAAATACTACCACATTTATAAGAACTCATAATAAGATTTCATAATTTTTTTCAATTTTGAAATAATCCACTATCCTATGGGATTTCTTCTCTAAATTATATCTTTTAAAATTTAAAGTAAAAAATCTTATCCTTTTAAAAAAGTCATAAGATATTATTGAAAAATACGAAATTCATAAAAATTATGAAAATAAGCATCACATCCCTTGGTGCCACAAGGAAGAAGAGCCCCAGAGCCTCAAGAGAGGAGAGTTGACCTAATAGTTTTCTCTTTGCAATCAAATTTAAATTCCAAAGAACTATTAATCAACAGAAAGAAAATTACATATTAAATTTATGGTGGATCTGTCCTCTTGACATACATTGACTCGGGTTTTCTTAACATGTTCTTAGAGTCAATGTACGGCAAGAGGACAGATCCACTATAAATTTAATACGTAATTTTCTTTCTGTTGATTAATAGTTCTACTAAGTATTTATTTTCAGACTTAGGAACCTCTTTTATTTCTAACATTAGTCAATTTATGCTTCCAAAATCATTTTCTAGTTTTGATGGTTCTATGTTTTCATGACCATGGAAGCTCTTCATTTCATCTCTCTCTCTCTCACCCCCTTCATGCATCTTTCAATTCCCATCTCCCTGTTTGGAGTCAGCAACACCTGGTGTCGTGAGACAGACCCAAGCACATCAGTAAAGCTTTCATCTTTCTTTCTTGAATCTGTTAAAATATCTCATGCATAAAATCATCAAAAGAGTAAGAAAATAATAAAGATATTCAAACTTAGAACACAACATCTTGATGATGACATGTAAACTGCTTACATGAAAAAAAGTCAAAGCGAATGTGATGAGTTAATTCCGACCTGAATATCTACTATTTTCTATCAAGTTAGGAAAGTCTAGCTTGGAGGAAGATATGTCAAAGTCTCTACAGCTAACCAAAACAACCCTAGTACTCTGAAAAAACAACAACAAGGAGGGGGAGATAATAGAATGGGGAAGGAAGGTACCGTGAGGAAAAAAGCTGCCCACCCTCTTCATGCTAATGGATCCGGTCACAAAAGAGATTAGTACAACCCTTGATGTCATAAAGTAGGAGGAACAGGAAGACATCGGTAGCTAGTAAGCAATTGACTACACTTCAACGTGATCCCACGATCCTAAATGGTAATGTTCAAACAAACCAAAATGGATTCGTCCAATGGACTACTAGAAAGGAGATAGCTGGGTGCGTGACTGTCCTAGCTTATTCTGCATGAGGTCATAGAGGCACAGGGACCCTCTTCACCCACCCACGACCCAGAAAGTGCTTCTACTGGTATATACATGCAGGGATCAGACGCAGAAGACAGGTTGACCCTAAGTGGAGAAGAACGCCCAAAGTTAGGACTGCTAAGATCCCAACGGCATGACTCACCACAAAAGCCCGGTTACCCAACGGCCGGTTCAACGACCTCCAACCAGTCACATGCCATGACTCAAGCTACCTTCAAGACACTCGTAACCGCCAACCAAACCTGAGATCCAAAAACAAAAGGCCCAATAGCTGAAAAGGAGGCCCAGTAACATAGCACATTACACAAGAAGCCAAGAAGAAAGACGGCAAAAGCAAAGTCCATATCATTAGATATGAAGCCAAATGGGCTGCACACCACCATCTATGGGGCCAGTGTGCAAGTGTAACTCTATTCCCCAAACTCGACAGATTTAAAGAATGATCTGAAATGATGTATTAGTTACGGATCAACCATCAATGAATGGTTTTTTTTAAAGAAAAAAAGTTAGGAAAGTAAAGACCAGATTTAAGTGAAAACTAACTAGGGAATAAGGAGTGCATAGTTCCTTATTAAAACTATGATTAAAAATATTGAGATCATGATTAAACGTGCATACTTGAAGATTGTATTTTACTTATGGTGATTCAGATAAGTTTTGATAAATAAATCTTCATATTAATGAGACATGTTATTAGTTTTGTGTTCATATTACCACATGTTAGTTTCATATAAGGACATTTGAACGAAAAAAGGGACATAATATCAGATTCTGAACTATTCAAGTTTATGATTATTCCAAGGAAAGTAGATGTTGGAAGATCACAAAAAATTAAGATGATTTATTGAGAAATTTTTCTATGAGCACTGAAGATTTCCTACAACTAAAAATCATATAACAAACATGTTTATCTTATTTACAATCTCAAGCATTGAACTACAACTTACCCACTGAAATCCAGTGAGAACAAGAAAGAAGTCCTGGCTAATGATCTAAGCAAGTGAAGTTTATATGTTGAGGATCAACTAGCATTCAATGATCCACCTCAGCCTATTACTAGGTTTAGCATCTTCCATCATTTTCCAATTCTCCACATGAAGAGGTCCAAAGGAATCAACCATTTGGCTTCATCCTCTTTATCAAAATTCTAGACACTCAAATTTAATACTATCCTCTAGATGTATGAGGTAAATGTAAAATGAAATTTTCATTTAATCAGATGTGAGAGCTGCCAAAGTAAATAGTTGTTGGTGTCCTAGAATTGTGAACATGAAGAAAATTTCTGGATAAAAAAGAACCAAATCCCATAATCAGTAGTTATGATTGAATAATCATGGATAATGAAACTCAAGAAAAAAGTTTGTTCTTAAAGAGTGGACATAGGCAGTGAGCCAAATCATTATAAAAACTCATAGTGTTACACTCAATAAGTTAAGAAGAATATGGAGGTCAGAAAGTATAAGAAAATATTAATTTAAGAAATCATGTTATCTAAAGAAAAGAAATAAAAAATGATAAATTATTACCCTCATTCTTGATCTTAGTGCAGCCTAAAATCCAACCCAACATTTGGAACCTAATGATTGTAGTCAAACCTTACCTACATGCTTGGATGAAGAATTTCATTAGAATTTACTTCCCAAGAAGCTACTTGACATGCATTCTACCATAGGGGACATGAAATATTCATTCAATTTGCTCAAATGCCTCTCTCAGAAGCTTTGTGGGAACATTGTTTTTAGCATTTAAGCCTAATTCTCATAATTCAACTTTAAGGGCAAGGTTCTTAGAAATGAAGGGAGTATTGATACAACTAGAGTCATTACTTATTTCAAAAGAAAGAATGGACGATCTTGTCCTCAAGGACCCACATTGTATTGGGTTGTAAAAGAGGCATTGTAAGACCAATTAGTGAGGTATTAGGGCTCGATAGTGCAAGGTGGAGAGGGGAACAAAAGGAAGGATAATGTAGTGAGTTTGAAGAGATATGGGCCTCTTGAAATCCTCTTAGAAAAATATAAGGTTCTTTCAAGATTCCCTACCTTTCTTCTTCTCCAGTTTCCTTTCCATTTTGTTTCACATTTCGTTCAAGTTATTTAATAGTTGTGGGACTCTATCAAAATATTTTACTATGCTTCATACATTATGTTCATCATCTAAATTCGTAAATCACTGTCAACATTAATAATGCCCACTGATAAGAACATATGCGCAATAAATTATTCAAAATGGTCATTTTTTCAAAAAATATGAAACTGTTTTAAAACATAAAGGAATATAAGAATAATCCAGACTTGTATGGATTTGTATGTAAATAACAGATTTCAGATTGAGCTAATTGTCTAATTCATTCACTTTTGAGAAAATAAAATCATACATTATTCCATACTATGAAATTGAAAACATTATGATAAATTTGAGAAAATTGAAAGAATCTACGAAAAATCCAAATCAATTGAAATTATGCAAATTAATTAAGTCATAACTTCAATTTTTAAGAAAATACCCGAGTGATTGTTGAACATTGAAAAATTCATAAACAAATTTTGTAGTATATAACAATAGGAATAATCCATAGCCATTTTAATTATTTTCTATTAAATAACAGCTTTCAAATTTTGGTAGTCACTTAGTAAAATCCATTTTTAAGAACATACACATTAGAATTTATTAAACATTGCCCCTTTATTACAAGTTATTAAAATCTTTAAGAAAATGTCAAGAATATGTAAAGAATAAGTAGTCATTTTGAATCCTATAATAAATTCATATTTTATTAATTAAATTAATTAATTATTAATGTCAACTTATAAATTATGTATATATAAGACATTATTGAAGAGTATGGAAATTCATAAAAATGTATGGCAATATTTGATATATTTTTAGGAATATAAGAATAATCTATAGTCATTTGGATTCATTTTTTTGCTTTTTTAACTTGAAGTGATGATTAACAAGGTGTCATTTTTAAAAGATATTGACGAGAACTATTTATAAATGTAAAATAAAAAAAATATTAGGGAAATATTTGAGAAAATTAAAGAAATACAAGAGTTATCATCATTAATTTGGATTTTTATATTAATGATTTTTTTCAAATTGAGGTATTTAAAAAATAATGTCAACACTAAGAAAATACCAACAAGACACTATTTAACACTGAGAAATCATAATTTTCTTAATTACTTTTTAATAAAATTAGAGGAATAATTCATTTTTCTATAAACTAGTACTTTTAATGAAAAACTTAAAGTGTCAACTTTTAAAAAGAATGCCCATTAGAAACTATTGTATGGTAGGAAATTCATAAAAAATAATGGCAAGCTCTTGATAAAATTATAGGAATGAAGGAATAATCCTTAATGATTTGTATTTTCTCTATAAATTAATATTCTTCAATTGAAATACTTAAATAATAACATTAGTTTTCTAAAAAAGTACCAATCAAGCATTTTTGAACGCCAAGAAGTTCAGAAAAAAAAATGACAATGTTCCGTAAAATTATAAGAATAATGTACATCATTTCAATTTATATATAGAAAGTTAAAATTGGCATATATAAATAATAACATTAATTTTTTATCAAAAAATTATCCCCAATCATTATGATTTTGTCTATAAGTTTTTAAAAATAAATAGTTAATGGGTGACATCAATTTTTTAGACATACTAATGAGACATTATTGATCAATGTGAAATTCATTAAATAATTATGTCAATATTTTAGATAATTATGGAATGACAGGAGTAACCAGTGTTCGTTTTGGAAATTGCAGGTGGTCCAAAATATAAGTTGAAAATAGAAATTTAAAATCAAAAAACATTCAGGGGTTCCTGAACTCTCTGGGTCTTCAAACTTTTTGAGGTACGGCTAAATTTCATGCTAGGAATTCGGCTTTATGGGCTTACTTGTCAAAAGAATAATGACTAATTTAGGCTGAGCTTACTGGCCCATTAAGGTTTTCCGAATGGAGTCGGGATTCGTGAGAAAAGTGGAGCGAGGAGAGAAGAGAGGTACACCAGCTTCTTCCCCGTCCTGTCGCCGCTACGCGACGCGGGTGTCTCTCTCTCTCTCTCTCTCTCCTCCCTCCCTCCCTCCCTCCCTCTCTCTCTCTCTCTCTCTCTCTCTCCACTGTCTCTTTCTCTCCGTCTCTCTGTGAATCTCTGTGTCTCTCTCCCCTCCCTCTCTCTCCTCGTTCTCTCCGTCTCTCTGTCTCTGTCTCTGTCTCTCTCTCTTTCTCTGGCAGTGGTTATTTGTTTGGAGGCAGGGGTGTGCTTGGGTCATGTGGTGATCAGCGAGGGCGGTGGAGGCAGGCACTCCTCTGGAGGAAGCGGGCTGAATGGTGGAGGTAGATGCCTCCAACACCGCTCGGTTCCCTTGACGACGCGGAATGCATTCCATTCCTTACTCCCCTTCCCTCCGCCATCTCCTTAGCGTTGTTGGTGTAAAACTCATCGCCTTCTCCGTCTCTGGTTTTGTGCTTTTCTCCATCTGAGCCGAGCAGGAAGAACAGGGTTCAGGAGGACTGTGGTCGTCCAGAAGCCCGTGAAAATTCTGCGGATGCACTCTCTCCATTAATTTCTTTAAGCCCCGCGGTAAAGTATGCACGAAGCACCGTGCACTGCGGAAACTGTTCCTGATTTCTTACCACCTCATGCGGCTTCTTCAGCTTCGGCTGCTACTCCGTTGTTATTTTCTGCGTTGGTCTGATCCTCATCGGCTTCATCGCTGATTCTCTAACTTTCAAGATTTCTCTTCTAAGTTAGTTTGGCTGCTGTTGAGCTGCCTCATGGTTCTGAGGCGATGCTAGATTACCTTCTCGTCGAGACGTCGGTCGCCCCCTCGTTAGCGAAATTCTCGCTGAAATTTTTGATTTCTCCTCCATGTTCATCTGGCTCTAATTCCACTGCATCACGGTCAAGATGTTGGCCCCATCTTCAGCGATATAGCTCTTTCCAATCCATGCTTTCTCTCCTGTTATGATGTGGGTATAAGTCTCTTCTCTGGGCTTGGTTCGTTTGGTGAGATAAGATCCTTGCCTTTGGGACATCGCAGGGGCCATCTCCGCTCGATCTTCTTTGCTATAATGAGCAGCGTCCAAGACAAAGACCCGGATGAGCAGTACTCAGTCCTTGAGGAGGAGGGTGGAGTCAGGTTCCTGGATTTCGACGACCAGTCCCTCCGTCATTTTGACCCGCTTGATGAAGGACCCGTCATCATCTCCATGCCCTTCCCCTTCACCCGTGGAAAGCCGCAGGCCACTCTTGTTGGGCAGACAGCCGCTGATCTGTTGACGATCAGAAACGCCACAGAAGACCCTGTGGATCTGTGGAGTGTGAGGATCTTCTCTTCAAACCCAAAAGATTCATTTCTGCTCTCGTTGATGAGGCCCCCACAGGAGGATTCAAATGAAGAGGAGGTCCAGTCCTTTTTGGGTTCAACGTTTCTTGAGGACCGAGTCCTCCAGCCTGATGAGACCCTTTCAGTTTGGTTGTCGTGTAGACCAGAAGGGATTGGGATGCACACTGCAGTCCTTCATATTGTTGCAGGCGATGAGAAGTACGAGAGGGTGGCCTTTCTCTTGGCAGATGATCCTCTTTCCCAGACTTTGGCTTCCTGTAAGCCATTCGCTAGAGCTCCAAGGAGGAAGAAATTTGCTCTGGATAGCTATGTTCCTGCTTCTCAACCCTCCCGGCCCTTCAAACGGGAATTCAGACGAAGGCTACCCCAATATCCAATCCCCAGGGATCTCCGTGCAATGATTGAGGATAAGAAGGTTCCCAATGTCATCAGGGAAGGGCTGAACAACCGAAATTACTCCAATTTTTTCAGCTCTCTGCTCGTCGTGGAAGAAATATATCTGGAGGTAAGGGATGAAAGTGTGGCTTTCCATGCCATATATGCTCATTCTTCTAATTCTTCTTCTCCCATATCTTGGAAATTGCGCTTTCTTTTTTGTAGGGGCAAATGAGAGGCTATGACATGGAGTGTGTGGCCATGAGAAGGAAGGGAAGCCATCTCCTGACACTGGAGGTTCATGGATTGGCAGAAAGAAGGCCTTCACTTGTTTATGGCGACTCTTTATTTGTGAAACCTGCTTTCAAGGACCATGGCGACGATACTCGTCCTTATCAGGTCCACATGCATGACTTTGGTGGTACTCTGTTGCAAACTGATGGATAACGCTCTTGATCTTCCCCAAGTTGTCTTCTCAATATGTTCTTTATTTCTGAGTGTACATACTTCTGCAGGGTTTTATCCACAAGGTCGAAGCTGATGAGATATTATTGAGCTTTGCGGTAGAATTTCATGAGCAGCATCATGAAGCCAAGCGTTATGACGTTAGCTTTTCTTTTAATCGTCTGTGTATGAGGAGGCTCTACCAGGCTCTACAGATGTCAGAACAATTGGATGCTGCGATTCTCTTTCCCTCAAACCCCTCGAAAAGGAGGGTGATCAGGACGAATGCCTCTTTGGTTCCCTTGAACAAAACTCTGAATCACGAGCAGCTGCAGTCAGTGGAAAAGATCCTTGGATGCCGAGGAGGTCCTCCCTACGTCATATATGGCCCACCCGGCACAGGGAAGACAGTGACGCTGGTGGAAGCAATCTTACAGATCTGTCGGCGACAACCACAGGCCCGGATTCTTGTGTGTGCCCCCTCAAACAGTGCAGCCGACCACATATTAGACAAATTGATTGGTGAAGGTGGAGCAGAGGTTGAAGGTGGTAAAATATCCCGGTTGAATGCTGAGAGCCGGCATTATGATGATCTAAAGGCCGATCATATCCAATTTTGTTTCCTTGATGGCATGGTCTTCCAATGCCCTCCTATGGAGGTCTTACTGTGCTACACAATTATCGTATCCACCTATATGAGTTCGTGTCTGCTCTATGCACAGGGCGTGCGAAAGGGTCACTTCACCCATATATTCTTGGACGAGGCTGGCCAGGCCTCCGAGCCCGAGACGATGGTGCCGCTAACAGGCCTCTGCTCTCAGAAAACTGTCATCATTCTAGCCGGTGATCCGATGCAGCTGGGTCCGGTTGTTTGTTCGTCGGATGCTGATGGTTACGGACTGGGACGGTCATATTTGCAGAGGTTGTTTGACTTTGAGGTTTATGAAAGTGAGGACCCTAACTATTTGACAAAGTTGGTGAGGAACTATAGGTCTCACCCGACCATTCTGGATATCCCATCAAGACTTTTCTACAAGGGAGAATTGATAGCTTGTAAGAAAGGGAACGCCTCAATGTATGAGCTGCTGGATATCCCCAATAAACAGTTCCCTGTTCTTTTTGTGGGCATTCAGGGGTGTGATGAGAGGGAAGGGAGTAATCCATCCTGGTTCAACCGTACTGAGGTGAGCAAGGTGGTAGAGATTGTCAGAAAGGTGAGGGCGGCCGTTGACCTGATGGAGTCTGACATAGGAGTGATTACACCATACCGTCAACAGGTGATCAAGCTAAGAAAGGCCTTTGAATCTCTAGATGTGCCCGATGTGAAGATTGGGAGTGTTGAGGAATTTCAGGGGCAGGAAAGGGAGGTCATGATTCTATCTACTGTCAGGTCAACTGTGAAGTATAATGAGTTCGATCGGGTGCACAACCTTGGATTTCTTACGAATCCTCGGCGGTTTAATGTTGCCATAACTCGTGCTAGATCATTGCTTGTCATCGTCGGAAATCCGCATGTTATAACCAAGGTATATGGAAATACGTTCTTCTATTAACTGGCACTCAAGTTCCTTATCTGAAACCTTCCTTTTCCTGGAATTTTCTTCATCGTTGTTCTATTTCTTAGAATGTGAAGCTGAGCGTAATGCTGTATGTTTTTTTTTGGGAATGCGATTGCCTGCTTTCATGAAGATATACCGCGATGAACCTGTATGTTCTTTTTGCCTCGCTTCTGATCGGCAATGAACATTTACGTGCTGTCACTTTCCCGTGGGATTCTTCTTTTGAACATGGGTATAGATCATAACACCGTCTGTTGAGAATAATTCTCCCTGATTTCATTTCTAAGGGCCTCAATTTTTTGCGCCATTTTGCATAGTTCTTTCATTGACTTCATTTCATTGTAAGTATTGCGCATTCAGTTATCTGTTTTTCTCCCTGGACCGAATGATGTGATCTTGCAATTCTTTTCTTTTTTTGGGGTAAAAGATCACAGAACCCTTTGTTGGGATGAAGATTCAGAGTATGAACTGAAATCTAAATTTCTTTGATCCAAGAGGATTTATAAATGGTGTGTGAATATTGAAAATCTGTCTAACAGTATATCAGTCTTTCTTCGCTCATAATTTATGCGGTAAAGTTTCTTATTGGCTCTGAATGATCAGATTCACCAGTAGTTTGCTTATCTGACCATCGACCGAGTTCATGGAAATTTACAGAGTTGGTTTAGAGCTTGAGGCCTTTAGTGCAGAGCTTTGATCCTTGTCCTTGCCTCAGAGAGAGCGAGAGAGAGAGAGAGAGAGAGAGAGAGCATATGTAAGAACTTAGAGACTTGAGGTTTGGTTAGACTCGAAAGGCTATTTTGTCACATCAGGATTCTCAATGGATGAGGCCTAAAGTCTTGACACTTGTCAATAATTTTTTTGCTGAGGAATTCTTTTTTGCCTCTGAATAATGTGGGGACACGCAGTGTAACAAGATTTTTTCCTTCTTTTTAATTAAGTTATTAAATCCATGCGATCAGAAATAAATAATTGCAAGCTCTGCAGAGGTCTCCTGGCCTTGATCGCTATTGTTGGTTATCTCCATGGGCTTCTTTATGTCCACTTTTTATCGATCTGATTCCCTCTTTGTATTTTTTCTTTTCTCAGGATCTGTATTGGGATCAACTTCTGCGGTACTGTGCTGATAACGGCTCCTATCAAGGTTGCCCCCTCCCCGAACCAGAAATGCCCAACCTTCCTCCTCAAGATTCTCAGTCAAAGGTGGCCGAGTGGGACGATCAGCTGCCAAGTCTGTACTCGGACGAGCAGCTACCAAGTCAGTACTCAAATGAGGTTGAGTGGGACGAGCAGCTGCCAAGTCAGCACTCTAAGGAGGTCGATTGGGACGAGCAGCTGCCAAATCAGCACTCGAAGGAGGTCGAGTGGGATGAGCACTTGCCAAGTCAGTACTCAAAGGAGGTCGAGTGGGATAAGCAGCTGCCAAGTCAGCACTTGAAGGAGGCAGAGTGGAATGAGTGGCTCTGTGGGGAAGACAGAAATGGGGATGGATGGAAGGAAGCTCCTCCAAACCAGTTGGAGGAAAAGGATGAACCCCTGAGGCACCGCCACAATCAGGCCGGATTTGGGTGCGATGATGGTGGACAACAGCCTGAGGGGAGTTGCTTATATGCCGCCAGCTGGAGACCCGTCTCCGGCAAGTCTCAGTCTGGCAGAAGGAAACCCAAGGAAGCTCTTCGGAACCAGTTGCCAGAGGAGGATGAATTCCCAAGTAGCCACCACGATCAGGCCAGTTTTGGGTGTGGCAGTGGCGGCGGTGGTCGACAGTCTGAGGGGGAGTGCTCATATGCCGTCCACTGGAGACCCGTCTCTGCCAAGGCTCAGTCTCAGTCTGGCGGAAGGAAGCCAGAGGAAACTCTGCAGGACCAGTCGTTAGAGGAAGGTGAATTCCCAAGGCACCGCCACAATCAAGCCAGATTTGGGTGTGGTGATGGCGGCCAAGTTTCCGAGGGGCAGTGGTCATATGCCAGCCACCAGAGCCACTGGACACCCGTCTCCGCCAAGTCTTGGACTAGAAGAGGGAAGCCCAAGGAAGCTCTGCAAAGCCAGTCGCTGGAGGAGGATGAACTCCTAAAGCACCGGCAGAATCAGGCCGAATTTGGGTGTGGTAATGGAGGCCAACAGTGCGAGAGGAATTGCCAATATGCTGGCCACTGGAGACCTGTCTCTGCCGAGTCTCAGTCTCAGTCTGGCGGAGAGAAGCCCGAGGAAGCTCTGCAGAACCAGTCGTCAGAGGAAGATTGACTCCCATGGCACTGCCAGGAACAGGCCGGATTTGGATGCGGTGATGGCGGCCAAGAGTCTGTAGCGGAGTACTCATATCCTGGCTGCTGGAGACCCGTCTCCAAGAATTATCGTTCTGTCGGAAAGAAGCCCAGAGAAGCTCTGCAGAACCAATTGCCGGAGGAGGATGAACAAGGGCAAGGAAGATGATGAACTCCGAAGGCGCCGCCACGATCAGACCGGACTTGGGTGTGGCGATGGCAGCGAACCGCCCGATGGGCAGTGCTCATATGCCGGCCACCCGAGACTTGTTGCTGCTGCAGCTCAGTCAAAGTCTGGTGGAGGGAATTCTGAGGAGATGTCCCAAGAGTTTGGACAGCAGAAGATGGCGGCGACGGCGGAGGCGTCCCCAGGCAGCGGGAGTAAGAAGAAGGGGTCCAAGGGCAGCCATCTAAGGCCCGACCTCGGTGGCGTTAAGTCTGACTTCGAAGGTAGACCTTGTGCCTGTCGGGTACTTGGGTTTTTTTTTTTAACTAACGAAATATTTTCTTTTTGATTAATTCTTGCTTATTATATTCTTTTGGTGAAGGTTTTTTATTTATATATTTATTAACTTAAATTAAAAGTTTAGGAGGAGTGCACCCTTTTCCGGGCTCTGGGCCTTCCGGCGATGTGGGCCTGAGATGCAGAGATGGGCTGAGAGATGATTAAAATGTTATTTTTGGTGATAATTTATGTGTTATCATTCAAAAATATACATCCAATACTTCACACATTTCGCTATACGAATTTACGCAAAAAAGTAATTGAGACTGTAAAATCACTCAAAGTAGATCACCCCGTGCAAGTCCCTGCTGCTGAGCTTCTCTCGACTAGAACCCCTTCAGCAACAAAGCTCCGGCGGCGGCGCCGGCGAGAAGCCCCGCCAGGTAGGCGACGGGCTTGGAAGCGGAGCTGGGTATGACAAACGGCGGCGCTTGCGGCGGCGCCTCCGGTACCTTCGCAGGCGGCGGCGGCGAGACGGCTGCGCGGGGGCGAATTAAGACGAAGTTAGCAAAACCCAGGTAACTGGAAATTCGACCCACCGTGGAAACCAGACGGAGATCTCGGAGAACCCCTTACGCGGCGGAGCGGCGGCCGGTATCGGCGGCAGCGTCGTCGTCGTCGTCGGCAGAGTCCCTGCCGGCGAGAAGCTATCAGTAGAGCGAGAGAGAGAGATTGATCGATCGATAGATAGATGGACTGAGTGAGAGAGAGAGGAAAGAAAGAGCATGATGGTCGTCAGCTTCTCTATGAACACTTGCAGGAAACTGAGCCGCTGTTCCACCCGAAAGGATCACAGGCAAAAGAAGACGATTGCAGCACCTGAGATATACTGGAATATGCAGAGATATACCCCGAGAGAGAGAGAGAGAGAGAGAGAGAGAGAGAGAGATGACCTGGGCACTTGAAGAGGTCGATGGAGGTGGAGTTGCAGTAGCTGGGGAGCTTGAGGGCGAGGGTCCTGTTGAAGGGGAGGCCGAAGGGGATCGAGCCAGTGAGGATCTGGCAGGCGCAGCTGGTGCTGCTGCTCAGCAGCCCGCCGAACGCCCCGCAGCACTCCGCCGTCGGCGCCAGCTGCGCGTTGCTGCTCCCCGTCAGGTAGTTCACGCACGGCGTGAAGCTGCTTATCATCGACACCGTGCACGCCAGTATCGACTGCGCCGCCACCTCCCTCCTCGCCATCGCCGCCGCCACCACCACTACCATCACTGCCACCGTCACCGCCCTACGTCTCTCCATCTCTCTTCTCTCTCTCTCTCCCTCTCTCTCTCGCTATGTGGGAGTTTCAGGTGGAATTGCAGACTCGCCGCCGCTGGATGGGCGATGGAGCGGTGCATAAATAAGCTTCTAATCGGCGACGGCGGGGTGGTTCTGTGAAGCCCACCCACCATATCTAACATGGGGATTCCCGGAGGGTGGTAGAGATTGAGGGGGGGAGCTGATTACCTAACCCAAACGACGCAGACGCAGGAGGGAAGACGACTTGGACATCCAAAACTTGTACCGTTGACTTTCCGGTTTTCTGAGAGTTTTTTTAATAGGAGTGGTTCTCTGCGGAGCTGGATCTCCAGCTTCTCTCTAGAATCCGAGAGAGAATCGGGTACCACCGGGGAATCGGTCAGCTCAGCTGTTCCTTGGCGTCTGAAACTCGAGAGGAACGGCCTCATCCTCTTCTTCTTCTGTGGCCGTCCGACAGCTCGCCACTTGGCAACCGCTCGTTCCTCGCTTGTTGGTTTGGTTCATAGCTTGGAGCGGGCCGGCCCGGAGGCCCATTTTAGTGGTTCTTCTGCAATCGGGTCGACCCCGGCCCGCCTATTTCGTCACAAGAGGAAAACACCTCATGGTACATGTATTGTACTGGTTGAGTCACTGTCTCATTGATGCGCGTAAGTGTTGCCACGTACCCGAAGTGTCCTTCCCAGGCTTGACCCCAGTGGGGAGGTTGAGGATGAGAAAGAAGTACGTCCTGTGGCTGAAGAAGAGAAGAGGACTACTCTCGAGGCGGAGAAGGGGGCGGGAGGGGGATTTGACTGGAGGAGGAATTTCTGATTCTCCCGCCTTCATCGCGTGCTCTTGACATGCCTCAGCGCTTCTCGGAGGCGCGGACAGTTCCTGTGATTCTCATCTCCGACTGCAGATCAGCGCCGATGAGATCGTCTCTGTTTTCTGTGAGTTTCGCCCCCTTTTTTTGTGGGTCCTTTGAGTTTCTTGATGTTCTTCTATTGAATATGCTCCATCGGCTTAGTGTTGTGTCTGTTAGTCTTATGGAAAATTTGTGGCGTTGGATGACCTAGCGTCGGATGCGGTTGGGGTTGGAGGATGGAACGGTCTCTCTCATCCTCATACTTTTCTGCTTTATATCTGAGTGAGGACTTGTTGTCTCGCTGTTTGGACCGTTTCTCGTCTGTTTATGCTACAGGAGTGACGGAACCCCTTGGTTGTTTTAGGGTTCACAGCCATGGGAGCCCCTTTCTGGAGACTTGAAGGCTTCCATAGAATGCGACATTTGTTAGAATTGTCGCAGGCGTGGGTATCCCTTGGTTTGATGCTGGAACGAACCGTGTTCCTCGCGCATCTTGCTTCCCCCGGTACAGTACATATGCCCCTAGAAGTCCCTCGAGAATGGTCCGAGTATGGCTGTGTGAAGAACTGAAACCCGTTTGGACCGTGACACAGCTCCCAAGTGGGTTGGAACTTCTCTCTTTGCATGCTGTGATCCTCTCCCCTTAAAAGATCACCAGATTTGGAGGATTTATTGTGCTCTGTACGCCTTTGTGAACCTAGCTCCTGTGTCCTTCTAGCCATGGGGCTCGATTTTTGTTAACCCTTCTACTAACCTATCTAGAACAAGAGAGGAGGCACTCCATTCGATACGAGGAAGCAAGGTCGGGAGTTTCACCCCTGAAAACAGCATAGAGAATATCTGGTGGCTGGTTTTTTTGCGTTTTCCTGTTTGCTTCTACAACAATTGATCAGCATCATCCCATCAGGCTGGATTGTTGATGAGACGACCTCTGGGGGGCCTTCTTTGTTTTCCTTTTTAGCGAGTTTACTAGATAAAGCAAGAACGGTCACCATTGCCCGTCATTTTTTTCTTCTATTTCGTGTCAGTCAGCAGTGGCTGAGTCCTCCCAGGCTTTGAGTGGAAGCTTTAGCTTCAAGATGCAGATGGTTTGTTGAGAATTCATCGACAGATACTCACCTGTGTTTTCATTGGTTCTTATTTTTTAAGAAACAATTCCCCTTTTAGTTCATTCTCCCATTAACTGATCATGTTAGTTGTATCAGATCCACCCCGAAAATATTTTCCCATCTTACCTCTTGCGGCATTGCTGATGCTTTATTATTTTTCAAAGCATATTATTGGCACAATTTACCTGTCATTTCTTAAAAATTCTTACTGGATGTGTTTTCGACGATCAACTCTATTCCGTATGATGCTCTTCTCAAATCAAGTATCTTCCCTTATGCAGTGATGATCTAGTTCAGTAGCACTGATGACGACAACTGCAAGCAAGCAGGATGATCCAACCTTGCCCAGCTGGGGTCCCTACATTGCTGCCGAAGAGCACGCCCATGACAGTGGAGTTGGCACCAGCAGCGGGCCGGCATGCCAGTCGGAGCCTGCCACCCCCAGTGGGGTAGAGCTCATCTACCACCTTAATCCTCCGCCACTGCCGCTCCCACCCACAGCCTACAGCCACAGTGGAGATATGCAGGTGATTGCGGCGGTGCCCGTTTATTTCTGCTCCGCCAATGGCCAGAGCACGAAGAAGGGCCGCAAGGCTGGCAAAGCCTTACCTACTGCTGCCGCTTCTGCTCCGACGCAATTGCTGAGACTGCCGAAGAGGAGCCGGAAGAGTGGGCAAGAACCCACCAGCCAGGCGGCAGCTGCAGCGGCGGTGGCAGTGGCAGGCGGAGAATTGAGGTTTGAATGGAAGGACAGGGACGCCGGCCTAAGGCAGGTGGACTTTGATGAGTCAACGATGCCGCCACCAGTCTGTTCATGCACGGGGATGCCACAGCGGTGCTACAAGTGGGGAAGGGGCGGGTGGCAGTCTTCGTGCTGCACGCCGACAATGTCCATGTACCCGCTGCCGTTCCTGCCGGTGAAGCGGCACGGCCGAGTCGGCGGCAGGAAGATGAGCGGCGGCGCTTTCACTAAGCTGCTCAGCCGGGCGGCGGCCGATGGGCATGACCTCTCCACCCCACTGGACCTCAAGGACCATTGGGCTAAGCATGGGACAAACGGCTGGATCACCATCAAGTGAGCAAGTAACCCGAGGGAGGGTGGAGACCATCCTTCATCATCAGCCAGTAGCTGTACTGTACCATCAGGCCTTTATTCAAGATGCACCTGCGGTGATCAGTGTCTCTCTATTCATCTCTCTATATCCTATATGTACACGCTGATACGCACACACATATATGTGTAGAGAGAGAGAGAGAGATATATATATTCAGTCACACCAAGGGGCTTTTATGCTGATCGGGGCCCAATTTTCTTTGCGGGCTTAAATCTACAATGAAACGGGCCGGAAAGGGACAGAGAGAGAAAGAAGTACTGAATAAAATGGGCATTTGTCTCAGAGAGAGAGAGAGAGAGAGAGACAACAGGGTCTCCTCCCCGCGGGCACACGCCGTTGAAAAGTTTGCCATACAGAAGAAAGATGGCACCAGTAGGCATGGCCGGCCACCTTACCCGCCCAACCTGGCAGGAAAATCCTGCCCAGGGCAGATCATCTGTCTCCCCTATAAATCTCCCCCGGCAACTCCTCTCCCTCCCACGCACCTCTCTTTCTCTCTCTCTCTCTCTCTCTCTCGCTCTCGCTCTGAGTAATCGTTGCAACGATGGGTAGAGCGGCGGTGGTTCTGGTTCTGGTGGCCGCGGTTGCAGCGGCGCTCTGGACAGGGGTGGCGGCGCAATCCAGCTGCAATTCGGTGATCCTCAGCTTGGTGCCGTGCGTGCTGTACATCGGGGGCAGCTCTTCGACGCCGTCGGCGCAGTGCTGCACCCAGCTGGCCAGCGTCGTCAAGTCCCAACCGGAGTGTCTCTGCTCCGTTCTCAGCGGCAGCGCTGGGGTGAGCACCACCGTGAACCAGACGCGGGCCCTCGCCCTACCCGGAGCCTGCAACGTTCAGACCCCCTCGGCGAGCCTCTGCAGCGGTGAGCTCCTCCGATTGCTGGAGATGGTAGTATTTCGGAATCTCCTCCTTCCACGCTATAATTATTGATTTGGATTATAATTTTTATGGAAAGCGCCGCCACCGTCGTCAAGCCCAGCGACCCCCTCCACCCCGCCGACCAACGGCGGAACCAAGGCCGCTCCTCCTCCTCCTGACGCGGATACCTCCGGTGGGAGCTCCAGCAGGATGGCGTTTCCCGTCTTCTTCTGCATGCTCTTCGCCGCCTCATTCTACGCCGGTATATTCTAAGCTCCTGGCCAGGGAGGAGCGGCTTCGCCGCTGCTGCACACCCGGCATGGCATTGACTCGCTAGCTGGTTTCTCTGATGATCGTCTCATTTAATTCTTTCCAAATTCCCAGCTTTCTCTCTCTAGAATTTTTATCACAGAAACTATTTCCGAATAAGCGTTGTCAACCAGCCTAGACGACCTGAGCCCGGACATTTCTTACGAGGCCTGACTATGTAATAGAGAGAGCGAGAGCGAGCGAGATACACAGAGAGATAAAATATATATATATATATATATATAGAGAGAGAGAGAGAGAGATATCTATAATCGCTACTTCTCTCACCTCACCATCTTTTCCTGCATAAACGTAGATAAATGTACAGGTACTATAAAAATTATAAACAACACGGACAAGTTGCGCACTTCGGACTTTGTAGTCATCGTAAATTGAAGGATCACAGATGGGTCGGTTTAAGGCTACAGAATAATTTGATTTAATAATTTATATCATGTTTTAAATGATGATCATTTTATGTGGCTTACTCATAACGGACCAGAGGTAGGGGAAAAATCATCATGGATAAGAAATTACGCACAATATGAAATTCAGGTAGATAAGATGAAACGTGATGACTCTAATATTGTTAATATTTGAGCTAAGTTTTTCTCTTGCTATTATATGGTTTCAAGCTCCTTCGGTTGACTTCAACCTCATTTTCCGTCTTTGTGAAAACGGGATAAAGTTGATTTAAAGTACTTCCCTCTTTGAGTCGACTAAGATTAATCGAAATTCTCTCTCAACGCTCTGGATGTATGATCATATAGCAAAAAATACATCTGATCATTGTGGGAGAAATAATTTGATCATTGTGCGAGTAAATAATAAATTCTAAAAGTGGGAACTTCGTATAGTTTGAACTCAATGGATGAGATAGCTGAAATTGGTGAGTCCATCTGCCATCAACAAGGAGAATGATACGCCAGGGGATTATGGGTCAGACCAGCTCTCCAAATGGATAGCTTCCGAGAAGGGGAAACAACATCAAGTAGCTGAGACTGGCGGCCGCCTGATCAGCCCACCCAACCCGTCGTGAACTAACTAGGTTAGATAATCTACCTCTCTCTTTCTCTCTTTCTCCTTCTCTCTATTGTGTGGGAATGATGCCCGGTCATCCAATAGCATTTGAAGGATTTGAAAGATATCTGGCGTTAGAGGAGCTGTTGCAGGGTAAGAGCTGATAGCGCGCCGTTGGGAAGAGGCTAAACAGGAAGCGGGGAGCCAGGCGGTTAGTGGGGCGATGCTCACTCTAGGCATGGGGTACCCACAGGAAGGGGGTGGTGGAGTGTGAAAAGCGGGGGAAGGAAGAGGGGAGTTTCACTTAGAAGAGAGGGGGAGAGAGAGGAAAACATTCTGCTTCCAGTGGGAAAGAGGCCAGGATAGAAAATCTGAAGGTACTGGATCATCGATCTTATCCACTCTCGTCTATTAACTCCGAACCAGCGTACACGTGCCTGCAAAGGCCTTTTCTCGCCGGGCTGGCGCCACCACGCAAACAGACCCACATAAATCCAACGACCGGAGATCCTACCTCCCCCTCTCATCTTTCTCTCTATTTCACTCTCCACTCCCAACTCATGGCTGCAACAACCACGGCGGCACTGGGCAAGGCCTCCGCGCTTCCTATGGCACTAGCAGCGCTACTTGTGGCGGCGGTTCTTGCACCGGGTGGGACCGCAGGCCTCAGCAAGCTGACGCTCTTAGAGGGCCCGGATTGCGGCGGCACAGCCACAACCCACCGATGCGGGTACCACCGGATCCCCCTCGGCGGGGGATGGAGATTCCACTACGAAGAGGGGCACCCCCTGCTCATCCTGACGTTCCCCGTACGCGGCGGTGGGCGCAGGCTGCTCTCGCCCATCGCCAGCCGCTACGCTCGAGACGCCGTCGTATGCGGCGTCAGGGAGACCCAGTTCGCCCAGATGACTTGCTGAGTCCTCTTTTTCTTTCTTTAAATGAACCCGTGGAGGAACTTAGGCGGTACTCTTCGAACACAGTTTTTCTCACTCGGAATGTAAATAGATGTCCTGTTGCTACTATTGTATTAACCCCTATAACCTTTGTAGAAATTAATGATGACAAATATCGATTAAGCTGACTTCTCCAATGTAATAAAGATAATATAGTAAAGAAAAAAATATACTTCATATACTACAGAAAATTATTGAACCTTTTTCTTCAAAAAATTATAAAAGTCATTCTGTTTTCGTTAATTACATTGGAGATATAATCAAAATAAAATGAAAAAATGACCATTTTACTCGATTTTGTTTTCCTCAAGTTGATAATTATTTTTTCCTACAATGATTTATATCATCAGTCAATGTAGTTACATGATTTTTCGATTACAATTTTATCATTTTATATATATTTTCATCATCAAAATTATTTAAGCTCCTACAATGAATGATCTCTCTATTCTAAATGCCAAGATATTAGCTTTACTTATCTCCCTTGATACAAATAATCCTATATGTCTTAATAATCAACAACAATGATAGAATATTCATGAAAACATTTTGAGGCCAAGTGAATATTCTTCCTTGACTTTTCTTTGTTTGACTATTTTAGGAATGTTTGTTTGAATGTCTGATGTATCTAATCTCCCAAATAAAATCTTCATTTCTCTCTCCTAAGACTTGATTTATTAATTTTGAAGTTAACCATGGGTCAAAACACTAAATACCTTACAATGAGGTTCTTCTTCTTCAATCAGAATGGTAGTTATGCCAACTCACCTAAGTTGACTCATGGATTCACCTATTGAGGGTTTGAGTCAGTTTTCCATTATGATGCTATTTTTTTATTCCAAGTCATTTTTCCCCATTCCAACTTTCTTCTTCTGCATCTCTCTGCCTTGATTGTTTCTTTTACCTTTTATGCCACAATAGAAAATTAAGCAACTACATCTAGCAAACATCAATATATATATTATAATAGCAATATATAATAGCAACATTTAGTTCTTCATTCAAACATCAATATAATAGCAATATATTTCTGATCGATTTTATTTCTTATTATATTATCAACATCAAAAAAAAAATCATGAGTTGAAATATTATAGTTGATGAAGTGATTTTTTTATATATTGAATCTCAGTTTTATTCTTTTATTTTCTAACGTAAATTTCATATGCTCAAATATTGTACTTCATAGAATATGTTATTGCACAATGTTATTGAGGTTTATATGTACATTATATTTGAACTAGGAAAAATAATATGCTACACTATTATGCAACCTAAATTTTAGGTACTGAACTTGAAGCTTGATATGCTATGCTATTCTCCAGCATAATCTTTCATATACCAAAATATGTCGCTTAATGTACTGCACTATTATGCAACTTAAATGTGATGCAATGGGACATGAAACTGGACCTGTTTAGCTGTCCCAAAACATAAATTTCACACACTGAAGTATGAGGTTTAATATATTACACTCATATGAAACTAAATATACACTATGATTTCCCAAGATATCATAAATTGAAATTTAAAGCAATATATTGTTCTATTGTGTCAAATAAATCGTATGTATTAAAAATGAGACGATGTAATATATCCTTCAAAAAAATGTAATTTTTCAAATATTAAAATATGAAACTTGACATTCTATATAAGTATACCATAGAAATTTCGTACATTATGCAGGTTCATGTGCTTTAACTGTTTATGTATCACTCTTTTCCTCTTTCCATCATTATTCATCTATGATATAAGTCATCAAATGTTTCTACTTAAGGCTACTTGCTATGAAAATATTTTGATCAATATCCAACTCATATGTAAGTTTCTAGTAGGCAAGGGCTACTTATGAGACTACATTGATCAATAACATGAAATGGCCTTTTTTCCATTATTAACTTTGCCTTTTTGTAGATGTTATTTAACCAAACTTTTTATGATGTCAGTAAGTGTTCACCCTCAAGTGAGGGGATTCAACTACTAGGCTCTAAAGGTTGACCCAAGTGACCTTAAACTTTTTCTTTTTTCAATCTACTATTGTCACATGTGTTTAAGGTATTTAGACCTAATAGAAGAGTTGACATCAACTTTTAGATAATTTCAACACATAAGTTTTAGATACGGCAAAACACATACATTTAAAATAAACTTTAGGTGCAGAAGTAGATAATTCGTGATAAAACTTTAAAGGAGCAACAGCTATCATATTACCTTGATTTTTGTATCCTTTTCATCTAGAGTTTTCATTTATTCACCTGAAACTCGTGCAAAATACGCAAACTGGAACTTTTATTTTTTGTATCAAAAAATTAAGGTCTTATAACCATTTCAAAATCTTCTTATCAAGGTCAATATTCTCTCATTTATAAATTCATTTTGTTGAAGAAGGCAAACAACCTTATTATGAATTTAGGCATCATGTTGGAAAACCTGTGATCATTAGGTTACAAATTTTTAGTCACATTTCCAATCTTAAGTCTTCTCCCCTTGTAAATATTGATGGCATCATCTATTCAAATAGTTAACATTACTTTTTCCACTCCAAGCTTCAGCTAAATTTTTGGTGTTCATTGTTTATTAGTAACATTTGAGGAAGCATTTTTTGATAAGTATTCAAATGAAAGAGCTCTAGTTCTTGATGCCTTTTCAATAGGAAAAAAAATTCAGATCATAACTGTTAAGAAGATATAAAATGCATAGTTCAACAATAGGAAAATTAGATTTATTCCCGTGAGAAATAGCCTGGAAATTTTAAAACTGAAATGCCCAAAATTATTTGTCCTGTCCATATGCCAATAATAGTTTATTTTTTCTGTTACACCCACATGTAATCAAAGGCCTTCGATTTCTACTCAAAATGTAGTCTATTTTAAAATCGGGTAACATTGTCTATTTCGCTCCAATTCTCTTGCCTTTAAACCTTAAAATTTTAAGGCAAAACATATGCTTCTGTTCTAAATACTATGCAAAAAAATTAAACCGGTTTTTCTTGTGGTGAAGGTTCTTGCCTCTAACTTTTGATCATCAGACAAAACATTTCATTTATGGAAGTGAAGCTTGTAATTGAACTAATATCCTCCATTCATATTTATGATAAAATAAGACAAAAAAATTTGATACTCGCTAGAAATTTCAAGGGATCCATACATCTGATTATTCTTAAATAATAAAAATCAATGAAGAGAATATGTAAACATTTGTTACGTTCCAAATAAGCTCAATCAATTAATCAAGAGGATATATACAAGTTATCATTCAAAGAAAAAATTCAAATCGTAAATAGAACAATTAAACACAAAATCTCCACCTTATCCGAGCCGAGGTTTTCTCTTTGACGTTGTCGACGACAGTTCGTCTCAGACCCAGCACCTCCCGTCCTTCTTTCTATCCCTCCATCCTGTCACTCACCGTATCCTGTTTGCTTCTAAAATAATTAATCAGCATCATCCCGTCAGCCTGGATTGTGGATGGGATTACCTCTAAGGACATTGTTTATACCCTTTTCAGCACGTTCACTAGATAAAACAAGAATAACCCCCATTTTCTGTCATCTTTTTCTTCTGTTTCGCGTCAATCTATAGTGGGCGGCTCGTACCAGGCTTTAAGTGGCAGTTTAAGCTTCCAGATGCAAATAGTTTATTGAGTATTCACTAACAGACACTCACCCGTGTTTTCATTGGCTTTAAAAAAAAAATTCCCCGTTTGTTCATTCTTCCTAGATCTGAGCATACTAGTAGTATCAGGCCCACCGCAAAAATATTTTCCTGTCCTTTCTCTTGTTGCATTGCTGATGCGAAAAACTCTTCAAAGCATATTCTGGGCACAATTTACCTCTCATGCTCTTCTCAAACCAAGTATCTTGTCTCGTGCAATAATGACCCAGTACAGTAGCACCGATGACAACTACAAGCGAGTAGGATGATCCAACCTTGCCACGGAAAAGCACGCCCATGGCTGTGGAGTTGGCATCAGCAGCCGGCCGACGTGCCTGTCGGAGCCTGACTCCCCAGTGGGCCCGAGTTCATCGACTTCCTAAATCCGCCGCCACAGCCGCTCCCACCCACGGCCTATAGCCATACCGGGGACATGCAGGTGGTCGCGGCGGTGGCCGTGTATTTCTGCTCCGCCAATGGCAAGAGCACAAGGGCCGGAAGGCCGGAGCGCTACCTCCTGCTGTTCCGGCGTAGGCAGTGAGACTACCGAAGAGGGGCCGGAAGAGTGGGCAGGACGAGCCAGCCAGGCGGCAACGGCGGCGGCGGTCGCGGCGGCAAGCGGGGAATTCATGTTTGAGTGGATGGACAGGGATGCACCCGCGGGTGATCACTGTCTCCATCTTTCCATATATCTTTATATTTACACACGCATATCCATATATATACATCTATATGTAGAAGAGAGAGAGACAGACAGAGACAGAGAGAGGCTGGGGTAGAGTATACATATGCATATATATATTGTATTCTTTTCAGATTTCAGTCAGCCGAAACAGGCTGGCCGGGCGCGGGCCTCGCCTGGGAGAAGGATCTCCACTCCGGGGGCACACGCCATTGAAAAGAATACAGCACCAGTAGGCATTGAAAAGAAACAGGCGGCCACCTTACCCATCCAACCTGGCAGGAAAATCCTGCCCAGGGCAGATCATCTGTCTCCCCTATAAATCTCCCCCGGCAACTCCTCTCCCTCCCACGCACTCTCTCTCTCTCTCTCTCTCTCTCTCTCTCTCTCTCTCTCTCTCTCTCTCTCTCTCTCTCTCTCTCTCCCTCTCTCTCTCTCTCTCCCTCTCTCTCGCTCTCGCTCTGAGTAGTCGTTGCAACGATGGGTAGAACGGCGGTGGTTCTGGTTCTGGTGGCCGCGGTTGCAGCGGCGCTCTGGACAGGGGTGGCGGCGCAATCCAGCTGCAATTCGGTGATCCTCAGCTTGGTGCCGTGCGTGCTGTACATCGGGGGCAGCTCTTCGACGCCGTCGGCGCAGTGCTGCACCCAGCTGGCCAGCGTCGTCAAGTCCCAACCGGAGTGTCTCTGCTCCGTTCTCAGCGGCAGCGCTGGGGTGAGCACCACCGTGAACCAGACGCGGGCCCTCGCCCTACCCGGAGCCTGCAACGTTCAGACCCCCTCGGCGAGCCTCTGCAGCGGTGAGCTCCTCCGATTGCTGGAGATGGTAGTATTTCGGAATCTCCTCCTTCCACGCTATAATTATTGATTTGGATTATAATTTTTATGGAAAGCGCCGCCACCGTCGTCAACCCCGGCGGCACCTCCCACCGCCCCACCGCCGTCAAGGCCGGCGCCGCCCCACATCCCGCCACCGTCCTCAGGCCCGGCGACCGCCTCCACCCCGCCAGCCGACGGAGGAACGAAGGCCACTCCTCCCGGCGGGGATCCTTCCAGTGGGAACTCCAACAGGATGACGTTTGCCGTCTTCTTCTGCACTCTCTTCGCCGCCGCATTCTAAACCGGTGCCTTCTAAGACCCTGATCAGGGAGGAGCGGGGCCGGCGGCGGTTCACACTCGCCTGGCGTTACCTTGCTACTTGTTGGTTTCTCTGATGATCAGCTCATTTGGTTTCAATTAAATTGCCAGTTCTCTTTATAATTTTATCACGCAGAATCCATTTCCAAATAAGATTTCCCAGCCAGCCAAGCAGACCTGAGCCGGGCATCTCTTACGAGGCCTAACTGCGCAATATATATATATATATATATATAGAGAGAGAGAGAGAGAGAGAGAGAATCGCTTCTTCTCTCGCGTCATAGTCTTTCTCCCTCAGTCTCTCGCCGGAATGCAAAGAATTTTCTCACAAACCTGGTCTCTGAAGCAAATTGTCATCAAATTTACATGATAATTTTCTTACAGATATATCTTCAATTTTTTAGTGACCGGCTTCATCCCTGGTAGATTCTACCGAAAAATCCAATAAAACATATATAAACCTCCAGGTACAATATAATTATAGATAGCATGGTCAAATTAAGTTTTTCGCTCTTCTAGTCATAGTCAAATGAAGGATCAATACTGGGCCAGATTAAGGCTGCACAATATTTTTATTTAAAGAATTATATATCATCTGTTAAATGATGATCATTTTAATTTGTGGGTCAAACTCATAAACCAACCGGAGGTAAGGGAAAAATAATCACGGATAAACAGTTACCCTCAATGAGAATTCAGGCAAAATAAGATGAGATGATGATGCCTCTAGTGGTTTTAGTTAATATTTGAGATAAGCTTTTCTAATGTTATCTCATAGTTGCAAGCTCCTTTGGTAGACTTGAACCTCATCTTCTTTCTTTTAGAAAAATTGACTAAGCTGATTCAAAGTACTTGCCTCTTTGTGTTGGCTAAGATTACTCAAAATTCTCTCTCTAATGCTGTAGGTGTATGATCAAATACACTGATTCAAAATTTGTTACACCTACAGTCAATGTGGTTCTATGATTTTGAGATTATAATCTTATAATTTTTTATGTATTTTCATCACCAAAATTATTTAAGCTCCTAAAGTGAGCAGTCTCTCTATTCTAGATGTCAAGATATTAGCTTGACTTATCACTATTGTTACAAAAAATCCTCTTTCGTAAAAATCAATAACAATGATAGAATGCATATGAATCAATTTTCTGGCCAAGTGAATTCTTTTCCTTGACTCTTGTTAGTCTAAATGTTTCATAAATATTTTTTTGAATGTTTGATATGTTTGATCTCTCAAAGGAAGTCAAATATTAATTCTTAAACCAACCATGGATCAACACAATATATTCCAATGAGTTTCTCTTAAGATACAATGATAGTTGTGTCAACACACCTAGGTTTTTTTTCAGCAACCTGATGAAGGTGCTTGGGTGGATCGGTGGCAGGAAAAAGATATTCTCAAGAGTTATTAAGCCTGAGCATTCTTAACTCTGGAATTCTTATGAGATCCAATTCCAACACACCTAGGTTGACTCATGGATCAAACTAGTTAGGGTTTGTTTCTTATACTTTTTTTTTATTCCAAGTCATTTTTCCTTCCCAATTTTTTTTTCCAGCTTTCCTATTTTGTATCTCTATTATATTTGACCATTTTGATCTTCATTCAAACATTAATGTAATAATAATACATGTATGATCGATTTGAATAATTATTATTATTTTCAACATCAAAACACTTAACCAAACAAGTTCCATGAGTTTATATATTATAACTGATAAAGTGAATTTTTTATATATTGATCCTCAGTTTGATGCTTCTATTTTCTAACAGAAATTTGACATACTTGAATATTCTACTTCATATACTATGTTACTGCGCAGAATTATTGAACTTTATATTGTACTTTATATCGAACTAGGAAGAATGATATGCTACACCACTATGCCACTTAAATTTGATGAACCTAAATATGTACAAAGTATATTCTGCTTAATATCCTGCACTATTAGGCAAGTTACATGTAATGCCCTGAATTGTGCAACTTGATACGTTTAGCTATTCTACAACATAAGTTACACATACTTAAGTATGAGGAAACTTAATATAATGTATTATTTCCCAAATTCTCACATAGCAAAAACTAAAACTTAATATCTTGCCCTATTATGTCAAATAAATTTTATATGTTAAAATATGAGACAATGTACTTTGTTATTTGAAATAAAAATATAAAATTTAAAATAGTAATATATGAAACTTGATATTCTATAGAACTATAGCATGTAAATTTCTAATGGTAAAATATGAAGGTGCATTTGCTTTCCCATTAATATACCACTCTTTTCCTTATTTTCTATCATTATTCTTCAGGATAAATTTCTACTTAAAGAGTAAAAGTTTTAAAAAATATTTTGATCAATCTCCAACTTACATGCAACTTATCTAGTATCCAAGGGATATTTATTCAATTACACTGATTAAGATAACATTAAATTTCAATTTTTCCATGATAGACATCTGCCAACTTAAAACTTTATCTACATTTCTAAAACTAAAAAAAAAGTATATCTCTAATGATTAAAAATTTATTACCTTTTCTTCTTTTGTAGATGTTATTCTGATCATTAGTATTTTTACTTATGTTTAAGGTCAAAATCCCGCAGGTCAACACATAATTTTTATATAGGGAAAAACATGTACATTTCAAATATATAACATTTATGAGCGTATGTTGATAATTTTTTGTATAATTCTAAAGGATCAAAACATAAAATATCACCTTGACTTTTGCATCCTTTTCTTGTTCAAAAATTCATTTATTCACCTAAAACTCATGCAAAATACCTCATATCAAAATTTGAGGTCATAATCATCAATATTTGAATTTAAAATTCAACATTCTTTCAATAACAAAGTCATTTCATTGAGGAAAGCATGTAACCTGATTATGCATTTTTTTGCTTCATGTTGGAAAACTTGCAATCACTAGATTACAATTTTTAGTCACATGTCCAATCTTGTGTCTTATCTCCTTGTAAATATATATAATGTCAATCCATTCAAATAGTTGACATTGTTTTCTCCACTCCAAGATTCAACTAAATTTTTTGTATTCATTGCCTACGTGGAAGGCAAGGAAATATTGTTTGACAAGTATTCAAATGAATAACCTCTGGTGGAACTCTAGTTCTCCATGCCTTTTCAATTGGAGGAAAGTTCAGATTATAACTATTAAGAAGGCAAAATATGCATGCTTAAATAATAGGAAATTGATTGGATTAATTCTTTTGAGTTATAGCCTAGAAATTTTAAATGTTAGATTCCAAAAATTGTGTCAAATCTATATGTCAATAATAGTTTATTTTTTTCTTTCACACCCATATGCTATCAATAGTCTTCAATTTCAATTCATAAAATTCAATTCCAATTTATGAATGTTATATATTTTAAAATCAGATAACATTTTCTATTTCTCTCCAATATTTTTAAAGTAAAATGTATGCTTCTCTTCAAAATTCATAACATTGTGCAATTTTTATCCAGCAATCAACAAGTTTACTGATGAATCTAGAAATAGCTAAGCACTATGCATATCTCAAGTTATTATGTATCACTATACAAAATTCATTTCCCTCATACTAAATGAAATAGTCATTTTTATTTATTGATTTCAAAAAATTTATTTGGTTATTGTTCATGTTACATATTTACTACTTATGAATAAATTTTAAACCTCCATTGTTTTTTAATAGAACAAGTTTTTCTTGTTGTGAAGATTCTGGCCACTAGCTTTCTATTGGTAGAGAAAATTCTGAAATTCTAGAATTAAGGCTTTTACTTGAGCTAATATCCTTCATTCATATTTGACATAAAACAAGACCAGAAATTGATACTTTATGGGAACATAAAGGAATCCATTCGTCTCATTATCATTAAACAATAAAATTAATGAAGAGAATATGTGAAAATCAATGATGTCCCAAAAATGCTCAACCAATTAAACAAAAGGGTGCTAAGAGGTTGTGACGGTTTAATTGATAGCCTTTATATAGAGGGGATTGTATTAGCCTGAAAAATCAAAGGTGAAATATAGTTGAACCCAAAAATGAGATCAAGGCTAAATGCACATGGATTAAATAATTTAATCGAAGAATGAGAAGAAGCACATACATGGCCTAGGAGAGAGAGCATTGCAGCATTTATGTACTCTATTGAATAGTCATACATCTGAGCATGCAAGCTGGAACCCAGGGTGGTGAATGTCCTAGCACAAGCATAGGCATGTAACGACGTATGGGCCTCAACACTTGCTGACAAGCATGCCATAGATGTGATTGGATACTAACAAGCGTATAAGCAAAGAAGCATAGCCAACAACATGCAAATAAACAGAGATGTGGTTGTGAAAAAGTAAATAGGCACAATCTCAATTCGGGATGGGTTGGATGGGAATGGGCATAATCACACACGGGAGAACATATGTGGTATAAATTGTGCATTGTTAGATTGACATGGGTGGCCTTGCACAAGTGAGAGAGAATGAACATGATCACAATCAAATTCAGGCAAGAAGATGTGGGAGTGGATGTGTGCAAGCACAAGCAAGTAGGTGCAGATGTAGCTGAGAGTGGCTTTACTTACATGGGACATGCAAGTGTGAGTGTTCGAGGGTGGAAGGCAGCAAGAAGATGGGTAGGTGGGCACCAAATAGGCATGGGAATCTTATGGAGGTAAAAAAATGTGACATCAGGCCTCTCCAAACTCTCTCAAAACCAACAGCTATTGTGAAATAAAAAAATGTTCTCTTACTAAGCCTAACTATGGAGGGGTAGTGCATTTTAAAAGCTCCTACATGACACACGTAGTAGTGAGATCTAACCAAAAGTTAATAATTTGGTCGTGCGTCAAGGGCTATGGATCTTTTACCCAATCTATTAGAGCCTTGTAAGAATATTAATCTATACTCAATTGGATTGAGTTAAACTTGATGAGTACATATGTGATCATGACCTCAATGCATAATCGCATAGCACACCATCTTAATTTAGTTATGATTTTCATTGCTTTATTTTTATCTCACTTAGCAAACTTAAGGATTTCTCTTCATTCGTCCGGCTCTTCCATCATGCAAGGTAGCCTTGGAACTTGTTTGCTCATTTGTCATGCTACATGGATCATGTAAATTAAGTTGTCTCTCTCATTGTATGAGGTATGGCTGAAAAATTATCTTGTGTGATTGAGGAATCATCTGACCAAAGTTAGCCCTTGCATCATTGTAAGTCTTCATTATTATATAGATAAAAAGATCACAAAGTCATCACATAAATCATCTTCGATTGATCAATAAATAAGTCATCTTCAAGAAGAAGATGATCTATCGAGAGATGAGTCATCACCTCCTGAGAATATACTAGATGCGATGAAGAGCCTCCTCTTGTTGTGTGGACCAAAAGATGAAACTCCCTAAGACATACCCTACCTCTATCCAATTTATCCTCATCATGTGACAATTGTCGAAGATTTACAAAATTATTATTTTTTCACTTTCTCAGGTGACAGCTAACAGAGTCAATTTGACAACCCACTTTATTGATTTTTAGACTTCACAAGAAGATCTAAAAACTAATCACGTTGTCTGTGTCCAAAGAAAACCTTTGAGGTTACAGACATTGCATAATAATCTTGCCAAACATAGAATTCTAGTGGTTGCTATCGCGAAGTTATAATTCTATATTTCTTACTTTATACTTATTTTTTTACTTAATTTAGTGATACTCTATGTGATTTCACATTTCAAAACTATTCTTCATTAAATTATGATTCTTCTAACTTTTATATAACTTAATTTGATATATTAAATCATCTATAATCACTTACGTAAGAATCATCAAGCAAAACTTTGTTTTCACTCAATTTGTATTTTTTGGGTGCTAACATCATCATAACATCTGCACCTTTATTTTCTTTTTTTATAAACTTTTAAATATATTTTATATTCATCATCTAGTCTAAAATTATTAAAAAATCATATTCTTTTAAGAAAATTCTGAAATATTGCTCGATACTATATTACATCCTATGATCAACTTCAAAATTAATTACTATTTTTTAACCCTTTTGATAAATTATAATTGATATATTTGTTAAGAAATACTTTTAAATATTTGAAAATTAATATTTATTAATTTTAAAAATATTTAAATTTACGTGATTTATTATATATTGACTAAGTCACATCACATTAGATGAGATATCATTCACTCATATAATCCGTTACTTTGGTCAATTGTATTAATACATCTATCACAAGTATAAATGAACCATGGTAATTCTGGAAACTAACTTATTTTAAATTTCTATTTAATAATTTTCTATATGATTCTATGTTGGAATAATTTTTATCATCTCCATGGCCATTTGCATTTCCTTTGTGGTATTGCCATCATTGTACCATTATAAGAGTTGTCTTACTAGGTGCACACAATGGGTGTGAAACTTCACTTTTCCTTTATCCTTCCTCATCTACTCATTGTCTCCACTTTCATCTCACCTTCTTTCTTCTCTCTCTCTCTCTCTCTCTCTCTCTCTCTCTCTCTCTCTCTCTCTCTCTCTCTCTCTTTCTCTCTCTTTCTCTCTCTTTCTCTCTCTTTCTCTCTCTCTCACACACTTCTCACTCTCTCCCCCCCCCCCATATATATATACATCATTGTGCTCCTCTCTACATCCCTCTCCGTAGACCTCTCTTTGTTCTTTATCTCCCTCTCGCCTTGCTCCAAATTCCCATCGCTCTCTACACTTCCTCTTTATGTGTCACCACTTTTTATCTTCCTCTCGCTATTCTCTGCATATTTCTTTCAGCGTCTTTTCTGTCTCTATTTCCTTTTCATTACGGCCTCTCCAAGTCCCTTTCCTCTGCATCTCTGTCTCATTCTCCCCACTCCACTATCTCTTTCATAGCATGCCTTCTTTAACATAAGGTTAACACATTGAAAAACATTTAATGGTAATCAATGATATTAATTTTTTGGCTGAATAATAAGCGTATTTTTCCTTAATCGATAATATACCATTATTATGGTTGTCATTTAATGCAGTTAGTAAACCATTCAATGGTAGGTCACTAGGATTTAATAACATATATTAAAATATTGTTTCACTGATGGTAGGCAAGTGATCGAGGGTGTGAGATGACAGTAGGACATGCAGGAGAAAGGTTACGAGCTGATCATTGATCTCTTTTTTTCTGTTCCATTGTATGTGTATATTTTAGTGATACCATCCTATTTGGTTTATCAGATAAATAGACACTCTTCTTAAACCCAAAACGTTGATATTTAATGAAAAAATCATTTTTATTGAGTAATTTCTCTTATTCCATAGATGTTGGGAGGAACCTTTCTGTAGAGTGAGCACTGAAAAAGAAGGAAGGTTTTATCAGCACCTAAGATGATGTGTGGGAATCACGTTATCTGCTAGTAAGTATTATTTCACCAATGCTCTTGACGACTACCACTGATAAATAATAGCACCTTGCCATTTATAGGAATCATAAATTTCTATGATGATTCGTTGCCAATAGGACTATTAAACCGGCGTGGATACATAAACATTAGCAGATGCTTCCCTAACTCATTTCCCTGAATTTCGCACCTTCGGGCAACAGTGGTCATAGTTTTCATTGCACATGTAATGAATGCTTTATACCAATTGTTTAGCCGGGTGAAGTAGACTTCAAATTCTGATAGGACCCACATTAGCAGACTTTTTATTTCTTCTTTTGATAGACATTGGATTCAGATGGCAATCTATCTGGCCGCTCCATCAATATTCATAATCGTATCTTTCTAAGAACTTTGTAAATTTTACATGCTTTCTAAATAAAAATAGAAAGTTTTTCCATCCTGTTGCCGTAGTAAAGCTCTCTCTCTCTCTCTCTCTCTCTCTCTCTCTCTCTCTCTCTCTCTCTCTCTCTCTCCCTCCCTCTTTATCTGTGTCCCCCAAATATTTGCTCTTTGACGTCGTCAACGACCGTTCGTCTCCGACCGAGCTCCTCCCGCCCTTCTTTCTCTCCCTCCATCCTGTCACTCACCGTCTCCTCCACCATTCTTCTCCAACCATCCGCGTCTCTTCCGTCCTCCAACGAACAGGTTGCCCGCTTGCCGGGCATTCACGGCGGAGCTTTCTTCACGTGTCCCCCTCCCTCGAAAGTCCATCTCCAATTCTCCCTCCCCCCCCCCTCCCCCGCTTTAGCCCCCCTTTCTTCTTCCTTCCCCGACCCTGAAGGAGGGAGACCACCCCCTCGCCGATTCTTGCTAAACTCCCTCTCCACCCTCTTCCCTCCTTCCCCACCGGGTCTCCTTTTCTGTGTCACCATTGACGATCTCCCATCAGCTCCTGAAGTCGGAGGGCTCGACCGGGCATCCCCAGATCGCCACCAGTTCGCCGCAGAGGATGTCGTTCAGCGGGACACTGGACAAGTGCAAGGCCTGCGATAAGACAGTCTACGTTGTCGACTCCCTTTCCATCGACGGCGTCCCGTTCCACAAATCATGCTTCAAGTGCACCCACTGCAAGGGCACCCTTGCCGTCAGTCCTCTCTCTCTCTCTCTAACCCTCCGTCTCCATACGGGCTGTCCTGACGTCGATCTCCTCACTGTGACGCATCTCCTCACCCTGCACAGATGAGCAACTACTCGTCCATGGACGGCGTTCTCTACTGCAAGCCGCACTTCGAGCAGCTCTTCAAGGAGACCGGCAGCTTTTCAAAGGGCTTCCACGCCGGTCGGTGTTACCATTCCGAAAGAATCCTTCCACCAACGTCATTTCCATGCGTTATTATTCATCAATATCTAGAGAGAGAGAGAGAGGGAGAGAGAAGTTTTCTTCATGCCTGCGGATGAGAGGACCATCTCCGTCGAGTCTCCTATCTCTTTCTTTCTCTCGCCGTTCTCATTCTCCGGGTCTCTGATTCGTGGCTTGTTTTTCTCTGATTCTGCTTGCCTCTGCGGACGGACGGCCAGCTCCAAAGCCCGGCGAGAGGCAGAACGAATTGGTAAGACCCGCCTGCTCTCTCTCTCTCTCTCTCTCTCTCTCTCTCTCTCTCTCTCTCATTATCGTTCGAGTTCCTCGTGGAACGGGAAACAGAATCTCATGGGCCGTCCCAAACATTGCAGAATAGGACCCCGAGCAAGATCTCCTTCATGTTCAGCGGCACTCAGGACAAGTGCTCCGTCTGCAAGAAGACAGCGTACCCATTAGAGAAGGTCCTCTCTCTCTCTCTCTCTCTCCCTCTCCCCTCACACACACATCAAAAGCCGAAGAGATATATGTATAGAGAGAGAGAGATGCCTAATGCATGTGTGATGCGGCAGGTGACGGTGGAGGGGGAGGCGTACCATAAGACGTGCTTCAGGTGCTCTCACGGGGGGTGTCCACTGACGACGTCCTCTTACGCGGCCTTCGAGGGGGTCCTCTACTGCAAGCACCACTTCGCCCAGCTGTTCATGGAGAAGGGCAGCTACACCCACATCCTCAAGCACCAGGCCTCCTCCGTCAGGCGCGCCGCCGCCCCCGATCACCCTTCGTCCCCGTAGACTCCTCCGCCCTCCCCCTCCACTCTCTCTCTCTCTCTCTCTCTCTCCCCCTCAAACAACGGCTGAGAAGCAAATAAAAATACACACATCCCAGTCATCTTTGTTCCTCCTCTCTCAATTATTATTACTACAATTTATTATTATTAACCCATCTGACTTCCGTGCCTCGTCGATCAAACAGCTGCTTTTCGGGTTTCTTGGCTTCTAATGAACATTACTTGCCTGTAAATACATAAAACGTAGGCTCTTTAGGGTGCCCGTCATCAGCCAGCGCCAATCTCCAGAGTCTTTGAGACCGACAGCAACTCTAACTACAGCATAAACTCAGGTGTGGGGCCGAAGATACAATAATCGTTTACTATAAATATATAAGAAAAACCCATCAATGTGATCTGAGTTGCCAGATGCATAACACGAAGAAAAGACAGTTTAAAAGCATCAGCCAGCAAGTGTAGAGCTTGGAACTTCTGGTCTGTCCTCACAGGATCAGACTGCTGCGCCACAATTTATAGGTTTTACAGACAGGGAAATAGGGGATTCGCAGACATGTTGCCCACCTTTGATTGGGACCCACGACTTCCCCCCTCTATCTGCACAGGATCTTCCTTCTCCGAGGGTCTGCCGGTTTTGGCAAGAAACCCTTTCACTTGAAGAAGAGAGAGAAAAAGGAGAACCTTTGAACAATGCCCTTTACAAGCTACCGCCGAAGCTTGAGCTTCAAGCGCTACAGACATGGGGACCCTCTATACAACCGCCGTCACGGATTCTCTGTGAGCAGCGGCGAGCAAAATTAGTAATTTTGTCTAGAAAGGAAGCTGCCACCGGTCCCCGAGTAGCTCTTCCTGTCGGAGCCCATCTACATCAGGAAAAGAGGTACACCGCTTTCGTTTATTCACAATTGTTGGGGCGGCGGGGGGGAGTCCGTGCGGGAGGAGATGACGAGCTGGTGCAGCGGCTTGAGAGCGGTCATCAGCTGCGCAAAGGAAGGGCGCAGGCTCGGGTCTCTGAAGAGAAGAGAAGAAAAAAAGAACAGTGATTGCATTGCAGGAGATGGAATCAAAGATTGAACAAGGGGATGAATGAATGAATGAATGAATAAAAGATTGTCACTTATTAATCTCCTCAATAACTTCTTTAAATTCTGGTATCCCACTCGTGATTCAGACGCGCTGTCAGAAGCTAGATTCCAACCTCTCAGCTGGGACAGGGCTGTCTTCGATTTGAATTATTTTCTAGGATATTCACGGGAATTAGCTATGTAGGCATTGGCAACTTGACAAGAATTATAAGATCAGAGTTCAGATGATAAGGGCAAGATTTTGACACATGCAGCAGATTATTTCTAACGTAAAACAGCCACACGCCAGCGCCAGTTATTGGAAAATATTCCCAAAACCTTGTTATTATGCAAATAGATACTTACGTCTGCCAGCATTCCCGGATAATCCTAGCGACTAAAGGATCAACCTCCCTTGGGATGTCAAGACGTCGATTCTGGAAACCGACGGCGCCCACCACCTGCATAGGGTTCATCCCTCTCCACGGCATCATCAATGTTGCAAGCTCCCACAAAATGACCCCAAAGCTATAGACATCACACCTGCAGAACATTTCAAGAAACATTTACAGTGATTCAGAATACCATGTTCAAATTGGAAACAATTGCATTCCCTAGAAGACTCATCCAAACTAACACGCCTATAATATGTTCTGATAAAGAAACATTCAGCTGAAAAGCGGATTTTTCTAGGGGCTTCTCTCATCATTCAGAGAACAACCAGGCTTTAGTAAGTAAAGAGTGGGGCTGTGGTTCAGACTAGAACAATGTCACAGGGAAGAAAGTTGTTCAGACTAGATAATGAAGAAAGCATAAGACGTTTAAGATGCAAAACAGTACACCTCACACTCTTCATTTACACCAAATATGTCCAAATAAACAATGAGCTAACAATGAAGCAAAACGTTGCCTGGCAAGTGGTGCTGTTATAATTGTGGATTAAGAAAACATCACTGTAAGATGAGAAAGATGCTCTAGACTGATAACTCTTATCAATTCCATGGCGAATAACTTGGAAAACCAGAGTAAAAAAACCGCTCAACTTTGATACTCTACAAGAAGCAAAGAGAAGAAACTCTGCAGCACATCCCAAGTGAGGTTGTTTTATCCAGTGACCACTATCTAGATCTTTAGCGAATAGCATATAATCGGTCTTTGCTGAAAACGTTAGGTGGGATTCTTCAAGCTACTCTACACGCCACGTGGATGGAAAAACCATCAAAGAACTGAACTTCAGTCCTTCCCAATGAGTGTTGTTTATTTGAGGGAAGCCACATCTCGGATAAATTGTGTCCATGGTCCAAGACTTGACAAGGCCATCCATATTCCTCGCAATCATGTTTGAATCAATCCCATCAATGCTGAACCAGATTCCAAGCCATATTCCAAGCCATCTTAGAAGCATTTCTGAACCAGATTCACCCACGTGAGCCATCAATGCTGCTAAAAAATTTAGTGGACAAAACGAAAGTAAATATCTCCCCCATTGAGTTTTTTCTCTCCTTCTGTACTCCTGATGCTCCCAACTTTCTGTATACATGCACACACGCAGATAACACATGAATGACAATGGATAAGGGCTCCACATACATTGTACGGATCCTGTTAACATGAAGATGGATCCCGTTTCAAAACATGCAAGTTTTTACTGGTTTTCAAAGCTACCAAGGTTGAAAGAAAGAATCCACAGAATGAGCTCTTACTGGAAACGGATCCTAAGCCATCATTTAAAAATACATTTTATAAAATATAAATAAAAATCACAGCAGTTATTTCACAATGTTTTAAAGAAAAAACAGTAAAATTTAAGCACTTTGAATTTTAATTGTTGGGGTGATTTTAATGTGGACAAGCGGATCTTCAAAAATATTGAAACAATTGATTGTTCATGCAGAACATAGAACATTCAAGTGAATTAGCCCAAGCGAATCGAAGAATATGACGGCCTCACTGAGATAAAACATGAAAAAATTAACAGTGACTACAATTCTTGCGTAAATTAGAACATGTGAGCCCTGTTGCACTGAGAATCTCAAAAGTGTCTAGAATTTTGATCCATCGAAGTAGGCATAATACGTATTTTCACGAATCAATGTTCATGGTTTGGTAGAATGCAATTGGCAAAATGCTTCATTCATCACAGTAATTAAATCATGAAAATACCAGAATTCCCATGTTATTCAACAAACACTGTCAGCTGAAAAGGAAAGGAAGTGACTGTATTTTAATCAGTTCCTGAATGCTATTAGTAGTTTACTGTTTATCCACTAGCCAAAGAAATAGCAACCTATCTTCTGACATACTGCATGCAATCTCTAGAGATCCTGATCATGAAATCTTATTGATAACTCAAATATCTTTTTGGAACTTAGAGCTACAGTGATTTCCCCGCAGATATCATAAGTTTAAGAATGCAAATCTAGTAGCATTGACGAAATTAATCCCAAGATTGTGAATTACGTGAAGAATCAAAGCCAAAATACACCATCAAATAGTTTGTCACAGGTCAGGAATCAAACTTACTTTTCATTTGATGGTTCATTGCACAGAACCTCCGGTGCCATCCATTCCGGCTAACGTACCCAATGAAATTTATGCAGGGAAAAGGTTAAGTTCCTTAATTAGCTAACCAAGAATTTACACTCGCCACCAAAATAGTAGAAATAATCAGCAGCAGTTGAACTCCAAAGATCCTGTAGAATTCGATCTTACCGTTCCAGCTGTGGATTTTGATGATAAAAATGTATTGTGCTTCAACCGTGACAAGCCAAAATCACAAACCTGCATACCAGTCAGAATGCTTCGAACATTAAACCACTGATCTCGTATCGCATAAGATATTAATTTTCTGGTCAATTATAAAAAGTTAGCCTGAATTCTTCATTTCCACCAAAATTATTGGAACTGACTCCCACCTGGTCAATGGCATGAAATTGATTAATCCGCAGTCTACTAATTCCAGTTATGCCGTTATTAGATAGCTATGTGAAGAAAACGATAAGTGCCTAATGAGAAAGAGGCATAAAACTAATTGATGTTTCTCACCTAAAAAGTTTCATAACTATATGGTCACCCTATTCAATAAAATTATTATGTTCAGATATATGTACATCAATATCAAATGAGCTAAGAAGATGATAACCATCACGCCAGAGGAACTTTAATTGGGAAACTACAGCGGTGTAATCCATCACACGGCATGGTATTCATGTCAGATGGTACAGGAAGTGAAAATCAAAACTAAAGCTGAAGAAACTGAGGAAATAGATATTGTAGAAATCCGGTTCTAGAAACTTGTGATTTTGAATAGAATGGCCTCTCACGGGTAAGGAATAAGCTGGAAAAGTCGTACAAACAATAGGTGAATGCAATTTTTTGTATAAACTTGTCGTGCAACTCACTCTTCATTTTTATGCCGCACTTCTGTAGCAGCATCTCTCGGAAACAAAATGCATGCAGTTATTTCAGAAGAAGATCAAAGAAGACAAAATATTTCGAAAGGTACCAAACTGAAAATTCAGAAAAGCAATAGTCAAGCATAGAGCTTTAGGACAGCAATATTTCTATCAGAAAGAATCTATAGGCTTTCCTCATGAATAGCAATTGAGGATGATTTCCTCCCATGTGTTTCTAAAAGGAATTTCGAAGCAACAAGAATTAGTGATGGAATCAAGGAAAATAAAAAAATTTCAAAGGTAACAAAAGCTTTCCAATACCTTGACATTCCAATCCTTATCCACCAACAAATTTGACGACTTCAAATCTCGATGTACAATTATGGGAGTACTCGTATGCAAACAATTCATGCCCTTGGCCTAAAGAACAAGGCAACTGGATGTTAAAGATACATAATGTGCAGTACAAACTCATATGCAACTAATCTTGATGCTTTGACAGTTCCTACCACATCAAGGGCCATTTTAATTCGACGCTTCTCATCAATCTTGCAATCAGAACGATGAAGGATTCTATACAAACTCCCTCTGAAAAAGGAATCAGCCAAAATGATACAACCATACCCTGTCAGGCCAATATTTACACATAAAAATCAATCGAATTTTCACAAGTACAAGACATAGAATTACTGAAGCATGAGAAAATAAGAAAATTCTTATGAGGCATTTCAAGATACCTCATGAATGCAACTCCATTATGTCATGCAATTTATGATGGCATTGTGAAAAAAGTCAAAAATGAGATAGTGTTTTCCATGTCCTCCCAAGAGATTGGCATATTTAACAAACAAACCCAAAGGATGTTTATAACCAACCTTGGTGTATAACAAAATACATAAAAATTCACTTGGTGAACCACCAAACTAGTCCAACTATTTTGGAGTGAATAGCATTGAAGTTCATCGAGTCCAATCTTATTTCCTGATAGAGAGAGACTCATAGAATACAACGTAACTGAAATATCATCATATGAGATGGTCTCTGGGTATTTACTGTCAGTACACATTTTTATCTTATTCTTGAGAATACACCAAAAAAAAGAAATCATCGATCCTTAGTTCAAGAAGGTAAAAAATTCTAAAAATCGAGGGGTCACCGATTAATTTTCTCCATATTCCTACGAATCCAAAAACTCTGATCCTAAAATAGAGAAATACATCCAGCATGTGACACGATTTTTAGCTTCCTGAAGGCTGCTAGGTCAGGTTGGTCCCGAAATTAGATCAGGTTTCACGAATGCCAATCTAAATCGGAACCAGGTTTTTAAGCAGTAATGCGATTTAAAGCGTCTATCAGTCTTTCACTTTTGACCCAGCATTGAATGATTCCACAGACCACAGCTCCATAAGCAGGAGCAGTCTACACCATCTGAATCGTCCAATTGACAGTTGAAACGTACCACTAACCAGCCATGCACCTCCCAATCCCGTTTTGGAACAGGCCTATCACTTACTGAGTCTACAGTGACATTACAATGTTGTCTCCCTACATCATTCCATCTTTCACTACAATCCATCAACATCCACCGCCACTTGGCAGAAAAGATCTCAATTAGACCATCTCTTCTTCAAAACTGGGTCAAAACTTCACATGACATTACCCTGAAGAGCAAGACTGACACAACAAATAATAACCACATCCTCACTCCCAGTGAAGAGGGAAAAGAAGTGGGTTAGTGTCAATTGCATGACAAGATTGGCAAAACTTCAGACTTGAAAGAACCAGGATCTCACTATACACAATTCAAAAATTTACACCATGATGGGAATCAGGAAGACGATCCCATCCCTGATTCAGATAGGATTAACCCGAATCTGAAAAATGAAACAAACTTTCAACTAAAAAATTACTGTGCATGAAGTGGTAGGATACCATAAACTGTCTGATGAAAACATTTGAACCATGATGTTGCCACAGCATAGGTATATACTATTGATCACTAGCCACCACTAAGTAGTTCCGTGATAACTCTAAGTAGCCACTCAGCCAGTTAAATAACGTCTAACTGTTTTAAAAAACACTCTGAAATTCAGTTAGGCTGAAAGATAAAGGTTTTGGTATTCTTCTTCATTTATTTTTCCTCAATATTTTAAAGATTATTAAGTTAAGCCAATATAGCAACCTGCCTTCAGCGAAAATGGATCAATCAACCACAATCTACGAATAGAGATTAGCCCTAGCTGACTCCCAATCAAAATATAATCCTTAAACCTAAACCTATTGGATGATCTTGAGTTTAGAAGAATGCTCCCTCGATGTACATCTATGTGTGTAACAGTAAAACTCCTACCTATCTATCTATTCTCCATCACTAGGTGTCTGTGGATCTCCCACTGTGGATCTCCATCACTATTGTTCAACATCTTATCTTACTCCACTGGCACTTTGTTCCAAAATCTGTGATCGTTCATAAATCACTATCATGAAAAAACATTTACGGTTTTCGAATCTTGAGTGTTAAGTTAATGAAGAAAAATTAACACAACTCTAAACATCTAATTGATTGTGTCATTGTACATTGTAACATTCCTTTCACTTGCCAATCTTAGTTACTGCTGGTACCACAAAAATTACAATGATCTATCACATTCAGTTTAAAGTAAAAAAAAACTTCTTCACTATCTCTAAGATGCAATATCTCCAAAGTTACCAGCCATTCCGTTGTAGGAATCTTTTAGGGGCTCTATTTAAATTTATATATCTTGCATTCTCTTGGCTGTATCTGTAACTAGCATATCCAAAACCTTACCTCACATCATACTATAGAACAGTCAATAATGATTAAACCAAAAAGTAACCAACTGGTGATCAGACATGGAGAAACGGTCAGAGAAGTAAATGGGAAGTACATTGCTACAATTCCACTATAAATCTGTAACTAGAATCCTAGAAAAATTATCACTCCCTGACTGGCAATTTCATGTATTCCAGTGAAAAATAGTGAGTACATTATTTTTATTTAACAGATCACCAACATTACCTATGCACATAAGTAATGACTAAAAAATTATTATTATATTCGGGATCATGAAAATCAAAACGAAAAAAAACTTCTGCGATAGTTTGATAAGCATCCACGCACATATTTTAGAAGGAAGAAGGCCCAAAAGCCAATAAGAGAGTAACGGTCAGCATTACTTCAGGACGGAGGGAAGGAGAAGTTTTGACAGGTAGCAGTTACTTAGGAGCAGTTATAGTAAGGAGCAGTTATAGCAAGGAGCAATTACAGCAAAGAGCAGTTATGGCAAGAAGCAGGATATAAGGAGCAAGAGAGGAAGGAATCTAGGGGGAAAAATCGGTGGTATTATGCTCGTGGATCAACGAGAGGGTTTGGGGGTTCCAGATCAGGAGTTGTATGCAACTCTCCAACCAGTTCTTAATTCTTCTAGTATTTCTGTCTCTTCATTTGTTTCTGTTTCTGTCTTATTTTCATTAAATAAGACAAGTTCGTTATTCTCTGATTTGGGATCTTATCATAGTTCCTCAAAACAAAGTGGTTGTGAAATTAAACTCAGAAAACTCGCTAAAAGCAACCAGAATGTTGCTATCAAAAATCAAATGCAAACAGTGTAATTTACTGCACAACATTTAATCAACAATTATAAATAGGAGAGACCTTTGAAAACAAAAAATTCTACCTTGGGAGAAATTCGGAGATAATAGAAAGGTTAGGAGGACGAGTGACAGCCCCCATGAAATGGATAACATTTGGGTGGCACAATCTCTGCATGATTCGTACCTGACATCAAAGATACATCATTGTCTTCTTAACATTAACGTGTGATTAAAATCTACAGATATAACTATTAAAGTAATGTATCAACAAAATAAAGTATTTTTGAAGAAAATTCACGTGAAAGAATCTAGTCACTCACTTCTCGTCGAAACTCGGCCAAAGCATCTCCAGAAAAATCCTGATCTAAGAATTTTTTCACAGCCACTTCCTGTCATTAAAAAGATCCAAAGGGCAAAGCGGGCCATATTAGATAAATAGAATATCTTATGTCAAAGAAGAATGTTACTGAGCTCCTAGCACAGATGTCGTATGATGAAATCTATTATCTACTCTTTTACTTGAAAGAACACTCACATTAGCTATGGTTTTTATTGGTAAACATGAATTTCCCTATATTACATGGACTTTAGTATTTGACCAATCCAATCACAATCTGGATTCGACCAGTGTCACCTGATTTCATTCCTGATGTGAAGATAATGACTATAATCATTGGCATACATTAATGGACGTCTTTGGAAATCCTATTTGACAACTATCGAAGTAATTGTCATCATATTTCATGTAAATACTTCTAGAATGTAGCAGATACAGGCAAGAGAATGCAAGAAGTGCGAAGTCAAAAAAGTTGTACTGAGATCTACTTAGCAAAAGTTGAACCCATGGCATGAAAACAATCATGGTAGTACATCATGAATCAAACAATGGGCTTCACCTCCCCTTTCAGGTTAAAAATCTTTGATACCAAGGAAGACGAAACAGGAGAGAAAAAACCTAACTTGTTTCCGACTGAACCTTCCATTGCATTTGCTAAGAAAACGATGGATACACAAAAACAGTATTATTATCCAACTCTGGGCATAGTATCTACGAAGTACATTATGCAAGATATCCAAAAAGGCCATTTACAAAAAAATGAAAAATCAATACAAAATAAGGAAAAAAAGTATGCCCCACAGCATTCCCCACTGTGTACGGTGACATAAATTATTATATTTGAAGAAATGTACTAGTGGATCAGTAATAATGACAAAACCTCTCATTAGATTCCAATATAAATTTCTCCCAAAGTCTTCAGCAGAATAAAATCATCCAAAGCACTTCGTAATACATCTGATGCACAATACTTATTTTCTCACGTTTTCTACTGGCTCTGGAACAGCATATCAAGGACACCAATAAATAAAGTAGAAATCAGAGAAATGATTTGACTCACCTTGCCATTCCAATCAGCACGGTATACCTCCCCATAAGACCCTAACATAACAAGAAATTTGAAATTATTCATTTCATTTAAAAAGTTTTACACAGAAAATATACTGGAGTTACATTTCTTTCTACATTCCCATTTTAAAGTCGCTGAAATAAATTAGAAGATAATACGAAGAATAAATAAACAGAAAAGGGGGTTACTGTACACTAATTTGAACCCTATGCAGAGCAGACAAAAAAAACCTGGAAAATCTGCGCAGAAAGTTCTGACACTGAAAGTTATGCAAATTAAATCCAAACTGTTAGATTTTTTTTGTGATTGTTCCACTGAATTTATGAATAAATCAAAGGATCAATGATAAAATCTTACCATCTATATTATGCATACAAAACATTCCACAGAAACCTAAAATACAGCTTCATCATGTGTCCAGGATCTCTAAACAAATATATATTAATTTTAATTTTCTGTTCACCTCGGCATAAGAAGGCATTGAATTACTTCAACAGGCGTCTCTTTTCAAATGTTGGGGCCCTGATCTTTGGTTACAGTACCAATAATTCAAGGAATTTTTTTAGGATCAGAACCAGATGCCTAAAAACTCTCTTTCTATGCACTGATTTGGGGGGGCCTTCCCCCAAAGTACCAGAAATAAATAATGAGACAGCATTTGTCATTATACAGTTTAGATCATCCATGAGGTCCTACTAAAAATGAAAATTTTGAACCAGATGTAGAGGAAAAATCACGCTCAACAATAAGGTTGGCCAAGAATAGCAATGGTGACAAAAAGGCAAAATTATTGAGACAAAACTTGATATATTACCTAACCCGATCCTTTCACCAATTGCAAGGACCTCCCATGGGACCTCAAATTCAGCTACATCATCTAACACGGGATCAAGATTTTGTATTGGTGTCTGCTGTGGAATTATTGAAGGTCCAGGATCTTTCAGTAGAAATCTGGAGTTCATAAATCTGTCATTCGTGCATCTTCTCCAAAAATATTTGTCAGCAGAGTTTTTCACATCACTAGGTCCACACAAAATGTTACTCTGCCGAACTAGTCGGTGATCAGCCTTGCTTTCATGCTTCGTTTCTAAAGATTCAGTATTCACAACCTCGCCATCTATGACACTATGATGAACCGATACTGGGTAACATTGATCCAAACCTGACTCTTTCTTTCCATCTTCACAGGCAGAGCGACTGCTACTCACCTCAAAGGAGCTACCAGTGCTTTTCAAATCAGAGTTCAAAACTCCAGGACTGGCTGAGCTCAAAGATGATAATGATGAAGTATTAAGATCTTTCACAACATTTTTCCGTGGAAGGAGACTTGTATCATATATCTCATTGCATGAAGACCGGTTTTTCCAAAACATGGGAGGAGGCGGACTTCCAGAACCTGCAACTATGTTTACTCTACTCCTCTGAAAGTCATCTTTACAAGTTTCAGTGGGTTTGTGACACTGAGGAGCTCTATCAGATCCAGTCAACTGGAATGGATTAAATTCAGCAAAAAGGTTTCCAGAGTCTATGATATCTTGCCCACTGACCAAGGGAATTTCAATATCCACTTTCTGAGGAACCGCGCTTGTAGATGGTCCAAACTGATTTGGATTACCACCTAGAACTTCATTCAACATTTTTTTCCCGGAACGGCTGAAACTGCTTGAAGAAAATTCTCCACTACTTGCACTTGAAGATGATGAATTTTTAGGTTTCATCATCTTACCCATAATCTCACTGTTCTCTGAAGTTGATTTCCCAATCCCTGCATCACAATGATTTGGCTCTATCCACAGAAGAGGTGACATTGAATCATTAGCTGTCCAAGAGGCTTGATTCATCGTCCTTTGATTACCAAATTCCAAGGAATTACCCCAAGCGCTAAGAACATCAGCTGGAATAAGGGTTCCAGGGGCGGCCATCAGATCAACCAGAAACTCCCTGAGAGAGGGAGACAGAAAAAAATGAACATCACAATCAAGAAAAAATTTCATAATAAATTTATATCATTAACTTGAAATAAATATCAATTTCTCCGATATCTTCAACAGTAAAAGAAGGGTACATATAGTTGACGATATAAGTATATTATTTTCACCACCTTGGAGACCGCAAATATGCAATATGAATATTGGAATAAATAAAAAAATAAAATATTTATTCTGTACATTGTCTCTTACTCTTCAACACACTACACTTGCCCCATATCTCTATTTCTCCATCATATAATAGTGTTTTCCATTTTGATTCCATTCTCCTACACTTGTGGCATTTCCTTCCTATTCTATTATTCATCTATGCTTCATACCTGCCTTTGACTTACATTCGTCTATTGTTTGAATCCCTTTCCTCTGTTGTTTTCGATACATATTTCTTTTATATCCTCCATATAGTTCCTTCTAAGATTTTACAACAGACTAAAGCTTCATTTTACTTCATACACTTGACATATCCATTGTCAATAGAAATACCACTAGTTACGAAACAACTTGGCCCAAGAAGAATGTCAACAGAAATACAGCCCCTCACAGGCAAGAAGAATATCTTGAACTTTTGAAGCCCCCTAAAAACTATCATCCAGATCTTTCTGCATTTTTGAGGTGTCTCACAGATCAAGGCTTTTAAAGTCATGGGTAACTTTCCAATTAAAAAATGAGAAATTTTCAAAACCATAAATTAGTGATTTTATATTTTAGTGTGAATAAATTCGACCTTGCCTTGACAAATGGCTGCCAGTTCTGTGAAAAGGAGGATTCAACCAAATAAGACTAAACTTTTGGCAAGTTTAATCGCAAGTACAATCACTGAACTTTTGGCATCATTTTGGTCAGACGAGCCACCTACTGGGCTAATCCACTCAATACTCTACAGCACATTAGTAAGCTTTCAAGAGGAATAACAGTTCTATAGATGAGCAGTAGATTTAGATATAGTTTGATATTCGAAACCTGCACTTCTTTTTCACTTGCCTTTACATATGTTGATCTCCCATTGCCTGGCCAATATTAGCTTGGTGATTCCCATGTGCCCACACTTATCATGAATCAGTGTTATGGTGGTATCAAAGAGGGGACAGAAATTAGGCCGGTGGCAGGTCACTAATCTATGGAATCAGCCGCTAACTATACAAGCCAGGTAGCTTGGACTTGCTTAGCCCACTAGATGTGGGACACTAAAATTTCCCCAACACTCACTGCCATGCAAAAACTGGGATCGCAGCATGAGCAAGAACAAAAGTAGAAGAAGGAAAGGAAGGAGGATGTGGAGGAGAAGAAGGACAAAAAGGACCTGATTTTGGCTGAGGAAATAGAAGAAGAACGCGAGAGTACCACATTGTCAGCAATGAAAAAAGAAGATGAACGGAGAAGCTACCCACTTCCTCTTCCTTTTTCTCGGCTTCTTTTGTCCCCACCAAGTTGCCAATTACCTGAGTAAAACCACGTTCTTTCTTCACATTAAACATGTTACAAATATCACCTAACAGCTGAACATACATCCTTCTAATTTATTTTTTCTTTTGGTCATTTCTTTTCCTTTAGATTGGATGAAAACCACACCCCAGCTCAAATTTCTTGGCATCAGGAGGCCTTAGCTGACTGTACACTGACTGATGAAATACAGTTTTATGATGATAATGGGGGCAATGATTATAACTATACTTATTATCATTAGCCCCAACTTGTTCAGAGCTTGAACCTTAATTTCTTCCTTCAAGAAGAAATTGCTTCCCACTACCTATGGAGATAAACCAGAAAATAACGTTCTATGTAGATGAAATGCTAAACACTGTCTACAATGAAAACACTTTTCATCTGTTCATTGATATTTATCTTATTTTAATAAGATTCACAAGACCAACCTAGTATCCATTTGTTGACCATTACTTCCAATAAGCATCAAGAAAAAATGGTTCACACATTTTTTATATTATTGATTTCAACTCGACAAGTGACACTGCATTCATTAGGGAAAGTTCAGATGCTCGTGACAGAAAATGGCTCACTTTTGGAAAAGCTGGTCACCACAAAAAGAGGGTTCTTCTACCATAAAAGAAAAATCACATAATTTATTTTTTATGCCAATTAAATATGAAAAAAATAACCGGCAATTAGTTATGGCAGGATTCGCATGGAAAATACAAATAACAGCAGATTCAGACATGTTTCAATGTCAGAGAAAATGCAACTATGGCGGAGTGGATATCGCAAAATAAAACCAGAATATGGATAACCAAGGTGCACACCTGTTATCCAACTTAATGATATTGACAGCATCATCATCAACACCAGTATAATGACTTCCCTTGACCAGCTTGCAAGGAATGCCAACATGATCTGCCAAAACCTACAGTTGAATAAAGATAATAAGTTCACCAAGTAAGCTACCATATCTCGCTATATCTATTCCTATCACAGACAAATGAAACACAGGAGTGAAAATATTTTAATAAAAAGTTGAAAGATCAGGCAGTGATACAAGATCCTAATACGCAACATGAAGACAATCGGCAGATTTTGGGTGTTCTACTGTTGAAAAAGTAGTTTACTGTTACCAGACAGCTATTTAGATAAGTAAATTAAAAGATTCTTTTCTGGCAACATATAAGGTCAAAACTATCGCAAGAAAATAAGGGAAAAAATAACGACAATTAGAGGCAAGCCGGTTTCCTTCGATGAAATTAAGATTGCCCAATTCCTAAGACACCTAGAAACGTTCCACAAAGTCAAGATAATATTTGCATCAATTCTTTCATGGTGTACCACCACCCAAAAAAAAAGAGAACAAGGAACCAAATTTCACCTCATCTAAAATACTTAAATTCACTTCAATAAAACACAAGATAAGGAGATTGAAATCAAATAGCATGCATGGTATGTTTATACACAAAATAAGCCCTACAACTCTAGAGAAGGATTCCATCTGTCACGTCCATCTCACTTGAATCTTCTTTTGCTCACACTAGAACAAGAATCTTACTATCAGCCACTTCAGGGGGAAGTGGGGAGGGTGACCGCAAGAGGTGTAGACCAAAGCAGACGATTCACAAATCCGATTTAGAATAGGAGCATGAAGCAAGAACGGACGGGATAGGGATCAGGATTGGACTTCCCGAATAGCCTGTTCCTGGACTTCATTAGCCGTATCCCCCAGCCAGACTGAATCAGACTGACCAGGAACAACAACAGGCCAATCAATCTTTTGAGTCAGCCAATCAAGCCTTGAAGTCGAAACTCATTAAAAATATATGTATTCAGATTGGAACAAGCCATTTCAAGAAATACCCAGATAGGGTCCATGTGAACCAAAAGGACATTACAGACCAAAATGAGGGTAAAAACTCTCTTTGAAGCGTATAAAAAAAAATAATGTAGAATGAAAAGCCAATCTCCACAACCGAATAATGAAGACAATTAGAAAGCAAGGAGATTGAATGAAAAGACTGTGGGAGCGGATTTCAAAAATTCATGGAATGTGAAGTTTACATCCTACAACCTTCACTAAGGATTATCAGTGATACCTTAATTCAAAGTCAAAAGAACCTGCAGCAAATGACCAGGGATAAACTAACTGAAATCAGAAAACATATTTAGAAAGAATTGAAAAACATAACCACGGAAGTAGATGCCAATAAATACAGTTAAAAATAAAATGGCACAAAAAGAATGTTATTTCCTAATAATCCTGCACATAATAAAAGGAAAGTTATCAAGAAACAGCAAAAGAGAAACTGCCCTTAACCTTGAAAAGAAGCGCACGGTGACGAGAGAGACCAATATCTATGCTACCAATAGCCAATAAGCTTGTCTGTAGAGAAGCTCGCAGCTCAGAACTTCGTTCCATCCACCTTGCAAGGAAATCACTGCCATCCCTTACAGGACCACCCATATGCTCAGAAACAAGATCAGAAATTCTTTGCACGAGAAGATTAACCTCAGAAGAGGGGCAGTCTAAGGCAATACAGTAAGCAATTTGCTCCAACTCTACAATGGCAGGGTCAATTGCCCGATTTACGATTATAACTTCAAAACCAAGATCCCCAATATTTGTTTGGAGATCTGCAAGGGAAGGCATCTTTCCGTGACCCACTGGATCAACACATAGGCCAAATATATCACAAAAGCCATCCATCACTTTCACATCATAATCGAGCACATTGTAATCCTGGCAATAAACAGATGCAGCAAGGATCAAAAAACTGAATGGGAAACATAACCACTTCCTGACCCACTACAAATAATAACCAAGAATGAGAAAATGTCATAGGTAGGCATTACAAGCTTCTAAATTTCAAATCTCATATTCCTCGATATGGGCCAACAAACAGATGAACAGATGTATGAAAGATCCAAAAAACAGAACGGGAAACATAACACCGTTCTGACACAAAATGAAATAGAAGCAAGAGTGAGAAAAATATAGTAAGCATTGATAACGGGCTTCTTTAGATGACAATTTTCCAAAAGCTACGTAGGTTTAAAACAAGATCAATGAATGATTTAAAACAACAATGTTACGAGAATTAACCCATACAGAAATGTTTCACACTTTTCAGATTTTCTTAGAATCTGATCCGATCTGCTATGAAAACAGTAAACAAATCTTCGTGTGGTAGTCTCCCACTTGTCCGAGCTTATTAAGAGCCATAAAAGATAAGGTTATGTCAATCAAAGGTGTATCCAACCAACTCAATGAACAAAAAACTCATATTCCTCGTTGGTTAGCCTACCCAATTTTACATCGACCTGGCGGATCTACAGACCGTATGAGGGATTAGGTCATGCAGAATCTAGTTGTAGTTTGGCATACTACAGAGATGGATCCAGATAGAAAGATATTTCTTGAAATCCTCAAAAAATGAAGAGTTAATAGAAAAAATATATTACATTATTTCACAAATTCATGCTTTCTTAATCTTATGCGAAAAACGCAGTAATTCTGGACACTTGGCGTAGAACTTTTGAGAACATAGGTTACATTAATTTTAACCACAATCCACACCAACTAGAAGCATCAGAACATAAAATTGAAGATTCTATGCGATGCATCATCATGGGGCTCTACAAAAGAGGGTTGTTGACGACCCCAAGTTATTCATCTGGTCCAATGCCGTGATACACACAGTTCAAGAAAATGCATAATAGCGCCACTATGTAGGATCATTCAAACAAATAATCCTTTATGCTAAAATGAAAGATATAAGTGATAAACAAAAAATGCCTCAGTGAAAGATTGCAAACAGAATGGCAAATTACTAACGAGTATAGCAGATCAGAAAAAAGTCTGTATACCAAAAGAAGGAACCAATCATTATAGAAGCCAATGGAACCATTAAATATGGCTGCCAGTTAGGCCCAACAATGTGCCAATTTTCACGGATTAGAGTGTGGTTATATTCTATCTTAATCGTACGATTTGCAATATAAAGATAACTTCGGTGTGATTCTTCCATTTAAAGTTGCAAAGACTCGCAAAAGTGAATTGATCATCTTCACGAATCATGAGAGGACCTGTGTACCTGAAGAGGCTGTTGTCAGATATTGTTTATATTAAGATATGGAGGACTAACAGAGTGCAAGAACCAGATAGAATGGTATTCTTAATACACAAAGTCTTCAGTTCTATGGATACTTGAAGGGCACTGTTCATGTAGAGAAATAGACGAATTATACTAAGCATACCATTGTTTTTTAACTATCTCGTGTTCCTCCTCTCAAACTAGGTTCTCAGGATTAGTCGTAGAAATGGGTTTTCTTTAATTATTTGAATGCATTGATTTTCGTTGTCTTCATTGCAAACAGAACTTCCATCTTCTGCAGTTTCGGGAAATAACTGAAGAGAATAAAGAAAAACAGTGATTACTAATGTTGTGCTTCATGGTAATACGAAATTATCACTATTTCCTCTCCACAATGCTAAGAAACATCAAACAAGCTCATCCTAAATTAACAGCTTAGTGTCACAACAGCTTTAAAAGAATGAAAAAAATATCATCTGAAGCACTCCAACTTGTAGTCGGTTTACTATGAGGAGCACAGAATATGGGAGAAAGAAAGTCAAAAAAGTACCTTAAAATACCTCAATGGACTCTCTGAACAAGGGATTACAGCATGTATGGAAATTTGAATGCCCGGAGAATTTGAGCAGCTATTTTACTCCACGTGTAAAAAACACTGAATTTTTCACTATGTTACAGCACCACCAGGAACTTATGAGATCTCATTCGTTCATTATATGAATATTTATAACGGCCGGAGGTTCTGAGTTCATGTAGGTATTGAAAGGCGACGCATGATGAATAACTCGTCGCAAAATTGGGATTGACCACCAGAAATGGCCACCATCACTCACCCAGTAACGCCTCGAGAGCAGCTCGGCGGTGCCCTCCTCTCCCGCGGAGTCCGTCTGCTGCTTACCAAGGCTGAGGCGAGTGGCCTCCCGGATCTGCTCATTGTCCCGGTCTTCCCTGAACTCTGAATTCGACGCGCTGATCGCGAGCGCCAGCTGAACCTGGAATTCCTCCTCCGACGAGAAGTAATCCGCCCGCTCCGCCGCTGCCCTGGCACTCCCCTCCTCCGGAGACGGCGACGGCGACGGCGATGGCGACGGCGGGGCGATTTCGGGGGCCCCCACCGCCCCGCCCCCGCGCCCCCGGTGATTCGAACCACACCACGCCGTCGGTGACGTCGCCGACGAAGAGGGGACGCTGGAGGCGGAGATCTCGTGGGAGGGGCGACTGGGGTCATGGCCACCGCCGAAGTGGAACCTCTTGAAAATGTGCTTCATCGCGTCTTCCTGCAACGACAAGAAGATCGAGCCCTATGGATTCCCTCTCCCCCCTTTCTAGGGGGAGAAGTCTACTCCTCGATACCACAGAGAGAGAGAGAGAGAGAGAGAGAGAGAGAGAGAGAGAGAGAGAGAGAGAATCGTGTTCGCGGCAGAACGGGGAAAACTCAAATGCTCACATATTTCTACGCAACTACTAAACTACCCTCCATCGTCGATGTGATCGCGTTGACTCGATCCCATCCATACGTAGAAGTAAAGAAAAAGTCAACTATCAAAGTATGAGGCCCAAGGGGCCAGCCTACAGAAGAGTCTCGAAATCTGAGAAAGGAGGGGCCACTTGCTGAGAAGCCTGATGTCACACAATGGTCAATCAAGGTTACCTAACATGTTAGCAATGTTGACTAGACCACCTTGAGGTGTGTCTTGTGCCATCCTGTATTATGATGTCACGTTGACCATTATGTGTGACGCATTCATCTAAGTGCCATCAAGTGTTGTCTCATGACAATCTTCTTTCATATTAATGGAGTCATTCACCTAACTTTTATACATAGATATAAACTAATATAGCCCACAACACATAAAATGAAGATGAGTTCAAAACTAAAGACTCAATCACTTTGAAATTGGGTCGTAAATAGAATAATCTAAATAATTGGGTCATAAATAGAATAATCTAAATAGAGGACCCAGAAACTAATTAGATTCAATAAGTCAGAAAAAAGTTTGAGAAAATTGTTTTATGTCTCTATTGTTCTACAAGGTGTTTTCAATGTTGTTCACAGTCTATTTCAAGTCATTTTAGAATTTGTCAAAAAAAAATCTCCATTAATATCAAAATCAATTAAAATCTATTTCAAGATCTACTCAAGATCGTTTTATTTTAGTATCACAACTCATTTTGATGTTTGTATAAAAGCCACTATTATAACCTTAGATGAATAATTTGATGTATTATGAGTTTTTCTCTCATGTGAGGTTTACTTTTTTCAATCGCCCATTTATGGATTCTATTCACCTTCTTGTGGATTCAAAACCTTATAACTTAGTTTCTTCTTCAAAGTTTGTGTTTTATGGATTCAAGTCCGAATGTTGATGTATCATGAACACACAAGATCTATGTGTGCTTGCATAAATTGTGTCATGTGTGCATATGTCACATGTTTAATCTTCACAGTCTTCTTATGTGAATCACATTCTAACAAAATATTATATCGGTTTAGCACATCATTTGTAGCAATTAAAAAAGCCCAAGACTAGAGACGGTCAAAATAGTCTGAAAATGGGTGAAGTTAAGAAAAACGAAATATGGCCCAAAACCAAAATAGGCCCAAAAAAAGCACACGATGAGTGAGTTAGAGTTAATTTATATAACTAACATAATTATTAGGCTGCTTGAATTGGTTAGGCCAAAATAAAATGTGCATCAAAATCATTTTTAGTAATTGACACACTTATTAGATGCAACTGTGGTCAAGTAATGTCATGCTTGCCAAGTGGCATATGCCCATACACAAGCCAGACCATGTCACCACTTAGCTTTGCATGCATGACACACCTCTATATATGCCACATCATGTTATGTCCTACCTACACACTCCGACAACATAGATCATCACAAAGTTTTACTCCTATAACCTCGTTCCTCAGAGTGAGGGGGTGTCACATCTAGTCTCTGGCCTTAACAATGTTAGTCTGTGAGAAGGCAATATATATATATATTAACTTATTGTTATATTTTATATTTTTTTAATAAATAAGACTACCTATTAATGCATCACAATTAACTTCTCAAATTTTATGCACCTTTTAAATATCAGCCAATAATGATAGAAAATATAACATAATCTTCATTTCAAAGTAATGTAGTTTATTGATTGATATATATAGATATATATATATATTAACTTATTGTTATATTTTATATTTTTTAATAAATAAGACTACCTATTAATGCATCACAATTAACTTCTCAAATTTTATGCACTTTTTAAATATCTACTATAAAAAATAATCAATAAACTACATTACTTTGAAATGAAGATTATGTTATATTTTCTATCATTATTGGCTGATATTTAGGCCCAAACTCCTTTTCTCCTAATAAGTCTCAAAAGTTAAAATAGGCCTAATTCAGTGTTTCAAGAGCTCATACCCATCTGAGGTCCCTCCAAGAGGGAAGAAACTATGAAATAGGGAGAGCAATGGAGGGCAAACAAAAGAAGCCAAGTCGCTAAGAGAGAGAGAGAGAGTACCTTTCCGATCAGGCTGTGAGCTGACCCAGCCCATCGAAATCTCCCTCCACTAATAGAAACACTACTTGGTTGCACTGAATTGGCATAAGAGCAACAAACTCTACAGTTTCGGGCTCTATTTTAAGAGTCCAATGACTAAAATCAGCCGGGTCAGAGAGGAACGCTCATTAGAGCTCACTACAGTCAATGACTAGCCGTGGACTATCGATGTAAATATTTTCATTTTCTTTTCCCCGTTTGAAGGAAAATGATGGCAAACGAATGAAGCATATAAGCTATAAAAATGAAGGGTATGTAAAAGTGGAAAATTTTGCTGTTGCTTACCCATCATCACCTTGACAAAATCACTCCTCCCAATCGAACCCAAATCTCCACTCATTTTCATGGAAACGTTCTTCACGTTGGTCAGATATAACTCACCATGTTTTCCACTTGAGGCAAAATCTTCTTCATTTCTGTCACATAAGGCGAATTATCAGTCAGCCATTGGTCCTCATGCCGCCCTGAGCCAGGAGAAAGTAATGGAAGGGAGATTGATACCTGGCAATCAAATAAAGACTATTAATATCTCCTGGTCCTTCTTATAGAAGAGGAAGTGAGAGGGAGCAACCTTCATTTTGAGCATTCCGCTACAAGGAGAACTTCACCATATAGTCTAAACTAGAGCAAGGCGTCCGTCTTCCAGGTTTCTGTACGATCAGGCAACCCCGCGGTTCTTCATCTCCTTCTTCACCAGCTCCAGCTTTTCATGTAGGCCAACCCTTCGGTACCCGGCAACCAGAAGGTCGTAAGCTGCCTTGGAAAGCCTGTAGGAGCTGCCGACTCGCTCCAGGAAGATATCCAGCCTCTCGTAGGCCTCACAGCGGAAGTAACAAGAAATGATGGCCTCAACGTCCCTGGAACATTTGAGTTGCATCCCGTTCTTCAGCATCCTCCCCACGGAGTACTCCACATCATCCAGCCGGTTTGAGCTTGCGTACAATCGAATCACCCCACAGTGCACTTGCGGCAGAAAAATAGAAGAACTTGGCTTATGTTGCATAGTCTCGAGCAGTTCTTCCATTTCTTCCACCCTCCCGAGCTCGGCATACAGAGCCAGGATCTTCTCCACCATCCCTTCCTCCACCTCCCATCCTCCGGCGATCAGGAACCTCCAGAACTCCTTCGCTTCGGCGAGTTTCTTCCTCCTGCACAGACCTGAGAGGACACACTCTAGAATGCCCACATTGGGTATGATCCCGGAGGACGCCATCTCCTCGAAGTACCGATCTGCATCCTCAAATCTGCCAGCCCTGATGAACCCGGTGATGAGGGCCTCGTAGGTGTGGAGGTCTGGAGAGAACCCTGCGGACTTCGCTGCCGCATACCACCCCAGCATGCCATCGCCATCGCCCCTTCTGGAATACATGGCTATCAAGGCATTGTAGGTACCGAGGTCGGGGTCGCAGTCTTCTCTCATCCGCATTATCTCGAACAGGCTGAGGGCGTTCACCACGTTGCCACACGACAGGGCGGCGAGTATCAGGGAATTGAAGACGGCCGTGTTTGGTCGGATTCCTCGGGATTCCATCGCCGTGAACACCTTCACAGCGAACGGAAGATTCTCCAGTTTCGCGCAGAGGGAGATCAGATTCGAGAAGCTCACGTGCTCTCGCACGTCTCCTGCCAGAAGTCTTTCCAGCTTCCATTCCAAGACCTGTCCCGCATACCTCCAAAAGAAGCGCCGAAATCAGAAGATCTCAAATGGGATCAACAGAAATCAATCGAAAAGCTGCAGAAGATTAATGAAGGGACAACTGATTTATCGAACGCATTATTTACAAAAACCGGGGATGGATTAATCGTCAATCCGATCGGTGCTAGAACATGAGAATTCGGCGAGCAATATAAACTGGTGACGGATACTCGACAACTCCGGATCAGGTCGACGTCGAACAGATCGTGGTCAGGTCTTTAGACGAGAGAATGATAGTGAGGATTTTAGCAACCAGATAGGACTTCCTGGGGGAAGAAGGCCGGAGGGAGACGAGGAGTTGCTCCCAGAACGGAGCATCACCGCTGCAAATCGCCGGCAATCCCCTCGATTCTTCGTCCGAATCCAGCACCATCTTCACGCTCGACTCCGGCTCCCTCAGCAACTTCGTCAGTAGCGGCGGCAGCGAGCGACGATCTGAAGACTCCGATGGCGCAATAGAAAGAGATGAAGACGCCGCCGCCGCTGCCGCGGCGGTCTGCAAGCGACGGCTCAGGCTCCTCCTGCCGACGTAGATGACCCTGGCCAATGCTGCCATGCGCGAAGAGCTTGAGAAACCAACTCCTCGTTGCTTCTCTGACATTTGAAGACTGGGTGTCTGATCTAAACCCCTGAAAACAACATAATTATATTTCTACTCTCTCGACGGGATCCAGCCTACACGATTTGCTATTAGTAAAATAAATTGTATCATATACCATTTTCGTATTTATCGAGCACATTAAATCAGGAAGATAATATCATCTAATCCTGCAGCGAAACGGTTGAACACCGCCAGCCCAACGAGCTCCACGCGTCCTTCCCCTCATGCGTGCATGAGAATACGTGTCGTCCATAGAAGTCACCACCCATGGCTATATATGGCGCCGTCTTGCTCTGTCCCCCTCTCTCTCTCTCTGCTCTCTCTTCTCTCTGGGGGCTATGGAAGGAAAGATGAGTGGGAGGGAGGCGGAGAAGGCCGGGGAGGGAGAGGCAGTGAAGTACGGGGACGTGTTTGCGGTCACGGGGGAGCTGGCGGAGCAGCCGGTGGCACCCGGCGACGCCGCCATGATGCAGAGGGTGGAGCATCTCGTCACCGGCCACACCCAGAAGGGCGGCCCCGCCTCCCTCATGCAGTCCGCCGCCGCCCACAACGAGCGCGCCGGCTTCGTCCGCCACCGCGACGTCGGCGGCGCCTCCGCCGCCCACGGCGTTGCCGTCGTCGAGCTGGACGTCCCCGGAAGCCGACTCGTCACAGAATACGTCGCCGGCCAGGTAGCACCACCCATCAGAGAACCCGCTTCTTCTTTCGCTGCCGGCGTGACGCTGTGGCCGTCGTCGTAGGTGGTGGGGCGGCGCTGCGAGCCGACGCCGGTGGGACCGCCGCTGAGGGCGGCGAACGCAGGGTCGGTGACGATCGGGGAGGCACTGGAGGCCGCGGCGCTGGTGGCGGGAGATGAGGCGGTGGAGCAGAGCGACGCGGCGGCGATCCAGGCGGCGGAAGCGCGGGCCACCGGCTTGCATGAGACGCCGCTGGGCGGGGTAGCGGCGGTGGCGCAGTCGGCGGCGGAAATGAACGCCCACACCCAGTGGCAGTCCGGGAAGACCACCCTCCGGGAAGTCCTCACGGTTGGCCATCCCTCTCTCTCTCTCTCTCTCTCTCTCTCTCTCTCTCTACCGTTAGCTAGTTCCGCCATTGAAGAGCTTTCTGAGTTTGGTGGTGACGGGCGGAAAGTGCAGGGGGCGACGGAGAAGATGGTGGCGGACAAGGCGGCGACGATGGAGGACGCCGAGAAGGTGGCGGCTGCGGAGCTGAGGAACAACCCCGAGACGGGGCTGCGCCAGGGTGGAGTGGCGGCGACCGTTATGGCCGCGGCCAGGCTCAATGAGGCCCGACTGTCCTAGGCCGCCGCCGCAACGGTCTGCGTCAACGAGGTGGATCGGTTTCTCTCTCTCTCTCTCTCGTTAAATCGGGGGAAGATGAAGGCAGACTACGGAGTTTACTTTAGTGGAATGCATCCTTAGAAAATAGAGCGACTGGCTTGTTCTCTTTAATGGAATGATTATTTACGATCAATATTTTTTAGTTTACTAGTTATTAAATTATAGCAAAAAAGATAGGTCTTTTTATTCGCTGGAAATTAGTTCCCAAAAAATAAGAAGGTTAATTTTTTGGGGGGAAGAATTGGTAGATAATTATTTTCCTAAGCTCTTAAAAAGGTTTTTAAATTAACTAATTAGTTAATTAAACTTTCATCAATATTTAGTTTTTTCTCACAGTTTCCTTCATTTTTTCAACAAAACTTCGTTACCCTACAAAATCACTCGATCAATTATTTAAATATTATTGGAATTTATTGAGAAAAACACTTTTTAGGAATAATTTATTGAGAAAAATGGAACGTGGGATATTTAAAAAAGAAATTAGACTAGGTGAGGTGTCAGCCTTGCCAAAGCAAGTCTAGAGAGAGAGAGAGAGAGTAGTGACAAACCACTTATTTCTTAAAGATCATTGTTGAGGCATGGTCCCCAAATGTCACTATGGATGCAACAGAAATAAATCTCAATCATTTCTCATTGTGTTTGAAAAGAAGTACAAGTATGTTTAGAGAGTTTGCTTACAACACAATTAAGAGTGAAGGATGACTTAGGACACCACTAAGGACATATCTTGGGGAGGTCTCTTCACATCTCTAAGGACTATTTGACTTAGTCTCTCTAGGAGGTAGTCCTCCATATTCTCTCACAACTCCAGCCTTTCAATGTTGTACTTTATCAAATATCATACAAATATCATCATCAAAATAGGTACGATATGATAAATTGTTCACAAATTTTCTTTACAATGAGGAGATTGGTAAATAATTTTGGGACATGAGGTACATTGCTAAGTATTCTAAAGGGCTCAAGTTTAAGATCTCTTACACTAACAACTATTAGATGATAGTCATCAGCAATTGATACTTTTCAATCACTAGAATAAGGGGTATGTTTAACAAAGTGATGGAATGAATTTGTCATATTATCTGTTGCTCTTGAGCCTTCTACCCAACTAAAAGAAATATTCCTAAGAGCTCTAGTTCCATGATAGTAGTGAAACTTACTAATTTGAATCAGTGAGTGATGCATCATAGTCAACTTCATTTTTTTCAATTCAACTTGAAGTTATTTTATCTCATCTAGTTGAACTAGAGAGGAATGTTGAGGCTCAGATGATGCACTAAGATTCTAATTATTAGGCAAGTCAGCCATCAAATGTGCTTGGCTTCCACAATTTTCAAAGGTGGGGTTCTATGGCTTATATAGAGTTTCCAACATGTATCTCTAGTGCGATAGGATTTTCTACAAGAGGTACACCAAAGAATATCTTTTTAATTATACTTTTGATTTTTTTCCTTGACCAAAACGAGGTTGTTGACTTAAATATACGGTTTTCTTCATATTAGCCCCTTGTCTAATTATAAATATAACATTATTTATATCAGGCATTGATAACATCAACTTCTGACAGCTCTCCTCATTCAAAAAAATTAAAATATTCTCATTCCGATCATAACTTATCTCACATCTCCAAATCTATTGTATGACATGGTCAAAATCAAAATCAAGTCCTATAAGGAATTTAAACACTCTTATTTCTTCTATGAAATTCCTTATGACAACAATTTCTCAGGAGTTTTCAATGGTGTGATTAAGATAAAATCAATTTATTGTCACAAACCTTTTCATTCCCTAGGTTATTCGAGAACTATAGACATTGACTTTATTCTTTTGTGAGAATTTTGTATGGAAAGTATCTCACAAATCATTAACTGTGGCCAAGAAAAAAATATCACGACTAATTTGAGAAATCATAGTTCCCCAAATCCAAGTTTTTATTAATACACCATCCTCCCTCTGCCAATGGAATTCATGCAATGAGAGATCTGGGTGATGTAGCATCCCTCTCTTAGTCAGAACCTTGCTGATATATTTTGATCACTAGATTAATTGTACCTAGTCAATTTGAATTCCATAGGTATTGTCAAGAGTTCTACCAATAGTCGTAAGGCACTAAGATTGAAATTAGAGTGCATTGAGGAAGAAGTAAGATCTCCCATCAATGAAGAAGAAAAATATCTCCCTTTTGGCATAGAATTATAAGTAAAACAGACTAGATTCACATGGGCAAGTATCCCAACAACAATCACACAAACTCAAGGGAGAACAAACGACTCAAGAACTAAAGGAATTAGATTGTTACATAAGAGGAAAAAAAGGAGTGATCACACATTGATTCATTTGAATGCTATCTTGTAGATCAAACTAGGTCCAGTGCCCTTGGAGAAAATTCAACTTCGAACAGAAAAGATATATTTTCTATCTCAAGATTCATTTTACAAGTATTTATACCAGAGCTTGGAAGGTTCTAGATACATTGATCACGTCAATAAGTGTGGAAGGTTCTAGATGCTTATAGAAGGTTCTAGAAACTATCTAAAGACTAGCTGTCCACATGATTGTTCCCATCAACAATAACACGTAAAATTTTGGGTGCTATTGACTTTTGTCGAACCCTCTTTGATTTTATGAATTTTGGATAGTGCCAAAATTACCTTTTATCTCTTAGCCTCTTAGACAGTTCGATAGGCAGTAGATCTTTTAATTCCATTGCTTTTAAAAACTGATTCGTGCAACTTAGAGCCTGATGACCTTTTTAAAGTATCCATAGCTACCTTTCCAAACTTGTTCATTCATGTTCACATTGAGATGATGGTACGCTCTCTTAAGGGCAAGACTAGAAGGGTTATGTTGTCAGATATCTTAAAATCTTAAATGCATATTTTTCACATTAGATCTTAATATTGATAGCAAATGTGGCCTGCACATTACTTGAACAGGAAGATGATCTCAATCCACCTGCCAACTTTGAGTCCGTCTAGTTATTCCTACTAAATTAGTCAATCAAGATGGTTGGAGGTCCTTAAGATGGGACATGCAGGTACCATCTACTTCATGTCATCCTTTATTTAAGATCACCTTATCCTTCACGACTGATATTGGTGAGATCTGACCATCTACTTCATGTTCTGCCCAGTTGACAACAATCTTAAGGACTGAGCTTAAAACTACAAGGTGAACGGAAGTATGTAACTCGAGATGCTCTCCTCGTTTAATTCAGGAATGTGCGATAAATGCTAAGAAATATGTTGATGTCGATGAATGCAAGATATTCTCTCTCTCTCTCTCTCTCTCTCTCTCTCTGTGCTGTTCAGCCGGACCCATTCATCGTATCCCTGGCAGTCATGATCAATGATGCATGGACGGTGATGTGAGTTCACGAAGAAGGCATGACATTGTGCCATCTTCGAATGAATTACTCAATCAGAAATATAAAAAAATTACAAAGTACAACGTCCATATTAGAGGGAAACTACTATACAAACATGAAAAATATCATGATTATGCCATTTGGGATTCCAAAAAGTCAGCAGCAGCAGCAGAAGAAGATCAACAAGAATGGTATCATAGCCTTCAAGAATGAGAAAAAAAAATCCCTTTCCGGGGGCCTTGGTGTCTTGATGCTGCAGGGGAGGGGCTCATTTCTTGTTGAATATCCCGAAGATGGATTTGATAGCGTTGATGGCACCCTCGTTGATGAACGACTCATCAAACCTCTTCACGAGTGGCTCAAAATCCTCCGAGGCTCTGAGATTACTCATATCTGGGTCCGTTCGAATTCTCTTCAGAAACAAGAGAAAGAACACAAGAAAAATGGAAACACGGTCAGACCCAGTTGAAAAAACCCAGCAATTTTTAAGGGACCGTCAAAGAAGAAGAAGAAAATGATGATGATGATGATGATGATGATGATGATGATGATGATGATGATGATGATGATGATGATGATGATGATGATGATGATGATGATCATTTCCACAACATGATCCCGGATTTGGAAGTGCACCTTGAAGTCTTCGAATCCTGCCTTAAGTGCATCCTCCAGTGCTGACAATCCCGCCTGGATCTGCAACAAGTCCGATCTCTCCCACCATCAGCCCTCAGATAATCAAATTATCCGGGAGATAAAAACATTCAATCAAAGTGGACAAGTAGATATTTATGGGGAACCCATCACCTGATTTAGCTTGGAATAGCAGCAAGCCACGTTGTAGCTTGCCACTGAGGATTCGTCCAGCTCGGGCTTAGACCCAAGCACTGACTCGAACTTCTCCAGTGCCTCCTCATACTTGCCACTCCTGGTGATGTCAATGCGGCGAAGGAGAATTATACCCGGAAGATTAAATTCCCAAAAGGAGACTTATGGGAGCGTACTTGTAAAGCCTGAGCCCTTCACGGAGATCGTTCTCCCGACCCTCCTTCTGCTCCTTCTTCCGCACGTAGTTTTGCATCTGAAACCAAAGTTTTGGGCATGATTTTGACACGATGATGATGGATAAAAAATGTTTGACCACAAATAAAACATGGTGGACGACAGCAAGTTGCGGAAATTTTGGGCTTAGCAGAGGAAAATCACCTGAATTTCCCTGATTCTGTTGCTGATGAAGCCAGCGTTCCTCTCAGCTCTGATGATCTCCTTCTCAGTTAGCTCGCCGCCATCATCCATCTTGCCTGAAGAGAAATTTTTTAATTCAAACGAGATAGTAAAATCAATTGATTGATGGTCAGAATCAGCCAGGAGCAAACCATATCGCTTCTCCATCTTCATGAGCAGGGGGCCAATTCTCTGTCGGATGGTGTACATCGTCCGCCCATACTCAGCGGCGGGCCATATCTCTTCTCCGAATACAGCACTGCACACAAGATTAAATTCTTAGTTACAATCCAGCTTTGAGGGCAGAAATTTTTTTCTTTGGTTTTTCTATTAGATCCTAAAATGATTGGCTACCTAAAAAAAATCTTTTTTTTGCCTCGCAGCAAATCCTAAAAAATTTAACTAAAAAAGTGGTCTTAATCACTATAAGAATAAGTAAAACAAGTAAAACAAGTAAAAAAAAATGACCTTAATCATTAGATGGTTTTCCAGCTACCTAAAACCAAAATACCCAATTTTCTTTTTCTTTCTAAAAACACCTCACACAATCTTGAACGGAGAGTTATTACTGATCTAAAAACGCCTCAGAGAATATATATATATATATGTATATATAATTCATGGAAATTTTAAATATGTATATATATGTATATATATGTATATATAAAATCGCTTGGGTTTCAGCCGAGAAATTTTAAATGTAATGTAATTCCTATTTAGTGAGCTGATTCACCCTCATTTCAACCGAATAAGCTCATTTCAAGGGTTTGAAGCTATGACCAAACATAAACCACACTCTTAAATGTCTATTAGTAAAGAAAGTTCTCAGTTCCATCATGGAAAGAGTTCGATTCCTAAGCAGAGGAATCATCACGGCAGCTGAAAAATCTTCAATGGGTTGATTCTTAAATGCAGATTAGGAGGAGGGAATCCGAGCGAACCCAACCAGCGGATGAACAGAAACCCAGATCGGTGACAGAGAAATTAGGGAAGAAATTCCAACCTGGTTGCGATCACTTTGTCCCCGACAGTGAACTTCCCCGTCTTATCGGCCGGTCCTCCCGGGGCAATGGCGTCGATGTAGGTGCCGCCATCCCTGCCCTTGAAGAACTTCAACCCGTATGGCTTATCCAGCTCCACCTCGTACTCCTTCTCTTCGGTGGTCTCATCGTCGTCCGACGGCGAGGGCTGCGGCTGCGCCACTGAGGAGGAGGACGACGACGACACCCGCGCCGCCAGCCCCGCCGGCGGAGCGCCGCCGCCGCGGGGGCCGAAGGGGCGATCAAGGGGAGGTGAGAAGAAGAGGGTCCTGGAGAGAGAGATGGGAAGTCTCTGCTTGGTGGGCTTCCTCACGGAGAAGGGTGGAGAGGGATACAGAGATGGGTTACTGATCGAAGCCATGGAGAGACGGCCTCAGAAGCTCTCTCTCTCTCTCTCTCTCTCTCTCTCTCTCTCTCTCTACCCACCGTCCCCGAGAGAAGGAGAGAATGGAAGATGGGAGCTTTCTGAAGAGGGGGAGAGAGCGAGAGAGAGGAGAGGTGGGGATTGCATTGGAGGGAAGGAGATGCCAGTGGCTGGCAGGATGGCCGTGTGAGCGCTTCTGTGGGAGGGGGAACATAGGCCACAAGAACCAGGATCGAGGTACGCAACGAAACAGGATTCGCCACGTTGTCAGCTCCCAGCAGGCGCATGTGGAGCCCACAGAGGCGAGCCCAAAACTACATGGATGATACGGAATCTCAAGAAGGTGCTGATGCTAACGTCGGGCCGGGCCCGGTGGACTCCCGCTGCTTCAACGTATGGGGAAGAAAAAGCCCGCGATTAACATCAGCCCGGACTGGCTCATGCATAGGAAGCTTAATAAATAAGCCCTTTTCCCCTATGATTACGGATTTTACATGAAAAATGATACAGAGTTGCATCATGTGGAGGCCTCATTACCTAAAGTACAACAGAAACTAACCCAATATTTCAAATAATTTGGTGTACTTATGAATCCCATAAAAATATATTTTAAATAATAAAACTTATTTTAAAAGTAGCCTCTGATGCCAATTGTCAGCACACTGGAGACCCATCACATCTTTCTTCTTTCGTGAGAACACCATGAGACTGGACGGGGCCCAATCTTAACTTTTCGGGCTTTCGGGCCGGCAGGCCCATCTACGGGAGAGCCCACAGCAACACTCCGTCGGCAAGATGGACAGAAAGAAAGGGTCTCTGAGGATGATAGATTTGTTGACTATACACAGGCAATTGAGCGTATTACAACCGAGGGAGAGTGGGGCCCACGGATGTGAGGTCAACGCTACGGAGATGGCCTGGAGAGGTACTGGAGCCACTCCTCGGGGACACCCCTCCGGGACTTGAGCATCTTCAGCGCTGCTGAGGTCAACGGGATGGAGAGGATGTCGTAATCCTTCGGGGCCTGCAAAAATGAAAGAAAAAGAGAAATTTTCATCATCATCATCATCATCATCATCATCATCATCATCATCTTCTTCTTCTTCTTCTTCTTGATCTTCTTCTTTGAGGCAATTCATCAAGCAGGTGGGTCGTGTTGCAGGTTTTTTGGGGGTTCAGGGCAATTCAGTTCATCACCCACCTTGGGGGGCTTGATCAGCTTCATGTTGGCCTGCTCCAAGGTCTTCTGGCCCTTCTTCGAGTTGCATCTCGAGCAGGCGGTGACCTGGAATGGGAGGGCAGATAATTTCCAGGGTAAAAGATTTATATTTCTATTTTTATTTTTTATTTTTTCCTCCAACGAGAAAAAAAATACCATCGACGGAAGCAGGACCATACATATTCCTATTTTAAAATATTAAAAAACACCCTTTTTACTAAATCACAAGAACTTCGGAGAAATAATGTGATTACAGCAATGGTATTGGCCGGGGCCCGGCTCAAATGGGCCCAACTTGGGCCTCATCCCATCTGCCACGTGGGTGATTTCAGGATAGCCACGTAATTTGGGTGATCTTTGCTGGATCCTACAGAAGCCCAGTGCAACCAGCTCACAGAGGGACAAATAGAATGAGACTGAGAAATGAGCATATACCAGATTCTCCCATTTCCATTCGCCACCCCTTGAAATCGGCATTACGTGGTCAATGGTCAAATTCTCCCGCGAACAGCAGTACCTGATCGAAGCAATTTTCTGATAAAAACCTTGAAATCCAATGAAATAATATAAAAAAAAAAAACAAAAGAGTTGATTTTTTCTCAAATATCTGAAAAAGGATAATATCAGAAAATAAGCCTAACAGAAAAAAAAAAAAAACTTTTTATCAGATTCCTCCTGACAGTTCAAAAATAGCAAAATCCATACAGAGCCAATCCAACCCCTCCGACCTCAGCTTTTTTTTTTTTCCTTTTCCAGTATCAGAGAAGTAGCAAGGGATGTTTTTCTGATCCAAAACAGAGATCGATCGAGAGATTTATAAAATCTCACAGTAATCCTCAAGAGACATTGCTCCCGATTCAAGAAGCTCTTCAAGACATGATTCCGATATCGGCATCTCTCACATTCAAACCAGATCAAACCAAAATGCATCACTTGATTTCTATGGAAGAGAAAAGCTTGTGATTTTCTAGATAATATCCGATGCAAAAATAGTTCAGTAAGATATAGTTTTTTTCTAGCATTTTCACATCGAATCTTCGTAATTAATGGGGTCAAAACTTTCACATATTGGATACTGGCCAAGGTATTTTCCGAGGAAAGTTCAAAAAAAAATAAAAAAGAGAAAGAAAATTGCACTTCTCCCCAATAAGAACAAGAGTAAAATTAATCTCGGAGAACAAATTAGGATATAGTTGGGTCGTTGACTTTCAAACAAAATATGGCTCAGAGAAGCACTTACTGGCAAGTGTACGAATCTCGATAAAAAATACTTTTACGGCTGAGGTTGTGTTTTATCCTTCTTCTCTTAACAACTTGCAACAAATGAGGCACCTGGAAGCGGGAGACACACCACACCGATGAGCAGGACTCGAGATTTCATCTTAATATATATATCAGGAATAAAAGTCAACTCAGGCCGCTCTAATTCTGCCGACAGGCAACTATTACAATGTGGTTGACATGTGCATGAGGACTAAAGATGGTAAAGAACTTAGATTCATCAAGATCAAGAGATTGCTACGGTTTTTATGCATGAAAGCTGCGAGGAATGGATCGAGAGGAGCGTTTGTAGATGGAGTCGGAGAGCGGATTAGTTTACCCTCAAGACTGCTGGGATGTAGAAAGATCCTCGAGAAGAAGGCACCGTCTGATCATAATATTCCAGAACATCAGCCTGCCAAGAGAAACAAGATCGACGGGGTGCCATGATCATGGGTTCCGTTCAATTTATTTCGGAGGAGATGACAGCAGATGTCTGACAGGTGGATCATAGAATGCTGACCTTCTCCATGAATTCCAAGCAGATAGCACGCCGCCAGCAAACGACATTGACGGGCCTAGAAGAACACAGGAATGATCAGATCCAATTCAGAATAAAGTCTGAAGCTTTAGTTGCTAACAGGGCTACCCGGAAATGCAAATCGAAAGATGGAAGAGGAAAGTTTGCGGTAACCGAATGCGCAATGCATGAATAAACAGAAAATCAGCACAGAAAGCTTCATTCCTATACGGACTGGACATCATCGTCTTCTTCCTGCGCCCGCCTGTTCAGAGTTCATCCTCAGATCCTGGGATGAACCAGACGACGGACAAGATTATGGGCGGGGTGGGTCCTGAGAGAAGCCACCGCAATCAGAGCCTCCGGAAGTTCCCTCGACTCAGACAATAGCGGATGCCGTGAATTAAATGGAAAAATCGTCGCGTGTCAGACGGATTTCTCCAGACTATTACAAGCAAATCAAGGGGAGGTCCTTGGAGATCGAATCAAAGATCGCAGACCTGTAAGAAACGTCCAGGACAAGGCCCCTGAAGCATGACAGCTCGTCGCTCTCGAACTCCTCGTCGTCATCGTCGCCATCGTCCTCGCCCGCAACATCCGCCACACGATCCCCGCGGGAACTGCCGCTTTTCCTGCTCATGGCGGAGACACGGCAAGAAACCCTAGCGAGCTGGGTCTTCCTCGTGTCGCTGCACCGGCGAATCTCAACTGGGTTCTTGAACAACGCCATCCCGCCGCCGCCGGCGCCTCCGAACGTAAACGGACGCCATTCTCTGGGATCACAATCCTTCTCCCCGCCGAAGGGCAGCCTGAGACCCACGCGGGCGGTGAATCTGGCCATGGGAGAGCCGCCGATCTCCAGGAGGAAGTGGACCCAGTGCCGCCGGCGAGATTTTGGAGCCGGGCTTTCAGCAGCCGCCAGTTGAACCCATTTACCTTCTCTTCGTCTCGTCCATTTTTTTTCTCTGCCCGTTTCCTCCGACCCGGGCTTTGGGTGCTTCCCTCAAAAACAAAAAAAAAACAGAGAGCCCCCGCCATTAGAATCAAGGATTCCTCACAATCCCCCGAAAAACTGGGTTAATGGCTGACAAGATGGGCGATCCCGCGCTGCAGAATTGCACCCGGCTGGGATTTTCTTCCATTGGAGTGGTAGTATGGTGGACCCTGTTGTTCAGTCCAGGAAGCAACCGGGGGGTGATGGGACAGCATACTGGCCGGAAGAAGGAAGGGCTTCGCGCAACTCCTCGGACCACACGCCGCAATTCCGCTTGTAGAATTCTCTGGCATCCGCCGGAGAATATCCACCGCTACTTGGAATGGAGGGTGCCCCAGAAAAATGATAATTTGTGCAAATAACATATATTTAATTTTCTATTAATAAAGTACTCATTCAACGAGCACGTGAAAAAATAAAAAACTTATTTATACTTTTTGGATTCTATTTTTTTTAATTTTATTGAATTTATTCATATTATAAATAGATTCATCTTAATTTTTATAAAAATAAAATATAAAGAGTCTATGTGCCCACGGTTGGTTCACTTTAAAGACTCTATAAAGCCTGAGCTAGCAAAATATGTCTATAGGTTGTCCTTTAAAATAAGATCTATAGACAAAATGAAGTACATTAAGGTGTCTCTATGATAAAGTCAAAACTTTGAAGATAGCCAGTTCATAAGATGTTATCACATTGCAACCTTTAACCCCAATCATGAACCACTATCTAGGATTTCTCAATTAATGCCATTAAATCTTCTAAATTCTTTGTCAAAAAGTTCTTCATTTATTTGTATTTTTATTTTACACAAAAGCATGTGGAAAACAAAACAATATATTGAATGTTTTAAAAGAGTCATTTAATCTAATCTTTAAAGCTGTAAAATAATTATTCTCCATCCTTTTTACTATTAAATGGTGTTAAAAGTTTTCAAAAGTAGAAATAGATGCAATTATGGCCCTGATTAATGCCTTGAATTTGCCAAGATAATAAGAATCACATCCACTTAGACAAAAGAGTAATCAAACAAACCATGAGCTTTTATTTTATCATGTTTACATCTACTGGCCTTAAAATTTGTAATTAATCTTCAATTAATAAACTTTAGACTACTACAAACATATTAAATTATGCTTAAAGTCATTGGTCTAATCTACGATGTAATCGTTGCCCAAACAACCACGTGCTTGAATCAATTGACATTTTCATCCCCAAATAAAGAAACTTTTCTGGATGTTAATGTCTTATCTTTCAAACTATCTAGAGGAGAGTATAATATGTCGTAGATTAGACATCAGCATAAAAGTACTTGGACTTATGGTTGATTCTCTCCCCTATATACTAAATAGGATATTGGGCGGTAATGATGATGATAATGGAATGAGATTAGTCAAGAGGATTTTTATAATAAGTACATTGAAATAAATGGGTACTTATAATAAAATTCTCCAAATAAGAGACCAGTCCCTCATACTTGTTGAGTACTTTTGGATATCTTTTCTTTATTATCTTTTGTAGAACTTTGGCGTTATGATAGAATACCAATCTTGCCATGTTGGTGAAAGCCTCAAATAGATGTTGAAATTATTCATGTTAAAAAAGATATGGAACTAAGTTGTGGAACATATGAGAAGTTGAGAATTTGAGTTGAATATGGGAGATGGTCTACATCAAAATTTACCCATATAAATGAGATCATTGATCTAAGGATCAAACTAAAAGCTATTATCCAAGTATTTCGGTCTATTTAATATTCTTACCAAAATTAGTATAGTGATATGCTAGGCAAACCTAGTGGCAGTCCCCAAGATCCACCTCATTTTCATGTCTCCCCACCAAAGAAAATTGTGTCACACTTACATTAGAAGTAGAGAACTACATTATATCATTATTCTTTGTGATACAATCATTTAAAAATCAAACAATAAAATAATGGTTATCACCATTACACGTGGATTAATGAATTTAAAATGAATGATACAATTGTAAACATGTATCTAAATAAATGTGATGATACCACAACCGTATGACTTTTTAAAATATTTAAAATTTACGTATCACTATTGAATGTCATGTGTATGCAAATTATATTTCATTTGGTAATCCCCTATTGAGCATTTGATATGGATACAACTGCATCATGATGAAGACCCAAAAATTATTGATGCACATGGATGTGGTTACACTTATGATTTTGGAGAATCATGTGTTTTGTAGTTGATAAAAGATATACAAGGGTAAAAAAAGTTATTTTTTATCACTATATAAATTCAATGATTAGTCAAAATGTCAAAAATGATTATGTTTCTTGGTTATTATGTATCCCTCAAGAAATGAGCCAACTCACTTATGAGTGAGAAGAAAAAGAGAGAAGAAAAGAAAAGTAAAGCACCAATTCAATGTTTTATCAATGGTAACCCTATAATAGTAGCTGCAATAATGGATTGTGAGTTAGTAGTTAAATGTTAATAGCCATTCATTCAAATGGTTGAAATACCATTATTCAAGTCATTAGAGTCTAGGAAAAAAATTAAAATTAATTTTATACATATAAATATATATAGCCTTCTGTAATATTTCTAGATCACTACAATGAGTCGTCATCACCTCAACAACCACCAAAAGTAAATTCAAATTCTCATATTCTCCACTAATTGTAAGAGTGATTCCCTTATGATTAAGTTATATAAATCAAGACCATACTCTACATACCACAATGAAGCTGTGAGGATAGAGTTACAAACTTAGGTATTGGATTCTTGGTGATAGGAAACTATAATTATGAGTGCTTGTGGTCACTCATGCCTTTCTAAGGCTGCTAATTTGGAAAAATGAGATAGTTTTATAAATCAGGTGGTCGATCTCCTAAACCCATGGTAGAGGAGATTATTGGTTGTTAATGTTGTCTGCCCTTCTAGACTTATAAATCTAGAAGTGTATGAATGATAATTATGCATACATTATAGCAAGGTGTATGAATGATAATTCCATAACACTGCCATAAAAATACTAAAAAATAAGTTAAATGGAAGACATTCACATGACTAGATTCACCAATAACTTCTTGACATAATGACAACATACAATTTATAACAAAATATAAAGCCAAGTCAACGATATGAATGATAGAAGGCTATTCACAATACTGATTTCACAATTACTCTTGACTTTATAAGTAGAAATGAATAATTGAAGTCATGATAGTAGGAACCTCATTTTTGGTGCAAATTCATGTCCTCATTGCACCATGCATCTACACATAGGTGCCACCTGTACCCAACTCATGATGCATCTTGGTGGTGCGTGCTAGTAGTGAGAATCTATATGTAGAGAATGATGTCACTCTTCCATGGTGTAGTCACCACAATCTACCAAGCTTAGCCCTACCCTCTATTTTTAAGGAAGGGGTGGGGGGGTGTTGACTATCAAACCTTAGAATAGGGGCTGGTCAACTCCTTGCCACACATACCCACCTTGCATAATCTGATGTGCATTTGTTGTTTGATGAATATACAGTAAACCATTCATTGTTCAAGTAAGTATTTACTAAAAAGCCTCCCATCTGTCTGTGCGTGTAAGTCAGTGGGGAGAATGAAGTCTGAACCACGGTTGAGTGGTGAAATTTTAACATCTCTACATAGATGATATACAGTCGGATCAAGATTATGTAGTGTTGTATCCGAACCGTTAAGTTACCTTACTACCAGCGTTGTCAAACGCGGCTATAAATATGACAGTAGGGTTTAGCGGGGAAAGCCCTCGGAAGCGGCGGGAGCAGGGGCGGCGGCGTCTCCTTCTCCAGGTCTGCGCGTGGTGCTTCTCTTCGTATACTGACCTTCTCTAGGGAGGATCGTAGCGGTAATTGGTCGCCTAGTCTCTCCGTTGGGTTTTCGGCTCTGGGCGACCCGGCATTTGGCCATCTCTTGGGCGGTCTCGTTTCTCGATCCGCCGGTCTCTCCCGCTTCCATGGTCGTTTTTGTGTCCCCTTGCCGATTTCTTTCGCCGATGTGCCTTCGCTCATCTCTTTTGCTCTGGATTTTACGAGTGGGTTTCGCCTGTAGTCTGTGTTTATCTGTTCCATTGGACGTTTCTCTTGATTCGTTCCTTTGTGGAGTTGCGTTTATTTCTTAAACAGTTTTTTTGGCCTCACGAACATCTTGTACACGAACGTATGACCGAATTATATCGATATGGAAGATCTATCGTGTTGTGCGCTCCAGGGTTTCTAAATGTTCATCTGATACGATGATCCTTTGGTTATGTAATCTTTCTGGTACAATCTGTAAGCTGGATGCTGATCTTTCTGGAGGACTTACTTTGGCCTTTTTATGATTTTTGTGGGGCAGGTCGAAGGAGCGCTGGGGGAGAGATGTCTCACCGTAAGTTTGAGCATCCCAGACATGGATCCCTCGGTTTCCTGCCTAAGAAGCGTGCATCTCGCCACAGAGGAAAAGGTGGCGCTGCTCACTCTTTAATTATCAGATAGCAGATTACCTCTTCTATTCAAGTTAATCTGATTTCAGACGGTGAACAATTGCCTGATAAAAACTCTCGCCATGCTTGTGACGCCTCTTTGAACTTCGTATCTTGGAGTTTCCATTAGTGGCCTGAGGCCTCAATCTGATCAAGTCGTACCAAAAAAATAAAGTCATTCATTGTAATTCCGTTGTGTTTCCGCTGTGAGCTGGTACTGGTAGTCTTTCGCGAGCAGACTGGAGATGTAGTTAGTCCTTCCACCTTTTTTTTCTCCATGTTGTAAAACCATTATCAGATGTATCAACGTCCGTTATCCTGCTGTTCAAGATGTTTTTCTCAGAATGTGTCTAATATTCTTTTGGATAAACAAGTTCTGTAGCTATTGTTCATTGTTCTTTTGACTTCTTGATGCAGTGAAGGCCTTCCCCAGGGATGACCCATCTAAGCCGCCCAAGCTTACTGCTTTCCTTGGATACAAGGCTGGAATGACACACATTGTGCGAGAGGTTGAGAAGCCCGGATCAAGTGAGTTTCATCCATTACCACGACCTACCATTGCTGTTGTCTCCTCATGCTTCCGCCTAGTGAGATGGCATATTTGCACAGTATTTCCTACATTCTTAATCTGCTGTTTCTCTGGATGCTTTCTTTTCTACTTTCAATAGCTATTGGAAATATCTTGGAGGGTCTGCATTTTTATTTTAATCGGTGGATAATTCCATGCAGAGCTTCACAAGAAGGAAACTTGTGAGGCCGTGACAATCATTGAGACCCCTCCAATGGTCATTGTCGGTGTGGTAGCATATGTGAAGACGCCTCGTGGGCTTAGGACACTCAACACCGTGTGGGCTCAGCATCTCAGTGAGGAGGTGAGGAGGAGGTTCTACAAGAACTGGTACAGATCCAAGAAGAAGGCCTTCACCAAGTATTCAAAGAAATATGAGACCGACGACGGAAAGAAAGACATCGAGGCCCAGCTGGAGAAAATGAAGAAATATGCTTCTGTCATCCGCGTTCTTGCCCACACTCAGGTTCAGAAAAAAGAACCCCTCGTCCTCGTTCTCTCTTCTCCATTTTTTTTAATCTGATAATAATTCCCATAAGATTGGCCGTTTATTTTTGTGCTTAATTCAGATAAGGAAGATGAAGGGCTTGAAGCAGAAGAAGGCCCACCTGATGGAGATCCAGGTCAACGGGGGGACTGTCGCAGAGAAGGTGGACTACGCCTACAGCTTCTTCGAGAAGCAGGTCCCAGTGGACGCCCTCTTCCAGAAGGATGAGATGATCGACGTGATCGGCGTCACCAAAGGAAAAGGCTACGAAGGTGTGGTGACCCGATGGGGCGTCACCCGCCTGCCTCGGAAGACCCACCGAGGGCTGCGCAAGGTCGCCTGTATTGGCGCGTGGCACCCTGCCAGGGTCTCCTTCACTGTCGCCCGAGCCGGGCAGAATGGCTACCACCACCGCACCGAGCTCAACAAGAAGATCTACAAGCTAGGCAAGTCCGGCGACGAGTCCCACACCGCCATCACGGACTTCGACAGGTCTGACTCTCCATCACTACCCTTCAATCCGCTAAATAACTAAAATTCTCCCTACCACCCAATGTCATCATATCATATGAGACCATATCAAATTGATGTGTTTTATTATATCTGCTGTAAGAAGTTCACCATACCATATCATATCATTTCAAATTGATTTATTTTATTATATCAGCAGTAGAAGCAACCCAAGCAAGTAGCAAGTATATAGTTCATTATATCACATCAAAATTGATGTATTTTATTATATCAGCATTAGAAGCAGCAAGCAGCAGCAGCAAGTATAGTTCATCACATCAGATCAGATCAGATCAAATTGATGTATTTTTGTTGTGACCTTGCAGGACTGAGAAGGATATCACCCCGATGGGTGGGTTCCCCCACTACGGAGTGGTGAAGGACGACTACCTGCTGATCAAGGGCTGCTGCGTGGGTCCAAAGAAGAGGGTGGTCACCCTCCGCCAGTCCCTCCTGAGGCAGACCTCCCGGGTTGCCCTGGAGGAGATCAAGCTCAAGTTCATCGACACCTCTTCCAAGTTCGGCCATGGCCGCTTCCAGACCACCGAGGAGAAGCAGAAGTTCTACGGAAGGCTCAAGGCCTAACAGTGGTAGTTTAGAGAGAGAAACCCCGCCTCCTCGAGCTCGTCTTCTTCTCTCTGAATCCCCGCGGACATGAACAAGCTTCCCCCCCCCCTCCCCCAAACCCCTCCTCGTGAGTTTTGTTTCATTCTTGCGATATTTATGAAAGAAGACTAATTTGTCTGGATGTTCTTACAATTTTCCCAACTCTTGTGCTAGCTCATACAACTCTTGCCTCATATAATAATGATAATAATAATAAAAAAATAATCTTAGCTCGCTTACCTAGATGGTCAAATATGGATTTCTACATGGGCTGTCGATCGTGTGGAAGAAGACTAGGACTGCTGCTAGGATGGCAGCTTTTAAGTGGGTTGACCTGAAAAGTTAGCAGTTTTCTTCAGTCCTAGAAAACTGAGAGGACGATTTTGACCTGCGGGATGACCCAATTGCTAGCATTCTTCCAAGGAGGCGGGCCTTTGAAATCCTCATCCTCCCCCGTAGATCAAATCTAAACGAGGGTACATGCCAAAAGGAGAAAGCACAGGCATTTGACAGATTAAATTGCCAAAAAAGGCAAGCCGTGACAAGATCAGTTGTTTCTTGAAAGAACATTTTCGGACCCAGAGAGGGAAAAAGAAGAGGGAGAGACCCGCCTCCGCCGCCGCCCGCCGCCGCCGCCACCGCCTTGAAACCAACGACTAGGAGACCAAATCCCTCGCGTCCACAGATCCCCGCCGCCGACCTGATGAAATCAGAAGAAGATCTGGGCCCTGGCAGAGGGATGGGAGAAACCCTGCCGCCACACCGGCATGGAAACTGAGATATTTACACTGCTCTCTGAGGCCGGCCATCTGGGCAGGAGCTCCCCAGTGCAAAATCGTCTGCAACAGCAGAGCTGGTCATTGATCCAACCATAATTCAATGCAGAGCTTGTGTTTGTTAGCAAGATCATGAGAATCCGTGGGGACTGTTCATGGAGCTGGCACACATGGATGGGGAAATACTTTTCTTTTTCCTTTTTCTTAATTTTTTTACCCCACAATTTTAAATCTGGCAATGAATTAACGCATCATATGGTAAAAAATATGAATGAAGTTAGGGGTCTGGGTTGACTTCAGGGGCAATGTCTTTTATCATGCAAGCCAACAAAAATCTCTGGAGTCAGACAGTTTCTTGCTTGCTTTTTAATGGGAAGATGTATTCTGAAGGAAGGACTGCTCTCATCTGCCGACAAGACCATCACCACTTATGAGAAAAGTTAGAGAGAGGAAGTGTATGCCTGTGGATGATACTGAGTGAGGTGCAAGGAAGTAATTCTGGAGGCAGAAACTGATCCGAATTGGATCATCCTCCAAGGAGAGTAACTACAGGAACCCGGCCAACCAACTGATGGTGACAGAGACAGAAGATCCAGACCTGTTTGGGTTATTCTCTTTTGTGGCAGCTTCCCCCGGAAATACTTGGATCACACCCTTTTTTTTTTCTTTCTTTTTTTATTTCTAAATCAGGGTGTTCACCTAGAGTGGATCATACCCAGTGATGCAATATATCACAAAATTATTTGGCAATCTCTATTTATGAGCAATGATGCAGGTGATCAGCCGGAAAGAAGAATCAAGGGGATCGATCATCAATAGAAGAATCAGATCAATAAAGCGGGCTGCCGCCAGTAATGTTGGGGGGGAATCTCGGACTACTTGTTTTCAAAAACTTATACAGGGCCTCGATTTCTTTAAGTGAAGCCAACACGGGTCCAAACAACTCGGCAGGACTTCAATGCAAGATACTTTCTTTTTGCTGTATTTTTGATATGATGTTAATGGGAACATAGATCCCCGCGTAAAAGAGCTCGAAAAAAATTCCATGTCGAAACAAAAACGCATACCATTGCTGGCTTTTCCTGAACTCTGTCAACACTGGGTATATGTTCTCAAATGCTGTATAGGTCTCCTCTCTCACCTAAAAGAGGATTGAAAGTGGTCGAGTTAGGAATGAAAAACAAAAGGAATACAAAAAAGGTAAGAAAAATTGATTACTTTTGCTCCAGTGAGCACAATCTTCCCCGAAACGAAGATCAGCAGCACAATCTTTGGTTGTTTCATTCGGTAGATCAGACCAGGGAACAACTCTGGTTCATACTGTAAAAAACCAACACGCAGTTGATTACAAAGCACACTTGGAAACAAAAAGTACTTTTTTCCAAACGTGAAAAATAAAAGGAATGTGGAAGAGAAAGAAATAAATCAAAACAGATCATTTATAAACCCTAATAAAACACAGTATTTGTTCTATACTGTTGTTCGAATGGGAGACAATAATAGGATCGGCAGCACTTTATGAAATGTCCAGCATCTAATTTCTAGATTGGGTAACGAGGATATGCTAAATCTGCATCAAAATTAGATCATATCACATTCTACAATAAAAGAAGAACAATCATAGAGCAGAAATAATATCAATAAAAAAGCCTTTGTGCACTTTTATCTTCCCAAAGGTGATTTCTCTAGCACAGCTTGGTAATGTCTAGAGCTGTCACAGATCTAACCCGAACCAAGAATTGCCAACTTCCAACAAGTTGCTAGATCTCCAGATAAATAATGTCTGTAAAATTATGGGGTCACGAACTGATTGAATGAATTGAATATTTTGCATTAAAGACTTAATGTTAAAGTTTAAGAGACTTCTTAGAATCCTGACAACCACATCAGTAATATAAACTGAATAAATTCTCTCAAAGGCACATTTTCCCAAGCGCTACACATCTCTGCCTTCACCTTGTAACCGTTCCTTTCTCCTCTGGTATTATAACTGTTGAAGAGCTTATTAAAGTATATGTGAGAGAATAAAGTTAGAGAGGAACCCAAGATTCTCTAACTAGACTTAACTTAAAACCAACTAAACGTTGCAAGAGCTGATTAATACTGTAGAAGTAGAATCATCTGTCACTTGTCCACTTCTAGAGCTCGACACTTAATACCTTTTTTTTAATATCAATAGAGAAAAGCCCTTTTCTCAATAATCGCAAGCTCAATCAGGCATGAAAAAGGAGATCCCAAGACAGCCAGAATGCATGGAGAATTTTCCTTTCCTGATTAAGGGATATATGCCTAAGACATGCATATTGCCACTATACTTTTTAAATCCTTGTCACCAGTGCAAGCTTAATACGTGATCCCGAAAACTCGTGCTACTGGTTATTTAAACCCTTTATATTCTTTACATTTCACAGAGAAAACTCATGAGATTTCCCAATAGTTAAGCAAGCGGAATTTTAATCATGTAGATATAACAACTCACACTCGAGAAAGCGCCATGAGAATAAGCCAGACCCTCCAGCCTAATAGGAAATTTGACATCACAAGAGCCAACAATGTTCTGGACCTTGAAATCCTGAGGAGGAATGAAATGGCACGATGTCAAGATCGCTGTATCAAGACTAATAATCATCCACAATGAGTACGCGAAACCATCAAACATCCCTAAAACTAAGATAATTCTTACCTTAAATTTGGCCGGGAAACCAAGCTTCTGAATGATCCGAGCATACTAGTGATACAAAGTATCATATTAGATGAAAATCTTTAACTATAACGAAAAAATAGATCCGAAAGGCCCAATCAACCCCATGAGATGCAAATACTGGTCACAAAACATAAGCAGTAGCTTATACCTTTCGTGCTGCAAGTTTTGACTGTTGTTCACTTTTTGCACCTGTGCAAACCTGATGGCAAAAGCAAGAAATGTATCATGACAAAGAAGGAATTGCGAAACAAAGGTCATGACAGAATGAACATCAAATGACTTGGCAGCGAAAAAGTAAACCACATAAATGAACACTTCATACCTGTTTTCATTTAGATTTCAATGGCGACATCAAAATGTAAAACCATTTATTTTTATGAAAAACAAGATAGCTCAAACTACAAAAGGACTCTACAATATGAAAATGTGGCATCGAATACAAATAAATTCTATACATTATTTCCACGAAGCACTTTATTATACTCAATATTCGCCCTTTGCATAAATCAAAATATTGGACTCAGTGAAAAAAAGAAACAAAAGTAACCCAATTCTATAGGGATCTGCGATTAACCAAATAAAATATCTACACAATGTGCACTGAAAAAATAGAGAAATATGTCATATTTACATTCACAGGGAAATACATCTGATTAAATCAATTCTTTAATGAACAATCATGCACAATATCACTCACCATCTTTCCAGATGCAAAAATTAAAGCTGTCGTTTTGGGTTCCCTGATTCTCATGATAACCGCAGCAAAACGCTGTAAAAAGCCACATAGATAAATGGTTGTTTAGTTAACTCCTAAGTAATATTAGAAATAAACAATAGGGTTTCATGCAACAACTAGCTGTGCGTATAGGTATAATGAACAATCCATTAAGTAAGAAATCATTAGGGTTTCATGCGACAACTAGCAACAGTATAGGTATAATGAACACACTCAAGATCGAATGATCCATTCATAACGAAAGATAATACTTGTCATGGGAACACAATAAGGTACCTTTCCAGAACAGATCAGGTAATATTTATACAGGAGTACCACCAGCTGCTTTCCCAAACCAATTGCCCAATGATATCGAATACGAAATACAATAGATATATATATATATATATATATGCATACGTACATACATATACCGAATGATTTCATACCTTGGGGTTGTACTCTGCATTACGTGCTTGTAATGCGATGGCTTTAAGATCTAACTTGCAGTCTAAGTTAACAGTAGATACAATATTCCTGTTATTAAACAATGCAAAAATTTAGATTTCCAGGGCTCAGATATCTTGAAATAAGATATATAACACTTCTCTCAGCTGAAACATTGGAAAACGATTGTAGAAGATGTTACAACAGATTTGATTAGCCACATCATTCGCATGACAATTCTAGATAATCCAAAATAGTGAAGACGTGCTTGATGTAGGCCACAGGCCACATTTACGTTTACAAAAATTAACACAACGCAGTACACAGACCATGTAGGCCACATCTTTAAATTAACAAAAGTTGGCACCGGGTAGCGGACAGTAAACATCAATGTTACTGGAATGTGTGAATTACAATTAGATCGATTATTATATCCAGAAATCAGCAACTATCTCTTGATTCATTTTTCACCAGAAAAAAATTTAAAAAGAAGCAAAGTGGAGATAACTACTCAGTGAGGAAGACATACTAAAGAAAAGACATTATTATGAAATAGAAGGCAATCTAGACGGGCAACATATCACCATACCAATTCCATCAAGAGACCTCATATAAAAGCACAATATCTACTGAAAGCCTGAAGTGTTATATAACATTTACTAGTAGCCTAGAAGCCTCTCTCCTCACATACGGTTAACTCCTAAGAACAGTAAAACTGGGATCATACGGCTTATCTTTGAATGGTAGATGGTTCTTGGCATCAATACTACTTCCACATGCCTACTTAAAAAACGAAGAAAACAATATTTCTAAAACATGTTTTTCGAAAAGTAGGCCGCACAGCTGAAGTTTTCTTATTATGCTTCTATATTCACACCCTAGTCCCACAAAATTGTCTGGTATTTCAACGATACACTTGTCCCAAGTTCTTTTCTAGGAGTTGTAGTTATATATTTGACACTGAAAAACTTACAATATCCACAATAGTAGAAATGTAACACTAACAGCTTCTTAATGACCCAGTTTCATTGACCTTTTTCAGAAAGACAAAAAATACAAACTTTTGATCATCCAGATAACAATTTAATTATTTAAGAGGGCAGAATAAAATAGAGTGAACAAAGTACTTCTATCGAGATTATATTTATATGGCACCCTACTTAGTGAGTAAGAAAAAAACCTAAGACAAGAAACTATTTTAGCCAGATGCACTTTAACAATTTCTTGTATGGTCATAGCCACTCCTATCGTATTCTTTAACTAATCAATCACTAGATAGTTAACACTGAGAAAACACTGAAGAAGAAAACCCAGGACTCGTCAGTGAGATAACGACGAGAGATTTCGAAGACCATGCACGTCATAACCCCGCAACCGCATCCACGTGGAAAACAGTGGAAAAAGTTAGAACATGTATGGGCTCGTCGCAAGATAATATTAACAAAAGAACATCTTCACTGTTCCAAACGTAAGGGACTTTCTAGTCCACAAATTTCTGACCATGAATATTCCAATATTGATCAGACATAGAAGAGAAAAGGAAAGGTCAAATCAGACATGAGATTTAGAAATAGAGCCTTTAACACTCTCAAGGGACAAGGGGGATTGGGTAGCCTTGCATGAAAAAATGACTCACTGAAGTGTTGGAATAATCCCGGACGGATGCTTAGAAAAATCAACAGGCTGACTGCTTCCTTCCATAACCTGGTCTGCCATGTTCTCCTCAACTTGTATCCCTCAGATTCCTCCTCGGCTTCCCTTTTACGTTCCCAGTTTTTGTCGTATTCCAGGCAGAGGAGAACCCAGAGGAACAAATGACACAAAATTCTTTTCAAGCTATACACAACATAAATCACGGGTGCTCAAGAAGGCCCCCTTCTCAAACAGATCCAAACAGTCGCCCTTCCAACTCAGCCGTCTCCAACTAGAACAAGCCCAGAATCAACCCTGGAAACAGCGATTACAAAGGTCTCCTGGACGACCGCCAATGGGCAACAGCGACTCAAAATCACGGTCAGAAGGAGGATCCGGGCTGGGCAATTCAAATACGACCCAGATCTGAGCGTGGAACAGGGCAAGGGCAAAGCCACTGTGGTTCCCCCAGCAAATCACCGTCAAATCGGGCCGCGCTTCTGCAGAAAGAATTGAGAAACCCAATTCCGCCCGACCGCCTGGGAGACGCTGAGCCTCCTTCCTCGAGGAAAGACGGCACAATGGCTCGATCTGCCGGTGCAAGATTTGAATGGGGCCCTGCTTTATAGACGAGGATTGGGGGGAAGAGAGGTCGAGGACAGAGAAGGGAGAGGAAGCTATGGATTGGACGCTCGCTCTCTCTCTCTCTCTCTCTCTCTAGGGTTTTCTTCGGACAAGATGGTGGCTTATGTATGCCCCCCCGGGATATTTATAGGGAAGACCACAAGTGGTTGGCTGCAGCCGGTGGCGTAGGGGTGTATCACCGGCAACTGCCCGTCGGCGAAGCCCCGGTCCCATAGGGAGGGGGGAGCCGATCGGGCGGCAGGTTGCCCCAGAATTACTATAATACCCTCCATTGGCTGACATATTTACCATCTGCTAACGGGCGTTGTAGCCTGAGCCCAATAAAACGTCGTCCAATATGATCCAAAGAGAAGAGGTGGGCGTCGAGAGAGAGAAAGAGATAGAGGTCAATCGAAAAGAAAGTCAACCTCATCTTACTAGATATGGGGGAAAAGATGACAGAAAAGCGAAAAAAGAGCAGCTTTATGGCCATTAGAGGCATTCAAATTTACTATCAGATTTCCCCTAGTGAGGCTATGAAAGAGAAACAAAAATTAAGGATTTAGTTTAAGCCTAGTTTCTCTATCAAGAGTCAACCTCACATTAGAAACAATTTAGAAAAATACAATTTTGGGCCTCAATTTTGTTTAGTTTTTGAGAATATATAAGGTAGTTCATATGTTATCATGTGTATGATTAAGCAAGCTTTTTCTAGCAAGCATCCCCTAAAAACATCAAATAATATAATTTACATAGTTTGGAAGTTAATTTTTTTAATTAAGGTCTTTTATATAATTTTTTAACACAATAATAGCATGTAAGATAATAAGATTTGAGCTTGAATCCACAAAGTATGAACCACGAAGAAAAAATTAACTTATGAATCCACCAAACTAAAGCCTTCAACCTTTGAATCTACAAGGGGATAACTTTGAAGCCACAAGATTAATAAGGGAGCCTTTGAATCTATAATCATAAAGATAGAGATATAATAGAAGAATTTTTTTTTCATAATACTTCAAATATGTTCTCTTTAAGGTACAATAAGGGCTTTTATATAAGCATAAAAATAAGATTTAAAATATATCATAAAGATAGATTATGATTGGCTCTAAAATGACTTGAAACAAACTCTAATAGATTAGAATCTTGAATAAATCTTGAAGACAGACTTTGAATAGTATTTAAAACACTATTTAAAAGAAAAGAGACATGTTATAGCTTTCCTAACGTAAATTTTTATACTTTTGCTGAGCTCAATTAACTATTGGGCCCTCTTTGAATATTCTTTTATTAGCAGCTCAGTTCTATACTGGTTAAGCCTATAATTTCGATGTCCTCTTCGCTTTCTAAGCTCGATTCTATGCTTGTTCAAGAGGAGATATATAAGGTGATGGATTGTTTAATTTCTTCTAGCATATGGTAGACAATTCATACTTTTATAATGTGTTTTTTTTTTTTGCAATGGATGGCATTTCATTCTTTTAATGTTGATGATTTTCTTGGGTGATATATAATGGATAAAACATTATCTAGAATTTGTGCCATTTTAACAAAAGAAATCCCAAATTTAGTTTTTTTTCATGTCTTAATGGATCCATAATGGAAATATCTCAACGAAAATAATGTAACAAATAATCTCATGGCATTTTGCACTTTCTACTCACTTTCATTAATCAGAACTTTGCTTAAATCCTAGATTTTATCCAACTAGAATGAGAAATTTCCCATTTCTGGTTTTTTGAAATAATGAACCCATCAAGGCTTTTTTGAAATATGAATAAAATAATTTATTGTGGATCATTTTAGATGACAACTTTAGTTTTCAAGGTCATTCCCAAAATTATCAAACAAGTGTAAAAACTGACGAAACATATATTGTCGTAAGATATATTTCACAGTTACCTAACACTAGAGAAGAACAACCTGATAAAAAATAAAATCAGATATAATAATAAATATAAATAGAAGACTCATATAAATGGCAATCGTGATGAAACCTTGATTTCCCCCCATGGATACAACTTCTATGTTCATTTTGTTCACAAAAACATAGATTGGGTCTTACATATTCCAGATGATCCCCAGCTTCTTACAGTATGACTCAAATTATTGACCACTGAAAACACGTAAAAGGGATAAGATCTGAAACCCATCAGTTGACTCTTCTCTTCTGATGGGCGTCAAAGTCAGACCCATTTGACATTCTCAGTATTTAAGCCATTCTGTTTTTTTTTCCATCTTGCTATAAATATCAGATGAATGAACATATTTTTTACTTTTTACTTATTTAAGGTCAGTAAAGGTCAACTCAATCATGGGTAATTTAAACAAAGAGATTATAGCATATAAAATAACTTTCCACTTGATGAATTTAATGACACCATTCAGCATATTGGGCACAATAATCAAGCTTAAAAAGGAGATCAACATACATTTAAGGCAATGATGACCACTGTGTGTGTGAATGAATGATTCCCATCCATTATGAACTCCCTCCCTCCCTCCTTCCCCCCCTCCCCCACACACCCACCCCCTACTGTCATGTGGCCTAGAAAACCCCTAGAGGAACCTGGATACTATTCAACTCCTAGGATGCTAGAAAAGCAGGAAAAGTCTGAATGGAGCCCATCCTTCTCAAAGATTGCTTCAACCCTGTGCATAAAATGGGAAACCCACCATCTGGCCAAGGATCAACTCACCTGCTTCATCAGACTTCTTCCCCCTCCCCCATTTGGGCTGGCCCTTCTACCTCCACCTCCCTCATGGGGAAACAGAGACCAGCCTGTGGGCCAGGCTATTGAGATATCCGCCGTCTCTAGAGTCCTCCTACTGTTTGGCCGCTCCGTCTGTCACTTGATCCTTCACAAAGGTCCTCAGGCAGCCATTGATTATCCGTGGGGCCCCACCATCGCAGAATCGCTTCGCCAGGTCAACCGCCTTCAAGACCACAGGCATCAACAGCCATCAAAAGGTGAACGGATGGGAGAGAATGAGAGAGAGAGAGAGAGAGAGAGAGAGAGAGAGAGAGGAAGCTTGGATTGCTCACCTCATTGATGACGATCTGGTGGCGGGTCCCAATCACTGTTACCTCGGCCATAGCCAGGTGGAGGATGCAGAGCTCTATAATCCTTGCGGCGGGCTCATCCTGCAGAGTCAATATTTAGAGACATGGTGACAGATGATTCCACTTTTATCTATATATCTAGTCAATAATAAGATAATCAAGAACTGATTCCAGGAGGGATGGAGAATGCTGGGGATTGCGATAAAGGAGAGTATGGGAATTGGACAGCAACGTTAAAGGGAAAGCTAGTGCTTGAGGACTGAAATTATAAATGGAGCTTCTGGAGCAAAACTGTTCGGCAAACTTTTGTTTTTTCTTTCTGACATTTAATCAGCACATGATACTGCCCATTAAGATTTGGATGGAAATGTAATTTCTTTCTAAATGAGGACATCACTGCTAATCAGCGTGGATAACTTCTTTGTCAATGGTGAGATACAATTACCCCAATTATCAGAGATTCTCTTCATTGAAAATATGAAAATTCCTGTACTAAATCTTGGAACAGAAAGGAAAGGCAATTTGCTAAAAGACAATTTATAGAGATTGGAGATGGAAACATAACTTGGTTTCAGAAGACAGAAAGGGTTTGTGAGGAAACATTTTACGAAACAATCAGGCAAGATAAAAGATCATTAGAGAAGGTAAATCGTGAACACTCTGGAAGAAGACAATTTCCATTGTGGGTGCTCTTTAAATTGGTGTATAGAACAGGAAAAGGTTCCAAATTTAGAATATTGCTGAGGGCTGAAATTTATTTCATCTCCTTCAAATTTGAATAATTTATACACTTAAAAATCAGCTCATAAAACAATCGTGCCCACTGTAGATGATCCTCAAATCTGTGTCGTGGGGAAACAACTAGATGGGAGGGAGGGAGATATATCTATATATATATATATATATATATATATATATATATATAGAGAGAGAGAGAGAGAGAGAGAGAGAGAGAGAGAGAGAGAGAGAGAGAGAGAGAGAGAGAGAGAGATCAACATAATCCATTAAAATCTCCAGCGAGCATACCTTCCAGTTTTGGGGGATTATTTTATTGATGATAGCGACATGCTGATTCCACCTATCAGAAACAGCTTCAAGAATGTCCCTTGCAATACTGCAGAGAGTGAAAGATTTGATGAGCCATCTTTCATTGGAATAAGCCAAACCAAGAGGACTAAAATATTAGAACATGGACGATTCCCAATTTTCTTCATTACGGCTGCCAATAAATATGACAAATTAGTTGAAGTTAAGACACCAAAACTGGTACAAGGCAAAGAAAAATACCGTAAAACAAATCTGTTGTATACCAATTTGGGCGGGGCTGAAAGAACTTCTGCTTCTGCAAGAGAATATAAACATATTTACAATCTGATAAACATAGAAAGTACACACGATAACGGAATATAGAAGACAGGACAATACGACAAGGAACTTACACCAACAAACTTATAGTTCCATGCAGATTTATCACCTCACACTCACTGCGAATTTTATTACAACATATCATCCAAGCTTATTTTCATCTTATACAAGACATATTTTATTCTTATGGCTTAGTAGGCAGGAGTCTACCATAAAATGATCCATTAATGCCTAACGTGTAGCCCTAGAAATTACATCAATGCACACTGATTTCCAGTATTTTCAGAAAGTCAACCTTTCATTTTGCTGATAAAGACGTTCGGGCATGCAAACGAACCCCAGGAAAAACTAAATGGTCAGTAGGGTAACTTCATATAAAGCTAAGAAGAATATGAAAGCTTGAGCGAAGAAGATTGCATGTGAGTTATTGCTGTTGGAAGTTTCTTTTTGGTGCCAGGCCCTTTGATAAAATATGATAAAATCATTTTCTGTCAAGAGAAAGACAGAGAAATCAGGACTACAGAACCAACAAAAAAAAAATTATATCCCCTTCTATGTTCCCAAAAAGGAATCCAGGAGACACCATTAAGAGAAAACAGCACTGCGTATCATGATCAAATCAGAGAATTCAATTGCCAAATTTTCCTCCCAAGGGGTAGAGTAGCTTGTACTGATTTCTTGGTCACAAAAGCCCGAATAAATTTTGATGAAAAAATAAGAACGAATGCAGTGGGGTGAACTCTCTGGAAAATGTGAAGACGGTATTAAATGAGAAATTGGTTAAAAGTAGTAGGAGGAATCTGCAGCGTTCAGGTCCATAGAGGCATTGTTGATATATATATATCCATCAATGGTCAGCCATTGTATGGATTGGACATATTTGATCGTGTAAAACCCCTAGAATCTGTATCTCTCACTGGTGGTGCTGGCGTCCTCACAGTTGTTACGAATCACCAGTGCATTGCCCATGAAAAATCTCAAAAGAATACCTGAATCAGGAAGACTCCCCAAAAAAAATAAAAAATGAAGTGAGAGACTTCAACTGTCTTACCAACAGCAGACTCCCTTTCGTTCCTGAGCAGCAAGTCCTCAGCTTCCTCTTCTGTGCCGGCATTGATGGGCGCCCCGCCGAAGCTCATGTGATCGTACTCCAGCAATTTAGCCTTGTCGAAATCGTATCCCGGAACTTGAAACAGCGATCGACAAAACAAAGAAGAAATTTAATGACTAGCTAACTACTGCTCCTTTCCGAAAGTGGGGTGCAAAAGTATAAATCTCCAAGGAATAGAAAATCACTGACGTAGTCCTCCACGGAGCAGACAACAGAGACTCACATCTTTTTGCATTCACCCGCTTGTCGAATAGTCTGACCGGGTCGGAACCCTCTAAGCAAGCGGCATAAGCAACAAGCCTGAAAGACCAGTAACTCAAAACCCTGGTCAATTCTACTCCCAAAGCAAGTGATATGAGAATATATATATGACGAGGAAAAAAAATTAAGAGCACGCCAAACTCACAGGGCGAGTTCCCGGGCGGCTCTGGGGCTGCAGAACCTCCCGCTCTTGTCAATCTTCCCCGAGAAGTCCCTCACAGAAGACATGGGGTCCTCCAAGGCCACTTCTGCAGCCTCTGCTGCCACCACAGCAGGCACCAGGGGCGAGTTCCGAGGACTGGACAACATTACCCGACATCGGGAAGGCCTCGAAGGGAACCCGGCCACCCCAGTGCGCCTGAGGGAGGACGAGGAAGAGGGCGAGGAAGAGCTGAGGAGGCCGAACGGGAGGTGGGCCTTGGGAGACGAGAGGGTCAGTGCGGGACTTCCCTCCATCTCTGCCTCTTTCTTCTTCTTCCCCGCTTCGTTCTTCAGGGAGATAAGGTCCGGTCACATAGATGATATACTTTTGGGTAATCGGGGGCTGTTTATGTCATTTCCTTCACAAAATATCGCCCGTCTCCGCGGGTTTTACGTATCCATGAATATCAACCGTTCGATCACTCACCTCACGAGAGCTACCGACCGTTAGATTCATGTCTAACGGGCCGGTCCAAGCCAGGGCCCTGGGTACGAGTACAGAGTAGCCTCGAGAGGATCTAGATTAGCGATTCTGCCACCCCAGGGCCCACAGTAGAGGCTTGCGGTTAATACTAATGACGGGTCTATTTCTTCCAAAGTTTTTATTTCATCTCCAATAATTTTAATCCCTAGTTTGTATGTTATTTTCATGAATTCAGCATATTATTTAAAATATCTTTTTTTCCATGATTTCCCCATGGATTTTCATATGCATTCTACATGTTATTCTGATGGTCTCTCAAAATTCAGAGAAATTATGTTATTTGCATTTTTTGTATTATTGGCATAGATAAAACATGAATATTTTGGTTGATTTTCTATAGTTTATATACCCTATTTTGATGATTTACCTATTATCTTCTACTTATAACATAAAATATGTTAAACTTTCTATTTATGTGGAACAAAACTAATAAATACATTTGAAAATTTTGAAAGGATTATATGTTATTTCATGAGCTTATTTATTCTTAATGCATCATATTTAAACATAGATAACAATGAATTAGATTAGGCTTATTCACCCCCCCTACAAATACTTTTAGTTGCCCTTGGATCCTTCACTTACATTGTCATGAATCAATATCATTAGATCCCACATCGTATCTTCCAGTGGATTTTATATAAAAATACACCACTAAAAGGGAAGGGGTGTGTGGATTACCCTTTAATTGTTAGGATCTAGGATGGCATGTGGAGTATTTCACACACTATTTTAATATTACTTTAGTCACTTGACTTACTCCATTTAACAAATATTATGGATGTTGTTGAATCCTTATGTTGTATTAAATTCATAGAGGAATATACACTAAAGTACATGCTTTAGTTGACGTCCACCAGATTTAACAACTTTAGCTAACTCAAGATCTCACTTAGGAATCTTCTTCTAGATTTACAATTTTAGGAGGCCAAAGCATAATGGAATTCACTCATTATTTTAGATTCATGGCTCTAAGGAGTTACATAAAATTATTTATTCATATCTTTTAAATTCACAATTCTAAGAGGCCATTTTTTTTAATAATAATTAATCTCCTCTATATTAAGATCCTAAATGGAGCTTGAGTGCAGATGCACTCCAAGTACAAATGGAGCATGAGTTACCATTCTTGGAGTTTTGACTCCAAACTTTTTAGAGGCTTCAATCCTGCGATTTCTTGACATTGAAGTTTTACAATGAGGATCTCTTTGTGCATCCTTGATTATTTCATATTCTTCAGTCCTTAATCTAGATTTTTCTAATCCTCCACCTTTCTAGTTGAGAAGAACTTTCGCTTATATACTCAGGATTTTTCCTTGATTCCTTTTGATTTTTAAATGCTCTAAATCTCATCATTTCACGAAAATACCACATCTCAATGGATGGTTAGTTTATCATTTTCGTTTGTGCCTCAGTGGCCATCTCCTCTCTCCTCATATTAACACTTAGACTAGGGCAATTTTATAAATTGCAAATAAAAGTATATAAAATTTCTCAATAAATTCTATAAATAATTTTAAACCATGAAAAATCATTTGAGGTAATTTCAAGGGTCATGAGAATATTTAAATTAAATTTTGATGTAAAAATACTTTTTTATCATTCATGTTGACTTTACATATTCTAGGGCTTTTCTTAGTAATAGTGACTAAGATCATCAAAATACTTGATTCTACAATCATAAATTTTATCAAAATATTCTTAAGGATATGATCATCATCAAAACATATAGGCCTCTTAAAGCCATCATCTTCAACTATGATTCCTTCCACATCATGGAGTTTTAAATGGAATAGTACTCGTCGAAGTGTCTACCTTTGTTCATCATTTATCAATGGAGGATTGTTTTGGTTTTCTTAGTGAACTAGGTACGTACTACTAATGTCACCCATTGAATATCTTTTTGCTGTCTTTAGCACTAGTAATGTACTACTTGGTTGCAAGTAAAATATTCAGTGTATGACTCGATGGGGGATGGGTAAATCAATATGCATGCATGGTTTTTGGTCTCACATAGAAACTATAAAAAACTATAAGTTTGATCAGCCTATAAAAGAACTAAGAGAGGAATAGAATATGTCATTTTTCCTTTTAGGTATAGTATAAATATATCTACTACGATTGATGAGATATATTAAAATTAAGCATGTCAACTTTTTATAAGTGCTTAAAGTGATCATATGAGAGTTACATAATTTATGGTGATTTGGCCTTGTTGTCATACTCCACTCTGTAATGATATCTTCTTGAAGTTCCACTAATGACTAATAGTAGAAATGATTAAATATTAGGAGAAAGTTTGTCTCCACTAAATTTATAGCTCTAGTAGCTTGAATTTTCATAGCACTGTAATACTCACTTCTAGATTCACAAACTTAAGCACCCAAACACTAGTAATATATGATATTGACCTTTCTATGTTTATGACTCTAAGAATGTCTGTGCTTAATAGTGCTTCTTGGTAGTGGACTTCTTCCATCATGATCAAATAGTATCAAGAATAACTAAATTGAATGCCTTGAGCTTTGGATCTAGAACTTCTTTGTAATATTGTGTTGACATAGAATTGGAAGTTCTTTTTGTAACTTTATCACCTTAACTTTTTTTTTGATGGAGACTAGGATTTGAAATGTTTTCTTGACATTAATAAGGTACAAAATTTTCTTTTAAAATTTCTTTCTTACACTTCTAATTTTGATTTGTCATGCTTGTGTATTTACTAGCTCTTCTTTAAATTATTCATTTTATCTCTATTAAGTTTGGTATTAAATACTCATTTGGGCTGAACTTCATGTCATTTTAATAGTAGCCAACACATATCAAACATATACGTTTCATTTGGTTATCTAAATGTGATATTTATTTATGAGTTTTAGACTAACACAAGATTCTTTTGCTGATATATTGTATTGCTAATCACTTATACTACCATGAGGTTTTATATTGATTTACATATTCTATATATTGAGATATTTAACTTCATATATTGGGTTATATTAGAGCATTTATATCATGCATATGATGTAATTATCTTGTTCTAAAATATTGAACGAAATATATGAAGATATTCACATTTAAGTCGAGTTTGATACAAATATTCAACAATAAAACTTTTATATACTAAGATATTAAGCTTTGTTTTGTATTTCAAGCACAACATAACTTTTTATATATTGATATGTTAATCTTGATATGCTCTAATGTTTCACAACTTATTTTTCTTGTTCCAAAGTATTAAATTTGAGATGCTCCACTATTTTCTACTCTAACTTTCAAATACAAACATATTAAGATTAATATATTTCATTTTTTCACATTGAATATTGTGTTAGATATACTAAGTTATTCGTGTAATTTTCTTGAAAATTTAAAATTTGTGTTTGCAACTTGATTTCTATATATTGAAATATATCAACATTAATATATTTGAATATTATGTAATGAAAATTATCATACACTGACATATTAATCTTGTATGTACTATAGTGCCCTCCAACATAAACTTAAAACATTAAAAACTTAAGTGCAACACAAAGCTTATGCTAAAATGTCAACTTTAATATACAATGATATCTTATGAAACAACATATCATATACTAAGATATATTAACCTCAATGTATGTTTCTCTTTTATAATGTTAACTTCATATGCTTAAATATTGACTTTGGTGAAGTTATTACTTTGTGATTTTGTAATATGACCTTATATATTGAGATATCAACTTTTATGCACTTTTATACAACATCATATGACCTTTTGTCATCACAAGATAATGTGAAATGGCTTTAAACCCATTGCTAGGTGGTATGCTTGATGCCAAACTTCACCACATGATGAACCATGAGAAAACATACTTCTCTTAAATAAAGTCATCTATTTATGTCAATAGAAACAAAATGTATTTATGAAAGAAATCCATAATGATGAAGATCACATTATACTATTCAACTTTCAATAATCTAATGTGTAGATCCTCAAGGTGTAAGATGAGATTGGTAACATCTCTTAGGGACAATGCCTTAACATGCTCTCTCTCTCTCTCTCTCTCTCTCTCTCTCTCTCTCTCTCTCTTTCATCTAGCTAGCACATTAGGCATGTTCTAACATACAACTCAACATCTTGGTTGATACTAAGTCAATGGAAGCTAGCAAATAGTAGTGCTAGTGTGTACTTATATCTAAGTTATTTGATATAGATCATGTCATGCATCTTAGCTTGGGAAAACATAGGTTGCCCATATAAAACATATATACTAGGCATAAAAGCCATATTATACCTATGCTCATAGAAGTCATATCATGCCCACATCAGCTTGATGTAATAAGATGTTACCTTTGGGACCTATAACTTCCTTGTATAAATCTTATCTAGAATAATGCAACACATAACTCACAATAGGCACAACATTTGATTTTAGATATTCATAACTTAAGACACCTTCACATTACCATACCTTACTTATATGCTAGTTAAAGTTTCATTTCACAAAAAAATCTTCTTTAGAATTAGCTTCTACAATAATTTGAAATAGTTATTATGACATTGATATTGTAGAGGTCATCTACTTCTCATGCACATAGTTACCACTCTTTATCATTGTGTGTTTGGCTCACAAAGACTATTATAAGACCTATTTGGATAAGGATACTAGTCATGGATACGTTAGATACATCAAATATATAACTCCAACATGTCAATAAACCATAAGATTGAATTGTTGGTCACAACTCATTTGAGGTCATCAGAAGCTTATTAAAAATTGGGTGACATTGTAAATATACACTTTTTTAAAATTGGGCTACTCCCATTGACCATTTTGCATTCACAAATGACATGCACATCGGCAAAGTCCATCCTCACACTATATCTATTGATGACAAACATGGAGTTGAAACCTTGGAGATCTTCTCATGAGAAAAATCACATTTTTCTACCTTGAGTTATAATTAGTTCTCTTGTATGTTGGTGAATACCACTAAGAGGTGCTTTAGAGACTCATCTAAGGTTATGTAGTAATCAAAATGTTATTATGATACATGATGACAAACTTATCATTGTGCTCTTAGGAGATGACTGTCATTAGAGCAAAAAAGGTGTATTAGGCATTAATGAGGTGAGAAGTCATCATAGTCAACTCATATGATTCATTTTCAGGTCATATAACTGATGTTCTGTTCATCTATTTAATGTTAACATGATGATAGTTGGTTGTCAGATCAATGAGAATAATAATGGCCCACCTAAGCATTTGAATAGATGTTTGTACATTGGGCATGTAGTATTTGTCAAATTGTTAGTGTATAGTAGTTCATGTGCAATCATAGCAAGGCATCCTTGTTTTTTCTAGAAGAGGATAAGGGTATCAATTAAGAACTTAAATGCATAACTTTCAAGCATGTCAACAGTATCTTGTTGAGTATATGTGCACCAATGGGTGCATACTCAATATGAGTTCAATCTCATTATCAATCTCATGATAGTGACAATTAGACCAAAAGGGATACTAACACCATGCCATACTCTTAAGTGTCATGCTCACTTAGAGGTCTCTCCATATGCATGCTGTGGGTATTATTCTTGACTAGATATTCTTCACATGCAACTTACTATCACATCTCAACCTATAGTTGTTTCAGAGATTTGCTGCAAATTAAAGAGTCATCATCATACAATTTTAATGTCAATGAGTAAGTAATCATATTGAGCTGGAGTGACAAAGCTAACAAAGTGCTTCATGTGCTATCTAACTACACAAATCATCACCTAATTGTCAACAAGTTGTCAAGTCTACTCTTCCCTCTTAAGTGCACCACCAAAGGTTGATGTCTCTATTTAAAGCATAGTGTGACCTCTAGATTTAGCATGCTAATATTACCAAAAGTAGTAATGGTCCAAGTCTCATAAAGATTTTTGCTATTTCCATAAATACTTAATAATCTTTAGTCTGTGTAAAACGACTTTTGAGATATTGTAGGTTCCATGACATTCTCTCTCTAGAAGGACATAATGATTTTACATGCAAAGTCAATGTTCTCTCCAACATATGAGAATCACTCCATTCATTGCACGTTTTCTTCTTTTGCTTGCCAAATGCATGTAATGGCTGCATGCATGCTATGCGGCTCATGTTGTGGCGCCATACTGGACACCTTGGGATGCTACACCTTAGCCATGTTGGTTGCATAGTGGTCCACGTGGCGACCTGTGCCCATCGACGTGCAAGATCATGTTGATCCAGGCCGGGCCGGGCCAGGAAAAGGCCTGGCTGCAGCAAGCCCGTTGTCCTAGGCCCAGCTGGGCTGTTCCCAGGTCACACGGTAAGAATACCCTGGGTAGCGTCTATTATTACATAGCATACCCTCGTCCCGTTGCCCCCTGTTCGTGTGCCTGCACGAAGAGGCGAAACCCTAGAACGAAGGAAGCGAGACGTTGGGTTGGTGGTGGTGGAGGAAGATGGCGGTCGCGAGGACGGGGGTCTTCGTGGACGACTACCTGGAGTGTAATGGAAACCGGGGGATTTTCTTTTTATCTGTTGCGGTCATGAGGTTTCCTTTTGTTTCATTCGTTTTCTTGTTGTTTCCTTGCCGAAATTTGAATGATTCTCTCCCGCTTTCTGCGGGTGTCGCCGGGGGAACAATACAGACGCGAGCACGCTGCCGGCGGAGTTGCAGAGGCTTCTGTCCACCATGAGGGAGCTCGACGAGAGGTCCCAATGTAGGTTCTCCTTTCTTGACGCCGCCGTCGTTCTACTCTTTTTGACCGATTGAGCAGCGGCGCCAACCTGCATTTCTGTTTCTCTAGTAAATTTTTTGGGAGTACTCAAATTTACTTCGTTTTAAAGGAGAGTTCTTTTGTATGGTGAACCTAACTCTGATTACCAGGAGAATTTGCCATTTTACTCTGGACTAGTTTGATTTATGCTTCCTTTTTGTGATTCTACCGTCTATCCATGTATGTGAGGGACCTTTGGCTGCCTTTTTCACATTTTTTTTTTCTGTGAAAATGTTTATTTTGGCAGCCATGGTCAACCAAGCCAGGGATCAGACCAAATACTTCATCGGACTGCCCTCCCATGGCTCAAGGAAAGGAATCTACGATGATGAAGATCTAGGGTTGGAGAAGGTTAGGAAGGAGATCGAAGCCAATCAAGAGAGTGCACTGAGCTTGTGTACAGAAAAGGTCCTGCTGGCGCGTCAAGCTTATGACTTGGTGAGCTACATCTCCAGACTCAAGTCTGTGGCCACTGCTTTATCGATGAATACGATCAAATAACCTTGCTCAATTCACTTTTGCGTGGCTTCCATAGATGATTGGGTACCATTTAGGGTTTTCGTTTGTCTTCTTTAAACCTCTTGGACATCAACCTGGTGCAAACGTTTTGAAGTATATGATTTTTCTCCTTTGAACTCTGTAATGAGCTTAATTCTTCTGTACTTTGAGTAGAACTAGGCAATCCTTTGCCGAGATTCTTGCTCCCCATTTATCTGGTATTTGCTTTGATTTTGTTGTATGGTTAGTAAACCTTCTTATAACAGGTTGGCCCACAGTCATCCACCACTAAGTCTGGTTTTTAGTTAGTCCATAACCTTTTTGTTCTTCAGCCTCTTTAAATAGTTTTCTACCATCTCCATGATATTTGTCTGCCGATTCGTTTTTGTTGTTGCAGGTTTTCTGTGAATATCTCCTTTGAAGAATTTATTGAACTGTGAACTCCATCCCTCCTTAATTCGCTCATTCGATGCATTCTCCTCAACTTTTTCAATGAGATAATCAATTTTTCTATGGGTTTTCTGTTCCAGAAACCTTCATAAAAGTTCGTTTTAGAGCAACTGTAGTAAATGATAATTATGCAAAAATCCATGCTGTGCAGCTTGATTGCAAGAGATGTTCAAGCAGCTGACTTTTTGTTAATATACTGTTTTGGTTAGTATCCTATCTGATGGGAAAGTCAAAAGGGTACGCCAGCTATGTGACCATATCACATCCAGCACTCTTTCATTATGTCGGATAGATCATTGCTTTTCATTGTGCTTGATGAAAGCCAATTAAGCTGTCATCTCTTCCAGATAGGTAGCCATATCAAACGGCTCGATGAAGACCTCAGTCAGTTTGCAGAAGATCTAAAGCAAGGTCGGTCAGTAAGAATTTTTCCGAGAAGATTTTCAACCCATATTTTGATATTTGGTCGATCATTTCTTGCACAAGTTGCGGATTTCACTCCGTTCCTTCCCTCTTTGAGTCAATTTCGCTCTGTTGTGGTCAGAGGGGAAGATTCCACTGGATGAACCAGTCACGCTTCCTCCATTACCAGCTGTTCTAAAGGACGAAAGACGGAGGTCAGGTCTTCTGACTCCTCAGTCAAGGAGGTCGGAGTTCAGAGAAAGGGACTGGGACCGAGAGCGCGATAGGGATCTTGAACTCATGCCTCCCCCCGGCAGTCACAAGAAGAATGCTCTCACAGCCATGGATGTCGACCAATCAGATCCTAACGAGCCCACCTACTGCGTCTGTCATCAGGTTTGTCTCAGCGTGATTATCACTTTAGCCTTGTTCTATCATGCCACAAGATGTGTTAAAAATCTGAATTATCCCATTTTTTTTCATGGTTTTAGGTGTCATTTGGAGACATGATTGCCTGTGACAATGAGAATGTGAGCCCCCTCCGCTGGACTCTCTGTTTATGGAAAAAAAGCAATATATATATTTTTAATCTGCGTATCATTTTAATTTGAGTAGGAATGTTTTACTATGTTTGGTAAGTGAGGTAGAACAGGAGGAAAAAGAGAAATACTGATCAGGATCTTATGTGCCCAACTCTTTCTTCTCCTTTATTTTATTTTATTTTATTTTATTTTCTCTCCGTTGGTGCAGTGCGAAGGAGGTGAGTGGTTTCACTACTCCTGCGTGGGGCTCACGCCGGAGACCAGGTTCAAGGGGAAGTGGTTCTGCCCAACCTGCCGGCAGCTGATGTGATGATGATAATCTGTGTATGATGAAGACTAATCTCCCCTCCATCCCTGAATGTGTTGTATAATGGGGATTTTATTTTTATTTTTATTTTTATTTTTATTTTCTTCTGGTGAATTGGTGTAGTGAAGATCACTACGAAAAAATGAAAAGAAAAGGAAAAAAACCGTATTTTTATGTGAACTAGTTTTTTTTTTTTTTTTTTTTTTTTGCGTGCCTTCACTTGGTTTGATTACTTTGTCTCCACTGGGGATGGGCCGGGCTCTTACTGGAAGGTTCGGGTTCAGGCCCGGGCCCGGGCCCGTGGGGCCCTTCAGCATTTCCCGAAATTCAGGGTCTTTTCCTTTATTCATATGCTTTTAAAGGGGGTGAAAACGAAAAAAAATAATATTCGCCTACTTTCTTTTAACTAACCCCACTACAATAGGCCAGAGGGCCACAACATTGGATAGACTTATCACACCGGTGGGTCCTGGCGGCCGCCGTCGGATCTGAGGGATCACCAATGAACGGACGGCTGGGATTTTGATGGTGCATTTGAACTGTACCTACCAGAGGCGCAGACTCCAGTCTGGTTGGTAATCCACGGGAATCCCCAGCTTTTTTTATTTTATTTCTCCGGAGAAAGCAAAAACCCTAACCCTAACCCTAACCAGAGAAGCGTTGCTCTGCTCCACCTTGTTGGCCTCCCCCTCCGAGGGCTGGAGGAGGGAGTTCTGCTTCTGCGGGGAGGAAGGGGGGCGGGGGATGGAGGAGGAGGACCGAAGGGCGGGCGGGGAGAGCAGCGGCGGCGATTGCAGCTCCGAGGATGAGGGGAGCGATGGATACCGCCGAGGGGGCTACCACACAGTGCGAGTGGGAGACGCCTTTAAGCAGGGGGCGTACGTCGTGCAGTCGAAGCTCGGGTGGGGGCACTTCTCCACGGTCTGGCTCGCCTGGGACACTCTACACTCGGTACGGGGGTTTGCCCTTGTTTGTTTGAGTTTTGGTTCCCCGACTCTGGGGGAATTTGTCTGGTGGTAATCGTTGCGGCGGCGCCGGCCATGGTTCTTGCAGAGGTATGTGGCGCTGAAGGTGCAGAAGAGCGCGCAGCACTACACAGAGGCGGCGATGGATGAGATCACGATTCTGAAGCAGATCGCGGACGGAGACCCTGAGGATGCTAAGTGCGTGGTGAAGCTGCTCGACCATTTCAAGCACTCCGGGCCCAATGGGAACCACGTCTGTATGGTGTTCGAGTATCTTGGGGATAATCTCTTGACCCTCATCAAGTACACTGACTATCGAGGGATCCCGCTCCGGATGGTGAAGGAGATCTGCAGGCACGTTTTGGTTGGCCTCGATTACCTCCATCGCCAGCTGAACATCATCCACACCGACCTCAAGCCTGAGAACATTCTACTCGTCTCCACAATCGATCCTGCAAGGGACGCGACACGCACAGGTGCCCCCCTCATTCTTCCCACGAAGCCCGACAGCTCCAAGACCTCCGTTCCGGCCTGTGCCTCTGTGAGCGCCGCTGAAATTGCGGGTACGAATGGGGACCTGACAAAGAATCAGAAGAAGAAAATTCGGCGGAAGGCGAAACGTGCTGCAGCTACAGTAAACGTGGAGAGCACTTCGGGCCTCGATGGGGACGAGGTGCGCAGCGGTAAGGATGATGCGGGCACCGCTGGAAATGACGGCGGCAGCGGGGCTGAGCCGGACCAAACGAAGGAGAGAGGAAGTCAGGGGCGCAGGAGAGAGAGCAAAAGTGCGAGGAGGAAATTGGCCATGGAAGTGGACTTGAGATGTAAGCTTGTCGACTTTGGGAATGCATGTTGGACTTACAAACAGTTCACGAGTGACATTCAAACAAGGCAGTACAGATGCCCAGAAGTGCTGTTGGGTTCGAAGTACTCTACACCCGCGGATTTGTGGTCGTTTGCCTGCATATGCTTTGAGTTGGCGACGGGTGATGTGCTGTTTGACCCGCACAGTGGGGAAAATTTTGACCGAGATGAGGTAGCGTACAAGGCTTGCTTCCTTTTACGTACCTAATCATATATTTGTCTAATGATCCTTATTCCTTTTCTCGTTTTTTCTGATGCTTGTTTCCGTTCAATTTGAGTTCTCCATTCTTGATGTTCGCATATTCTGATCAACAACTCGTATGCAAACGCCGAAAGGATCGTATTCGGGTCCATTCAACAAATTACTTGGTAGTCTGGTCAAAAGGAAAACTTGACGTAGGAATTTTAACATACGGGCTGATGCAATCCTTAGCAAGCTTCTTCTGAAATGGAAATCCTGGTGAAATCGTCGTACAACACAGTAAACCTCGTTGAACGTATACTAATTAAGATCTTTTTAGTCATATGCCTGCGCCACAATTGTCTTACATAAATCTGTTGTATGAGGGCATTTAGAAGGAGTAGAGATATTTTCTGGTCTTTGATCATCTAGCTTAAGTGACTGAATTCTCTTCCCCCGGCTATGTTTGTATCAAATGGTGGGTGAGTCATAAAATAAGTTGTTAGGTGGATTTGAGATGTTTTAAGTGCAACGTTAGAAGGTTTTTATCGCTTTAGAGTCCTGAGGAATGTAGATTGTGTCTTACGTGAGTTTTATTTGATGCCAATGATTTAGGATAAAAGGAAAAAAAGTTCAGTTTTTTGTTCTCTCATTCCTTTTACATCTCGTTAAGTGAGTAGAGAAGCTTTGCCTGGGATGTGTGTTGTAATTCATTGGGGGAATGTTCTACAGTTCTTGTGGTTGGCTCCTGTCATTTTGTTTCGTACTTGGCTCTGTATTGATTGTTGTCATCTCCACAGTTTCGATCGTGATTGTCTTTCCTGTTCCTCCAACATTTCTTGAGCTTCAATTACCATTAAAAGAAACTGTGGAAGACATGAATGAAATCCATCTTTAATCATGCAGGATCACCTGGCATTGGTCATGGAGCTTCTTGGGATGATGCCCCGCAAGGTAATACCCACCCCTTTCCCCCCCACCTCTCTCTAGAAAAAAGCCTCTCTCGCTCCTTCCTCTCACTCATCACGGATTGTGATGCCTGGTTCTTCTTCAGATTGCATTGGGTGGCCGCTACTCCCGCGAGTTCTTCAACCGGTACGGGGAGCTGCGGCACATCCGCCGCCTTCGGTTCTGGCCGCTGAACAAGGTGCTCACCGAGAAGTACGAATTTGACGAGCAGGACGCTCGCGCCATGGCAGACTTCCTTCTCCCCATCCTCGACTTCGTCCCTGAGAAGCGGCCGACGGCAGCTCAGCTTCTCCTCCATCCATGGCTCAACGCAGGGCCTCTGCATCTCGAGCCGTCGGCGAAGGTCCCAACGCCGCCACTTCCCAACAGAGAAGGTGAGGAGGTCGAAAGGGAGGCCATGGCGGCGGAGCTGGGGAACATCGCCATTGGCGGCCCTCCGAGGCCAGTTCAACAGAGGGATGCTGCTGCTGCTGCTGCTGTGACCACCACCTCTGCCAATTCTTCTAGGTAGAGCAAGGGGGATTTAGCATTTCGAAGGGCTTTGGAGCCTGCTACTGATTCGAGTCCTTGATCTGATTTCAAATATTTTTTTGCTTTCTTTTGGTGTTGGTCTTCTCTTCTGGTTGCATGGATGGATGATGTATTTGGTGCGATAACAGGTGGTTGGGAACAGCGTTGACTTTTCTTTTCTCCCCCACTACCCCCGATCTTTGAAAGAATCTCGGGCCGTTCCTGCCACTTTATTGCCACTGCTCACATGCCCCACCATCGTTCATGAATCATGTACAAGCTGTTCCCACACGATTAATCTAGACCCAATTGACGACTAGAGAGAGAAAGAGAAAGAGAGATAGGAAGAGAGAGAAGTAGACAGAGAGATGGGTGCTCATGGGTGAGGAGGTGACAGCCTCTTCACAACGGCGGCCATGTACTTGCCCTGGTGCTCGGCGAGGGCAAGCTCGACGTCGGTGGGCTGGCGGGAGCCGTCAGCGGAGAAGGTGCCGGCGCCGTACGGGGCGCCGCCTCTGATGGAGTCCATCTTGAACATGCCCGCCCCGAAGGTGTACCCGATCGGCACGAAGAGCATCCCGTGGTGAGCCAGCTGCGTGATTGCAGTCCACCTGCAGCACCCAATCGTTCAATCAATCAATCGACAACAGTCAATGGCCCAGAATGAAGAAGGGGAAGGATTCTCAGAAGAGGGAGCTAGATAGGTGTATGCCATTCAATGGGGGATGCTATCAACTATAAAGAATCTAAAAGATCAGAAGCAGAAAATGGTAAAAATCCAGTGGCAAGCTGAAAGTTTCTATGAAACCCACAGGTTGAAGATGATCGCACCCTTGATTATACATGTCAACTATGCACCCTGTGGGAAAGAGGGTTATCAGATGCCAGGATTAGGATCATCCTTCAATTGAACTCAAGATGTGAGGAACGAGGAAGCCAACGGCCGATCCACATCAAAAACTCAAGATCAGACGCAAAAGAAAGGGTAGAATCTTATGGCCAGCTGAAATTCTACGAAAACCACAGCTGAAGATAACCAACTGGACCCTTGATTGTACATGCGAACTATGCACCGTTTTGGAAAGAGGATTATCAGATAAGTAGATTCCAGTTCCATAATGCTGCCTAATTTATGTCTAAGGATTAGGATCATCCTTCAATTAAACTCCAGATGGGAGAAATAAGGAAGTCAACGGCCAATCCACATCGCAGCTGAGACAAATTCCATCCTTCATTTTGGAATTGAAATCATGGAAAACACATGAATATATCAAAGGGTTTGAAAATACAGAACATGCCAACAGCGCGGGAAGAGGATGTCATGTCCTCGTCAATAATCTCCTCTGTTTTACAACTCAGCGTGGAATCCACCCATACTCTCCTCCGAAGAACAACCCGACAGTGAAGCTCGGGTCGTCTGAATGTAGGTACCGATCGATGGCTTAGTCTTTCAAACTGCTTATAACACAGGGCAGAATGTTGGATCCGGAAAGAATATTTCCGTTTTTTGATCCTTCATTAGATCTATGGAACCACCCACATTGTGATTGTATGGAATTATCCAACATGTCCCGTACAAACTCCTATCTCCTCCCATGATAACCTAATTAATGATGCCATATAGGGGGAATGAAAGAACGTGGTAGGTAATCTGTTCTCTTCACTTCCTGGGGAATATGGGAAAAAAATGAGCCAAGGAAATTTCCTTTGAAATCGACCTTCATCGGGACCAGTTCATCTTTGATCGAAGAGCGTACTCGGAATCCATGGAGCACGACATGATGGAATCTACTGAAAGCATTGAGAAAACAATGCAATTGAGATGTAGGAAGCAAAGGCTAAAATGGCATCGATCCCTGATCGGAAACTGTTTCTTTCCTGTGCCATCTTTCTTTGAATGATTTTGTATCGATGATGGTTTCTTCGATCACGACAATGCGTTGAGCTCCAGAAGAATGCGGTTTTCAAATCGTCTCAAGCGAGAAGAGAGTAAAAAAAGGAGAGCGATGTGCAGAGACGTGGGAAGCAAGAGGAGAAGCGAAGGAAGAGTCAACTCACGCCGTGGTCTCCTGCCCCCCGCCCTGCGTGCCCGTGCTCACAAAGAATCCCGCGGGCTTCCCCGCCAGCTTCTGCTCCTTCCACAACTGCCCGGTCGCGTCGAAGAAGGCCTTCATCTGCGCGGCCATGGAGCCGAACCTCGTAGGGAAACCGAACAGGATCCCGTCAGCCTCCTCAAGGTCCGCCGCCGCCCCAATGACCGGGATATCGGGATCCTTCGGCGGCGCCTCCATCTGGTCCAGCACCTCCTCCGGCAGCGTCTCCGGCACCCGGTACAGCACCCCTTCGACGCCCTCGATGCCATCAACCCCCCGCTTCACCTCCCGCGCCAACGCCTCCACGTGCCCGTACATCGAGTAGAAGACGATGAAGATCCTCAGCTTCCTCACCTCCGCCGGCGCCTCGCTCACCACTGCCGCCGCCTCGGGGCTCCTCTCCTCCACTGTGACCGGCGCCGGCGGCTCGGCCCCGGACGGCTCCTGCTCCACCACCGCCGCCGCTGTCGGACGGCTCTTCTTGCTCTTGCTCGGCATGCATCCCCCGCCTTTCCCCATTCCTCTCCCTCCTCCTCCTCCTCCTCTGTGCTGCCAGATCTGACAGAGAGAGGATCACCTTCCAAGTCCGATCAGAGAATTCTAGGGTTTCCGCGCCGGAATTTTTGGACGCTCTTACGATTCAGACCCTACAGCTTTCTTTAATAACTAGTTAAGTTAAAAATATGTATATTTGTGTGTCTACCTACCTACTCTCTGACCTTTTTGGGGATTGGCCGCCGGCTTTGGGCAGTCGGAAAAGAGAGGGAGTCATACTTAATATAGATATGAAAAGGGTTAGAAACGATGAACATTAAAACCAAGAGCGGTTTTTGTACTACGTTGACCTAGCTAGCCATCCGCTTTCTGTCGCGGAAAATCCAGAAGCTGCGAATTTATAGAGGTAACTTCACCTCCTCTCCACTGTTTTAGCTTATCTGGAATCAATTTACGGTGATGATCTGTCCAGTTGACTTCTTCAAATGGGCTAGCCAGACCAAGCCCAACCCGCCGAGGCCCAATTTTCTACCTACTACCCCCAGGAGAAAAAAAAAAGGGCCGTAGGTAAGTTTATGGGCTGACATTAGGCCCAATTAGGTTTTCTCCGCCGGTTTTGAGAAGGTTGATAGTGGATTATTGGGCCTTGAAGGTGTGGGCTGGCCCAATACAGGAGGGGGAGTTGGTGGTGGGGCGGGGATGGGGGGAAGGTTGGAAGCTCTCTCCGGCGAAGTTCGTCGGCGGAGGGGCGGCGAGGTGGCGGAGCGAGCGTCCGGCGGCGGAGGTGATTGTTCTTCCTGCTTGATCGTTGCTCTGTTTGGAAATTTTTCGGTCTGGTGGGGGATGGTGGACGGTCTGTAGAGGATTTTTCTTTCTTCTTGATTGGACGAGGTGAGGGTTTTCTTTGGGTTCCAGCTCTTGCAGGAGGTTCTTCTCTCTGCCTTCTTCGCGTGCCTATTTTTGCCTATGCTTGGAGCACTGGGATCTTTATCTCGGATTCATGTTCTCCGGTGCCTATTTTTTCTTCTTCTCGCTTTCCGTTCTTATTGTTGTGCCGATGATCCCGATTTCTCCGTTTTTGCTTGCACTTGGATTATCAGGTGGATGCGTTTCTTCGTCTGTCCAGTATTTGCTTCCGAGTTTCTCGCACTGACAAGAGGAGGGATCTCTTACAGTATGGCTCCTTCTTTGATAAGTAGGCAGGAGCGTTCGTGCTCATTAGGACTTGAAATTGATTTGATGTCATTTTTCTGACTGCATCCTGTTGGTGGTATTCTGAATTCACGAGTTTCATGCAGTGATGATGAGATTCACCTCAGAATGGGAAAATCATCAACATAACTCGACTAGCATGAACCTTCGGGTGCATTCCATAGAGATGGAGGCCTATGGCGCAGTGTTGAGGGCTTTTGTCGCACAATCAGATGTCCTATCCTGGGTAAGTTTTGCCTGTTCTCTGTCCCATGTTAATCTTATTTTATCATAAACTACACTTTCTTTGTTTTGATTTCCTTTGAATGAGGGTAGAGAACTTTGTATGGGAGTATCTTGGTTTCCCGTGAATTCAGCATTCAATAGCTGTTCCAATTAGTTTTGTGGCACTCGTTGTAGGGTAAAGAGGAACTCATATCCGAGCTGAGAAAGGAGCTCAGAGTTTCGGACTTTGAACATCGAGAGATCCTGGCAAAAGTCAATGCAGATGAATCAATCAAAGCCATAAGGTTGTCACCATAGTGGGCTCTTTACTTTTTTCCTTGGGTTCCTCATAGTTTTAGGTTTGTTGATCAATTTGACTTATTTTAAGCAGGGCATCGCATAAGGATGCTGATTTTCCGCAAGAACCGTTGACTGGTTCTGGTTATGCCCTGGAATCTGCAGGGCGTGTTCCTTGCAAAAGGTTGAAGGGCTCCGGTGCTAATACGTCGTCATCTCCACGGTACCTGCCCAGTCCTAAGCCTGCATCACCGGCTGTGCTGTTGCCAACGGTACTTGAGTGACACTTCGAATATGCTAACTTTGGGTTGCCTATGTCCTACTGTTTCACCAGCATCAGAACTCTCTCCATGGGTGTATTATCTCACCGAGATGATGGTTGTTGGCTTCCTAACCCATGATTAGCTACATATCCTCATACAAGCATGTGCATGGTGGATTAATTATTGGTTCTCTCAATTTAGATTCGAAAGCAGTTCGAGATGATTTTTGGCAAAATGTTCTTTTCATGTTATTTTGGCGGGCAGGACTTGATTTAGAAGATTTTTGAATGTTAATTTTCTGTTAATATATATTTGTTGTTCGTCACATCAGATTCTTATTGTAGATCCCCCCTCTTGGAAATTCCTCCACGGCTCCTTATCTGATAAGATGGGTCTTACTAAGTCAAAAGCCAGGCCTTCGTGTGGAGTGGCTGAGCTGTGGCTAAATGGTTGCTGCATTGATGGATGGTGGAATCTCCTTGTAAACTGAGGCAGTTCATTGGAATGCTCAGTTAGGGCCAAACCTAAGAGGCCTATCACTGACTTTGTTTTTTATCTGACCGGAATATGTTCGATGATTGAAGTTAGTATCTCACACAAGATTACATTCTCTTGATTGGATAGCAATAATATTGATGTTTTGTGTTTTCAAAAAAGCCGTGTTTTTCTTTTTTCCCTTTTTCTTGGAGGAGGGGAGTGGTGGCAGTTGGGTTCTCTTATGTGTTTTGGACTCCGCCAGAATATACCAAGATCTACCATGAGTCGTCATCAAATCTATGGAACACTAACAGTTGATGGAGGGGTATTTAATATTATTATTTGACATAATTTCTGTTGTTATATTCATGTGTTTCAATAGTGACACATTAATGCTTTGATGGCTTTTTATTAGAAGGGTAATGTGATGATCCGTTACAGTTTTTTTACTATCATGGTGATGGTGGTCTACTCTCCTGGTCTCATTTCATATCCTTTGTACTATCAGGCACACAGGAGACATGACCAGCGGGATAATGGCGCAGCTAGAGTTTATCCTCAAGTAAATCCAGGCAGAGAATTAAAGCCATCATCTCATGAAAAGCAGAGATCCAGCCTCAGGAAAGGAAGAGGATCTCTGGCCGCTCATCCTTTGGATCAGGGCTCTATATATTTACGGGAAAGCTCATCAGACCTGGGGCCCGACGTCATTGAGATTCATGCAACAGAGGAGCTCATCCATGAGGTTAGCTGAAGATATCAACTATAGTTTAAGATGCATGTGAATGAATATGTGCATTGATTAGAAGCCTCTGCTCTTCTTGGCCTTGATTCCTCTTTCAGGTTGAAAGTGTCTGCAGAGGGGAGAACCCTGACCCCCTTCAGGTGGAGAGGGCGAAATCTATGCTCAGGGTAATATATGCTTCACCCTCTCCTATTCCTATAAAATTATGAGAACCAAAACTTTCCCAAAAACTCATCATCTTGTTTCAGGAACATGAGCGAGCCCTCGTCCGAGCAATTGCCCGGCTTGCTCAAGTGGCTGGCGGTGATGAGTCAACTAATCTCCACGTGTCAACATTTTATCCGCCAAAATCTTAGATTAACTAAGATTTAAGGGGCCTCCTAGTGGAGGATTTGATGGTTGTGTGTAGACAAGTCTGTGTGAGGTCCTGTGAATTCCTGAGGGGAATGGGCAGCCCCCCTTGTGTGTGGTCTCTTCTCTCCCTTTTTGGTTGGTCTATACTTTTGTAGAATGTTTTTGCAAGAACTCAATATTAGTTGCTCAAGCTCTTTGACGTGATCTCGGGTTCAAATGGTAGTTGCTAAGAAGGTCGTCACCTAGGACATGAAAATTGAAATCAGTCTCAGTTTCATGTCAAGGCTTCATTTTTCTTTGGTAAGGTGCTGGATTTATGTCAATAAATTTGTGTTGTTGACAAGGTAACTGGTTTAAGGGAATCATGAGTTGTTTGTGGTTAAGATGGTTGAAAATGTATAAGAGCTGTGAATATAATATAGTCAGGGATTTATATTTAATCATCTCTTGAACCACGATGAAATGTTGTGGGGCTAGTGTTGATGCTAAAAGATCAATAATATTTTAAGATTAGGATATCAGTTAATGACTGAAAATCATTGTGGTTGGACATAAACTTCTAGTTCACTCATTTCCAAAACTTTTGGACTGCTGTGATACCATTATCACAAAGGAAAAATATAAACCACTCTTGTATTTTCATAAACTCAATTCCCATTTCCATTCTAAAGCAAAAACAATTGGTACCAAAAAGAGCAAAATTCAAGCCTCCCTCTATGAATTGAAAACCTTGTGGTCCTTATTTTTCAAATAATAGAGTTGGCCATGGGTGACCCAATTCAGATCTAGAAGTGCCAAGTCCTAATGAAATTGAGATTCAAAAGTACTGTCACTTGTAGATTGTAGATTGTAGATTGTACTCGTACAATTGCAACTAAGAGAAGTGATAAGCTCCTTACTATAAATGCTCCTTCACTATGTCCCCAAGTAGTTATGGCAAGGAGTAGTTAGTACTTATAACAAGGAGTATGATATAAGAAGCAAGAGAGGAAGAAATCAAGGGGGGGAAAAATTCATGATATTGTGCTCGTGGGCCAATGAGAGGATTTCTGATTTTAGGTCGAGAGTTGTATGCGACTCTCCAATCTATTCTTAGTTCTTCTACTATTTTTATCTTTCTATTTAATTCTGTTTCTATCTCATTTTCATCAAATAAGATAAAATTGTCGTTCTTTGATTTGAGATTTTATCAATTAGTAGTAGAGCCATACTAAGTTATTCTTGTATAGTTAAAAGGCTTACTATTGTGCAGATGAAATCTCTTGAAGTAGATATCGAAATTCTTAAGGAAGAAAGAAGGGCACCATGGAAATGGTATAGCCAAACAATTAGCAATTTTGGTGACATGCTTGTCATATGAAACTCTAGTGGAGTAGTCTCAGTAGCAACTAATATTATAACTACTTCAAAATCAAGAGCAAAGAGAAGGCATTTACAAGCCAAACCACCAATTTGAGCTTTCAAACTTAGGTGATGATAATCCAGATGAATGATTATGGTGGGCAGAGATATTTACTAAACACCAGAGCACGATTCTTTAGAATTAATAATGTTGAGCATGGAGTATAATATGTGTTTTGGACTCCCCCTATAAAATAGCCAAATAATAACTTTATAATCATTCTAAGAATTTTTCCTATTTTAAAAATATTCTCGGATTTTTATGAATTTTTTTTAAATTTTATTTTGATATATTTAAGTCATTATGATATTTAAGTAATTTAGGGAAATACATATATTTTATTTCACACATTCTAGGGGGTTTTCTGTAATTTTCTGTAGCTAAGAACACGTGTCAGCTACTTGATTTTTATATATATTTGACGCGCCGTCGTATGTGCTGTGTGGCGGCATGATTATTTAAATTCATGAAAATTTTATTCGCTGCAATTACGTGGAATGCGAGAAGACGAGGTATCGCACTCGGAAGGCGAGAAGATGTTACCGTCGGCCAATGACTGCGCTCTTATTTCAGCGGTTAAAGACGTCTCGTCACCAAAAGCGGCGGTTAATTACGTCTCGTCACCGAATGCGGCAGTTAAGCATGTCTCCCACGAAAAGCGGCGGTTAAGCACGCTCTCCCACCAAAAGCCGCGGTTAAGGAGGTCTCGTCACCGAATGCGGCGGTTAAGCACACCTTTCCACCAAACGTGACGGTTAAGCACGTCTTGTCACCGTGATCGGTGGTTAAAGACGTCTTTTCTCAACCGTCACCGGTGGTCCTTTTGCGGCGGTGACACTCAATCAACGGCCCAGATTGCTCCATCTTCTAGGATCGATATCTAACGATCTAGAAGGGGTTTCAAGCCCAAATTTTGTGGGCACGATCTTCAAGACGTCCTCTTCACATCCGCACTTCAGATCGATAAATCACCTTTAAAAAGGTTGTGAAAACGGAGAAGAGGAGCTAAAGGTAGTTTGAAAAAGGGCTGAGGGTATTGTGGGAAAATTTACTACTTATACGTATTCCCTTCACCCTCTTTACTTCTCATCTTTTTGGAAGGAGCCCTAACAGTGGTTGGCTAGAGTGAATCAACTTATATTCTAAAGATCTATTCTTCTTCCTCTTTTGTGTAATCTTGAGTGATCAAGAGAGGCTTTAAGGGCAAAGTTGAGTGTCGGGGATCAAGTTGTAAAGAGTAAGTGCTAGAGATCAACCTGTCAAAGTAAACTGCTTGGCCTTGGCAACAAATAAAGACCTAAGTTGAGCAATCTTCTTCCCTATGCTTACTTGTTTTCTTTCCTTCTTCTTTGAGATGAAACGTAGGGTTTTATATATGTTTTAGTAACATTATTCCTTGTCAACCTCAACCATTATTTCTCATTAAAATACTTTCAAAACTTCTTTTCTACACCCCCTGGGTCAACCTTGATCTAGGGTTTCCTTCATTACATCCTATTTCACTCATATTTCTCATCTTCCACTCATCTATCGTCTCTCTTTCTCTTGTTTATTTTCTAACTTATTTTTTCTCATTACTTAAGATTTCTTAAGATCATTAGTTTTTCTCCTTGTGGTTCAACCCTTACCTTACCCTCTACTTATTAGATTGATTAGGATAGTAAAAATATAAATAGTTTTAGATAACCTCACTTAGGACCTACAACATCCCAAGTCTTAAGTTATCAACAATGCTAATGGCTCTGAGTCAAAAGTCACTCAAGATCTTTGCATGAGAAGCCCTAGAGCCACCCAGCTATGAAGATCATCCTCGTCTGGTGCAACAAACCAAGGTCTGTCAAGCTCTCCATCTGCTTGTGACATCATCCCTCCCCACAGACGTCAAATTAAGAGGGATTAGCTAGAGATTTATTTTTGTTTTCATTTTCTTTCTTGCTTTGTAAGTGAACATTGATTTCATTTTAATGCAATTTTCACTTTCATGAGCTCTATGTAAGAAATCCCACCTATTAGACATCTATGACTAGTTCACATAGTGCCTAGTGAAACTTTGAAAGTGTTTTCCCTCTCAAAGTGCAATTAACCTGACCAGGATTTAAGGATTTGCCTAATTTAATTCGTGGTTTTTGTGATTCATAAAGATTATCAAGAGACAACAATTAACATTGGCTGAATTCAGCCCCCTTGATGAAGCATATAGTGAGCATCACTATTGGAATTTACAAAACATTGGTGTGGAGATCATGATTTCAAATCCTCCTTGAGTTCTACCTAGTTTCTCACTAATTTTTTTTAAAAAAACTAACCTCCAAAAATTAGCTTATAAATGTAAAATTGATGATCTTAATAACAATGATTTTAGATCAACCAGCTGCCCATTCTCCTCAGGGATTCACAGGACTTGGCATAGACTTGTCTACACACTACCATCAAATCCTCCACCTAGAGGCCCATAAAATCTTCGTTGATCTAAAATTTTGACACATGGAGATCAGTTGACTCATTGCCACTAGCCATTTGGGAAAGCTGGGCATCTTGTTCTTGAAACAAGATGATGAGTTTTTGGGTTGGTTCTCATAATTTTATAGGAATAGGAGAGGGTGAAGGTTGAGGAAAGGTGGTGAGCTTCTATTACCCTAAGCATGGATTTCACTCTCTCCACCTGAAGGGGGTCAAGGTTCTCCCCTCTACAGGTGATCTCAACTTGAAAGAGAAATCAAGGCCAAGAAGAATAGAGGCTTCTAATCAATGCGCATATTAATTCATGTGCATCTTAAACTATAACGGATATCCTCAACTAACCTCATGGATGAGCTCCTTTGTTGTATGGATCTCGATGACGTTAGGCCCCAGGTTTGATGAGCTTTCCCATAAATATATAGAGCACTAATCCAAAGGATGAATGACCAAAGTTCTTCCTTTCTTGAGGTTGGATCTCTGCTTTTCCAGAGATGATGGTTTTAACTCTCTCCCCATATTTACTTGAGGATAAACTCTAGTGCTGCCACTATCCCACTTCTAGTAAAAATCACATTGCCTTTCTAGTAAAAATCTACCAAAGCATTAATCTGTCACTATTGAAATACATGAATGTAACGATAGAAATTATGTCAAATAATAATATGAAATACCCCTTCTTCAACTGTTAATGTTCCATAGATTGTGAGCATCATGACCATAGCAATGAATTTCTATTGATGACACTCATGGTAGATTTTGTTAATTTCTCTCAAAAATCTCCATAACATGACTGATATTCGTCTAGTTGGCGTAAATGGTCTGTATAGTGAGTCACAAGAGACAGGTTGAGGTGATGTGTGTTAGTGGCTTAGCAATACTGGGCTCAATGCTCTGAAGCATCCATGTGATGACAGCCGAGTTGAGTTGTGACAATGTTACATACGAGGGGTCCCAAAGGTTGGGTAGGTCCTCCGAGAGGTGATGGAGGAGACTGTGAGATCTAAAGAAGAGCTCAAAGCTAGATGCTCATGACACATAATTGTGGCTATTGAAGATGTAAGCCAGCCGAGTAAATTGTGTTGTAATGGAGTGGCGAGTCAGAGGAACCGCTAGAGAAGAAAAAACACCAGCCAAAAGAAGCTCAGAGGGCTCGAAGGCAGGCGACGAAAGGGGGTGAGACAACACCATGAGGTTAGTAGGTCCAAGCCAGAGGGGCAGGTGGTGAGATGAGTAGATTGGCGCCCAGACGGGCTGGTCTAGAGGGGTAGGTAGAGCGTGTGGGTGGGTCCACACGGGGCCGGCAGGCTTGGCTGGGCTAGTCTCAAGTGGGCTGATCTTGAGTGGGCTGATTTGGAAGAAAATTGTTAGTTGGCTTGCTGGGAGATTAGCAAAACCCTAGGTGCCACGGCTAGATTGCGACAACGCTCGCAACGACGACGGCAAGGGCTAGGGCACGATGGCAAGGAAGTGTCGGCAAGGGCTGGGGCACGATGGCAAGGAAGTGTCGGCAAGGGCGCAACAACAAGGGTGTGACGGCAAGGGCACGACAGCGAGGAGGGACCTTGATGACGGTGGCGACTCCCTCAACACCTGAGAGCGACGGTGCCCACGACGGCACGATAGGGAGGGCGCAACAGCAAGGAAGGGCCTCAATGACAACAACAATGATCGAGACACTAGAGAGGATGAGGGGAGCAATGGCACTAGCGAGGGGCGGCGGCGGTGAGGAGGGCAGCGTGGAAAAGAAAAGGAGAGCGACGGCAGAGACAACGACACCGAAAGAGGGAAAAGTAATGACGCTGAAGAGCTGCCCAAGGAGGGAAGAGGTCCGCGAGGAGGAAAGCGGCACACTAGAGATGGGCAGTGCACCGAAGAGGAGGATGACGAGGGATACTTAAGGCTTTGATACCATGTTGACATGAGAGAGAAAAACCTTTGAATCTATGTAGTCTCAAGATAGAATACACGACTCCTATTTAAGAGAGAGGAGAGATGAGAGAGAGAGGTAGATAATGGGCCCTAGTGGGCTGAGTCCGATACTACTATCGAACAGCAACAAAGGGATAGAGATTTTCGTTAGGAAATCAACTCATCGGAAAAAAGGTTATTGATTAAACTATTTGAGCTTCCTAATGTCAGAAAAAAATGAGCTTCCTAATGATTAAAATAATTATTGGGCAATGGATTTTACCACGATTAATTAACTATTGTTTCATTTCCATACACCTTAATTGTACATAAAAAAAATACAATTTGTCTTCATATAAGATAAAGAAAATCAAATAGTGATCCATAATATATAGAAAGAGAGAGATGCACATAAGTAGAGAGATTCTGAATTACTCATCAGCACGTCACTCTCGATAGCTTAAACAAGCAAGGGAAATCAGTAGAGAGAGCAATAGAGAGTGAGAAATAATGGATATGTGTAGACATAACGTTAATCTCAAAGACCCTAACATAGACTTCCCTCCCATGAACTAGGGAAATAAAGCTGTCTAGTATTGGCCAGACCTAGTGTTCAGTCTCACATCAGAATTTCCACATAGGGTTGAAAGGGTCAAAGGAGGGGTCAATGGTGATAGACGGGCCATTATTTTGATGGCAGTAGCCCATCAGAGTTGACATTCAACTAGGGTAGACTTTTGTTAATCTTGAACATTCAGAGATAATATTTTTTATGAAAAATAAAATGATGAAAATTCCAGATGTTGACTTGATTGGGAAGACTGAGAAATGTGTGGTATTTAAATAATTTTCCCTCCTCGGCAATTCTCTGCAGCTACCTCTGCCGGCCATAGTGCTGACTCGGCTGTGCTTGCCGGGGTAAAAGGTTTACATACTGGTTTTAAAACAGGCGTTAGGGGTGAATGGTTCGTAAATTTGTCTCGTAAGAATGGCAAAGGTTTGGCCAAAATGAAATCCACCCATTCTCAGAATTTTGACACAAGCTTCAAGTCATGTCACACAACGATGAAAGATTTCACGCCAACCCGCTGACGAGAAAGGAAAGCTCGATCAAGACATTTGTACTAAGAAGTAAACCCACTCAGTACAGAGGACGCGGGGGACAGAGAGAGAGCTGGAGACTCATGGAGGTAAAAAAGTTCAAGTATGCTAGGAGTGGCATATTTTATCACATTTTTTGAACATGACTGAAACTACAGTATTTTGTGAAAAACTAAACATGAACGAGCTGCTTCTCCTGTCTAGGTACAATAATAGCCGCAGCACGGCACAGGGAGGGAGAGAGAGAGAGAGAGATAGAGAGAGGCTTTTAAGATGATACAAAAAAGAAATTCTGAACGGCGATATGAAAAAACCCACCAATAGAAGATTTGTAGTGAATAACATATCTCGATTTTGAAAGAGGGATAACTTACTAAATCAGTGATGTGTATTAAATTTATGGGTCTGGAAAAACTCTCAACCAACTCTTGATAAGTTCCTAATTGGATTAGAACAACATCAATCTGTGCAATGGACTCGATTAGGATATGAAGAAATAAGTGTCGGGCATTTATTTTTAAGTGAAAAAGTTTCAACCTTATTTTTAAGAACTATAAGAAACGAAGCAGCCCTTTCACCGCCAACCGCTCCACCTATTACTGCAGATAGACTGCCCTATATATAGATTGATAGAGAGAGAGAGAAGATAGAGGATTCAAACACGTCGGGTTGCACTCGTCAAAGAAAACCAAGCAATAAATTTTCTGAGACTGGGATATGAGTACATTTTAATGTGTTTGACTCGACTCCCATCACTCTGTACATCGCTTTTTTGTAATTACTAGTAATCCAAGCAAATGGATAATGTGAATTGTGATAAAGATGACGATGAGGATCTGGATCGAAAGTCAACGTAGACGTCGTCATTGTTTCAGGCCCCTTCGACCATTTGTAGGGGTGAATAGCCGTTGTTCGTCAAAGAATCGTTCCCTATATTCTCGATAAATAGGGTCACCTTTCAAATCACCATTACCATCTACTGTCCACCCTCAAAACAAGCTGTAGCACGGCATTAGTGAGAGAAAGAGAGGAGGAGATGGCTTTGAAGGGTCGGCTTCTTCTTGTGGGGATGCTTGTCGCTGCGCTAGCCAAAGCTTAGCCCAAGAGTCTGTATGTGAAGCTCAAGCCCAAGAAAGAGAGGTGGGTAGTTATGGGTCAAGACAAAGCATCCCTTCAAGCCCTCCCCCCTAGGCACTCACTAAAGAGGTATCATCCCTCTTTCTTCTTTGTGTAACCATCTTTATAAGTACCACCTTTGTAACTACCCCTTCCTTGAGCTACCTATAAAAAAGGGGCCACAAGATCTGAAAATGGAAGACTAATTTTGGTGAAAACATTGACAGGTTTTGTTATTTCTTCTCTTCTCTTAACTTGGTCCTCTGCTATCTCTCTATCGATTTGATCCTTCTTAATCAAATCTTCTCCTTTTGCTTTCTTCTTCTCCCACTTCTTTCTCTACTCAATCTTCCCTCGAGTTTGCCATCACCTCTAGAATCTTCAATGGATCAAATATCTTAATAAGAGTCTTAAAGCTTCATCAGATTGTTGACATATCAAGTATCATTCAACGTATCACAACTCTCCAATATTCTAAGCCATATTTGATCTTCATCTCATTATCCTTACTTTTGATCTTTGTGAGAAGATAGAATAGTCAACGAATTGCTTCTTGGATAATCCATCTCATTAACTCAGATTTGATCCACTAAAATAAAATTGAACACTTCAATTTTAAGAAAAATAAAGATCATGTTCATTCAAAGTTGCAGGAGTACTTAATTCTAAACTACTCTTTTCATTGGCTTAAACAAGTGGGTTTCTCTATTCATATCTCTAAACATTATGATCATTGAATTTGAATTTCTAATTTTATCACCATCCCATATCAAAAATATATAGTAGACATTTAGAACTTAATGTAATCTAAAACTACATGACTATAAGAAAAAATAATGTTTGATCCTACCATGTGTCACTTCACATGATAGAATTAAACAACTTTAAATAAAATATTAAAAAATAAGAAATAACATCAAAATAAGAGAAAAAATATGATACAATCATGTTACAACTTTGTTGTCGCACATGTAGCTTACGAGGAGAAATTAACTCATAAAATCTCAAGAGAGTGCTCCCAAGAGAGTGAAGTCAAATAAGGGGGATCACACGTGCTCCTAAGAGAGTGGAGTAAGTCAAATAAATCAAAGCTCTATAAATCATGTGATTGAAATACATATTAAGGTTTCAAGATACAACCAGCTATAAAGAATAAGATAAAAACTATTTCAGCCCCTCCTTCATCCCATGTGCTTTCTTGCACATAGGCTCCAATAACATTCTAATTGAACCTAGCCATCCTATTTTAAGAAAAAAATGAAGATTAAGGACAAGTGAATCAAAGAGTGCTTACACAAGACCAACAATTGACATGACAACCGCACGCAGCACGACGCCTACACAAGGCACGGCAACTGCACGCAGCACAGCACCTGCACAAGGCACGACAACCGGACGTGGCACGGCACCCACACGCGACATGGCGCCCATGTGCAGCATGGCGCCCACACACAGCATGGCGCCCGCACAAGGCACGGCGCCAACGTGGAGCACAACACTTGATACAAGGGCCCAACAATAGAGGATGACGTCACGAGCCTGACATCAGCCAACGGAGGAAGACCATTACCCTAAAGGGGTGGGATCCAAACCTTAATCCCACATTAGAATTAAAGGGAGGACCCACTAGGGGACCTTCATTAAAGAAGGACCCCCGACCCCATGTAAGATCATCTTGGGAGAAGTCTAGATCCTCCACATTTTGGAGAACTTGAGCCCTAAGCATATTAGCTCGGGAGCTCACTAGGGATCTCGTGCAGAGCGGCCGACATCCTTATTACAATGGTATTAGAGCCAAGTTACGAAGCAAGGTCAGGATTCTCTATATCCTCTTCTTTTTTTTTTTACTTGCCATAGATAATGGAGATGGAGGGTAGATGGGGTACGAGTGGTACCCAGGGGCAAAGAATTGCCCGATTAGTAAAGCGACAAGAGACCACGACTCATGTTGTGGAGTCTCTGATGGAACAATGGCAGACCGAATTGGGTTGCCTACGAGAAGAAGCAACTCAATTGAGCCTGAGGAAGGAGTAGGACCGAGTAGCAATCGAAGCACTCTCGACAAAACTCAATGAGGAGATACGGTCGATCTATGATCAGACAAGGGCTATGGCCACTACTTACGAATCCTAGAAGGAAGATATATCGGCGTTACGGGAGGACTTTTCCAGAAGGATGGAGGAACTGACAAGCAAGTTCCAGAGGTCCCTTAACTCGGAAGCAAACCCTGGCTCAACTTGAGTCAAGGCCCTAGAGCCAAAAACCTACTTAGGAGAACGGGATGCCATGTTAATCGAGAACTTCATTTGGGATCTCCAAAGGTACGTCAACTCCAACACTACCTTTGAAGAAGAGAAAGTATTTGTGGGAAGTCTATTCCTCGTTGGGCACACAAAGACTTGGTGGAGACTCCGAACAGAAGACTTCTCAAGGCCACCAGTCACCGACTGGGAGGGATTCACGTGGGAAATTCGAGATCAGTTTCACCCAGCAAACTCGGGCCAAGTTACCCAGACTGCAATGAGGCAACTCAAACACGCTAGGTCTATCTGAGAATACGTGGAGAAATTCTCCATGTTGGTACTGGAAGTACCTTGGATGGATGAGGAAGACAAGCTTCACTATTTCATGGAAGGACTCCAGACATGAGCCCAAAATGAAATCCACAAACAAGGAGTCCACGACATCCGAAGAGCAATGATGGTGGCAGATAGACTGATAGATAACCGATGCCAACAGTCAGATGGCAATGACACATCTCAAGAGGGTCGAGGTCGCAATGCCAACTGGGGATGAGGAGGACCGGCCCAAATAGGAGTAGGTCAAGGCAACCACAACGGAGGTCAAAATGAGACCCCTCTATGAATTGAGGGACCCAAGTGGACAGGGTGCCACGTATATGGGGGCCCTCACCGAAGTGCAGATTGTCCCAACTGAGCCGATCAACACATGACGAAAGCTCGGCTCAATCCCATCTTGGCACAAAACCAGCCACCACCAGTAATTGAAGAGGTACCACATCTAAACACCATTCAGCTTCTAAATGTGGTACAAGTGAAGGCCACATAGGAGGCTCTTAGGAAACTACTCTTTGTAGAGGCGATTATCAACTCCACTTCGACAAAGGCATTAGTAGACTCAAGGGTCACTCATAACTTTTTATCAGAGAAAGAAGCCCACCGCCTTGGGTTGAGCTTGGTCCGCACTAACAACAAGATCAAGGCTATCAACTCTGAAGCCCAAACCTCGGTCGAACTGGCCCAACACGTGAAGACACAGATGGGCACATGAGAAGATCAGTTGGACTTCCTCGTGCTACGGATGGATGATTTTGATGTCATTCTTGGGGCTGATTTCGTGACCAAAGCAAAAGCAGGAATATTCCACCACTACAATGACATATTGATATGTGGAGGGAAACACTCCTACTTTGTACAAGGGACTGTTCAGGAGGGAGCAAGACCACAAATTATCTCAACCATGCAACTGAAAAATGAACTACAGCACAAGGTAGACACATTCCTGGTCACTCTACAAGAAGTTGAGGGAGAAGGTCAGAAGGTAGGACATCCACATGTATTATCTTTACTTAACGAATTTCAAGACATCATGCTAGATAAATTATCTGCTAAATTACCACCTAGGCGAGATATAGAACATATGATTGAATTATTACTAGGAGAATGTCCATCGGCTAGAGACCCATAGAAGATGCTGCCAGCCCACTTAGAAGAATTGAGGAAACAATTGGAGGATCTATTAGAGGCAAGACATATACAGCCCTCACACACACCATTTGGGGCCCCTGTCCTCTTTCAACAGAAGAAAGATGAAACGTTGAGACTGTGTGGATTATAGAGCCTTGAATAAAATTATAGTAAAGAACAAGTATTTGGTTCTTAATGCGGAAGACTTGTTCGACAGGTTGGGAACAACAAGTGTTCTTAAAATTAGACTTGAAAAGTGGCTATCATCAAGTCCGCATCAAAGAGGGGGATGAGCAGAAAACGGTTAGTGTCACACTATATGGATCATATGAATTTACAGTCATGTCATTTGGGTTGACCAATGCTCCGGCAATATTTTGTGCTTTAATGAATCACATCTTTCGTCTATTTATAGATAAGTTTACAGTGGTCTACCTTGATGATATCCTAGTATATAGTTACAATTTAAGAGAACACTTACTACACTTACGTCAAATATTAGAGACATTAAAATGCCATCAACTATATTTGAACCCTTCAAAATGTACATTTGCGAGGACGAAAGTAGAATTTCTAAGTCATGTAATTGGAGGTGAGAAAGTACAAATGGACCACAAAAAGGTGTCAGCAATCAAAGATTAACTTGAACTAAAAGGAGTGGCAGAGTTGAGATCATTCATAGGATTGACTAATTATTATCGCAAGTTTATCAAGAGTTTTTCTCATATAGCAACCCCATTGACACAACTCTTGAAAAAAGATCAGCGATGAGAATGGTCAGATAAATGTCAATAGGCCTTTGACAACCTTCGGTCAGTAATCATGTAGGAGTCAATCTTACAACTTTCCAACTTTAGCAAACCGTTTAAAGTATACATGGATGCTTCATAAATGACCATTGGAGGGGTGCTGATATAGGATGGACACCTAGTGGCTTTCGAGGAGAGAAAGCTGAATGACATAGAGCAACAGTACTCGGTGCATGAGAAGGAGATGACAGTAGTGGTCCACTGTTTGCAGGTGTGGAGGCACTACTTACTTGGCCAACACTTCACCATCTACACCGACAATGTGGTAACAAGTTATTTCAACTCCTAGAAAAAATTATCACCTAAACAAGCAAGATGGCAGGACCTTTTAGTAGAGTACAACTTCACATTCAAATATAAACTAGGACGGACCAACGTGGTCGTTGATGCACTGAGCCATCAAGGAGCCACAGCAAAAGTAGCTGCATTATCGACGAGTATAGGGGATCTTTTGGATGAGATTTGAGCAGCATATAATATGAACCCCATTGTCAAACAACTAATTCAACAAATAGAGTCTAGTGAGACACGTCGACTCTGGATGGAGGAAGGTATCCTTTATACATAGGGCCGACGGCCCTTAGTCTCACAAGGGGGACAATTACGATGTCGACTACTTCCAGAGACACACGATGTGCCCCTTGCTGGACACCTAGGGTAACAAGGGACACTAGCCCTCTTATCAGCTAGTTATTATTGGCCAAACATGGAGCGGGATGTGGAAACATATGTCCACTCTTGCCTAATATGTCAACAAGACAAAATAGAACAGCGCTACCCAGCCAGAACATTGGCGCCGTTACCTATCCCAGAAGGACCATGGGAATCTCTATCAATGGACTTCATCACAGGACTACCACGAGTGAGGGACTTAGACACCATCTTGGTGGTGGTCGACAAGTTCTCTAAGTATGCCACATTCATACCAACCCGCTCAGAATGCAAAGCGGAAGAAGTGGCCGGCTTATTCTTGACACATATTGTCAAGCTATGGGGCCTTCCACGAGACATTGTTTCAAATCGCGACCCCCGCTTCACTAGAAGATTTTGGTCAACCTTCTTTACTCTCTTGGGCACTAAACTAAGCTTCTCTACAACATTCCATCCACAAACCGATGGACAAATAGAGAGAGTCAATGGCATGTTGGAAGATTACTTGAAACATTATGTTATCACTAGGCAGGATAATTGGGTGGAGCTCTTGGATGCGGTGCAGTTTGCCCATACCATTCAATAATGTGTCTCTACTAGACACTCCCTATTTGAACTGGCCATGGGAAGGCAGCTATTAACGCCTCCAAAATTGGTGAAACAACAAGGACCTAGGTACCTACCGGCCGCATACCAGTTTGCTAAGAACTGCCATGACCAACTAAAGGAAGCCCGCAAAGCCCTTGCGAGAGTTGCTCGACGAATGAAGAAAAATGCGGATTCCCAATGACAAGAGGTTGAATACGACGTCAAGGACTGGGTACTACTGCGCATATATCCTACCCACAAGAGTCTACAGAGATTGAAGCACAATAACGAATTGGTCCTTAGATACGACGGGCCTTTCCAAATCGTTGCCCGCATAGGCCGTCTAGTGTACTGTCTACAACTCCTTCCATGACTCCCAATCCATCTAGTATTTCACGTCTCCCTATTAAAAGCTTACAATGCAGATGTGGACGACCTAGAACGTAATTGGCCCCGCCGCCTCCCACCAACGGTACAAGCACACTATGACCAAGCAGCCACCGACATTTTGGATCACCAAATCATCAACAAAGGAGGGCGCAACCATGCCCACCGCAACACATTCTATCTAGTGCAATGGGTAGAACGACCTCGGGAGGCTGTCACATGGGAGAAAGAGGTGGACCTATGGAAGTTTGAAGATTTAATCTAGGCCTACTAGCAACACCATTTGACAAGGACGCCGGACTTCATTGGAGGGGGAGAATATTACACGAGACTAACAACTGACATAACAACCGCGTGCAGCACGACGCCTACACAAGGCACGACAACCGCATGTGGCACAACACCCACGCGCGGCACAATGCTTGCGTGCGACACAATGCCCGCACAGGGCATGGTGCCCACGCGCGGCATGGCGCCCACACAAGGCACGACGCCGACGCGGAGCACAGCACCCAATACAGGGGCCCAACAATGGAAGATGACGTCATGAGCCTGACATCAGCCAATGGAGGAAGACCATTACCCTAAAGGGGTGGGATTCAAACCTTAATCCCACATCGGAATTAAAGGGAGGACCCACTAGGGGACCTTCTTTAAAGAAGAACCCCCGACCCCATGTAAGATCATCTTGAGAGAAGTCCAGATCCTCCACGTTTTGGAGAACTTGAGCCCTCAGCATATTAACTCAGGAGCTCACTAGGGATCTCGTGCAGAGCGGCCGACATCCTTGTTACGATGGTGAAATACTTTGGAGGGTTGAATTTTTATATTGGAAAAAATATTTCCAAATTTTTAATATAATGTTCAAATTTTCAATTAAACACTTTGTAGGGTTGAATTATATCATTTCTATTTCATAAATTAGTAATTTTTTAATCAATATTAATCAAGTGTAAATAATCAACTTGACTATACTTGAGTGCAAAATTCATACCTCAGTAGCATTACACATCCAAATTTATCTTCTAGTGAAGTTGAATCTTTCTTTATCTTGCAGCTTAGTAAATATGCCAACAAAATGATGTCATTTCAAGAAAATTCAGATCAGTTCAAGTGGCTCTAGGGATGATGGATGTAGGCTTGGTGTAAAAAGTCTAGATCTTTATTTAAAAATCAAAGAACCATTGTTTACAATTATCTTCATAGAAATTTGTTAGAGAGTTAACAAAAATTGAACTTATTACTAACAAGAAAAGAATTCACTATTTCTTAAAATCTTTTATTCCCCTTGTTTCTCATGAGCCAGACTTAAGATTTATTTGGTATTTGGAAAAAGTAATTTCCTTCATATAGCCCCCTTACAGCCAACATGAGAGAGAAAGAGAGAGAGACAAAGAAAGACAGAGAGAGATTGAGAGAGAGAGAGAGAGGACATAACAAAGGAGTAGAAACTTTCAATAGGAAACTTGTCTATATGGAAATGGTGAATAGTTAGGCCACTTGGGCCCCTAATGTTAGAACAATATGTACATTGATTTTCCCACCATTAATTAATTATTTTTCATCTCCATACACCTTTATTGTAGATAACAAATTGCATTTTTTATTCATATAAGATAAAAAATATATATATAAATTATGGTCCATAAAATGTAGAGAGAGACAGAGATGGACATTAATAGTTGGAGTTTGAACGGCTCCTCATTACCACGTCACTCTTGAAAACGAATACAAATTAGGGAAATCGGTATATATATATATAGATAGAGAGAGAGAGAGAGAAAATGGGCACGGCCCTTTACGGCTTTATTTCCCAGGTTTATGAGAGAAACGCGTACGCGAGTTGGGGCCAAACGTGGTGTTCGGTCCCGCATCAGAATTTCAGCCTAAGTTGAAAGGGTTGAAGGAGGGGTCAACGTTGACAGAAGGGCTTCTTTGGGCGGCGGAAGCCCATCAAAGTGGGGTTGACTTTTATCAATTCGGAGCATCTTTTATGATAAATAAAACGACAAAAAATCCGGGTTTCAAACTTCCAGCCAAATATAAAATACATGGAGGATTTTTTAATCCAATCATATTATTATTTTCAATTTGCCGCCCGTTGACAGCGACGGCGCCACCTCTCTCTTCTCTTGGCTTGATCTTGACACTCGAAAAGAAATAATATAATAAAATTTAATTATAAATTAATACTCCCGGCCGAATGACTTGCTTGTATTCAGACAAATAAATACCTCTCTCTCTCTCTCTCTCTCTCTCTCTAGAGAAATTCCTTACTCAGGTCGCCCGATCGATTTCCGCCACGAATGGACCCGCGGCTTTTCTCCGGCGAGTCGGTTCCTTTGGACGTGGCGGTGTCGCCTCAGGATGCCTCCTCCGGCGAGCGGCGAGGCCCGAGCGGCCGTTCTCCGATGATCTGACCGCAAGCCGCCGAGGGTAGAGTCGTCGTCTCATCTGGATTTTCTGCGATTTCCCTCCACCGGCGTTAGATGGCCGCCCCCCACCGCGCGCCGCCGGGGAGGGCCATGGCGGCGCTGCTACTGCCGTGTGCCATCTTCTTCTTCTTCCTCGGCAAAGCCGACACCGTGAGGGTCATAGGGTAGGGGGACGGCGCCGCCGCCGGTGGCGGCGGCTGCGAGGGCCTGGGGAACTCCGGCCATGGCGGCCATGGGTACGTCGACTACCTGCATTCTTCTAGCACTACTGCGCGGGGGCTCCATGGCTGGGCTTTCTCCTTTTTGGGGCTATGGCTGCTGGTCCTCTTCTTCCTCCCCCGCACCACTGCCGGCGACTACTTCTGCCCTTCCCTGGAGGAGTTATCGAGCTTGCTACGGCTTCCCCGTGCCGTCGCCAGGGCCACCCTGCTCGCGCTCGGCAACGGCGCCCCCGACTTCTTTGCCAGCGTTGTCTCCTTCGCCGTCGGAAGGGCCAACCAGTGAGGGGCAATCTGATGGGAATAGTCCATAGTTCCAGGATCTAGTGTTGAGTTCAAGGGAATCAACAACACACCAGAGTTCCAGATTAGTAGCCCATTGATGGGATACCTCATAAGCAACTCAAGCGTCCTATTTCACTTTATAACCCATTTATATAGCCTCAAGGTGATTAGCCTCGAAATTAGTAGCACTACCCATTTATATACCCATCACTCATGGTGACTATACTTTTGAGTGCAAAATTCATACCTTAGTAGCATTACACATCCCAATTTATCTTCTAGGGAAATTGAATATTTCTTTAACCAGCGGCTTAGTAAATATGTCTCCAAAATGATTTGTCATTTCAAGAAAATTCAGATCTATATGAGTTCCATCTCACATGATTTTTTAAGAAATAATGCTACAAATCTAATGCTTAGTTATAGAATCTATGACATGATTTTTAACAAGATTATGTCACTGGTTTTGTGTCATAAACTCCAAATCTCATTCATCTTCCAGTTGAGAATTCATCTATAGAATTTGTGCACATCACAATCCCTAACAATGTATTTTACTTCTATTGTACATAGTGTGACAAATCATTATTTCTTTGAGGACCAGGAAATCAAGTATCCTCCAAGAGGAATACCTGATGAACTTGTGCTCTCCCTACAAATTACATTCCTAGCAAAATCATTTACATCACCTTGAGCCAAACTAGGTTAAGAGCCATTAAAGTTAGAGAAAATGTTGTTAACTATTGTTTGGTAGATAAGAGGAGCTAGTTGAACCCAGTAGAGACTTGACATTACATTGGTTATTATTTGGTTGGACAAAGTCAATAAACCCAATGGAGGATTCATAGATTCATATCTTCTTATTTGAAGGGCAAAAAAATTGTCCCTTTAGGGACATCCGATAAAATTGAAATGATAAAGAGAACATTAGCATGGCCCCTGCGCAAGGATGACATGCACAAATCGAGAAATGGCCCAAATTTTTATTTGAAGGGCAAAACTAGTCAAGTTAGTAATGTAGTGACTGCCCCATAAATTGTAAATTAATTTTTTTTGTAAGTAGTATCTAGTTCTCAATAGTCTGAGTCCCTAGATGTGATCTTCATAGATGATTAGTAAAAACTTAGGAGGTGGCTCTATTGGGGACTATTGATGTAGGATGAGGGTAAAAAATATAAATCTTTCTTTAAAAATCAAAGAACCCTAGTTTACTAATTTGTTAGCAATCAACAAAAATTGAACATATTACTAACAAGAAAAGAATTCATTATTTTGTAAAATCTTTTGATTCCCCTTGTAATAGAGTGACATAAACCTAGTTTCTTATGAACCAGACTTGAGATTTATTTGGTATCTAGAGAAAAAGGTAATTCCCTCTTAGAACTAACATCAAAGAGAATGAGAGAGAGAGAGAAACTTGCCTATATGAAAAAGGGTGAATAGTTAGACCATTTGAGCTTCCTAATGTCAAAACAACATGCACATTGATTTTCCCATCATTAATTAATTATTTTTTCATCTCCACACACTTTTGTTATAGATAACAAAATGACATTTTTTTCTTGATAATATATACAAGATAGGGAAATCGGTAGAGAGAGAGAGAGAGAGAGATAACGGTCAAGTGTGGGCCAAACCAAAACTGTAATCTAGATGGCCCTTGCATAGGCTTTTCTCTCATGAACTTGGGAAATAAAGCCTTCAAGTGGCGGCCAACCTAGTGTCCAGTCCCACATCAAACTTCCAATGTACGCTTTGAAAGGATAGATGGAGAGGGTAACGTTGATAGAAGGGGACTTATTTTGGCGGCAGCAGCCCATTAAAGTGGGGTTGACTTTTATCCATTTTTAGCAATCAATGATAACATCTTTTATCAGAAATAAAACGACAAAAAAAATCCATATTTTCAAACTTCACCCCGAAGAAAAACGATAAAAATATAAAATAAATAGAGGTTTTTCGAATCCAATCATCAATATTTATTAATTCGCCATATAAAAATGTTGCTTTGTCCTGTTGACAGCGACGGCCACACCTCGCTCTGGGCCTGATCTTGGCACTAGAAAATAGTAAACTATAAATTAATATTCTCCGGCCGGAAGACTAGCTTGTATTGACATAAGTAAATGCCTCTCTCTCTCTCTAGAGAGTCCTCGAAGACCTTCTAGGCCGTCCCAGCCAGGACCTACAGATCGTTTTCCGCCACGGATGGGCCGGGGGCTTGATGTGGCGGCGCCCTGAGGACGCCTCCTCCAGCGAGCGGCGAAGCCCCAGCGGCCATTCTTCTGTGATCTGATGGCAAACTGCCGCCGGTAGAGTCGTCGTCTCATCAGGGTTTTCTGCGAATTTCCACCGATAGCGTTCAATGGCCGCCCCCCACCTCGCACCGCCGTGGAGGGCGATGGCGTCTCTCCTATTGCCGTGCGGCACCTTCTTCCTCGTGGTCTTCTTCTTCTTCTTCTTCCTCGGCAAAACCGGCACCGTGAGGATCCTAGGGCAGGGGGGCGGCGCCGCCGCCGGTGGCGACGGCTGCAAGGGCCTGGGGGACGCCGACCATGGCGGCCGTGGGTACGTCAACTACCTGCGGTTCTTCTACTGCCTCTGCGGGGGGGCTCCATGGCTGGGGTATCCCCTTCTGGGGCTATGGCTGCTGGTCCTCTTCTTCCTCCTCGGCACCACCGCCGGCGACTACTTCTGCCCTTCCCTGGAGGAGCTCTCGAGCTTGCTACGGTTGCCCCCCGCCGTCGCCGGCGCCACCCTGCTCGCGCTCGGCAACGGCGCCCCCGACTTCTTCGCCAGCGTCGTCTCCTTCGCCGCCGGTGGCCGCGCCGCCGACGAGGTCGGCCTGAGTAGCGTCCTCGGCGGCGCCTTCTTCGTCTCCACCGTCGTCGTCGGCGTCATAAGTGTCGCCGTCGGCGGCGGCGCCGTGACCGTGGCCGTTGACAGGTTCTGCTTCCTGCGTGACCTCTGCTTCCTCGCCGCCGCCCTCTGCTCCCTCACCGCCGTCCTCGCCATCGGAAGGATCAACCTGTGGGGGGCCATCTTCTTCCTCTCCCTCTACTTCGTCTACGTCCTCGCCATCTCCACCACAGCCTGCTGCAGGAGATCCCCCCTCGAGGGTCTGTCGGCGTCGCTCCTCGCCGGTGAGGAGGAGAAGGAGGATCTCGAAGGAGGAGCAAGAGAAGAACCCAAATCGCCCCGACGGCGAGGTTGGTGGCGCAGCCTCCTGGCGGCGCCACTCCACCTCCCGAGGAGGCTCACCATACCTGTGGTTTCGGAGGAGAGGTGGTCGAAGCCCTTCGCGGTGGCCTCCGCCGCTCTATCCCCGCCGTTCCTGGCGGCGCTGTGGACCCCTCGGAGCACGGAGCTCCTCCTCGCCGGCGGCCTGCTGGGTCTCATCCTCGGCGGTGCCGCCGTGGCCACCACAGAGAGATCCCTTCCGCCGAAGGGGCTGCTGCAGCTGCCATGGTTGGCAGTGGGGTTCCTGATGAGCATCGTCTGGGCGTACCTCGCCGCCGGCGAGCTGGTAGCGCTTCTGGTTTCCTTGGGCCGTATCCTCGGGATAAACCCATCTGTCCTCGGCCTTACCGTCCTAGCCTGGGGGAACTCCCTCGGCGACCTCACAGCCAACGTCGCCATGGCCGTCTACGGCGGGGCCCCCGGTGCGCAGGTGGCCTTCTCCGGCTGCTATGCCGGCCCCATCTTCAACACCCTGGTAGGTCTGGGGATCTCCCTCCTCTTCTCCGCCTGGTGGAGCCATCCCTCCTCCTTCCCAGTGCCAGCAGAAAATTCGTCCTACCAGTTGCTGGGTTTCATGGCGGCGGGCCTGCTCTGGGCCGCCGTCATCCTCACGCGGAGGGAGATGAAGGTGGACCGGGTTCTGGGGCTCGGCCTGCTCACCATCTACTGTTCCTTTCTCTCCGTTAGGGTTTCAGACAGCCTCGGCTGGCTGTGATTGCGGGAAGAAGACGACCACCTGACTCTCCCTGGAAAGCCCCATATTACCGATGCTTTTAACTACTAACAGCTTTCGCCCATTTCTCCACTGACTACACGACTGTATGTAACTGTATGTAATCGATCTTTGTTTCTTCTTTTTTTTCTTCTTCATGCGCTGATGGATGGAGAGGGAAAGGGGGAGGATGATGAAGCCCTCCATGGCTTGATGCGAGAGAGAGAGAGAGAGTCGGTCGCATCCGTCCCACAGATGCCCGCTTCATCTGTGGGATCGCGAATATGTTTCCATCTCGATTCAAGGAGATCCATTTTACACTGTAAACGCGGTCTTCATCGAATTGATGCTCCTGGGTGGCGGATGTGCGAGGTCGCCAATCTCCGATTCTGGGTTGCAGAGCCGTTATCTCTCGGGCAAAAACCCTATTTTTACTGGCCGGCAGCGCCCTCCGGACCTGCTCTTCGGCGAAACGGGGCCTAGGTCGGAGCTCATCTTCTAAGGTTTTCCCCGAAGGAAGGCCCGGCCCGTTGACTTCCAAGCATGGGTGGGCTCCCGAGAAAGAAATATAATCGGATTCATTTTTTTCTTTTAATGAAATACTTGTAGCACAGTCCCTCCGATCTCCCTACTCCCGCCATTTTCTGCTCCCTCCCTCCCTCTCTCTCTCTCTCTCTCTCTCTCTCTCTCTCTCCCTCTCTGCTCTTGATAGATAGACGGAAAGGGAGGATGTTGTGGGTGGACAAGTACAGGCCCCGGACGCTGGACAAGATCACGGTGCACGAGGAGATCGCCCGGAACCTGAAGAAACTGGTGTGTCGGGGAGGTCCCCATCTAGGGTTTCGCCTCTCTGCTGCATTATTCCCCGCCTCTATCTCTTTGTTCTTGCGGGGTGCTCCTCACGATTTCCGGCGATTTTCCTGTGATTGATGGGCGGCGGCGCTCTTGGCAGGTCGCGGAGCAGGACTGCCCCCACCTGCTCTTCTATGGCCCCTCCGGCGCCGGCAAGCGAACCCTCGTCGTGGCGCTGCTCAAGCAGATATTCGGCCCCGGAGCTGAGAAGGTTTGCTCCTCCCCCTCTCCACCTGCGTCTCTCTCCCTAGACAACTAGTATGTACCATCCATTGCAGACAAAATGGTGACAGTATCTTCCTCTCCTGCTCAGGTGAAGATGGAGAACAAGAATTGGAAAATCGACGTAAGTTCTCTCTTTTTGTTTGAAAAACTCCTCTGAAAATCGCCGTATCCTGCTTCTTTCTTATTGGTTCTTGATTCCTCCTCTGGGGAATGACGGAGAAAGGAAAAACAAACAAAAAGCCGGCTTTATCCTCCTGACAGGGATCTCTTTGGTGCAGAAAGATGAAATCATTCTTTACATTGCCGGCTGAATTCATTATTTGGGACCGTACTTCTCTTTCAGTGAAAATTGCCAAAATCTCTCCAATCATCTATATACATAGATAGTTTATGGCCCTAGACTCTCAGCTCTATTTTTTTTCCATTTGGATTATTTTTGTTTTCTTCTTCTACGTATTATATATAAGAACATTTTTTTTTTTCCCTTGATTATGGCACCAGCATGGAGGATGAGGGGCGTTTTTGTTTCATGGATTATCTTTATTTTGTCTTCTTGATGGCATTATCTCGAATGCAGACGGGGAGTCGAACAATTGAGCTGGAATTAACCACCTTGTCGAGCTCTCACCATGTGGAGCTCAATCCCAGCGATGCAGGTTTCCAGGACAGATATATTGTTCAGGAAATAATCAAAGAGATGGCGAAGAACAGACCCATTGATGCAAAGGGAAGAAAAGGTTACAAGGGTAAGTCCAATGGATCCCAGAGCATGAAATTTCCTCCACGGAGTCCGCCTCATGCGCTGCGTATGCCATTCAGGGTTAGAAAACAGAGTTTCAGTAATGTCCTTAGTCTTTAACACACGACCAATGAAACAATCCTTTTTTTTCTTTTCTTTTTTCTGAGAAATCGTTTGTTCAATCCTTTTAGAGTGCAAGTATTTTCACAGAGTAGCAGTGACTGTGGTATTTGTGGTTTCTGGTTCTATGTCTTCTTCATATTCTCATACTTCATGATGATGATGATGATGATGATGTTGATAATGATATGGGTTGAAAGGAGGAGGAGAAAGGTCTGTGATACAGTGGATATTGCAAAATGCAGGCAGCAGTGTCAGTCGTCTGTTCACAGGCTCATCAATGCATACTAGGTTGATTCCCTCTCTTCCTACTCTTTCCTCAATGGGTATACGCTGACCCATTCCTTCCTGGGTAGTAAGATGGGGACTTGAAAGGAATGTTATCTTTGCTTAATATACTGCAAAGTATATATCTATGTGGTTGCTTTTATGGTGAAATGGGTATCTTTCCTTTTAAACAAATTCATGAAGTGACTCATTTAGTTTGCCATCGCCTCCAAAATTGGAAGAAGGGAGATTCTCACCATCAACTTTAGCTGTTTCGTGCTTGCTCATCTTGAAGATGTAATTCAGAGATTAAACAAATCGTACAGGCAGGCGTATTTAGTTTGGTAGGTTTAAGGAAAACTACTGGGCATGGTTTTCTCCATTGTATTCCCCTCAAGAGTTATGGTATTATGTTTCACTGGGGGGATCTCCATGGATTATGCTCGCCTTTTCTTAACTCCTTTTAAAATGGTTAGTGGACTAAATTCGCAAACAAAGATCAAGAATAATGACATGAATTAGATTCTACCTCACTATAATGTGCACCTTTTAAAATTTCATGATTCTGAACACGATTGATATCCTTCTGTTTAATTTTTATGCCCAGCTATTGAAGATGTTGTGGCCCTTGGGAATAGGAAATGGTATTATATAACATGCTTCCTCCTATGTCCCTGAGTCTGTACACTCCTGACTGTTTTCCATGCAAACTATCGATTTAAAAAAGAGTTCAACATACTGAAATAATCAGAGTGTAAACATACTCGAGTATCAGTGAAGCAGAATTTCTTTGGACAATCTAAAAGTTCCAATGTGTCTTAGAATTTTCTCGAACTAGGGACAAGTTATTCAGACCAGCCAGAACCTTGGAGAATGGGGGTTGACGAGTGTTCTGTTATCTCAGAATTATACCTAAAAGCGCCTGTTGTGTTTACCATCCAAAGAAATCAACTAGTTTCTAATCTTGTTGATGGAAATTCATACGAAATTATTATAACATGGCCATCTCAGCGATCGCATTCATGTTCGTGATACTGATTCAATTTAATATGCTAAATAGTCCAACATTTCTATTTTTGTTATTTTGGACGAAAGTTTTCATTTCTAGAACCATTTTATGCTATAAGTTGAGTAATATATGGTCTTTTTGGTCAGTACTGGTGCTAAATGAAGTAGACAAGCTTTCAAGAGAAGCCCAGCATTCCCTTCGGAGAACAATGGAGAAATATAGTGCTTCATGCCGGTTAATCCTTTGCTGCAACAGCTCCTCAAAAGTCACCGAGGCAGTTAGATCTCGTTGCCTTAATATACGGGTTAGTGCACCCAGTGAAGAACAGGTCAGCACGAACTTTGAAGGAAGATTCATGCCTTTTTTTTAAAAATCTTCTGTGCATTTTATGTTACTGATCATGCTCGAGTACATGATTTAATACATGCATGCGTGCTTTCTTGACGCTCTACTCATTTAATTTTGCTCTTACCATGGAGAATTTTTTTTTCCCATGTGCTTTGGTTGACTCTCGTTGATTTTATCTATACAGAATTTTTTGCATTGAAGTAATGTAAATCCGAGTTGGTACCAATCAGAGCTGAGTCAGTGCGGTTCGATACAATACTTTCCGGTTTTACAGAACTGAGTCTTGTTAACCACTTTATTGGCAACCTTGTTTAATTGAAATGAATTTTGCTGCACTATATTACATTAGACATTTGTCAACTATTTTCTCTATCATAAGAAGTTGTATGCATAATAATGAAAACATTTGGAGAGCATCACACCGACCGCTTCCTTTGAAGTGGGTTAAGGTATATATATATATTGAATGTTCATGTGCTTTATCTCATCTTCATTCGTGACAATTGAATGTGATCAACCTCAAGAACACGTCTTGTTGACATCAAGGATCTTGGCAACCAACGAGTATGGAGTACGATTGTAGTATCACGATGTTTCGTGAAGATATGAACAGTGTTTATTTGTTAAAGATGAATTTCACTTAAAGAAACTCTAGGATATTAGTTTTAATTACTTGTATGTTAATAATGTTTTTGATATTATTTAACAAATATGAAGATGTCTTTTGTTACAATTTATGTGTATTTTCTTGAAAAAAAAGTGCTGCTCTTTTCAACAGAATTTTCACTAGAATCTGATGCAGAACCAGTCCTTATTCTAGCTGTTAGTGCTTCTTCCTTAAATAATAAGAAAAGAAGCCACCTCCTTGTTCGTTTTAGCTGCCACAGCAACTTGAGTCTAGGGTCTAGGGTCTAGGGTTTAGTCCTCCAAAAAAAAAACCCAGAAGTTTCAAGGTGTCTGCTCTCCAAAAAAAAAAGGAGAGGAATCCTACTCCTACCCTTCTTTTCTGTTTGACTCTTCTTCGTTCTCGGGTGGGAGATAACAATGCAGATCCCACATGAGTACAGAGGTCAATGGGCATAATGTGTCGGCTAGGTAAGTGATAAGTTAGTTAGACGAAAAAAACAAGGTCAATGGGCATTATGTTTCTTCCTTAAGATCCAACAGGCGTTTACTTCAGCAGTGCTGAAGAACTCCTAATCATGATTGTTGGAAGTTGTCTGATATTGCTTTTTGATCGTTCCCTCTTCTTTGTATTCATTGGTGGATCTGATTCTTCCTCAGCTAGTTATTCACAAAACTCTTTTTTTTTCTGTTTTTCTTTTTTTTTTTTTTATGGCTGCCAGATTGTAAAGGTTCTGGAGTTCATCAGCAAGAAGGAAAGCCTACAGCTTCCACCTGGGCTTGCCTCCCGAATCGCATCACATTCTAATCGTAATCTCAGGAGGGCAGTTCTATCTCTTGAGACATGTCGAGTGCAGAAGTAACACCCTTCTTGCATCTTTCCTGTTCCTTTCCTTTCTGGGCCCATCCTTTTAAATCATTATTTATTTTTTTCAATAATATATTAATATATAAAAGGATTGTATATATACTGATTGTGTATTTCTTGAGCAGCATTCTCACAATTTTGTTGGTGCGCCTCATACTTCCAGGTACCCCTTCACAGACGACCAAGTGATCCCGCCCATGGACTGGGAGCAGTACGTCTCTGAAATAGCATCTGACATAATGAAGGAGCAGAGCCCTAAAAGGTTGCTTCCTAATTGCCATGAATATTGTCATATATTGCTAATAATGTGCATAAGAATCTCGTTGATCTCCTCACCCTGTGGCTGGCCAGAGTGCCCACCTGATTCACACCACCACCCTTCATTGCCATGAGTGGGCATGTTTGAGTGTGTTCGATTGGGCATTTTGGATCGGATGTTTCCCTTTATAGAATGGAATTTTTTTTTCTTGAATTTAATTATGCCTGCTTGGAGAATTAATTTTTTTTTGGGGGGGGAGCGGAAGGGTTTCTTTCTTTGAACTAGGTTTCGCCCCCATCGGAATTAAATGAGCTGATCAGATACTCTTGGATTACCCTCGATCAGCCACAAAATGAAGAAAGAGAAGAAATTTATGGGTACCCAGATCCGATAATTTTCTGGGTCATCAAATCCTCTTATTTATTTCTAATAAAAATTAAAGAAAAAATAAAATAAAAAAAATAATTAAATCCGGAGGGCAGGGCTCTCTAGCTTGCTGACAACACATCTCTTGCAGGCTCTTTCAGGTGCGCGGGAAATTATACGAGCTGCTGGTTAACTGCATCCCTCCAGAGATCATCCTCAAGGTGAGCATTTCATGTTTCTATCTACCTAATCCATATCATATGTTCGTCCACTTATTTATTCATCATCCTGCAGAAACTGCTGTCGGAGCTGTTGAAGAAACTGGACTCGGAGCTGAAACACGAAGTCTGCCACTGGGCCGCTTACTATGTATGTGACCCTCAAAACCTTCGAATGCTTCCTTCAAACCCTAGCGTGCTGTTCTTGCGAATCGAGGCTGAGAAGGCTGCCCTTCGGGTTGATGTTGCAGGAGCACAGGATGCGCCTCGGGCAGAAGGCCATTTTCCATATCGAAGGTACCCTCATGGACTTGGATGCTCAACTCCCTCCCAGCCCGTTGGTTTCTTGGTTTCTTCTTCGATGATGGTGATGGGGATGGTCTTAGTTTTCTAATACTAGAATGGCCCCAGCGCATGCATGCATGCATGTAATGCCATGAGTGATGATGACTGCTCTGTTGTGTGTACCTGTGCAGCGTTTGTGGCCAAGTTCATGAGCATCTACAAGGGTTTCCTCATCGCCACGTTCGGCTGAGATCGGCTGACAGAGATAGAGAGAGGGAAAGAGAGAGAGAGAGAGAAGGAGATGGGCATCCCATCTGTCTCTGTCTGTGTATCTATTTCTCTGTCTCGGCCGAGGAGAGAACCCATCTTGGCGGATGGATAGACGACAGAATGAGAAATGCTGTTGCTGCTCTGTTGATTGATCATCTTTTGTTCTCTCAGGGGCCGAGACCCGGAGAAGCCTCGCCCCGTTCCTTTAAAACGTTGACCCGAATACATGGTATCTTTCTCTGCTATCGTATCACATTTCAGTCGGCGATCGTAGCTTAGTCAACGACTGACGCACCAGTTTCTGATGGACGGATAGAAAAGATGGAGATTTTAATGGAAAACTCCGGCCGGGATTAGACAAGCACCACTATGGGGATTCCGTCCAAGGTGGGTAAGGAAAAAAAAAAAAAGGAAGCCACCGCCGCCACAGCGCAGCGCAGCAGCGCAGGAGAAGCGAAATTATTGCAGAAAGATGGAGATGGAGAGAGAGAGAAGGATCAAGGATGCCTGGCTTGGAAGTCCTTCATGAAGGCGACGAGCTTCTCGACGCCGGCGAGGGGCATAGCGTTGTAGATGGAGGCGCGAACGCCGCCGACGGAGCGGTGGCCCTTGAGCTGGACCATCCCCTCCTTGGCGGCCTCCTCGATAAACTTCTTCTCCAGATCGGACCTCTCCAGGGTGAAGGGGACGTTCATCAGCGACCTCACGGACTCCTCCACGGGGCAGACGTAGAACCCCCCGCTGCCGTCGATGGCGTCGTAGAGGATCCCGGCCTTGTGGGCGTTCTTCTTCTCCACCTCCTTCAGCCCGCCCTGCTCCAGCAGGTCCTCGAACACCAGCCCGCAGACGTAGATGGCCAGGCACGGCGGCGTGTTGTACAGCGACGCGGAGTCGGCGTGGATCTTCAGATCCAGCATCACCGGCGTGATCGGCTGCGCCTTGCCGAGGAGATCGCTGCGGGCGATGACGATGGTGACGCCGGAAGGCCCCACGTTCTTCTGCGCGCCGGCGTAGATCAGGCCGAATCTGGAGACATCCACCGGTTTGGAGCAGAAGTTGGAGGACATGTCCGCCACCAAGACCTCACCGGCTCCGGCACCTGCGGGGATCGGGTAGTCCTTGAATTCCACACCGTGGATGGTCTCGTTGGCGCAGATGTGGAGGTAACGTGCGCCGGCGGTCTGCTGGATCTGGTCGAAGGAGGGGATCTTTGTGTACTTCTCCGGCTTGCCAGACCAGATCAGATTGGCCTTGCAGTACTTTTGAGCTTCCTTGTAGGCCTTGTCCCCCCAGGAGCCGGTGACGATAAAGTCGGCGGAGTCCTCCGGGGAGCAGAGGTTGAGGGGGATGGCGGCGAACTGAGTGGTGGCGCCGCCCTGGAGGAAGAGGACGGAGTAATCGGAGGGGATGCCGAGCAGCTCTCGGAGATCCGATTCCGCCTTCTTGATCACCCCGTCGAACTCCTTCCCCCGGTGGCTCATCTCCATGATGCTCATCCCGCTCCCGCGGTAGTCCACGAGCTCCTCCTGCGCCTTCCGTATGACCTTCTCCGGGAGCGTCGCCGGCCCGGCCGCAAAATTGAAGACGCGATCCGACGGCGAATGCGCCGCCGCGGCCAGCGGCGAGACGGGAGAGGAGGGCTTCACGGCGGTGCAGGAGACGGCGAACCCCGCCGCTCGCCGACTGCGACCACCGTCAAATCCCGCTGCCGCAGGAACCCAGCTGCCATGGCCGCCGACCTTCCGCAGGAGGAGGAGGGAACCAGGTGAGGAGGAGCCCGCCGTCGCCGCCATGCTCAGTCTCAGATCGACAAGGCCTTCCTTCTACCAGCAGGAAGAGACTGCTTCCTCCCGAGTATCACCGCTCTGTTTGGTCGGAGGAGGGGAGAGGAGATCGATTTATAGGTACACGGACAAGGCGGAGGACTGAAAGGGGCGCCCTAGATGAGCCCACCATTTACTTTTTAAGGCCTACATAGCACGTGTCAGCACCAGGGCGGAGATTTTTTGTGATCCGACAGGCGGCGCCCGCCAAAGTAGCCGCTCACCATTTCGCCAACCGTACTCGTGCCGGCGCACGTGCACGGTTGGTGGATATTTTCTTACGTGGGCTGTCGTTGATGGAGATCGAAATCGCCGTCCAAAACCACCAAACTTCCTCGTCCTCTTGAATTGGGCCCTTAGTGGGCTTCCTCTCGGTCAACCCGATGGGCCCAGGCCCAAAAAATGTGACCCAAGAATGTTCTAGCTGTTGTAACGTTAAATACATAATATTTTGATGATTAAAAACACATTTAATACCATTTAATATATTACACTATTCCTTTATCTATAAACTTGGATTACATATAAAAAAAAATGTATATATAAGCATGAATAATAATTGAATATAACTTCAAAACAAAAGTTCAAATAAATAATCAAAAATACCCAAATAGTAATTCAAGGAATGCATGTGAATTTCATAATGTTGCATTCCATAAATTGGTGGATTTTATCATTAAAATTATTACCTTTACATATTTCTATAGAAATTACTAATATTTTTAGAAATTACCCTTGTGATAAGGTAATAATTAGAACTTCAGAATCAACGAGATTTTATAAGATCAAATATTTGTATCAAAGTTAACTGAGTATACTATATACTTGTGATGATAGATCATTACTTTCGAATGGTTTTGATATTGAATTAATTGATTGAATTCGACCCATTTACACCACTACACAATATTTTATGAATGTTAATTTGTATATTTCTAAAATATTAATCAGTTTGTACCACTGAATATTAATGAATATCATTCAAAAATAATTTTATTATTTCTGAATTAATGATTTTGCAGGTTTAAATTGTGGCTCAAGTTGTCCATTTCACGATTGTAATTTGTTGGGGATAATTTGGATAAAGTTGGTTGCTAAATCATGACTTGATTTCATGATGCATACTGATTATGTTTTGATAATAATAGATGCTTACTGAAATTGGTCAAATTGATAAGCTTCAGATATATAGATATATTGGTATATAGCAATAATAAGTATTGATTTCTCATAGTAGCTTCTTACCATTTTAATTACTTAATAAATTTAGGATTCAAAATGTTGAGAGATGACAAAAAATATATAAGGCTTCTAAATGAGATTGATCTATAATTGAATGTCTCGAATGGTTGATTAGTTTTGAATTATTACCACCTATCCATTATAGAGAATTCTCTAAAAAATTGAGTGCCCTCCCTAGCTTGTCAAGCTACTAGAAAACAATTAGTCAAGGATTTAAATTTAAGTTACATGAGATCTCCTTTGTCTAAAATAAACCTGCAACATCTTCTACATTTAACGAAATTCCTTATGAGAAGAGGAAAACAAAAATCAAGTCATCATCATCATCTTCATCCTCTTCATCAAGTTTTCAGACATACTCTAGGTCAAGGCCTTCATCTCTAAAAGTACTTAGAGTGATATCCTTCATAATTTATGTAAAAAAAAGCTTGCAAAGAAATTATGATTTAATCAGTCAAAAGAGAGTCGAGCCTATAATCAATCTTTGAGAGATAAATTTAGAATAAAATTTTGAGATGAAATCCTGCATAAGTTGACCTCAATAATCAATAATTTGGTGAATGATTGATCTAGTAGAACCCAAGAACTAAGGATGTTCTTCTAGAATGGATGTGGGTAAGGAGCCAACCATTTCAAAAATCCTAGAGTGTTTTAAATCTAAAACCTATAAAGATTAAATTCAAAGAAGGAAATGAGAGATCTTAGAAATAGTTACAGCCAAGTTAAGGATTAGAATTTGATGAATTTAGGTCTGATTTTTTTATCAAAGTATAACATAAAATTAAACATTTGCTACTTTGAAACTCCTACCTATGAAGAAACTCTCCTTGAGAAACTCCTTAATTCAAGTCAAAAGCTTTTGAGGTAAGTAAAACTTGTGTACTTATAGATCATATTTTATTTTTATTTTAAGACAACTACGAATGTGACCCTCAACCTAGCAAGTCCAAGTTTCAAGAGAAAAACTTAACCATCATTATGACATAGCAGTAATCCATGTTGATGCATATGGCACACACACATTAGCACAGGGTAGCTCTTACAAAGAAGTGTCATGTGTGTGAGAGGGCATCATAGCACAGTGTGACACATGCAGATGGCATAGGCTCATGTGCAAGTGCACACAACTCAAGTACACCATCCTATTAAGGAAAGAAAATATCATGAGGCACTCATAAATTGGTAGAGGAAAGGACACATAGGTGACCCGTGTTAGTATGATGTGTCAAATGCTGGCATGGCATAGCATGTGCAGAAACATACATGGCAGTCATGTATACACTTAAAGTCAAAAGCAAAGTATTTTACTAACATAGAGCATGTTTACAAAGAATGTTGCATGATGTTACATGAGGCAGCTTAATGCAGCACAATGACAAATGGCTTGAGATGAACAGCACATGAAGTGAGGATGCAAATGTTTACAAGAGCAATTAGCACAACATGACCGCCATATATGCATGGAACACATGTAATTACATGCAAAAGGTGCATAACAAATTTCCATGCAATACACACAAAACTAGGTCGTAATAGAAGCTAACATGTATGCTGCTAACTTTTCTTTTAGACCAAACTATTTAATAAGATAGGGTAATGCCTCTTGTGAGAAAGACACAAGGCACTTCCTCTTCATCTAAAGAGGTAACTCTTATTACAGAAGGGAGAGAACACTAGTTAGCAAAGCAAATGAAGGAAGCATCAAAGTAGCTCTTCCATGTTAGAAAATTAATTAATAAATGAATTTTTGATGGTAAAAAATACACAAGATAAATAAATAGATTGATTATATTATTTACCATGCATAAAGTACACATGAATACCCTTTAGAAGACGATCATGAAATTAATTAATTATAAACTCCCCAATATATAGAAAATGATTACAAGATACTTCAAGGAATGTATTTAAATATCATCCTTTAAATTATTAAATATGGATGAATTTAGCATCAAAAAGCAATTCTATGTTTACTAATGTTGGAAATGTTAACATTTACAAAAAAAAATGTAGTAAAATATCCATATATAAGTCCAATTTATGTTATGCATCCAAGATTTGAAATTATTGATTCATATTTTTTTAATGAATAAAAATTGATTAAATTTGAACTAATAAAATGGTTATTCTGAACTCTTTACTACTATTAATATTAATTAAAAATTATTTTTAAATAGCATAAGTCACCAAAGCCTGAATTACATAATTAATTTTGTTGAATAAATTAAATTTAAACATTTTTTAGCACATTTAATATCGATTTTCAACTATTTAAATTCATAAATAATTTTATAACTTTAATCTTAAAAAAGGACAAAAAATAGAGAGGACTTGAATTCATTTTCTCAATAAATTCAGTCTTTCTCCAAAGACTAACTGGTTCTAAATACCATTCTCGACCTCTCTATAGTTTACTTTTTTTTCTTATAATAGTTTCAAAGAATTGCATGTAAAATTAAGTGGCCTTTGAAGCTTACATAAAATAATAAGAATACATGGAGTTGCAAAGTACAATTTAATTCAAATGTGATCGTTCTTAACTTGTTTGAAGTGACAACATTTTACTATAATCAAATAGCTTTCATGTGTGAACAAGATAAAGAAAACCGGGAAAAATTTGTTTTATTCTTCACCAAAAAAAATTCATATATAATCTTTCTCAACTACTAGAAAATCTCACAATGAAATCTTTATTTGGTACAAGATAAACGTGTGATAATGAACAATCATTGACTAAAATATTTGATTAGTGGAACTTAAGAATATGATGTTTTTGGATAGTGAACATAGCTAAGGGACCAAATCACTATTAAAATCTTGGGGTACTCAAAATTTTGATATAAAAAAGTTAAGATATTTTTTTATCACACCACTATAAACTGAGATGATTTGATTGACTTTTCAAATATCACCTAATTACAATCTCTATTAAAGTTCAATGGTAAGGCAATAAACAATCAGGTTAGAAATATGGCAGTGGTCAGCCCATTTAAAGGAGAAAGCATAAATGGGAGGGGCTCAGCCTAAAACCATAATTTTTTTTAAATGATTTCTCTTTCTTGTTTTTGATTACAAAGTAGACTAACACAAAGAGTGAGACACCCAACACAATCCATTCATCAAGCACCACACACAGCTCAATCTCTTAAGGAAAGAACATTTTGATTTCCTTGATCATACTTTCTTATTTCCATCATTTCTCATGTGAAGGTAAATCCAACAAATATCAAGCATTCGTCATGCCACATCCATTTGATTGACCTTACAACGGCAAGAGGTCTCTATGTTTTTTTACATCATTTTTTGTTGTCATCTCTCTTCTATGTGAAAGGGACCCTAAAGAACTAGAATGAAAGGAAGAATGGCTCAACATTTATCCATGCACCATACCTTTAAATTTGGTCCGCACGAAACAAAGAGAATAGGTTACTGAGGCCAATCTATATGCTGTCATTCGGATTAAGCCAATAAGAAAAAAAAGGAAGTGATTGTCTAAATCAATATGTGTTGTATTTTGATCCAGAAAACACCAAAGGAGAATATTTCAAGATCATCTAATCATCCACATCATCACAACATAATTGTACCAACAAGATAAAATCATAAATTCGCTACGCACAAATTTTGTGTCTCTTGATTAAATTTTTAATATGAAGGACAAGTCTTCAAACTGATGACATTGAGAAGAAGACAAAATCATCAGATATTTATCTATTGATCAAGTCTATAAACAGAATTGATCTAACATCAAGTAATCACATATCATTCATACCAATTCAACTTCAAGCTGATATAATTCCACCATAGTGTGATCAATCCAAAAAAAGGAAATAAATCCTACAAAGAGGACATTATAATTTGGTAATTTCTTCCTATTTTTTTAATTAGTTTTGAGAAATTTGATATTCTTAAATTTTTGCTCTCTAAGATGATAGAAATGGAAGTACGATCTAGAGAAGCATATGATGTGCGATTGTGACATAGACCTTTGTCAATTTGAGCCCCTCATCAACAGCTAACTTGAAGAAAACCTTCTAATGAGGACATTGGATTCGTAGTGTGGAAGAGGACATAAGCCTTCCGCTCAAAAAATTTAAGTTTCAAGATCAAGGCTCCACTTTGAACATTAGGTGGTGCAATGATCCTTGTGGGCAAGTGCAGCATTAGCCTTTTGTAGCATGACATGGCACACAACAAGATCACCTCATGCGCAACGGCACACAATGGCACAATGCACACGCAAGAGGCACATGTTGGCATACATGGACGATGTTGATGAGTGCACAAGTGCACACGGCTAGAGTGGACATCATGGTTAGGCGGCACTGGTGAGGATCGTAGGCAGAGAGCGAGCTATAGTGGCCGACGTGATGGCATAGCGTGGCACAACGCCGGCATGCTTTGCATACACCATTGTGCGCAGGGCATGTGTCTATACTTACAAATGGACGACTCTACCAGCATGGACTGCCTTTGAGGCAGTACCCCACAAAACTCTGAAGGAAACAAGCATGATGTGAGATGATAGCAGCTCAATGCCACACAACAACGACGTAATTTTGGCTTAGTGCGGCGTAGACAGCACAGGATGTGGGTACGCGAAGGCATGCAGGACTGTGAGACGTGACGCAACGGGCATGTGTAAGGGGAGTGTGGGGTAGCTGCGTGTGTCCGGCACGTCGTAGACGAACTCACCAGACGCTGGTGACCAGATCATGATAAGGGGGGAGCTGCACTACTAAACAAAGCAGGGGGGCCTCCAACTGATTAAAAAATGGCTTACAAACAAATAAATAGATGCCGTGGCTGAGATTTTTTCAATTTTTGTGGTGCGTATAAAATAAGAATAATATTTACAGGCTTTGTGAGAGTAAAAAAATGAAAAAATAAAAATAATATTTACAGCGAAGGTGTGCCGCCGGGAGTCAAACCGAAGTGACCACCGGTGTGGCCTTATTCGGACCGGTGGTCCCTCCTTCCCTGTCTCCTCTCGGTAGCTCGCTCGTTCAGGAAGGGGGGGCCTCATCGGTGCTGCGCTGGTGGTGGGCTCGGAAGTCCCTCATGAACGCCGCAAGCCTCTCAACGCCGGCAAGGGGGAGCCCGTTGATCTTGGGTGTGCCGATCGCCACCGCCACCGCCCCCTGGTGGGCGCCCAGCTCCGCCATGCCGGCCCGCTGCGCCTCCGCCACGAACTTCCGCTCCAGGTCCCTCCGTGCCAGCATGAACGGGACGTTCATCGCCGACCTCGCCGCCGGGTCCTCCACCGTGCACACGTAGAATCCGTTGCTCCTTTCGATGGCCTCGTAGATCACCGCCGCCTTCTCCCTGTTCCTCCTCTCCGCCGCCGCGAGGCCCCCCTGCTCCAGCAGATCCTCGAACACCAGCGCGCATAGGTAGATAGCGACGGCCGGCGGCGAGTTGCAGAGACTCGCCGCTCCGTCGGCGTGGGAGGCGAAGTTGAGCATGGTGGGGGTCCCCGGCTGGGCCTTCCCGATGAGGTCCCGCCGGACGATGGCCACCGTGAGCCCAGCCGGCCCAACGTTCCCCTGCGCGCCGGCGTAGATGAGACCGAACTTGGAGACGTCCAACGGTTTTGAGCAGAAATTGGAGGACATGTCCGCCACCAGGACGGCATCTCCTCCGGCGGGCACCGGGAAATCCTTGAATTCCAGCGCTTGGACGCTCTCGTCGGCGCAGATGTGGAGGAATCTCGCGGCCGGGTCGTGCCGGAGCTCCTCCGGCGAGGGAATCCTGGTGAAGTTGAAGGCTTTCCCCGTCCAGGCGACGGCGGCGCTGCAATGGCCGGCGGCTTCCTCATAGGCCTTCTCGCTCCAGGACCCGGTGATCACATAGTCGGCGGCGTCTTCAGGGGAGGAGCAGAGGTTGAGGGGAACGGCGGCGAAGTTGCTGGCGACGCCGCCGGGGAGGAAGAGGACGGCGTAGCTGGGGGGGATGAGGAGGAGCTCGCGGAGGGCGGACTCGGCCCTGGCTATAGCGGTAACAAGGTCCTTCTTCCTGTGAGTTGTCTTCTCCGCGGCGGTGGCCCCGCCGCCGCGGCAGCTCAGGAGCTCCGACCGGGCCTTCTGGGCGACCCGCTCGGGGAGGCTCGCCGGAGTGGCGGCGAAGCTGAACACGCGGTCGTGGGCGGGCGGTGGATGAGGAGACGCGTCGGGCACTATCGGGCAGAGCGCCGCGCAGGAGACGCGAAGCGCGGCGCTCTCGGGGACAACCCAGCGGCGGCGGCGTCGCCGCCCAGAGGGGAAGGGCCCGGGCATCCCGGGGAGACCATCGCCGGCTGAGCTCCAGCGAAGACGAAGGAACTTGCAGATGGGTGCTGCTGCTACTGCAAACATAATGGCTGTTGTCGGTCTCCTCGAAGCCACCCCACAGTAAATTTATATGCATGAAGCCCGTGAAGGAGCACGGACTCTCTCTATCTCTGCCCAGCAATCTGTGTGCTGCCCACGGGCAGCCTCGGACCTGGTCTTCTGAGAGAGGAGTTGACCCCGGGCACGCGCCGGTAGTTCACGGCGAAATGGCGTCCACATGATATTTGAATTTATTCCTCGTCCTATATTTTGCGTTACTCGTTTGTGGACGAGGTTCATCTGAAGACTAACCAGAGAAGAGAGAGAGAGAGAGGATTTCAACAGTCGAGACTCTGGAAGCTTGAGTGAGAGAGAGAGAGAGAGAGAGAGAGAGTCGTCGATGCACGCCAGATGTTTGTCGTTATAGCCGAAGGGAATGTTTCCACTGGGCGTGGACGAATAGTATTTGATGACTCTGTAAGAGGACGTAAGGCCTGAGCTCACGCCATCGAGAAGAAGCAATTCACAGTCGATATATCCACGAACACAGCTCGACCTTACAGATCACTCGATACCATGGCAGGCTTCTCCAATGTGTCTGTTCATCTACCCAAGTGTCTAAGCAATATTATTCTAAATAATTATTATTTAGAATAATATTGCTTAGACTTATCAATGACCAGAAGCTGTGAAAATGGGCGAATGTGGCAAGAAGATATAATGATAGATACTAATGTGGGATCCTAGCTGAATCAGGTCAATAATATTTCAAGGCCTAATATCCAATAAAAAATATAAAGTGATAACAATGGGATCCATTTTACAAGATACATTACAAGTCCCTGCAAACAGTAATATAAAAATCAAGTTTCCACCTTTCTACATAATTTTTGAAGCCCGGAGAAGATGAAAACTATTTTTTCCCTGAATTATGTTTATTCTCAGTCAACTCATTGAAGAAATATAAAAGGAATCGATTTTCAGGAAAAATCAGACTTTTTTCCTGCTAAATGATGGTTAAAAAACACAGTTTTCAGCGGTTATTTTTCAGTTCATTTATAAGAACTGTGGCAATATTTTCATCCCGGGGTATGTGGCAAGAAGAACCTGATCAATCAAGAAGTATGCTTGAGAATCAGATGACTATGCTTATAAATCTGGAGTGTGACCAAAGTTTCTCCACATGCCCAGAAATAATCGGAGGCAGCGGGCAGGAGCAGACTCCAGTGAGCTCCATTGCTTCCCCCTCTCATCCTCCATCTGCAAGAGACAGATGATGATGCTACAGTTTATGATTGCTCAAAGTGTGAGGGCTTGGCCGATCTGGATGATGATGATGATGATCCTCTCCTGATCGGACTCCTGACTGCGCTTACTCCTCTGCTTGGATTGGAGTGGAAGGAAAACAGATGCTTTTTTTCCCGGAGAAAAGAAGAAGAAATCTGAATGGCACTGCTCTTGCTTTGGATTCTCAGTCAGAACCCCTCACCGGTACTCGTTGAATGCCCCCAAAGGGAATTTTCCAGAGAGAGCCGCGGCAGCCAAGTCTATCCTCTCTTGGTCCTGGAAAAAAATCCTCCAGTGTTTCAACATTCTTCATAAGAAGATGCCGATTAATAAAAGATATAATCTACTAGTTGTTTTAGGATAATAATATTAGGCTTAACAGTTCTACCCACTAAGTAAGAAACCCATGCGATAAGAATCACAAATCAGTATATATCTCCACCCATAAACGGGAGCAATTTATTTTTTTAGTGTAACAATAGTTGGCTCCACAGTTCTACCCATTGCATGAAAAACCCGTGCTATAGAATCCCAAATAAGTATCTATCACAGTAATTGAAAAGAGCAGCGAGAAAAATGTAGGAAATAATTTTTCATTTTGTAGGTGCGTGAAGAGGTTGAAGTAATTTTGTACCTTTCCGACAAAACTGATGATGAGGGGTCCAGCTCTGGATCTGCGATGACTGCCTGAGTAATCAGGAAACATGAATCAAGAGACTCCATGGAAAATCATTTGAAGCCTTGTAAACCAAAAATGCAGATTTAAATATGATTGATATAAAATAGCCAGCCTTACCTATGTAAATGTCAGGGAAGTCGAGGCATAATTGTGCTACAGTTTGAGCAGCTTCTACCTGCATAACATGGGGCCGATAATATTATCCCAAGTGCTACAATCAACAACTAGGGTAAATAATATTTGCCCAAATATGGCATAGACTAACTCTAGTTAATACCAGTATGATAGTTTTTCTAGCCATCAAGTAACATGAATTGTGCTAAATTCTGTTGCCACAAGCTGCTGCTAAGCAAGAACAAGTCCTAGGAAGAACTTGCATCCACCTTCATAGCTAAATTATTCAGTTATCTATCCCCTAGCATGAGCTCCCAACTAAGTCATAGAATTTTAGATTCTCAATGACATGGTGGTTTTCCAGCGTTTATCTAAGATTTATGGTCTTAATGATGTACCCTAGCTTCAGGTTTCATGCTCTCAAGCAAAAAAGCAAAACGCTCTCGTGAAAAAAAATCAGCACTGCAAACGAAAAGGCCACAAACTTAGATCCGCATAAACTGGATTATTAATCTTATATCATCGCCAGCATCCTGAAAAAAAGTAATAGGATAACTTCAATTCATCACGAAATGGCCAAGACAATGCTAAGGAAGCCAGAAGCGCACATCAGAAAGCATTGTACTCAGATGCTTTGACGAAAAGGGCGCCATCTGCACCAAGGGGGTGTTCGGCAGGGTCAGCAGACAGTCCCATTCCTTGTCCAGCTCGGTGACATTCGTAGAAGTAAGAACTATCACATTGCGGCATTTGATCTGAGCAAAAAAGAAAGGCACTGCACAATTTAGACAGTCATTGCTGCTTCTAAGGAACATCAATGATTTAGTTCTAGACAGTAGGAACGGGAATTCCTCAAACATCAATTCTACATCAAAAGATGCTTTTCCTAGTCAAAAAAAAAATTAAAATCTATCATATAATAATCAAGTCAATCGCAGAAATATCTCATTTTTTACCCATATTTTATCAGAGAGCGCCCCCGTAAAACTTCCATTCATTCTAACCCCATGAGTATTTACATCCTTTGTTCAGATGTTCACCGTGATTTCTTCTTCAGAGTTCTAATCCTCAAACAGGTATTCATCATGATACATTGGGATGCCAAGATTCTTGCGAGAGGGAATTAACCCAATAGACTGGAAACTTGTATAAAGAAAATGCTCTGTCAGTGAGGAAAGGTGTCCGGAATAGAGATGCAATGGGACCAAAGATTGCCAGATCCACCGTATGATGACAAGGAACACAGATCACATGATTCCAAGAATTAATAAATGATTCATTCCTTCATTAAAATAACTTTTCACTGATAACCTTCATTACCACGAGAAATTCCAGGCACTCAAAAAATTGCAATCGCTTATTTGTATGACTGGGTATACCAGAAAGACATCAAGAGGTCTAGTCCACCAGACAACCATTCCCCATAACTTTTTAAAAGAGTTCGTCCTTCATACATTAGTTCCAATCCGGTAAAATTTCCCAAATGGGACAAGCCTGGCTAATCTAATTCTCAAAACCCTCTCAGTCAGAAGCCATTAGCCAGAGCTATTGGGAAAGGTAACTGTGCGGAAAAGGCGTAATTAGGAGTTAGTTTCTGTTGATCAGCTTCCTAGCTGGCTAGTTTCCTAGTTAGTCAGTTTCCCAGTTTGTCAGTTTCTTAGTTGGTCGGCTTCCTTAACCTTGGAAGTTACCCTTTTTTCTGGCCAAGGTAATTGTATATAGCTAGCAATTGTTCTATGATCTGAAAATCAGAAGAGTTCTTTCCCGAATGTTTATCCTTGTATGGTTGCATCATGGTATCAAATCCTTAGACTTGAAAATTTAGGAACTTTTTCCATGGTTTTCAAGGTCAGCCTTAATTGCCGACAATCCCTCCTGATTATCAACCTTCATTGTCCATTCTCTCAGCCTTAAACACCAACAGTTCTTTCCCTGCCATAGCTTTCAGTTTTCCTGCAGATTTCAGACGTTCTGTACTGTCCCAGGCCTTACAAATGTCAGAGGCAGTTGAGAAGATCACTGCAACACAATCGGATCAATTTGTACGGTTTCAACAATCAGGAGTTGAAGAAAATTCAGGCTGTACACTCTGTGCTGAAAGGGAAAGTGAAGATCAGCCATCTCAAAGGTGCAGAGCTGAAACCAGGTGATCCTCAGTTCGCGGCATGGGACGAGGAATATTTCAGATTACTGCCTAGTGGGGGAATTCTACGACACATGAGATTACCAACACAGTATATCCTTGGCTACAGCCAAAGATATCTAACATGCAATCCAACAGACTTATTCCAAAGATAGAGGCGTGGCCCAAGTATATGAAATTAAGGTGACGACAATTGCTGCAAAACAGGGAAGGTAAAACAGTTGAGGAATACGCTAATCAGTCGAAAGTTTTGTGGCATGAACTTGACAATTATAGGGTGATTAATACAAAATGTCCTGAGGATGCAGCTAGTCTGAAGGATTTCATTGAGGAAGACAGTTTACGATTTTCTCATTGGGTTTAATCTAGAATTTGATCAAGTGAAAATTCAGAATACCAGCAAGCAGGAGGAGGTCCCACGCTTTAATGAGGTAGTGACACTGATTGAAGGAGAGGAAAACAGAAGAGGCTTGATGCTCGAATCAGAAGGTATGGCTATGGTGACAAGAGGTAGCAATAATTCAGCCACTAAAGTAAAGAGAGCATAAGTTGCTAAGACTGAACGTAAGAATAGCTACGGTGCGCTTACTGTAAGAAGCCACATCATCCTCGTGAACAATGTTGGAAGCTCTATGGAAAACTTCCAAGTCAAGAAAAGGGACAGAAAAGAGAGCAGCCAAGGAGCAATGGTCAAATGTCTTTTCCACATACTCTCCTTGTCCAAACAATTGTCCAAGCAGTAGGGAAATAGCGAAGGAACAATGGTCAAATGCCTTTCAACATACTCTCCTTGTCCAAAGAGTAGGAAAATAGACACAGTTGATGGTTCTTTGAAAATTGTAGCAGGTGAAGCTACATTGCCCACAAATTGTAGAAAATAAACCATTCACTGACTTAAAAAAACGTTTTCATGTCCCTAGATTGTCTGCATACCTTGCTCAAGTGTTATCAACTCCGTCAAAGAAATTTTTTGTCACAATAGATGTCACTTTCAATGAACACGAGTCTTACTTCACCACACCTTATCTTTCAGGGAAGAGTTCAATCAGTGAAGATAAGGATGTAACTTTCTTACTTCACTTCCTGTGTCTTCCATTGTTCTTTTATCTAAACCTGTACATGAATCCATGCCAAATCCTGAATTTGAAACCCTCAAGAAAATTCCAACTCTGCCATTGAAAATTCCAGATTTGGTAAAGGGAAGTTGTTCTCAAGAGAGAAGATGGATGTTCCTTCATATGCGCAGGCCCGAGAATCTAACCTAGATCTTGAGAATGAAGTAACAATTTATCACCCTCCATCGCATGCTGAAACAGAAGCTCCTATGAGAAATAAATTGCGATGTTTTCCAATGCCATTAAAAATGGGACCAGAGAAGGCAAAAAAACTAGTGTCTCCATACTTTATGGGCTTCCAGCTCACCTGGATTGGGTAGTAGTTACACTTATACTCCACTTGAGTGCGAAAATAATCTCTGATGCATTTGGGACATAAATATTGGTCGAAGGTAATTTTGGCTGATAAAGTCTTTTAATCATTTAGCCCACCTCTTAAGCATCTTGAATGCATACCCTGCTAGTTTTAGGCCACCTGGGTCAAAAACCTTTTTTCCATCCTTTGATTGGATTTTTCGTCCTACATCAAATAGGAAGTGTATACCCAAGTCTTGTGATGCAGCCCATTTAGAGTCATATTCAAGTGGACCAGAGGCCTAAGAAGCATATATGCAGAAAATCTGATAGCTTGAGAAAATGCTTTCATTTTCAGTAGGAAAACCCACAAATAATAGAAAACGAAAAATCAGAAAAGGTACAAAAGGGAAACAAACATCCAAAATGAAAGAAGATTATGGAGGAAAATATAAAGAACACTAAAATATGTACCAATGGCACTGGAAGTACGTCATTGTGCAGCAGTTCGGTGATACCTTCAGGCAGTAGAGCCATCTAGAAGAAGAAGATGAAGGAAAGACTTAAGGTCTCCACATCATGCATTATGAAATAGAAAGTTCAAATGAGTTATAAGATAGCCAATTTAAAAAAATTAAGCTGAATCTTGATGTGATAAGCTCAAATTTGTCCCATTTGGTAGAAATTTCATCATATAGAAAGCTCATCAACTAGAGGCCTGGGCTCTACCCCATAGGACAGTCCAAGTCCTTGGCAGCAAATTCCCATCCACTTGAAGCAACCCCGAACAGTCCTATAGGATAATCTATTAGGGATATTTTTCTACAAAACCTCTTTCTGCAACAGCTACTGGAACTAACCCCATCTAGTGAGCTTCCAGAGCTTACTAGCATAATGTTGCAAAATTAAAATCCATATGCATGAGCAAGAATGTCTTCTTAAAACTTTTTAGAATAATGCTGAAAATCATAGCATGATATTAAATATCCAGTCTTCTTCACATGATCTCGTAGATCTATCATAGAAGCCTGTCAAGGATGTTGGCGCTCGGTGGTCAACGAATTTAGAAACAATATGGCTTATATATCCAGTCAAGGTACCATTTAAATAAAAGTGCCTCCAAAGGTTAATATCGCCCCTTTAAAACCTTATAGATTTATATATATTTGAGAAAAGCACCATTTAAATAAATATACGTCAAAAAGCATATTAAAACGACAACAGATGGCTATCACCCTCAACACATGTTCATTCACCATAACTTGGTCTGACCCACTTTAGATCGGTTCTTCATAGTGTCAATCCATTTAAACCCCGTGTTTAGATGAGACATATTGCTGAACCATTTTAGAAATTTCTGCATCCCAAGACTCATGATATGCCTCCACGAGGTCCCCTAAGCTTATCTGCATCTAGATGCATTGATAGTGGAGTCCTTTGTAACTGATTGAGCTTCATAATCAATCACAAGAAATTGAATTCATCCCTAATTTCGTTGACCTGCTTTCCATCCTGCTTTCCATCCTGCAACCAATCGTGTTGGAGAGAACACATCCCATCTTATATGGCTTCATCCATCAAACAAAACTTATATTAATAATCAGATAATTTCCTAAAATGGGTAGTTTAGAAGCAGGTGTATAAGTTAGAAGGGCAGTAAGTTTTTAAGTGATTAATACAAAACTCTTTATTGCTTATAAGATGGATTGAAGAATCTAGTGCCTCATAAATCAATCAAATGCCCAAATCACCTCATTCCTGTCGCCAGTGCAATGGTCACCAATTAGATGCCTGAGGTACTCTTCGAACTCTTCATCTGCTGCCTGAGAATGACGAAAACTGACAAGTTCTTGAGAATGTAGAAGACATTAAGTTTTGATTACAGAAAGATGTAACACGAAAGTTCAATAAATTCTGAAGAGCTGCTATTTTTTTCTACAAGAGAATGAAAATGTCAGAAGATCTGAAACATTAACAGATCTTTATAACTTGAAAAATTAGCGATAGTATAAGAAGCAATACTAAAGAAACCCAAAGAGCATCCTTTTTACCTTACCGAATAGAGATCCGAAGAATGGACCATTTCACCATTTTAAAGACAGAGAGAGAAAGCAGCAATACTATAAAGCAAAACTTTCCATAACCAAGGAAAAAACTAGCATTACCAAGCGAACCCCAAATGCTTTTGCAACACCAGCTACTGAGACATCAGAATGCATAGGGCCGAGTCCTCCAAATATAAAAACCTTCAAAGGTCAGTCCAAGATTAGTTCATTTATGAGGATGAAATAGTTAAAGAACAATCACATATTAGAAAGATAACTATAGAAAACTCCTGACCAGTTTCAAAACAATACCATGTCATTTGTAGACATCCGTTCCTCAACCTCCTCAGCAACAGAATCAACCTGCAATGATTTTTAAGAAATCATCTCATCCTGCTGATAAAAGTTCAGAGATGAGTTTTAAACTACCTGCGAGAATATTTTTTTAGGGATCCATTTTATTCACAATCAGAAAATACGAACATTGAATGTACTTTTATTTGGCAGTTTATGAGGATGTCTCTTATCTGATTACTACAAATACAAATGTACATATCTTCCAGAAAAATGTGAAATGCGCCTCCTAAATAATCAAGAATAAACATCTTTATAACTCTCTTTCCTTTCTCTCCCTTTGATCTAGAAAATATGCATTGATTTTACAACAAGAAACATCAACAAAAGTAAGGACAAGATATATATTTATCTATCTATATGTGCATACACCAAGCATGCTTGCACATCGAGATTCATCCTAATATATAAATATTAAGGAGTATGGCAGCATTATTAGAGACAATTGCAGGAGAACTAGTGGGAGTCACAATCTTCATCATCACAAGCGCACATATCCATTTTCCAGTTAAAAGTTCTTTCATATTTTCAATTTTCCTCTTCTTTCCCAGCATCCTTTTTTTCTTCCTTACTGCACCTTAAAAGCTTTAGTTGTGACCATTAAATTTGAAAGGTTGTCCGTGTGCACGTAATCTGGGCTGCAATGTTTCATGTACTGCATGAGTCGCATTCAGGCTGAGCTGATTCGCAGGATCCGTGTTGCAACCAAATGAACACTGAGCTGAATGACTCACTGAGTTTTCATTTTGCAAACTTCATCAAAGTTAACATGCCTCGGTAGGTTATAATTATCATTGGTGAAACAATCCAAATAAAAAGATTCAGCTCTTGTATAGTTTAAGTCAATAAAAATGACCCTCCTCAGGAACGCTATTTTATCCTATAAAATTTGAGCCAGTACTCCAACGTTGCCAGAAAGATAGAAGACTTATTAAAATGATGATACCAATTTAATCGCCCATCCTAAAAGGATTTCATACTCCAATCAGTGTAGCCCGTTTGAACAATAAAGTCAACAATACCGTAATGAGATACAGATTTTCTGCTGTGGGAAATGACTTTACTTGTAGTTTACTTAAATTACACATGGGAAAATTGATTTTACTGGAAGCTTACAAAATATGTTCTCATATAGGTTTAGGACTGTCAACAAATCCTAAAGTGGGTCTCTGCAGATAGACTTGGCAAATTCTGGGACAATTCGTAGATAACTTTCTATACGAACAGTCCACATCTAGGGAACACTGACCATAGGCAGAACTAGCCAGCACATGAAAGTGCCATTGATAACTGGTGCAGTGCAGTGCAGTGCAGTGCAGTGCAGTTAAATCTATATTTTCACGAGAGAAACACACGTACATCATTTCTAACAACTGATTGATGCGTAACTTGCCAACCTATAGCATGAAGCTTTTTGCAAAGTGACACTCCCATCTGATCTTCAAATAAGCCAAAGCTGAAACATGGTTTATAAGCAGAAACATAAATCAGAAACATGGTTAAAACTGCACTAATATAAGCTGAGATGTTTACAATCATCTAAGGCAACCAAAATCTCAAGCAGGAAGAAAGTACAAAAATAAGCAACCGACTAAGACTGCATGCACTTAAAGAAAATAAAAATAAAAAATCATTATAACAATAACTAGCCTCAACTTTCTGAACCATAATAAGGTGACACAAACCACATTCAATAGTGGACAACAGGCACATCAAATACGCTTATTCAAGGTAATATACGTTTGGTTTGACGATGTTAGCTAAATTAAGAAAATATCCCTCATAAATTATTATCCATGAAAGTACCACTAGAAGCCAGTTTTGAATAATCGCTTTGGGAAGAGGAGCCAGTAATGTCCGACCACAACTTGGAACAGGAATCAACCAGTTATAACAAGTATGCCTGGTGCCCGCTGGAAAAGAAGAAAAAGTAAAGAACGAAAAATATCAGCTTTTTATCCCAAGACCCGCACAGCTAAGCAAAAACATCAGCTCCAGCAGGATGGTCTGCAATCCTTCACCTCCAGTGGCAAACGCAAGTAAATAGAAATGCCACAAAAGCTGAAACAGGCATTGGAATCTCACTGCCAATCACTGCCCAACTCTTTATCTTTTTCCTTCCTTCAATGTTGTCAACAAAAGAGTAGTAAGAGAATGGTCGAGAACAGAAGGGATCAATCCTAGCCGCTGAAGGAATATTCAGCGGGTATCCATCATGCTTTAGTTACTAAAGAAATATACCATCCCTCTTTATTTTTCTTTTCCACAAAGAAGAAACCTAAATTTGTCCGTAAACTATCAAGGTACTAAAGATTGGGCACAAAACCACATAACTACCGCTTCTGGCCCCGTGTGAATATTCAACCAAGGACCATCCTTCCAAAAGAGAGCTCTCCATGCGAATTTCTTTGGCCAGTGAGTGCACTGCACCCTTACGTGTTATATTGTTCTAGGCCGGTGAAAATTCCACCATAGGTTTTACAGCACCCAACTCATCCTTGAATTACATGATTTTTGTCATTTTTGAGGACATTCAGCTGTAGAGTCATATGATGTGAAGATAAGTTAGCCAGAGTCCTTTCAAGTAAAACTTCTATGCATTTGGACTCAGTTTTTTATCTTTGCTAGTATATATACAGTACTGTGTCATGCACAATTGCTATAACGTAACTAAATTATTATCCTTAAGTCAATAAAAAGAATCTGATTCTAAAAAAGAGGATCCACCAGCTATCCATAGTGAACTAGATCAGCATAAAAATATGAATTCACCTTTACAAAGCGATCCATGAATCCACAAAGTTGACATTAATTAGGTGGCAATTTTCGCAGCAATTATTCTGTTAGGCCTAATACCAGACCCACTATCTGGGAGACTTATGCCCAGAAAGGGAAGTGTAAGATACAGGGGACAAAGGATAGATGGCCCAAGGGCTCATTAAGTGGATGGGTATAAGGACCCTCAGGGGTCATAACTGTGGGGGGGCACTTTTGGATAGAAGTCGCCTGGGAGAGCTGAGGGCTCTCTTGGCCTCACCCTCGAACTGGTTCTAGGGTTTCCGTTCCGATTTTCCCCTTCTCAATTCCCCCTTTGTTTGGGCCCACTGCCCTAGGATCCTATCAGATTCCATTTTATAACAGAGCCAGAATCAGACTCACGGGAGGAAGATTCTAACACACCTTCGATTTTCTTCCTTTCTTAAAAACTATATTTTGGATAATAACGACTGAAATAACAATAATGCCAATGAAGCACCTCATCACTGAAGATGCTATACGCATGGGACAATGAAGAAACCAATGTCTAACTCAAAGCTTCCACACAGAAATAAATCTTCATTTGTTTCATAAATTGTACTCTTTTTTTCTTTTTTTCCCTAGCCCCAGCAATGGGAGAAAATATTCACTATTTTCTTTACGTCTCCATCTATTTAACCCTTTACCTTCATTCCCCCAATAAAAATAAAGGAGTTTGGATAAATCACAGATGCAAGTCAACCCGCATGCACCACTGAGTATGCAACATGCACATCAGGAGTCTTCGAGGGGGATTACATGGTGACAAATGAGACTGAGGACAACAAAAGAACTCACTATTCACTTAATAAGGCTCTATCCTCTATAAACTAATGGAAAAGTTTCTCTCATTCCAATGTACCAATACATAAATCTACCATCTCCAACTAGCTTTGATCCATCTCTCTTTAGGTTCTAATGAATTTCATCAACCATTTATCAGCAAACCTATCTTCCTAACTACCCCCTAGGTAGATGTTAATATGATCAAATTGTATGTCTATCTAAATGTGATTATTTAGGGAACGAAACCACAATGATGAATACTGATGTAATGGGTAAGGATTATCATCGTTGACAGCAGTAATCTATCTCCAGAACCATATTGTCAGAAAAAATATGTAACATTAGAGACCAACAAAAGCAAAAAGGAAGTATAAATAAAAAACATCATGCACAAGGCATAAGTGAACATGCCTCAGTTTTCGCATACAGAAAAGGTTCCCACTATTTTGCATCTAATTATGTTCTAATGTCAACACCTTAACGAGAACTCATTTAGTCTGTGAAAAGACCTTCTGACATTCACTCAGAACTACGGGAACTGCAGACAACAATGCTGAATTAACAAGTTGAAATATGTGTAATTAACGCAAAAACATATTCTCAATTTTATAATTCACAGACTTGTAGCTTCTGCCATTTACTGATAGTCGTTTATACAAATGATAAACATTTTCATTGATTAAACTTTGATCTAAAATTTTCGTAATAGGTGTCAGAATTTTTAACATCATTTTCCATCATACAAACCATGCAGTAACAACAATATGCATCACGAAATATCCAGAATAAATGAAAAGAGCAATAAGATTAGCAGAACAGTACCCAAGAAATAAATGGCTTAGTGAAATATGACATACAGAATCTCGTCGCCTACTGCAATGATGGAGGCAGAGAGAGTTTTAGACGAGCATTCATCCGTACTGTTCCCATTGCTTACTGTCAAAACATTATCATCTTTCGAAGGATACTTCCTTGCTCGCCCAGCCCTTTCTAGTCTACCATCTGAGAGGAGATATGCAGGTTTAAAATGTTCTCCGTTATCAGAATCTGTGAACGACAACAATGCGTTTGGAACTGTGTCATGTATGCTCCCAATGGAAGTGTATCTAGTCAATGAAAAGAACTAATTGTCAATAAGCGTTAAAAAATTCCCAATTCTGAGCGAGAAGATGCTCGACATTACAAAATATAGAAAGTACATAGTCAAAAAAAATATAAAACTCATTGCTCCAAGAACAGAACTTGCTTGAAAAACGGAAAGGATGTACATAGTCATCAGAAGAAACTTTTCCTGTTGAAAATGTTAGGATTTGGCCATCGCAAAACAGAGGAAAATGGGTTCAAACTGGAAACAACTATTACACCAAAACAAAACAATACGAAAGAACATCACTTGAGTTGATATAACTACGAGAGAAAAGTATGTTGAGACAGTCACACGGATCAGGAAATGATAAAAAGAGTGGTGTGCAGCTAGTAAGTAAAGCAAGGGGGTAAAAAACATACCCTTTATCATAAAGACTGCAATATTCGACCTTGCATGTCAAAAGAAAAGCCCACACATCCCTATCAGAAAATAAAGTTAAGTATCTTATTTCAATCAACTAACGAGAATAACAGATGGCAGAAATTGTCAAATCTGATTCAAGGATAAACTGGCATCCATCAAGAAAGATCACAAATAGAAAGGAACCTGTATGACCAATCTAGGATGGGATTCACTCTCATGAAAGGTGGCCAGCCAAAGGAACTTGGAGAAAACTGCTCTTGACCAACCTACATAAAACAGCACAACCCAACAGACTAATAAATAGTAAGCACATATTTCTAGAAATTACAACTATACACTTTTATCGTTCTGCAGATCATCATTTTCAAAGGAAATCATATATCTTTATGACACTAAACAATGACTCTTTACCGCATTGGGATCACCAATTCGTGTGCCAAGAAGAATAGCTTTTGTAGATTTCTTTTTCAGAAGATCCTCTAAACCAGACTTGAAATCTGAATGAATAATTTCCAACTGCAAGCTATAGCTGCTCATAACAAACACAACATGAAAAAAATGTTGGATTTATGCACATCTTGAAGCAGTACAAATTTGAACCAGAAGTACAACTTACGTGTTGGCTAATTCATAAGTGAAGGAATTAATTTCAGGGAAAGCACAGGGGGTCTCAAAATATATGGTTCGAATTGCACATTCTTTTTTGCTGTCAGTTTCTGAACCGCTAAAACCTCTATCCTTGTTATGCAAAAAAAAGCCAGCACGAAGAAGGTGCAGTAAAACCTACAAAATAGTACTTTAAGGTGTCAAAATTACATGATGACTTTTCACACAAATATTGCCGGAAAGAACAAAAGGAAATTACAGTAGAATCTTTTCCTCCATTGAAGCTGAAGGCAATCTCCTCAAACCTGCCAAAATAACAATCCAGCAATCAACATTCCGTGTTCAACAGTCTGGAAAATGCTAGCCGATAGCTGATTATACACAAAGACATGAATCCTATGGTAGGCAATTAACTCAGTATATGCGATTATAGTTTTAGAGACCAATATACATCAATTTTTTCACACTGATTTAGAGAAGAATGAGTTCCAAAAATTTTAACAGATCAAATACGCATCACATTCATGAAAAAATATAACCGCAGAGAGCCCACAATCAATTTTTGTACTGATTACAAAAATAATAGTTGCCTTGAAACTTTAAAAGATCAGAGAAAAATCATATCCATCAAAATTTGCAACTATAATAATCTCATCATGAAGATTCAGACGCTAGACCTAGATGTCCAGGGCCTGTCCCTAACTCAGCCTGATAGGATCCTTTACTGCCTTCGATCCAAAGGCAAGAATTATACCAGACTGCGGCTGGATTTTTTGGGGAGTACCCAACTATTTACCAGCAGCATATCGTACAAAGAGAAAATGGCCAATTCGTGCGGGCTTTTTGCGTTGATCACAAAAATATAGAGTTCACGGAGATAATACATAAGTAATAGCAATTGGTTCAGACAATTTAGATACAGAAAACCAACAGTTTCAATTTTTTCCTTACATTAGAAGTCAGTTCGCCTGGGTGCTCTCTTTTACAACGGTAGGTTGAAGCTCAAACCGTCATGTCAGGCGCCCACATTACTAAATCCGTGGAACAGATCCAAAGTAGGGCGAAGATCAAATACTAACACACATCATCTCCATATTGGAGGATGGCCTCATAAACTGTTTTCTCAATAAAGATCCATTCCTTTAACACACCAAGGAAGTCGCACGTTGTTTCAAGATTGTGGGCGATTGATTAACAAATGTAAATGGGTTGGGGATTCTACATAAGACATGTCCTGAGGCAAACCTCATGCCCCTTGGAGTATGGTGAAAAAAACAACAACCTATGATAAAATAGTGACTTTAAGAGAGTGACCCATTAGGTTCTGTTGTAAAGCCACCAATAGATATCTATCATCCCATACAGAGAGATAGTCTAAAGCACATGTTGACTAGGATTCTCATATATCCTCTTCTGACTGATAAAGTAAGGAATAGTGCCATCCATTGAGAAATGGGCCCATGTGAGAGCTGAATTAGAATTAAATCATTCAATATAATTTTTTTCCACTAGACATGAGAGAGTTTCCCAGGAGAAGCACTGGTTGGCAGGTGTAATGATAAATAACGGCAGATGATCCTTCACACTGTCGTTTAAGGAAGCATCTAGGAAGGATATTATCAGATATTTGGGCACCGATATTAGCAAACATTTTTCATGAGATTTCATGGATAAAACTATATATTTTTCAACCAATTCTGAAAAATATGAAAAAAAATCAAGAAAAAACTGCGGAATTAGAGATTCGAATTTTTCATATCTTCCTAGTGCTCAGTTGTGATCAGCACTCTAAAATATGTGATGACACATCCATTTAGGGGGAATAATGGGGAAACAAAAAGGGGAGGAGGAGGAAATCTTCAGAATTTCAATGGAAGAATCACAAACTTCTGAGGGCAAATTGAGCCAGAGCAATGAGAAAGGAAGGCATCAAAAAGGCACCTAAATTGGCATCAAATATCATAGGTAGGAATCAAAGTGGCATCCCGATCATTCATCACAGAAAGATAAAATTTCCGTACGGAAGAGAACAAAGAATCCGAGTTTATGCGGAAAAAACTTCCCAATGCAAGCAATCCGTGCCCCCTTTAACCCAACCCAAAACCGAGAAAAAAACCCAGCGGCCCATGGACCACAACAAAGTCAACTAGATGCAAGCTAGAGGAAAAGGAAGAACACGAGTGATGTAACGTACGAGTACAGAGCAAACGTTCTGCGGATGACATAAGTCGCGTTCTTGTATTTGGTCTGGAGCCTCTGGTCGCTGCACTCATTTATCGCCTTCTCGATCTCCATCAAAGCACAGAATGAGAGAGAGAGAGAGAGAGAGAGAGAGAGAGGAGTCAGAGAGGAAACAGGTGGAGGGGAGAGAGAGGCGGGCAGGAAGGATAACAAAGGGTGGGTCGCCGGGATTGAAGTAAAAGAGGATCTGCGGAAGTCAAAGTGACAGAGAGGAAAAAAAAAGAGGGGAACAGGTCGTTAGGAATTCAAGATGACGGACGACGGACACCTTCTAGATCACAAGACGAGCTCCATTCCCAAAATCCTCTCAGAAGGAGGCTGCAAACGAGTTGTGTGGGTGGGAATCGGGGGAGGCCCCCATCGCCGGGAAACAAATAAAAAAAACAAAGAAAGAGGAAAAACAAACAAGGTAAGATACACACACGCACGGCCTGCGCCGCCCACCCCGTCCCAATGCACAGAGAGAGAGAGAGAGAGCTGAGAAGAAGAGAGGCCCTCGTGTCCTTATGAATGCCCGGACTGGGTAAGCCGAGAAAAGAGAATCTTCCTGGAATTATCTTATGAACAATGAAGTGAAGAAGGTGCGGCGTCGCCGTACAGTTGCGTCATCCATCTGAAGCTTCCAAGTTACCGCTGGTAGGTCAACAGAAAATTAATGACCATGGCTTCATCGCCTCCCCCTCCCAGTAGCATTTACCTCCCCATCACCATGGACTGGTTCTTAGTTTCATAGACCATCCGAGTGGGAGATTCAAACTACTGATTTTCTTGGGAAAGAGAGAATTTTCTAAAAAAAATTCTTAGGAGATTCTCTCTTTCCCAATAATTTTTTCTGCATTTTATGTTTTTAAATAACTTCAGCAAGTATTACGCACCTAAAATAGTACCATTTAATTCTCATCTACACAAAAAATAAATAAATAATAAACTTTATTTATATGAAAGGTGATCCTCCATCATGCAATAAATTGAGTAATTATCTTTTATTCTATGAGAGTATTTCTAAAAAACAAGGTAAAATTGTTGATATGATCAAGCATGGTCGTAAGTGGATCAATGGATGTGCATCAACTATGATCACTTGAGTATATTCTACAGAAAAACTATCAAAAAGTAATGTGATTATTATTTTGTTCTCCTTTATGTGGATAACTCATTTTTCAATAATTTAAGAAATTTTGTTAGAAATTGTGAGTTTTTGTAGACCTCTAACTTTATGTAACCTTAATATTTATAATTTTTTTCATGGAGATTAATAATCAGTTTATTTTATTTAAATGCTTAACCTATTTTGAAGATAATATTACTATCTATATGTCAAATTCATCCTCAAAACTTACTACTATCTCCATGCCAACATGGGATGGAGAATGGTGGTCTTCTTTAAATAAACAAGAAATGTACAATGTGTAATATTCCGCCTATAGTAATCTATTTTAAACTATATACTCATTAATTATGAGAAAATAAAAATAGGGAAGCTCAAGCACAAGTACAATCAACCTTTAAATAATTCCCTTACACATGTACTATATGTCCATCCATAAAGCTAAGGTTGCATGAAGCATGAGCTAATATGCTTTTTTATTATCCTTAAGTAGCTATGCTCCCAAAATTTCTAACTCCCCTCCAAAGGTATTGAATGTTGTCAACTATTGATTTCATATGCAAAGTCATTCTCATATTTGAGAGCATTGATTGCTTCAAGTTCATATGCAATTGAAATGAAGATGAGTTGATGGCAAGTAAAAAGAAAAGAAACTTGTTCAAAAGAAAATCCTAATTGTAAAAAAGAGATCAAAATCTCAAAAAGTTAGTATGAAGAACTAACTGGGGAGTGAATTTATCTTTTTATAATTACTAAAATTATTTAAAAAATTCTGATCTACTTACCTATAATTCTTATAATGGTCACTCTATCATACCCACTTCACCCTCGAATGATTATATCCTTAATTTTCGTTAATTTCTTAGTGAGTTTACATTAAACACAACAAGTTTCAACTAGTTTTCACTAGATTTAATGACTACCCAATTCAAGTGTTCTACCCTAAAACTCATCATCTAGATTCATTGTTCTAGTAGGCCATCTAAATTAACACTCATCTAATCTTTTTTACATTCATGGTTTTAGGAGGCTAACCAAACTAGCACCAAGTCAATCCCTTCCATATGAATGACTCAAGGTCAGCCCCAATACTGGAAGTACTCAAATACAAGTAATAACAAATCATTGTTCTCACAGATTCAGCATGTTACTTTCAAAGGTGGTAATGTATTGCTTGAAGGAGTAGAAGTAGATCTTAATCAAGAATGCATTTTTCTAAAAGTTAAATCTTTGATTTAGGAACTTAAATCTTTTTATCTTGTTTTTTGATTTAAGGGAGTGTTGGTTTTCTACTTGTCTTTTTTTTATTGTCTAGAATTTTCAAATGCCACAAATTTAATTATCATAAATCAATCTTCTCTATGGGGTAGCGTGCTCTATGGGCCAACTCCCATTTTGTTGTTTTCCTTACTTTGACCATTTGCATAACACTTGACCACTCTCCCTCCTCTACGTGGGCCCATACATAGACTCATACCTACTTTTTTAACATAAAAAGAAAGACACCTAATCTTGTGGACAGAAAGCATTATAAAATATGCAATAAATTTCAAAAATCATATTTTAGCTTCTTCGATATATTTGACATGTTCAATCCTGACGTTGATATTTAAGTATACTTGTATTGTAAAAATGACCTTTTTATTATTGAGTTTATCTTCCTAACACTCGAGACATACTCTAAGGATAGCCCAGTTTACAAAGACTCGTATCTTGATAGGTATCAAGAACAAGAACTTTGGGAATTAGAAAGTAAAGATGATAAAAATCTTTTTTGTTTTGAAAAACCGCGTCACATTTCTTTTCGACTGTAAACAATGGAATTGTCCATTTCGATATATAAAAATGTTGTATGAAATGAAGAAGGTCATTTTCATCTATTGTGATTTAAATCATTGGGTCTTTGAGTTCTACCACTTTGATAATATAATTTTACCCTTATATCTATTTTGTAATTATCAAAATTATTTAGGCTCACATAACCATTAGTTTTAACAATTTCAATGGTTCAACATATGAGTAAGACAAAGACCTGTAGCCTTTTCAATCCTTGCATTATGCAGGTTTTCCCCACATAGACTTATTATTCTTGATCTTGAGTTTAGTGAGAATGCCTCAACCACACTATACTTTTCTCTGAATGAAATTTAGTTTCTTACCAATAAATAGTGCAAGAACTCACCTAGATTTTAGTAAAGTTTCAGCAATAGATATGAAAATATATTTCACTAAATTAAAGAGTAAAAATGGTTTTTCTATGAAGGGTCATAGCATCACACCTAGCTCCATCTCTAACAAATTTTACTTTTATTAGTATCACAATCCATTTTGCTAGCTATCAAATTGATATAGGACATCAAATCTAATCAAAATTGGGGGAATTTTTTTTGACTAAATAGGGGGAAAATAAGTTCGGTCTGCAATTTCTTCAAAGTGGAAAAGCAGCAGTGACCTAATAGTTTAGTTGGTGCCAAGAGGTGGTAGAAACTTTTGAAGACTTGGAGCCCAAAAATGGTGGGTGATGCATCTTAAAGCTTCAAAGATGAACTACAAAAATTAGAAGACCATCAAAATGAAAGAACATGTGAGAAATTAGTTTCTTACTTTTAATTAAGTGCTCCCTTTTAGCTTATTTTGATTTTATTTAAACATGTTTACAATCTAGTTAAGGCGTCACTGAAACCAAACAGTCTTTTTAGAAGTACCTTAACAAATTTCAGTTAATTTAAAGGCTTGACACCTCTCGTGTGAATTCAAGGGAACCCTCTAAATTTTATGAATTCAAGATTGCCTCACAGATTCAATGGTCAAAGCTTCTAAGTTCTGTGAATGTAGGGTGAAGAATCTTCACAGAGATTTCATTTCTTATCACTTCAAGGGCAAGATTTCATCTCCACACAACTCAAGCTGCTGCATCAATTAGTATCAAAGTGAAGATTGAAGAAAATCATACCCAATTCAAGGCTTTATTTTCGGTTTTCCTTGCTATATCTTTGTGTCTTGTGAATAAAAAAACTCAAATTTATTACTTCGGCAACTTGACTCCAAATCATAATTCTATCATTTTTTGTTGCATCACAACTATTATGTACATCGTTTAATTTAACAAATATTTCTTTAATACCATACAAGCCACTCATACTGATAGTAATCAACAAGCCCCTTTGCTTTCATAATTTTGTTAAACTCATATACCTAGAGATTTTCCACCATAATCTTATTTTTCTGATCTTCATTTTTTTTGCCCCATGTTAAGTGATCTCAAATTAGAAGTTATGATGCCAATTGTTCCAAAATCTCCATTCTATCATGTTTTCCAAAGTCTCCCTCATTTTGTACCATGCCCTCTCGATCTATCATCCACTCAAATACTTGAATAAATTTGTACATTGAATGGCATTTAATGTGGAGAAAAAAAAATGCAAAAATGGACTGTTGCATACTTCACAAATCACCCAATCAACAAGGTCGTTATTTTAGCTTCCTATGGATAAAGATAGAACATTGTCATCAATATATTGTGTCCATGTTTCGTTGAGCAACCATTCTACCATTTGACAAATTACGGCATGTGCCTATGTAACCAAGAGAAGTGTCACTTGTTTGAGGTTATGTCACACTAAGTAACTAATTAGGTGATTACTGGGCCATTGAGCAAAACAACAAATCTCACCTATGTAAATACTAGCTTGAATGTAGCTAATCCACTCGTCTTGAAAGTAATTACTTAGCCTCACATGAAGTCACTTAAGATGAAAGTAAGCAATTTTATACTTCATTAGGGGTTTTCTAAGAAAATTAGGCGATCCATCAAGTGAGCTAATAAGGTCTCTTATCCTTTAGATTATGTACTATGATCTTATTTTTAAAATATTAAAATGAAACCCTAAATGAGCTGTCTTCTATGGAAATTATATCAAGTGATGCATGTTGATTCTCTCATATACATTTGCATCAAAAATCTCAACAGGTTTCTACCATGCTTTCATTTAAAGCTTTGGTTGGTCATCTTTCAATTCAGGTCTCTCACAAAGGAGTCTTAGGAGCTAACGTCTAGCATTACTTTATGATTTGGGTAGATTGTCTAGTAATTATGATATATCAACTATGACTTGATTGACATATAACTACCTTTTTTGGCACAAAATAACCCTTGCCATTGCCAAAATGGGCATTCCATGGATACCCCTGGCCAATATAGGACACCCCTTGGCATCAATGGGCACCCTTTTCTTCGGTAACTATGTGGCCTGTTCTTCCTAAAAAGTTAAAACCTCAAGCTTGGCGATTCGAGATATTTTCATTTCTATTTTCTGGGTCTTTGAAGTTTAATCTTATGCTCATCCTGCAAAATTAAATGTGCCCTTAGTTTGCAAAAGTACTGGTAGATCCCCTCAGAGTCTAAGACAGATTCCAACCAACCATCAGGCAAGAATCTGGTCTTCAAAACAGCCAATACATTGTTCGGCACAAGAATGCCGAATTCTATGCGGTGATGAAAGCAACCAAGCTCGGCACATATTTACAGCATCACTAGAAAATATGTTTACAGGGACAGCAGAAAGAGTTTACCAATTTTCATTGTCCTGAAGATTACTACCCTCATGAGGTAGAAACCCTAAAACCTTGAAGGACCAAAATCGTCTTTACCTCTAGGATTAATGAAAAATGGCACACACGATTAGTAAGGCCCCCCTTGGATCACATTCTTTGCTCTTTGCGGAATCTAAGATCTGATAGTGAAAAAGGGAAAAAGTGAAATAGCTCCAGAACCACTCTCAACAGGTTTTACTTGTCAGTCATGGGAGGCGCCACTGAACACCCTGATGATCCAATCCACGAAGAATAGGAATAACCTTCATGGCACAGCAATTTCGGATTTAGGTTAAGACTTTGTCGAATAAAACCTGGATATGGGTTTTTTTTTCTCCTTTTGGCTGAAGAATTTGCTCTTTAAATCAAATTCATGATACTACAAATGGAGTTAGCTTGTATAAAATGACCTTATCTCCTTCTGTATGGAAAGTTCAGTTCATTTTGGCAAAACAGAGATGATGGATTTGGTACACACCACGTTTCTATGAAAAAAGAGGAAAGCAACATACACAATTTTAGGGTCAAAAGAGTGTGCAGAAGCGACAGCTGGAGAACATATCAATTGGGCTATTGGGAAAGCTTGAAATATAAAATTATAATAATTGCAATGACTAAACATAAAATGACGGAACCTATGATCCATTTGTTCCTGTTGATCCTTCTTGACATGGCTGTCAAAATCTTTCTACCCTTACCGATGTTGTCATCAACCCCATGGAGCTGAACACAAACAGAACTAAATCTTAGTAAAAACAAGCAGACAAGTTCACAAAGGTTGTACTAAATCATGTAAATTTCACTAGTTTGGCAGCCTAATAAACTATAGCACATCAATCTCTGTCAACTAGAGAAGAAAACGGTGCCTAGAAAGGGTCCTACCGTTGAGAAAAAGAGAAATGACCATTTCAGACATAAGTGGCATGATAGCACGAGTCCATGGAAAGATAATAAGTTAAAGCATAGTGATACATACAGTATTGTGAGCATGAAGAAGAGATTGGCGCTGTTGATGCAGATCCTGAAGAATCGAAACACCGAGCTCTTCGCTCTCCAACATCATTCGCCTACCCTCATTAATCCTTTCGCCAGATTGGTTCAGCCGCTCGGTTGATACTAACAACCTCCCTTTTTGATCAGCAAAAGGCTGTAGGATCAAATTGGTTTCAGATTGACACAAAAATATCCCGAGGATGAAAAAACAGGAACGCTGTAATTGTAACAAACGTTAGGAATCGGAACAGTGCGATTTTTCATGAAATTCTAAATCTTAGAGACTATCAGCTGTTTTGGGGAGCAAAGACGATTTAATCATAAGAAAATTGAGAGACACACTTGACAGGTCCTTCAACCTATTACAGACAATACCCCCAAAATTTTATGACTATCCAAGAATCGATAACCAAATGAATTATCCAAGAATTTGCTCCCAAATTCTCATATTTTACTCCAAGCGGCACCCAATGTGTCAACACGCAATAGTTCATATGCTATAGCCATGAACCAAAACGAATATTGACTTCATCCTCTTCCTGTCCAAATTTTCTCCAGGTGGAGGGTAATTTTCCACCCAGTCATTCAAAGAAAACAAATCCAATCACTAAACAGTCCATTCTTAGTACAGATACCAATTTTAACATCGTTTCAGAAGAGCTTCAGAAGCAACTATACGAAATTCAATGAAGTTCAAATATCCAAATTGTCAAAGGACTTTTGGTGAAGGATGAAAAAGTGGCAAACATGAGAATTATTGATGAGATACGAATGGTCTTTCTTTGATGGTAAATAATATATCCTCACATTTACACGGCGGTTAGAGACTTTTCTTCCACTAAAAGTTAGCTAAGTGGCAGAGGATATGTTCATATTTCCCAGGAACTTAAAAGCGATGTCCAACTTGTGCCAACAAGGCAAGCGTTATCACAGTTATCCATGCCACATACGATCAATAGCAAGTAAGAAATGTTGCAGCAACCCATTCATAGGTTATCCCTAATGCTGTAACCTTGTGGATAGACTCATGAATATAGCCATGAGAATAAATATCAACCAACAGAACTTGAATTTTGTTTTGGAGGATTAGGGCTTTGGCATACCCTGCACAACAGTATTGTCGAATAAAGATTAACATCTAAGGAAGATCAAAACAAGTGTGCTATCCCTATATCCTTTGTGCCAAAACCCATGGTGAGTCTGGAGGGGGCAAAAAACAGGAGAACTAATCCACATGGATGAAATCAAGGTCTCAAGTTCATTTCCTAGGTAAATTCAAACCAAAAAAAGCCACATTCTCAATGTTGATATCAACCACGGCAGAAGAATTTGACTTTAAGAGTAAGTACATTAAGTCATCAATGACGAAAGTTACAAAATATGAGATCAAGAGAATGAAGGAAAAAAATATCAAAACTTCTAAACCATGATTACTGGCCAAGAACACCTTCACTCTTCTCACACACGAGTCCACATGATACATGGTAATCATGATTTATGCAACAAGTTCAGTATGCTTCTAATGAGCAATCAGATCATGCTCGCATTATTTAGATGGTTAAATTCCCACTTTTCAAATATTCTACTTCCAAAAGATTTGGAAAACATACCACATTTCCCCTTTCAGTCCACTAAAATGTTTTTTTTTTTCTCAACTTACTGCACTGAACAGGACGATTCCAAATGGCACAAAGTCGTGCTATGAACGAATCTGCAATTAGGCATACCGTCAATGTGTCAGCCATTCCTGATTCCAGCAACGCCTCTCGTGAACTTTGATTTGCATTTGGAGACGTGATCGTTTTAACTTTATTTTTCAAATGGTTTAAATCAAACTTATATTCCTTCAATTTAGCAAAAAGCATTGCCTTCATGTTAGCTTGCAAACTCCGCGCCTCCAAGTCCATTTTTCGTATCTAAAGCAGGAAATCCAGAGGAGAGTTAGTCATCAAGTATACTTTGACTAGAAAACAAGAGGGTGGCGAGTAAGACAAATACCAATTCTTCGGCTTCCTCCAACCCAGACTTGATCCCAGAAACCTCCTGTCTCTTCTGTTCTGAAAAATCATGCGAGGGAATATATTTTACATTAATACCAAAAGAAATAATGCGCATACCCAATGCTGAAAACTATGAATGCGACTCTGTAATATAATTAAATAAAAAAGGAAAGAGAAAGGATCCTTACAATAAATTTAAGAAAAATACACGAAAGAAGTTCCTCGATTTATCGTAGGAAGTGGGTTCAAACGAAATTACCCCCATCAAGAAGGCCAGCAGAAGTGCACTTTCTAGAAAGAAACGCCGATAGCTCACAGTACTGGCGCTCGTACCCTTCGAACACCTCAGCCATCGTTTGTGACCCGAGAAAAAATATAGCTGATCTTTCTGGTGTGTTTCCCTCTACAGATATTCCGCAGGCTCAGAAGATATATGGCTACCTACTTCCTCTACACGAACAAAAAGATGGTAAAAAAAATCATTCCTGCCGGGGAATCCCGCCACCATAAAATGGATCAGTACAGGAAAATTACTGCCTCAAGAGAATGCACGGATGATCCAGATGGAAACGGGCATATGATGTGGAAAAAAAAGTGATCAGGAAACCAAACTCAACCGGTGGTGATGCGAAGTCATCGCGGGGACCAGATTATAAGGCGATAAAGCTGTGATTACCGAGAGAAGGCGGAGGAAGAGGCAGACGCGTTCTTCGAAGAAGAAGGAACGAGCCTCGCTCTGCACTCTGATCTCCCGCGAGTGGGGGGTATAACTGAGCGACTCAATTTATACAGCTAGCGAAACTTCCGTTCATAATTTTTATTAACCCCCTTTTAATATTATATTTTAATTAAAACCCTTTTTAATTAGCATATATATCCATTTCCTTACATCTACGTATTCGAACCTCTTCTGCGACGGTATCCACACCTACTGTGCAGTGTCACCGCCAAAAGGGAACGCCATGCGACGTCGGCCGTCGTCTTCGTAGGAAGTCTGGTCTTCTTCATGGCGCTCCCCTAGCGACGGCGGCGGCGGGAGGAAGATGAACAGCTCTCAGCAGCCCTCCATCGAGTATGAAGGGATCGATGCGTTTTCGGGTAGTAATTCTCAAAGCCCTTATTCTGTAGATTCATTTCAGTCGGTTTGTTATTTCTGGATCCTCTGCCGCCGGCGCCGTCAGGATCAGTTTACAGGAGGCGGCGGAAGATAGCTCCAGCGGGGCCTTCAGCTGTCCATGGCCGCCCTGTACCGGTAGGCGACGTAGAAGCCCAGCCCCAGCAGCAGCAGCACGGCCACTACAACGTTCACCAGCAGCTCCCCAGGCCTCCCCCCAGTCTCGGCTCCCCCAGCCCCTGATCTCGGCCCCTTCACCGGCGTACGCTGCTGTGACGGCGGTGGCGGCGGAGACTCTCGCGGCTTAGTCATTTTCTCTGCCAGAGCGGAAGGTGGAGATGGTGGCGCCGCCTTCCCGGTGCCGGCCGCCGGTTCTCGCGCTTGGGAAGTCCCTTTCTCTGCCGGATCGGCAGGTGGAAATGGTGGCGCCGCCTTCCCGGCGCCGGCCGGCTGTTCTCGCGCCTGGGGAGTCCCTTTCTCTTCCGGAGCGGCGGCCTCTTCTTTCATAGGTGGAGACCCCATTGCACCGTTTTTCCTTCCGTCGCCGGTGGCGGGGGGCGGGTCGGCGCCGCTGCCGCTCTTCCCGTCGGAGCCAGGCGGCGACAATGGATCAACGGCGAGCTTGGGGACGGTGACGGAGAGGAGGCTGCCGTCGAAGATGGCGCTGATCGTGGCGGGGTCAGCGTCCGCCGGCAAGGGGTGGTTGTTCTGGAACCGCCGCCAGCGACCGCCGTCGAGGGGGCGCTGACCGCTGATCTTGAGGCTCCCCTGGTATTTGTCCACCAGGATCTCCAGATGCTCCTTCGCGAACTCCCCCCCATTCTTCACCCCTTCCCACCCAGACAGGAGGCAAATGGAGTCAACCCACCATGAACAGTGTAGAGAGAGAGAGAGAGAGAGAGAGAGAGAGGATGTACCGGCGAGGTCGACGATGAGGATGTCGGCTTTGTCCCCGTTGACCCATCGGAACTGAGGCCAGACGTCCTCATAGATTCCCTCAGTGGCGGCGGCGGCGGCGGTGGCGGCGGCGGCGGCGGCGGCGGCGGCGGCCATGGTTAAGGAGAGGATGAGGTGTGAGAAGACAAGGCCGGCCATGGATGACCATTTATAAAAAGCAAACCCATAGACGAGAGAGAGAAGAGAGAGAGAGAGAGAGAGAGAGAGAGGCTACCTGAGTTTCCTTCATCAGCGGAGGAGGGATTCCTTGAGGGAAGGAAGGGGGTTCTTCTCACGTTCCTTGCTTCTCTAGCGGTATCAAGGCAACGCAGAAGAAGGCCGAAGCAAGCCTTTTCGGGCCTGGCCAGAAATAAAAAGCCCAAGTCTATAACGGGCCGATCTGGGTATTTGGGCTTTTCCCAAGGGGGCCCGAAACCAAGCCCACCGTCTGGATCACCCCCTGACTCTTGGGCAATAATTCATTTAGTAGTTCCTCCCCCCGCCTGATAAACAATGATATATGAATATAAAATTTCAATAATATATCAACAATAATATTAAATAAGATGACCAAATTTTATGCCAACGGAGCTGCCAAGTCGACGGACTTGGGACAGCCACGTGTCAAAAATGAGCCACCCTTACTTTTTCCGCGAGCGTAGAATCCAAAGGGATTGGGTACTTTCGGTCACTAGGTAAGTTTCACGAATCTGTTTGGTTTGTTGGAAACTGAAACCCTGGTTCCGTGCTTTAACGCTCCCTACCCGTCCTTGGTAAAGCCAAATGGTCCCGTCTCTCATCGCAGTCCGTCGCCGTCGGTGCCGCGATTCCTTCCGGGCGATCTCTGGTGAGCGCAGCCGCACCGCCGTCTCTCGCCTCCTCCGCCCCCGATCTCGCGCCCATTTCTCTCGATCCCGTTCATTCGCTTCAACACTCTCTATAGTCCGTGTGTTATCTGTAGTCAACGTTGGGAGGAGTAGATCTGCCCCACTTACCCTCCGATTTATGCAGATCCTGCCTCCTGTTATCATTATTATACACTTTTCGATACGTTTTTCTTTTGTGTTTTCAGCATTTAGCCAACGTCCTTCTTTTTTTGTTTCAATGGACATTGGCAGCTAGAGGGAGAAATATTCTCTGGGTGTGAAAGATCCGCGGCTCGCGACTAGTGGGTCTTTTCTCATGTTGATTCCTCACTTGTTTTTCCTCGCCCCCTGAAGCATATGGACTACTGATTTCTGTCAGTTTCCTCGTCCCTTTCATCCATTTCTATCTCCTTTAATAATTTCTCGCTGCTGTCGCGTGGATTGAGATTCTTGTTGTTATACACCATTACCTTCTGTAGAAATTTGGTTCCCGAATCATTTTCCTGCGTTCTTAACTCCTGATCCCATTTTTTTAAGGAACGGGCTATCTTACGTCCATGTTTAAGTTCGGGTTGCTTGTGCTAACTATTATTTTATTTTATTTTCCTTTCATCTAATGGAGACCTTGCCTAATACTGATTTACATTCATTCGCGAGCTGCCTTTTAAACCTGTAAAGTCGATAAGTCCATAATCTCACAGTCCCAGTGTTTTTCTATTTTATGTTATGTTCTGTATTCCATTACAACTTTGCGTAGATGTGCTAGTCACGATAAGGAAGTAGACTTGCTTAAAAGATCTTCCTTTGTATTAGTAGATCTTTATCATGTTTGAATTCGCTAGCAAATATGCCATTCTGGTAGTATTCTGCTGGTCATCTTTTTGTTTTTTCGGTCTCGATTAGTATTTTTTTCTTTAGTATCGTATTCATGAATGCATTATTTCTTAGAATTTTTCATCTTCATCTTTCGTTTAATTTCGGTTCCCTATTATTCTATCTTGCGGACTTCTTCCATCCACTTCTCCGTTCTCTTCCTGATTTCATCTTCTTCTCGATATCTACAGTCATTACCATAGATAGAGTAACATCAGCATAGACGTACCTGGAATCTAATTTTCTCCTCCAGTGTTTTTATATTTTTTTTCTTTGCTGAGAACCTTGTACTTTTCAATGGACGTCTCTGAAATTAGAATCTTTTGCAGTTTGAAAAATGTATAAATATTTAAACAATATCTTTATTTTAAGGTTAACTCACATAAAAAATGTCTCACAACGTGGCATATCCTTTTTTTATTTTACAGGGAAGTAGGTTTGCCTATTTCATTTAATTGGTGGAGATGAACCCTCATCCAAGGTCAGAGGTAATGAAAGAATAAACGTACTTTGTTCCTTCCTACCCTCCATCGGGACATGGGACCTTCTATGCTGGGTGTCTATTATATATACTGCATTATAAATAACTGATAAAATCCTTTACGGGAAACATCAGGCGAGCTAACCTCATGGCTGACATCCAAAACTTGGTCCGACGTTATTTGAATTCATTAACAAGACATAGTAACTGCCTGCCTGTAACAAATTCATTTTCTTGTGTGCCCCTGGAATGAACTTTTTTCCTCACCATATAATTTACAGATGATATTCATACGTCTCAGTTCTGATATTTTCAGCATGGTTTCCTGACAAATTTATTGCACTATTGTTATTTCTGTATAAGTTTATAAGAACTTTATTATAGAACCCTCATTACCATTTCAATTAGTTTAGAGCTTCATTATAAGATCCTCGCAGATTGTGTTCGAGGATATGGTAAATCGTTATCATTCAATATGTTAGCCTTAGCCATTTTTTAATGCTTAATCGAGTGTGCTGTTTACCATTATCTTTTGTTATATGGGCGACATTTCACAGCCGTCTACAACATTTGGATAGAGTTTCATAGCAAGTACGTGAATACTTTGCCATGTCTACCAATGTGACAGAAGTGAGTCCTTTTTGGGGCTGACTGTCCAAGCTCCGAAATGGCTTCTTCTCGTACAGCGCCGTGTCACATGTCTGGCACCTACATAGCAATGGTGTATTTTGTCAAATTTCTGTAGTAGGGAGGATCCTGGCGGGCTCAATGCTTACTGATATAATGATGCCTGTTTCTTGGGACAGCTACATCACCACAGATATTTCGGTCCTATTGCTGATTTCGCTAAAGTCCTATACTGCATCTTCAGTGACAATACTAATATAGTAACTAGAGTATGAACTTCCAAACTCTCATGTAAGCTTGATGTTTCCAATCCCTGTTGGACGACCCACCATTGTCCCTCTCCCTTTAACTGCAACAGTTCTCATATCACATCGTCTACCCTTCCGAATATGCACTATGTACCGTTCAAAACAATAAACATCGTCCATCAGCCTTTCTTGTCATCTTGCAATGAGTATCATCTCAGTCAGCATCACCTCTCAGGTTGGCGTGATGGTAATTAACTTTTGAGGGCTCTAGGTTGCAACATATATTTTTGCTGCAATGTTGAAATAGTGACTGTGACATTCCTGTGAAAATGATTGAAGGCCCCTTCTAACATAGTCATTTAGACTCTATCCTTACATGTCTGGCGGTACTTCGAAATGTATGGTAGTAGCATTCTTCTGACTTGTTCAGAGTATGCCATAACTATCTTGGTTCTCATTTTTTTCTTTATTCAGGTGTCTTGTCCTTCAATAAAGAACATCCTCTTGCTGGATTCTGAAGGAAAACGTGTGGCTGTCAAGTACTTCTCAGATGACTGGGCAACACTCAATGCAAAACTGGCATTTGAGAAATCGGTTTTTACAAAAACTCAGAAGACAAATGCCCGCACAGAAGGTGACACTTCACTGTTTATGTCTTTTTTGCTCTGAAATTTACATATTTATGTTTACCTGCGTACTTTCCCTCATTTTTTGTCATGTTCAAAATAATTGGCATGTATGTGGTGATTTGTTAATATTTCAAGACTTTGGGTTTTTCTCATCAGAAAATAATTAGAATGTTTACAGTTGGTTCCTAAATCCCTTGGTTTAGGTGTACTTTTAGTTATATACGTCAGCAGTTAGATGTTGTGCGTTTTTAGTTGGCCGTTATGGCATCATGTATTGGTTGCATGAACATTGCAAAGCGTTCAACTTTTAGGAGAATTTCTGTTTCTAACGTGCCCATCTATTCTTTTGGATTCTTTACCGTGTGACAGAGTTTCGTTTCCGGACATAGATCATTCTCTCGATTGAAGAAGGCAAATTACATTTTGATGGGAGAAACTCAATCTTTAATAATCTCAATTTCTTTCATGATTATACAGTGCTGTTATTTCATGGCCGAAAGAACCTTCATGTGATCTAAATTTCTTGCGATGTTATGTTGTGATGTATCTCACACCACAGCACTACGTTACCCATCCCCTCCATTTCATAATATGCTTGGCAGATCCTTCCTGTATTCAATACTATACTGATTATGTTTTTATTTTATGCTAAATTTCAACGGATTTGAAGAATATTTCGGGCCCCACATGGATGCGATCCTCTAGATGTACTCGAGTTATGCAATAAGTAAAGATGAACCCGGAAGAACGGTCATGCTCTTGATGAATGCTTTGACCTAATAACAAGTTAGATTTTGCACTATTCAAACCAGGAGATTTGGGGGAAACCAAGACTGTGTAGTTTGTTGTAGGGTAGAGCTGGTTACGAACCCCAAGAGGAGTTTCGCCATAGAATCACGATGAAATCACATTGATGATTGATCAATTATCTGACTGTTAATAACCACAGAACCCAATAAGGAGAAAGCTGCAGCAGTAACTATGCATGCATATGTACTTGGAATATTTTGAGCCCCATAGATCGACATCGCTTCATGACATTCGATGAATCGGTTTCTATATGATCACATGATCATCAGGTGGGGACTGGAAGAGTTATTTAAGCCTCATCTCCCAGAAAAAGTCAGTGTTGATAGCAGAAAAAGCTCTAAAACAGGAGAGATTTAACTGTCCGGTTTCACAAGGATCAAAGTAAATTTGTGAGAAGCAGATCATTTATTTATTTGTTTATTTATTTATTTGGCAATATGATGTTATCCTGCTGCGGAATCCTAAACCGCATCATGAGCAGGCTCATTTTTCATGCATCGTTCATCTGTTGCTTTCTGATAGAAGAACCCATTTGCCCTTTTGCAGCCGAGATAACCATGTTTGATAATTACATCATCGTCTATAAGTTCATCCACGATCTGCATTTCTTTGTCACCGGCGGAGACGAAGAAAACGAGCTGATCTTGGCCACTGTTCTTCAAGGATTCTTCGACTCCGTCGGGCTTCTCCTCAGGTAACATCTTAGATCGTGTGATCTTCAGATTTTTATTTTTTTTAATGGCTTTCTTCATTGCTCACCACACACATCCTCTTCAGGGGCGACGTGGAGAAGAGAACAGCTCTTGAGAACCTGGATTTGATTCTTCTTTGTATCGACGAAATCGTCGATGGAGGGTACGTATGCCTCGTTCATGCAATCATTACCACTTTTAGCAAAGTTCTTGCGCAGAAACCGCTGATGAATCAAAAATGATCATAAATAAAGATCAAATGGCCTGTCTCCCAGAAGAAACTGCGAAGAAATTCGCCTGCTCTCTGATCTGCATGTAATCACGGATCGGTCGTCTTGAACCTTTGCAGGATCATACTGGAAACAGATGCGAACGCCATCGCTGGGAAGGTGGCGACGAACAGCGTGGATGGCACGGTCCCCTTCTCCGAACTGGTAAACCTCCTCACCTCCATTACCCATCTTCATATGGCTCCTTGCTCCATTTTATTCATGTGCTCTTCCTTTCCCCTCCCCAGACCGTCTCTCAGGCGCTCGCCACAGCCAGAGAACACCTCGCCCGATCTCTTCTGAAGTAACTCATCCTCTCTCTCTGTCTCTCTCTCTCTCTCTCGCTTCTCTTGCTGCCCTTTTTTTTAGGTTGACCGGTGCCCATTTCAGTTGAGGTTGGATTGTTCCTGTAAACCCTAATGGGAGCGGATTTGTCTATTTTTCCCTATGCAATCGATCCCCGCCTCAAGCTTGGATAATTCGTGTGCCCAGTTCCTGAAATGCTTGGACATTTCTTCATTTAGTAATGGTTTTTTTTGGAATGAAAAAATAATTTTTTTACACGGATGGATTTGAGTTTAATACGTGTGCCCAGTTCCTTAAATGCTTGGACATTTCTTCATTTAGTAATTTTTTTTCGAATTAAAAATATTTTTTTACACAGGTGGATTTGAGTTTAACTTTCCCCATAAATAGTACTGTTCATAAATTATGATAGAACAAATCCATAAGAAAGGTAACCGGACAGACGTATTGGGACTAATTCTTATTTAATAATTTTTTTCCCTGAATTTTTCTATAATAAAAGAAGGAAATATATGAGAAATATAGGCAATCGATACCCGCCTGTCTTGGATAATTCATGTGCCCAGTTCCTTAAATGCTTGGACATTTCTTCATCTAGTAATTATTTTTTTCGAATGAAAAATATTTTTTTACATGGGCGGATTTGACTTTAATTTTCCTTACAAATAGCGCTGTTCAGAAATTATGATATAAAAAATTCATGAGAATAGCAACTAGACAGGCTTATTCGGACTTATTTTTATTTAATAATTGTTTTCTGGATTTTTCTATAATAAATAAGGAAATATAGGAGAAATGTATGCAATCGATCCCCGCCTCCGCCTGTCTTGGAGAATGCCTGGACATTTCTTCATTTAGTAATTTTTTTCGAATGAAAAATCATTTTTCCCCATAAATAGCACTGTTCAGAAATTATGACAGAAAAAATTCATAGGAATAGCAACCAGACAGACGTATTGGTGCTGTTTTTTACTTAATAAATGCTTTTTTTCCTGATTTTTTCTATAATAAATGGGGGAAATAAATGAGAACAGGAGATTTCAAAATTAATTATTAATAACGAGCGATGAGGCCAAACAGAAGTATAAAAATTTCTTTAATAATTTTAAATAGTAATAATTTCTTCCAGTATTTCGACGACTATGGATTCTGGGCTGCGATGCGTAATGGGCCCTTTCTCTCGTCACAAATGGGCCTGGGCCGATGCGGCTGCTGGATTGCAGCGTTGACATTCGCCCCCTGTCACGTGCCATGGGGCTCCCGCGCCTTTGAGTAAAAATGGGATTTTTTCAATCGTATGGAATAAATTACGGACGGGGACGGAGGAGGCGCCGGCGTCGGGGAGAGGACCAGCGAAGGGCACTGGGAGGGGAGGTCGGGGGGCCAAGGAAGGAGGAGGAGAATGCGATCCAACATCGTTTCCGAGGTGAGAAATCTGGGGAGGGATTGAACTTCCTCGCTCCTCTGTTGGTTCATCACAGCCGTTGATCTGCCGCTGTTGCTTCTGCTCGGTTCTACCCGGAGAGGGGGTTTCCTCAGATCCTGGGCAGTGTGTCACCGCTGCCTCCGGAAGCCCTAGTGTTCGGTGTTTTGCGGGGGAGGGCTTGATGGGCTCGGAGTTGTCGAGCTTTTTGTCAGTAGTATGTGGATTTTGAGTGTCAGTCAGACGCTGGGAGTGTGGAGTTCCCCTCCAGTTCCTGATGTCTCCCTCGCTTGTACAGTCACCGGTGAATTTTGGCCTGACTATGTGTTGATCTCGTTCTCGCAGGCGGGGCTACAGACAAGGCTTGGGCAGTGGTGGGGCGGGATCACGTTCGTCAGCTCTGGCGTTCTAGTGTTGTGCTCCGCCATCTACTTGGTGTGCTTGCTTGTGGGCTACGATTCGTTCCACGAAGTCTGCTTCTTGCCCTCCGAGGTGATATCGCATTTCCAAGGTAAATTTCTGGTCCATCAGAATTTGAGAGCGAAAACTTACCTGTTGTGGTATTATCTGTTGGTTTTAGTGGATGGTCTCAGATCACGATTGGATCGTGTTTTGTGTGCTATTTTCGCTGGGAATCGTAGGTTGTGATAATTGCTCGCCCGTTACTCACCGGAAAGAATTGAAAGTTGTACCAATCTAAAAGCTGCATTACTAATTTTGCCAAGCTCATGAAGTCAATCTCTTCTCCGTTTTTTTCTGAATTATTTTTCTCAAATCACTCATTACTTTACCTTTTCCTTGTTGCTGTTTGTGTTATAATTTTAGCAGGTTTTACTCGATAGTTCATCTCAGCTGACTTTTGGTGGTCCTCTTTTCATTCGTTTGGTTTGGTAAACGTGGGCACTTTCTGGATGTCTTACGTTTCTCCATCCTGACCTTATTATGTCTTACATTATGGATTAGAGAAGGGGAAACGTGGATGCTTCTCTGTTTCTGGCATTTAAAAATTCTACATAACAGGGGAAACCATAGGATCATGGAATATATGATCATCTCTGGAATTCGAGGATAAATTTATTCAACTTAAATTGTTTATCAACGTTTTTTTGCAGAATCTACGTGGTCCTTCGTTATACCTACTGCAGATATAGCATAGTATTAGGTAGTTACTGGTCTAATGAAACAATTTCTGATGTGACATTTCTTGAGGAACTTGTAGAGTTAATTTTGGACACAGTGTTTTCAGTCTGTCAGGAAAAGTATCTGGAGGATTTATGACTGTTGTGAAATTAAATATATTTTGGTCCATGAGATTTGCTGCATTTCTCGCCCATTTTCAGGTTTACTAATTTATGAAACTAAGGATTGAACTGCTCAAAATTTTCTATGTTAATGATATTTTGAACAACTAAATAGGGTTGGGAGCATAATGGTACAATTTATGAGATGCTATGTGTGCTTTGTAACCTGAGATCATTCACCGAATGTTATTTTTTCCCCCTCGAAGGTTCCTTATAACGTGTTTTATTTATATGGATGGTTATGCCGTGGATGTGCTAATTCAATAAGTGCAAAATGTAGCATTCTTCAGGTGAAGTAACACTCCGAACTTTGCGTTTTAACATGATAAATCATGTGTTCTATAAGGTACGTGTGGAGAAAGAAATTATTCAAATCGTAATTATACATTGTCTTGTGTCAGTACTGTACTAAAGCTTTTATACTGCAGAAATATTTGAATGTCAACTTGTAGATAGATTATTGATCGCAAATTCTGTTTATAATTTAATCTTGTGGTCTTTCTCTAGGTGTAATAATTTTAACGAAATTCCTTCTAACTCTATGTCGCCGTGCAAACACACAACTGAAAAACTGTTTTTGTTCCTAAAACTGACATGCTGTAATATTTTATTTCTAATGCCAATATTTTTTTCCTTTTTCAGTGTACAGAATTTATACAGCAGTTCTTTTTCATGGGTCACTACTCCACGTTCTTTTCAATATGTTGGCTCTGGTACCCTTGGGTACAGAACTAGAGAGAATTATGGGATCTGTTCGACTGGTGTATCTGATGTTGTTGCTAGCAACTAGCAATGGCCTACTGCATCTGATTATTGCTTTGACAGTGGCTAATAACCCCTTTCACCCCTTTCCGTCTCTCATGAATGAGTGTGCCATTGGCTTTTCTGGTGTTCTCTTCTCCATGATTGTCATTGAAACAAGTTTAAGTGGAATTCAGTCTCGAAGGTTGGTGTTCCTAACCAAAGTGGTTTTATCATTTATCTTGAAAAATTTCATCTCTCCCTTGTATCCTTTTCGTAAATGAGATGTCTATGTCCTGAAAAATCTTACAATGCTTCTATTTTCATAAAAGAAATACCGGGAATATGCTATAGTTTTAGACTTACATAGATGATTTACCAGGATAAAAATCCTTCGTTGTGTCAATTTCTCATTCAAACATTGGATAAATAGTTTTTTGAATGGGACGTAGATTTTTGAAGCACGTTTCGACTCGATTAGTCTCGTTTACAATCGTATTTGCAGCAGAAGTATGTTAATAATAATCATGGTTCTATCAAACATGGAATGAAGGAAGAATGGATGTGAAGTCCGAAAGAGTTTTGCAGATGTCTATTACTAAGAGAACTAGACTATGGCAGATGTGCAGGATAGAGGCATTCTAAGCAATCCTTTTCATGTCACTTCACCGATCCCCTCGTATCAGTCATTTTTCTCAAGTAGAGTCAAAAATTCTCAGGATGCCTTCTAATCATCTCTGGCCAATTTTAATTTACTAACTTTTTTTGGAATTGTGTTGTCTTTTTTTGGTAACACGGCCTTCTTTACCTTGAAATTGCTGACGGTCCCCCACTATAGTAAATCTCAAAACCAACTTTTTAACAGGACTCACAACCTTATTATGGCCTGAGGTCAGCTCTCAATTGGACATATCTCTTCAAATCAATGACTTTCATTGCTGATACCTTTCATTTCCTCTTGCTTCCTCGCAACCCAATCTCAAAGTTCTGTTGTTTGAAGATTATCTAGTTGTCAACATGCATTTGCCGATTCATACACTTTGTAATGTAAGCCTTCTGTTGTGCAGTGTCTTTGGGCTCTTCAACGTGCCTACAAAATGGTACAACCTTCAGTTGTATTGGTTACATTACACTTTACACTATCGTATCTTTTTTACCTATTCACTAACTCTACATGTTGGGAAACGTCAGGTATCCATGGATTTTGTTGATACTATTCCAGTTTCTAGCATCAAATGTTTCTTTGTTGGGACATTTATGTGGCATCTTGTCTGGGTTTGCCTGTGCGTGATCCACCTTTGTTTATCTGCAATATTTAATTGGAGGAAAGCGATAAATTCGGAAGAACCTGAGCTTTTTTTAACTTTTATTTTCCTTCTTTCAGATACCTATGGAATATTTCAGTACGTAACACCTGGACCATCTTTCTATTCTGCAGTTGAGAGCTCCTCTATACTTGTGAGTCTCATTTTCCTTATCCTAATAAATTGCGGTTGCATGGTTGTTAATTCCTAGACCCTTTTCATGAACATCTGATACTTGGAGGTTACCATGTCCCACGCTTACTTCTGAGTATGGTATACATGGTAGATATTTAGATTTTAATTAAGCACTTATTAACCTTTTCCATCATCATTGGCTTGGCCTGGGTGAAAGGTCCGAAACACTTGGTGGATGGTTTCCAGCTTGCGTCACCATAGATTTTTCTTCTTAACACATACATTGTAAACTAAATAGCCTAAATGTTGATGGTAGTCGGTTTGCCATCGAATGATAAATCTACTCAGACGACATTAAGAATACTGAAAAAATGTAACATAAAAATAAGATAAGGTTCTATTCCATAAGCACGAAGATATAAGGCACCGTAAAGAAAAGAATGGAACAAAGGGCAACCAATGAGTTCAAACAAATGCTACATAGAAAAAGGAATACTAAATTTAAAAATTATTGAATGGGTTTTTGCTCTTCTAAAGGTTTCTTCATTTGGTTAAATTATCTATTCGTCAGATTTAAACGTCTTCAATGTAGATCTTTTTGCACCCTTCTCATATACCAGTTCTATCATTTTGTGTGGCTTTCCCTTTTCTTGTACGAAAATCTACCCTTTTTTGATGGGTAACAAACTTTATTAATTTGTTGTCGATGATCATTTTTAACCGTTTTTGAATTTTTTAAAACGAAATTTCTTTTTTTCTATCTTGTTACTCCGACTGTACATGCTTAACTTTGTCTCCCATTTCCCTAACTCTTATCTTATGATAGTAGCCAGGTTACCACCATAATAATTCTGTAGGTTATACGATCATGTTAAAGAAACTCGAAATAAATTTGTATTTAGGTTCTTTCTACAATATGTAATTCACAAGGGATGGTGAGTCTTTTTTGTGTAGTCATCTTGTCTGAGGCGTCCAGGATTTATATTATCAAGTGGAGGGACTCCATATGGTTCACTTCCTACATATTCTAGCAATAGCACAAGCTCTAGGTACCATTTTTCCTTTTAATCCAATTTTTCAATTTTTGTTGGTCCATTAGCACAGCCCTAATCTAATGCTGCCATCATTCAGCAGTTTGCTTCAAGGAAACGTGTGGAGAAATCTTTCTTCATGGGTGCCACAGAGGCAAACTCCGCCTGCCCAGGTGCTGGAATTGTCCTGTTTAAGATCACTATTTTTATTTTTTGATGCTGATGTAGCGCTAATTTTGTCTGTGTTGCCTTTCCTGTGTCATTTTTCTGGGTTGTTGTAGGCTTTGAAAATATTTGAATATGTTAAATTATTTGATATCTGTGTCACTAGTAGAACTATTTTAAATTTTAAAAGATGCAGTTGAACAGGCATGATGATGAATTGCGAGAAATCTCCCTGAATCCACTGATACTCAAAACTTGGATTCTTGTTCAGAATTTCCTTCTGGGTTGATAGCCAGTGACCCAAATTCTTCTGCTAGCATTCAAACTTTAGAGAGACTGTTAGTTTTCTTGCTTCGAATGCTCAGCAGAAGATTGCATGTTGATAGAATGAACTCAATAGTTGATAAAAAGTGGAACAGAAAAGTGAAGTTAGCTGTGATTACGGTTTGACACTGACTGATGGTTTTTTTCCACGAAATCCAAATTTAAGTATATGCCTTACAAACATTTGATATGCCGAATTACCAAAATTCTTGTTCCCCGTGACTGTAGAAGGAATAATGACAGCTGATTGGTTCAACAGAGAAATTGTCTCAGGTGAAATATCGAGAAAAAGATCTATGTGCTTACACTTTGGTGATCCACATTTCAATGACAGAAGTAGAAAGGCTGAGGATGAGAAATGACTGTGGAATTGTCCAGATAGTTTCGATGTTGTTGGTATGTCTTGATGATAATCAATTTCTCTGCAACATTTCTGACTCTCTACTTAACCCAAACTATGGCTGATGACGGATTTAATTTACATTCCTGGCTTGTGGGTATTCATAGGATAATATGTGCAATCAGGCAAGTTAAATTTAGCATTGGCCTTTGGAGTAAAAAATGTCCTTGGTCTCCCATACAAAAGTGAAGGACTTGCAACGAATCCACAGAAGCATATGACTTGTGGAACTGTAACATTTTAACTCTAATATAATTACTACCATTTTCTGGTTATCTATGTATCTTTAGCTGAAAAGAAATTATGTGATACAGATGTTTTTAGCGGAAGAACCTTATTTTCAGCCGAATGTAATAAAAAAAAGAGCACTCATGAAACGTCAAGAATAATGAAGTATTTTTTATGCATTATTATTTATGTTGTCTGTACCAGCTGTAAATTGCCAAAGACCTGTGGTCTCCCTAGAAAGCAACAAATGAGTTATTTTACTTCAATATTTCCAGTTATTTTACTTAAAAGACCTGTGATTTAATTGCTGTATGCTTGCATCTCTTGCCTGTTATGTTTTAATGCAAACTTCGTGTGAGTATATCCCTTTTTAGAAATTCTACAGGCACTCTAATGGCTCTTCAAATGTCCATTTAGGAGTCTGAAGACCCCAGATTTCCCGGAAGGGGAAGGGCACTTGGCTCTGCAAGAAGCCCATCGCCTGCTACTGATCCTGATCAAAGTCTACAGGCTAGGCTCCTAGATGACAATACGGCTACCTCTATTCCCGAAACAGCAGGTCTCGGTATAGCTCAGAGAATGCCAGATACAAGGTACCAGACATGTATTATTATTTATGATTACTATAGGCACTGTTTCTACTCTTTGATGGTACTCAATGCTAGAAGTCATTCAGTTCCGCAGTCCGCAATGTGAAAGGGCTTCTGGGATTAGAGTCTGAGAGTTGTCATCCATCTGCTTGAATCTTCTAAGAGATGTCCTGGTAGACTGTGAAACGACGAAAGAGCTTCTTTAGCAATAGAAAAACGTTTTACAAGAGTTAGAATTACTGGGCCATCCAACTCCATAATAGCTTAAATTGGACTATTCTTGATTATTTTAGGAAAAAAATATTCAGTTTTCTATAGTTTCAGGACTGAACTAGTGAATAAGTTTCCTCTCCTATAATTCTTTGCCACCTTTTTTCTCTTTTTTTTTCTCAGATAATTTGAAAACTGACCATTTGGCTGCTATTTTAGGCCTTTTACTGTGGATACCCTGGGAGCCGCAACAATTCCTACGCGCAGTCAGGTTCCTTACGCTGCCTGGATATTGTTTTCTGTCTCAGCTCCTTATATACATTGTGTTTTTCTATTTGAAAAAAAATAAAACATTTTAATATGGAACAGGATTATGATGGATTTGAAGAGGAGGTGAAGAAACTCGTATCAATGGGCTTTGAAAAGGTTTTTTTTTTTTTTCTCCTCTTCATGCATTCAACGTCATAGATCCAATAATAATAACTTATTTTTTATTTTTCTTTTAAAAAATCCAATAATAATAACTTCTTTGACAATCTCAAGAAAATTTGATTCACGAACCCATTATCCTCTGTAAATTGTTTTCCTTAGTTTTCTGGTACCATTCATAAGTATGGTAGCTGGTTCTTTGGTTGAGTAATGACGAGCAAGTGAATGCGATTGTGAGCTTCTGTTCTCGACTGCAGACCCAGGTGGAGGTTGCCCTTGCTGCTGCCGATGGAGATCCCATGATTGCCGTGGAGATTCTAATGAGTCAGCAGGCGCGTTGACTTGTGGGTGGTGCCCTCGCGTCTTCCCCCCAATTTCTCTGTTCTCCATCGGACGTCTGCAGGGTTTGATTTCACTGAGTCATAACTTGAGCAACTCATCTGCCCTGATCAACCTGTGCCGGAGGACCATTGATGTCAAGAATCTACTGTCCAGAGAAGTTAGAGAGAGAGAGAGTTCAGGAACCTGTAGGGAGAGAGAAGAACAATACGTGTAGTCAAACTTGTGTTATCATCATCATCATCATCATCATCACATTCGAAAATGAGAAAATGAAAATAGAACACCCTGGCTGATATCATCTGCTCTACCTGGACCCTGTTTGGGTTACTCACCACATGCAATGCGGATATATCATACATATATGTAGTAATTAGCAAAGTATGATTCATTATAATATTAATATGAAGAGTATGAAATTGACTATTTCAAGGAAGAATTGGGGCTTAAATGGCCCAGCAGATAGGAGATAGTTATTGAGAACATCATCAGCTAACACAGACAACAGTACCATGAGGATTACTCAAACAATTAAAGCCCTATGCAGCCTTTCTCCTCCCGGAATTACATCAGAACAAGAAAAATTTAACGAAAAAAAATTCTAAGAGGGATCAAGAGATCCCACCGGCATGAAGATCACACAGAAAAGAATAAATCATTTTCTACTTACAACCTATGAAACTCCTCATTTGCTCATACCATCTGGGCAGTGACCCCCCAAGTCCATCATCCTCTCCAGGGCTGCCATTAATTCCGCTTTTCCAAGTATTTTTCAGAGATTCTGGCTTAATTTCCATCTTAGGAAGCAGACAAGATACATGATCATAGTGGGGAAGTAAAATCCGAAGAGTTTTAGCATGGAAAGAAGTTCATGGGGATAATTATTTCAAGATTAACCTTGGACATTCTTGCCACATGTGTGGCATATTGCAGGTGGAGCAGTCAGAGTAATCAGACTTACTGTGCCCAAGTGGCCAGATTCGCCACAACTGTAGCAAGACACTAGACTGAGAACAGCATCAACGAAGCTTACACAAGAGAAATGGCCAAACTCCTTGCAAGCATAGCAATGTATCCAAAAAGGGAATGGAGTCATATGATGGACATTGAAGCCTACCTTTAGGTCTTCCAGTGGGTGGGTAGTCATTCCTACATGACATGACATGGCCCATCTTACTGCATAGTAGGCATTTGGGTATGAACCATGGTCTCAGCAGTCTTTCACAAGATGTCATCTTCATCTGCATATGGAGCAAGTCTGCTTCTAGAGAGATGCAAGAAGAGAGATTGAGTTACCAAACATGAGTAAGAACAAGAGAACAAGATGCAACAGGCTGGAAACAAAAGGCCATCAAACCTGTCGGAACTATATTTTGCAACACAGTAAGTATGACACCATTGTTCTGGCATGAAATCATAACATGATATGATGAACTTATAACAAGTAAAAATTGACAAAATATAACAGAATCTGATAAAAATATAAAACCGATTCATCATACCTCCTAAACTGGGAAACTAATCAGCAGTTAATCTATTGAAGAAGAAGAATAAGTGCAAGCACATGCAATAAGAGAATCTCCACTCAAGCCAAGCCAAGCATGCAGCCCAAGCCCACGCGGTTCCAAGAAGAACCCTCAACAGAGGTGCGTGAACAGGGAGAGTGGAGCAATGGAGTTGGAGATGAAGAAGAGAGCATTGCTCTTTTATATCAGTATACATCTTTCTTCGTTGTGGGCAGACATCCTTCTGAGAAAGCAAGGCTTCTTTTCAGGCAACTACAGCAGCTCTCCAGTCGTCCATTTCTCCATCAAAGTACCACGCGCCACGCTGCGTTACTGTAAAAAAAAAATAACACAACGATTTCAGGCAATCCGATGACGCAAACTACGACCTTGCGCAAATCCGATGACTGGGTCCAGTTCATTCCAACTCACAAGAAGCTCTCTAGATACAATGTTGTCTAGCGTGTTCTCATCGGGTTCTTTGACGACAGATTCTGTCGTTTCCATCGCTCCATCTTCAACCTGAACAGTTGCACCAGCCTTCATTTAAAAAGCAAGATAATGGCGAAATTAATTCAGATGACGCGCGGCTCCCGTTAAGAAGATGACGAAATTTTGAAATGTCGAGGCTTTAATGAAATAAACGATTTCGGTTTATCCTCTGCGTCCTCCTGCTCCCTTGTAGCTCTGAATGGACTCGGAGGGAGAGAAATAGACAGATATAGAGAGAGAGAATATGGGTAGGGAACTTTGGCAAATCCAAAGACGATGAACAAGAGAATCAGGTGGTCTTTCTCTGCGTCAGTAGTGAGTTTCTCCACCTGATAATTAAGTCCGTTTTCTGACAGTAAGCGATCTCCGACTGCTTGAAGATATATTCTTTTGGGATGAAATGCAGTTGATTCGACTAGAACATACCAAAGAAGACCTGAATCATGTGTTGTTCATGCAGTTTGGGCTGTAGATTAAAATATCGTGAAAGAAAATTAACACTAATCTTTTGAGAAATTTAGTGAAAATCTGATTCATCGTAGTCTGAAAGATCGTCAAAGCATTAAAGAGATGGAACAACATTATGAGAAATTCGTAATGTCGAATATTATGTAGAATATTTATTATTTTATAGACATCTTTCTTCTATATCTAGATCTAATGGTATCCCTATCATAGTTTTAGTGTGGAAAATATCACCATTCTGTATAATTTTTCAAGAAGCTATTCAACGATTAAAATAAGAAATCGATTTAAAACTATGGCCTTTCTGAGAAAATCTCCAAGTGACGTCTTTATTTCTTGTGAGTGATGAACTCAAGTATGTGTTGATTGAATGTTAGATAATTTCAGCCTCTGATATTTCACATATAAGCTTCTTGATTTCATTCTTCTAGACATATAGGTATTGGAACGGCCTCATGTTAATAGTTTGGAGTTTGGCTCTAATTGGATCACATGATCTACTTCTTGGGCTGGTGGTAGATTGTTAATATCTATGAATGCATTAGAAAATCAGTATTCGATTTGACTTTCAAAGAGATGGCTTGCTTCTAATTTCATGTCATACCAATTAATAGAGTTCAACTAATATCTCCCCCTTCTTAATTAATTTGGACAATGACCTGAAAACAATGCCTCCCATATGACCAAGAGTATCTAGAGTTATAGTTAATTGCTCTAATCCTAATAATCTAAGATAGAATCTATCATCCGAAATCAAGTTTGATTTTCTTCCTAGGATTTATCGATAAAAGTCTCAATATGACGTCAATCATGACCAAAGGTAAAATTAATAGATCTTCACTCATGACAAGAGACTACATATCGAATATGAACTCTCCATAGATCCCAAAACCATGCACCTTCTTGTTGGTAACTTGATAATGTAGGGTGGTTGCCACTAAAATTCCTAACTCCTTAACAACATCTTGAGATATAAAGTTGTGAAATGCTCCAGTGTCAACGAGCATTGTCATTACTCAATCATAAATGTTCTCTTGAAACTTGAGAATATACCTCGGAGATTATATTATTAGCAAGTTGAGGAATAATTCTAGGTTAGTGAATGTTCTTCTTTGATGTTACTATCATAAGCATTTTTCGGTCCATTATCAATGTGGTCATCTTCATGAGCAACAAAGATTTATAATTTTCTACAACATTGATATTTTAGAGAGAAATTTTGATTACAAGAGAAGCATATGCCTTGGGTGCAAGTTTTCTATGTTGATCAAGTTGTTTGTTGTTGTATCCTAAACACCTTTGTTGTCTCTCCATTGTGTATAATATAATTCATGCCCTTTCCATTTATGTATGCTCTAGTCTGATGCAATTGTATCTAGAAATCAGATTTTGGGTCATACCAATGCCCTCAAGACCATTTTTGTCATTATTCTTTGTCCCAACCATCTAATTTGTCCACATGGTTGACTTCAATCAAATGAGTTTGAGAGGCATATCTCTACTTGGGTATCTTTACATAATCCTTTGAGGAAAGTATTATCAATGATATGTTCAATGAGACATATTAATCTCAAATTCCTCTCAATATTATGCAAGTGAGCTTTATTATTTAATCTCCAAAAAAAATTACTAAAGGTGAAGTGTTCTAATAATGGAGTCGTAACTCTTCCAAATATTTAAAAAGTTTGTATGTCTTTTCATTTAAGTGTGACTATGATTCAAAGATCAATTGCATTGTAATAAGCTTCTAGATTGCCCATAAGTCAATACAACAAGAAGAATCATTTTACATGAAAAACCTATCTTTCTAGGTATTGACCATTGAAAATAGACATGTTACACTTCCAAATGACTTGTCATAGCTGAATATAGAGGTTATGAGTCAAAGGGGTAGCCATGGTCAGTATCAGTCAAGATGACTCAACATGATGAAGGGGTGGTGGCTGCTCATTCTGGGTTGAGTTATTAATATCATCAAGAGAAAGAGTTGGACGATCATGATTGAATTCATCAAGGTCCTCAAAGATATGTATAAGCAAATCAAGTTGTTGTTTGATGACCAAAAGATCATTGTTTTATTCCAATAAAGTTGCAACATCACGCTCGCTAGAGATCAAGAGGATCTCAACACAGTGTATCAAACTCTTCTAATCTAAATGTTGACTTGTCCAAAAGTCAAGACAAAGAGTTTTGAATTAACTCAAAAGAAGAGACATAGGGACTATTGAGACTATCAGAAAATTTGACTATAGTGAGAGACATAGATAGATTGACTTGTTCGAGATGGTCAATCTCCACCTGAAGATACAAGACTCAAAAGGGGCTGACTTTGTTAATTGACGATTGTCTCCCAATTGGCATGAGACCCTCTTTTATAGTGACTAATAGGCTGTTGACTTTGTGCCCCTTCTTTTCAAGTGGCAACTACCATTATGTTGTTACCTATGAACATCCATCTCATGTCGTCCGGTGGTCTTCTCCACTTGGCAATTAAGTTCTTGGCCATCTGTAAAAACTTCCTTGACGATCAGCCCTCACAAAACTAAATTATATAAAGCTCCTCGTTTTTACTAAAATTATACCAAAACCCCCAGAAATCTTGTTTAAAATTAGATTCTATGGATATTCCTGGCATGATATGCCCATTGCGTCGGACTTTCGAGAGCTCATCAGCAAATTTAACTAATTGGGGGAGTTTTCAAAGAAACGAGCCGAGCTGTTCATTCATCCGATCTATCCTTCCGTTGACCAAGAAAAGGCCGCGCTCCAGAACAGTGGGAGTGTGGGAGTGGTCAGAAAAATCGAATCAAGTACAACGGATTCCTTCCGGCAGCTTGATCCTCAGAGCACAGAAGAGAGAGCAGACCCCCCCCCTCTTCCCCCAAGAACAGATGAGGAAGAAGGAAGCGGAGGAGGAAGAGGAGGAAGAAGAGCAGGAGGGAAAGGGAGGAGGAAGAATAGGTGGGAAGAGGAGGAAGAATAGGAGGAAGGAGGGAAGGTCGTCGGAGGCGGATGAAGGGGGTGGTTGGGTCGGTCTTCTTCCTCAGCGGCGGCGGCGGGGGTGGCGGCGCTCAGGAGGAAGAGGGTTACCTGCGGGAGAAGTACTGTTCGAGCCAGTCGCGTCTCATGGCGGGGCTGCTCCGCAGAAACACGTTGGCCTGCGTGTTGTGGTCCAGCAGGTACCCGTAGGCCTCCATCAGCCATGCCTCCGTGTAGCCCTCGCACCCCACCACCGCCCCGTGCAGCTCGTCGGCGTGCTCCTTCTTCCTGTCCCTCGCCATCTGCTCCGCCATGTACCCGATCTTCTCCGCCAGCTTCTCCAGCTTCTCCTCCAGCCTCTCCCTCCTCCTCCACCCCCCCTTCTTCCCCCTCCCCGGCGGCGGCAGCAGCGCCGCCTCCTCCTCCTCCGCCGCCGCGGCTGCCGACCCCTCCGGCGACTGCCCTTCCTCCATCTCCTCCTCCACCATCACCAGCCCCGCCGCTTCCTCCCCGTTCAGCTCCCCCCGCCGCCGCCGCCGCCGCCGGCCGCCGTCCTCCGCCGGCGGCTCGCCGGAACCCCTGGAATAGAACCCCGTGGGCTTCTCGTCCCCGCAGATGATCCCCAGCTCCTCGTACATCTCGATCGGCTGGTTCACGAACGGCTCCGCCTTCGGATTCGCCTGCGCCTTCAAAACAAGTCAACGATGATGATCCAAAAAAGAAAATGACCGTCTTTTTTGGTGGGTCGACCTTGATGTACTCGGCGGCGGCGGCGTCGGAGAGGAGGATGGTGTGTGTGGCGGCGTCAAAGGCGTGGGGACCGGCGGCGGCGCGGAGCTTCTTGATCTCGGCCCAGTTGCGTTTGAGGGTCTTGAAGCGGTTCTCCACGTTGTTGTCGAGGCATTCCTCGCCGAAGCGTTCAGTCACCTGGCGAGCCACGGCGGCGTAGGCGCGCCGCTTGAAGCCCTTGTCCACCTTCATTCCCAGCGTCGCCTGCTCCACCAGCCCCGCCACCATTACCCGCGTCATGGCCCGCGTCCACTTGAAGTTCTTGTCCGCCCTCTTCGCCGGCGGCGGCGGCAGCGCCAGCGCCGCCGTCTTCCCCTCCATCCTCCTGCTCCAGCAATTCAACGAACAAACTCATCACAGACCTGTCGACCCAAGACAGGAATCTTGGATCTCGGTCCCCCTCTGCTGCAGCAGGGTTTTGTTCCCAAGGAGCGCTATTATCAGTGGGGCATGCTCCAAGGTTTGAGGAGGATCAGAGGGCAAGCATTATATCCGGGAAATACTCTTCTAACGCCATTGAGAGGAGAGAGAAAAGAAGACGTGCCGAGGAAGGAACAGAACAAGTACCTCTCTTCTTCTTCTTCTTCTTCTCTGAGGCTTGTTGCTGCCTCTGTCGAGGATTATCCCCCCTAGAGAGAGAAAGAGCGTAGAGAAAAAGCTTCAACATCCGATCGGAGAAGAGAGATCATCCATAGAAAAGATGGAAATCGAGGCTTCGGATAGAGATTACTGGCTGCGAAATAATCGCCAGGGAAGGTGGAGGCGGAGGTGGAGGATTTAGCTTCTAGGGTTTTACGCCGGCGTGAGGAGGCGACGGAGAAGGGTGAAGACGAGAGGAAGAGGCTTCGCAGCGGCTTACGATTCTCAGGGCTTCGGAGGCGCCGCCGGAGGAGTTCGCCGGAGGAACAAGAGGAAAAGCAGGAGGAGATATCCGTGTTTTCCCCCAATCCAAGCGCTCCGCAGACTCCCCTCGCTAGGGTTTTCGATTTCCGGGGAATCCCCCCCTCTCTTATCCCGCACTCCAAACGTGGCTTGCGCCGGGGGAGAGAAACCCAAATAATCTCTTGTGATTGGTCCACGTGCCGTCCAGCTCACCTCCAACTGGCCGCCGCATCTGACTCCAGGGAGAGATTCCTCTTTGGCGAAGATTTTACACGGATATTGATATTTTATTATTATATATTCCTCCCATTTTATGACGTCAAAAATACCTTTTTTAGAACATGGTGGCATGCTTATCATCCCAACATTGCCCAGAATGAGAAGCCTAGCAGAGAGAAGAAGAGGGTTGACTTTGAGCTCAAGGTCTAGCCGTTCTCTGCCTCACGAACGATCGGATTTTTGTGGACCCAGTTAACAACATCCTCTGTTCTGGTGGAGAAGAAATTATTTCCCCGAGCGTTGACTTTGCTAAAAGACGGAGCAGAATCTCTCTGTTCCATACGAAACCGATCTATGTCTTCTATACGGATTGATTCCAAAGTCAGTTTCACATGCTCATACGCACTCATGCGTAGATCATCATCAACAACAACAACAACAAGAAAAAGGGCGTTGACTTGTTCGCAATCTTGATGGGTTTTGCAAGAATAGGCATTTTGATCCCCGTCAGGCGAGTTCTCTGAGGGCGGCAGCGGCCCTTGAGACGGCTCTGGCGGCCCGCCATACCTCGCGCTGCACCGCCTTCCACGTTTCTTCCTCTCCCCGAGCACCGGGGATCTCAGAGAGGGCGTCGGCTATGCCGGGAAAGAAGGGAAACCCGCTCTCCGAGTCCGCTGGAGGCGAATATATCTGCGCCGCCATCCCACCGAAAAAGAACCAGAAGAAGAATCAGCTCAAAAATGGATCATTCATCCCGAGATGGGCAAATCCATCATCTCACCAGGTGCTTGAACCACGGCCTCCCCCTCAGCCCCTCCGCCGCCAGGAAGCCTCTTTCGGCGAGCATTAGCCGATCGTTGAGAGCCCGCCTCCTCAGCTCCCCCCATGCGTCCACCTTCTCTTCCACCCGCAACCTCTGCACAGACAGGGACAGGCAGAAAGTAAGTGACCATCCATCCATCCATCCGTCCCATGAAGGTCAAACATCTACCCTAATCTCAGAGGCAGCAGCAAGACTAGAACAAGCACAAGTCTTCAGGCATGAAGATACTGGAACCATAGCCAGCAAGGACGAGCTGCTTAACTTGTCCTTCCTCCTGTGCTTCACTTGCAGAGGCGACAAGCTCGCAGAGTGATGCGTTCATGGGCTGCATGGTTACAGCGTCACCCAGCAAGGACGACATGGCAGACGAATGCTCCTGTGAAACGTGAGATGGATGACACAGACCCGGAGAGTGAGTCAGATTAGGAAATCTGACCCTCTGAAATCGGCATGAGAGTTACCTGCAACTGAGCCGCATAGGAGAGGTAGTCAAAAGGGATGATCTGGTCATCTGCCAGATGAAGAGCCACGAGTCCCCAAATCTCTGCGACTGTGTTCATGTAGAGAGAGAGAGAGAGAGAGAGAGAGAGAAGCAGAAGTAATTAGCCCTTAATGATTGGCCAATAAAAACGGAAAATTGGCTTGAAGAATAATCAAGACCTCCTTTGTGGGATGAGAGGAAACAGGGAGCTAAGAACCCATCTGCCACCAGAAAGATCCGTACTTTTTTGTCAAGATTCGACCAGATCGTTCTCAATTCACGATTCCCCACTTTTCAGATTTCGTTGAATTAATTGCAGATTATTCCCAATTCATGAAATCGCCGAGATTTCGTTGAGATGGCACATTGAGGATGAAAACTGCATACTTAAGAACTTATTTTTGGCGATAATAATAATAATAATAATAATAATAATAATAAGATGATTACCCACATCTTGCATGTAACCTCTAATCAGTTAGATGCAGGATCCACCTGACATAAAATGAAATCAATAAAGTTTTCAAATTAATAAAATTTGGTCCGGCATGCTCAAGATTGATTATGTTAGACGACAGCAAGGTTCTGAGCCCGAGTTCAACTCAAGAAGGGTCTCAATTTTCTGAATGTCACGAGTCAACTGCACTTAACTGTGGTTGGAGATACATATTGGAATTTCGGCGGATTACAAAGACCATTCACCATGACAATGAATATATCGTTCATTAAACGGCACAACTTGATCGCATCCAACTTTGGGTAATATAATTCGCTTTATGTCTTATTCTTCATGATAATACAGCGTTAAATATGTTTCTGGCACTCATAAAACACCATCACTAATGTCGTCCGAAAAAAAAATGAGATGATGGTTTGCGTCAATATTTGACCAGATATTCATACCATGATGAACAAAAAAACATAATTTTTCCACTTATAACGGAAAATAAATAAATATATGTGGTGCATAAAAAATCTGTCATTCAACATGATATTAGTGTCGATCCCAGAATGATTCACACCAAATCTAGAACCTGAGAAAGAACATGAACTATGAGATCATGTCTTATTTCTCTGTAATCCACCATAATTTACTCCAATTGCCATGCTGTGTAGACATTTTTAGTAAAGAACTGCACCTCATAAATCAACAAAATAGAAGGAAAAAAAAAAAAACTAACCTGCCACATGTCGGTGAAAGGAAGGATCCCCATGTTTTTTCATCCAGTCATAAGAATCAAAAACAGTATGGTAGACTGGATAATCTGGCAAAGAAACCAGCATCAGTGTCCACTGAGATAATCATGCATGAGCAAAAGCATAAGCTTTTACTATAAATAGAGAAAACATGAGCAATAAACTGCGCTGTCAGTCTGATAAACATGACCAAGGCTTTTAGCCTTGGTCCGAATGCAATGCTGCATACCTTTTCCGAAATACATGTCAAGAGATGGCACCCCAGCATGATGAAGAAAGGAGGTGAAATCTGAATCCGCCCTGCCAAGCCTCCCGATCTGCAGTGACATCTCAGAAGATTTCTCAGATTTCTCAGACTGCAAGTGTTTGGATGAGCTCCAAACCAAAAGCATGGAAAGGAGAACTATAAAAGCCCACATTGTTGAATGATGAAAAAAATAGAATTGGATCTTGATTTTTTCCACGAATATGCACCGAAAAAGGAGAGCATATAATGCTAATTATAGCTAATATACCAAAGTAAATGCCTTATAAAAAATAAGGCTGCTTGTCCGGGAAAAGAGGATTGTGATCTTACTTCAGCTCTTCTGTTTGCCTCCGTCCAGGTCTGATACACAGTCATGCTATCAAAGTCCGGATCCTTGACCTGAAACATAAGCTCACTCAGCAGAAGCTCGTCTTCTCCATCAAGCCGAGGCAGTCTTCAGAATTATGGAAGATACTAGTTTGCATGGCACCCGCTTGATGATTCCCATATTAGTCTTTGCGAGTTGACAGGTTGACCACAGAAATTCTTCCGTGTCATGGCTACTGATAGATATCTTGCTTTATATGGTCGGAAAATGATATCGAAGGCACAGATAAACTGTTTCGGGTAGAAACATGGCGGTGCAAGCTTATAAAAAGGGTGGGTGGAAGGCCATCCCTCCTGGTCACAAGGTTACCTTCTTTGTGACGCCGACCAGAAGCCTGTCCAGCTGGGGAGTTCCGCTGGCGAAGAACCCGGGCCCCTGAACCGCGCAGTCCACGTTGAGGTACGCCACGGCCTTGGACTGCAGGAGTCCAAGGTGCTCCTCGACCCATTCGGTGGATCCAATCTGACACAGTTCAAGATCCCATGATTTTGGAGCTCAAATTCTGGTCACAATGCCAATATGGATGATGATGATGACGATGATGCTGATGAGGAGGAGGAAGAAGAAGAAGACGAGGAGGAGGAGGAAGACGACGATGACGACGAAGGTGGAGGAGGAGGAAGAGGAGGAGGAGCAGGAAGAAGAAGAAGAAGTGCACCATTCCGAATTCCTCGGCATCCCAACTGCAGAGGACTATCGTCCTCCTCGGCCGCCACCCTTCGCGGAGCAAGAGGCCAAGCCGGCGGGCGACCTCTAGGAGGGCGGCGGTGCCGCTATTGGGGTCAACGGCCCCGTAAGTCCACGCATCCCTGTGGTTCCCCAGCAGTACGTACCGGTCCGGCTCCAACTCCCCGGTAATCACTCCCACCACGTTCCTGATGGTCTCCATCTCACTCACTCCCTGAAGCAGCGAGAAGAAATGGGCATCAAAAAGCTCGGAGCTTTCAGACATAGCGGAGCGATCTCCGTGCTGGCGCTTACCTCGTAGGTGAAGTTGACGAGGACAGAACCGCCGCCGACTCCGCCGACGCCGCCCACTTGCATCCCCCGAGGGAGGTGGCGCCGCCACTCCTCCGGCAGCGGCGGCCCGCCCATCGCCCGTAGGATCTCCTCCGCCGCCGCCGCCGGGACCGGCAGCGAGGGCACCGCCGGAAACCGCCGCTGTACTTCCCCGTCATTTACGCCGAGCCTCTCTACACTGTCGTCGGCCGCCGCTGGCCACCCCGGAGTCAGCGGATCCCCGGGCCCACCCAGCAGAACCGTACCCCTCTCCACGCCGAGCTCGGCCCCGAAGACGACGACAGCGGCGCCGCCATGCTCCGCCGCCCGCTGCACCACCGCTCCCCGGTATCCTCCCCCGCGGCGGACCACCACCACGCACCCCCTCACCTCCACCCCCATCGCAGCGAGCCTCTGATAGTCCTCCCGCCGGCCGTAGTTGGCGTAGACCGGAGGCGCTGCCGCCGAGCCTGAGGGGGAGTACCCGTGGTAGGGGCGCATCACCCCGCCGCCGGCGGGCTCCAACAGGTCGAGTTGCTGGAGGACGTTGCCACCGGCGAGGAGAGAGAGAGAGGAGCGGACTGGGTAGGAGAGGAGGACGCGATATTCACTGTCTTGAGCTCGGAGACCGGAGTTTTGAAAGTGTTGCAGGACGTAGGAAGCGGCGGAGATGGCGGAGGGGGTACCGGCGAGGTGAGGGCCGAGAGTAAGCTCCCTGAGATGGGCGGAGATGCTATCGTTGGCGGCGGCACCGCCGCGAGGGTCTTTGCCAGCGAGGAAGAACCGGCGAAAATGATCCGCTTTACCACCGGTTGCACCCTGGCTGTTTACCGGCGGCGGCGCCAGGGGCTCGCCGTAGCTTCTGTGGCGGTGCAGGGAGAGCTGGTGGTGGTGGAGGAGGAAGAAGAAGGAGAGGAGAGAGAGGAGAGAGAGGACGAGGAGGGAAGGGACGGTGAAGGGCGAGGAGATGAGGACCCCCTGGCAGAAGTGCTTCGCCGTCGGCCGCGGCAACCGAGGCGGCGGCGGCGGTGAAGATGACATCCCGCCGTAAACTAGAGAGCTTTCCCAACGACGAAAAGGTAGCACGCGCGTGAGGAAGACGAAGAGCAGTAAAGTTTTCCTAGAAACCTAAATACCCCCAATATGAATAAATATGTGTGAATACCCCTGATATTAATGGTACTTAATGCTTATCTCTATATTTAGAAATTCTAGAAATCTCATTCCTAAAAGCTACATTATGACGTCATATTCCCCTCCATCATTATGGCAGAAATACGTTGAGGAAGGTTATTATTGAGCCACCTCACTCTCTCCACCCAAAAAAAATAAAAATCTTTAGCAATTATAATTAGAAAAAAAAGAAGAAATATAGTGCAAACTTCAAAAAATCAAGTCATAGAAAAAAGAAAATGTAAGATTAATATTATTCTTAGATAAGTATTGATAATTAAAACATCTTGTAAATATATCTATGAGTTAAGAAGTGATAAAGATGTGAATAGAAGAAGTGAAGTCTAGATTGTTATTTCAAGAAGTGCTTAAACATTTAAGTACTTGACATTATTCTTAAATATTTGATATAAGAATCCAAAGTGTCTAAAGGTACATCATTTCTGATTATATTTTTTTTATGTATTAAAATATATGTTTGAGATTTGTAAATTTGTATTTTCATAATTCCATTACTAAGGGACTAACAATGATTTAAGTTGGGGGTGTGATAAGTCTTCATTATCATGAGTTAATAATTAATAAATAATATATTTTTAGCCTTAACTCATGATAAATAGACTTATATTTATGTTAAAGTGTGAAAAGTGATTTTCAGTTGATTAACGTAAATTTTTAGGTAATTATCTGATTTTATACGAATTTATATAATTTTTATAGTCTTACTTTTGAGATAAATGAAGAAAAAGAAATAAAAATAAAAATAAAACAAAATGAGGGGGACCCACTGGTCAACCAGGCCTGCAAACAGGTTAGAAGTGCAATCGGGGAGGAGCTGCGAGTAGGGGCTTGAATAACTTAGACTAATAGGGGCACGTGTGCACCACTCTCTTTCCACGTCACTAGTGGCCAATTAACTGTCGAGTAAGGAATGGCCGAACACGCACGAGAAAAGGACTTTATTGGAAATATAATATTACTATATATTCGTTAGAAACTTTGGTGCACAAGTGATGTAGAACTAAACTTGCGTCACACCTTCCCTAGAAAGGGGCGAGCGACTAGTGTGAGTTCGAATCTTCTTAGAGTCAAAATTCATATTTTTTATCTAATTATCGCGACTTTTCTACAAATCACTAATGAAGGATTAAGCAACTAGAATCACTAGATCAACGGTGAAAATCTCGTCAACACGATTCGCAAAGCATTGCTACTAAAAATGTTGAACAATTCATGATAAAAGGATCACGAATCTATCGAGTAAGATATATTCAATTGATCAACAAATAAGCCATCGTCGCGAAGAGGACGATCTGCCGAGAGATGAGTCGCCACCTTCTGAGAGCATACTGGATACGATGAAGAGCCTCCTCTTACTACGTGGACTTGAGGATGAAGCTCCCTGACATACGCCCCACCTCTATCTAATTCCTTTGTCAGGTGATAGTTGCCAGAGAGTCGCAAAGTCGCTATTTTTTCGTTCCACCAGGTGACAACTGCTAAAGACGATTCAACAACCTATTTTATTAATCTCTAAACTTCGCAAGGAGATTTAGAGATTGTCCATGTCATCTTTGTTCAAAGAGAGCCTTTAAGGTTATAAACACTACACGACGATCCTTTCAAACACTTAGGATTTCGGTGTATTACTAACGTATCACCACCATGATGTCAGAACTTTGTTTTTCTACTTTCAACTTAATTTCTACTTTATTTAGTGATAATTTTGTGTGATTTAAATTAATCAATATATAATTCATTCTATTACGATTTTTTTGATTTTTATAGATCTTAATTTGATCAATTAAATTATCTGTAATTGCTTATATAAGAATTGTCAGGTGAAACTTTATTTCTGTTCGATTCGCGTTCGCCGGATGCTTACATCATCATAACGTCAACATTTTTGTTTTTTTCGTGATTTTTAAATATATTTTCTTTTCAATTTTTAGTATAAAATTAATTAAAAATAATATTATTTGAAGAAAATTCTAAATAATTATTAAATATTATATTACATACCTATGATCGACTTGAAAATTACAACTATTTTTGAAAGTTTTATTAAATTATAATTAATATATTTGTTCAGAAATACTTCTAAATATCTAAAAAATTGATATTTTTTAGTTTTATAATTTTTAAATTTACTTGATTTATTATATAACGACTAAGTCACGTCAATATTTATTAAACTTTTCATAGGTATAAAGCCATTTAATTGATTTTAAAAAACTATGAAGATTATATTTAAATATATAATTTTATTATTCTCATCAATAATTCTCCACATGATATAATCATCACGCCAAAACTCTCTCTCTCTCTACTTGTCTCTTCTACTCTTCATAATTCTCTCTCTTCCACCATGAGATTTGAGATTTATTATATTTTTTTTTCTCACAATCTTGGGGGCATCTAGAGAAGAGGAGATTTTATGGGGAAACTATATGAGTATTTAATTGTGTTTGGGGGGGGGGGGAAGGTGGAGAAAAAGGTAAAATAGTGCAGAATGGATGTGTTATAGGATGCGTTTGCCGGGAGTCGAACCCGGGTCTATTGCTTGGAAGGCAATTATCCTAACCGTTGGACTACAAACGCTGGTATGAAAATGTGACCAAAAAAGTTAATCCCTTTAAATAAAAAAATTTGAATTCCAACGCCTCCTCTCACCGTCCCTGAGTCACACTCGCCGTCTTCCTCCCCACTCAGTTCATCCCCGAGCGCCTGAGATTTCTTCTCTCTCTCTCTCTCTATCTACTTACCCTTACTCTGTCCTTCTCTCTCGCTGTCTGGGCTTCCTATTTCCGCCTATTTTCCGCGGGGGATTTGCTAGGCAGAACCTTGGATCCGTCGCATCTTGAGGCGCAACTTTTCTCGCGGTTGGTTTGAAAAATAAAGGAGTCTTTTGTTTCTCCGGGCGATGCCGACGATCGTGGAGACACCGTCCAGGGGGCGTGCGGCGAGGTTCCAAGGACCGCAGGGGTCAGAGCACGACACTGCCGCAGTTGAGAGCTATGAACCAGCGGGTGGTGAGGTAGGGCCGGTTGGAGTTGATGGCCGCGGGAGCCACGGCGTCCAGAGCTTCGAGATGCTGGAGGACCCATCGTTCTGGAAGGATCACAATGTGCAGGTCATTCGATCTAGCCCTCTTATCTGGGTTTTTTTTCTTTGGGCGTAATATTAAGGGGGTAGGGTTTTGAGTCCTTTCTTGTTGTTGGAGGGACGTACATCTCTTTTTCTTCCTTGAAATGAATCTTCACTTTCCATTTGACTCTGACTGGTATGATTCTTCACTCTTACCTTGCGTTTTTAGGATTAAGGATTGCTGGATTGGTTTTCGGGAATTTTCTGGAATTTTTTTCGTGTTGCTTATGTTGGGTTTGACGACCGGAATTAGTTTTAGGAGCTCACTGCTTTGATAGGGTTTATTGGGCTTTTTTTCATTTGAGCCCAGGATCACAGCAACGGTATTTTTTGGGATTCTCTGTGAAAACTACGACATACGATCGCTTACCACCGGTAATTTTTTCATTGCTTTGATTACACTCCAATGTGAGGACATCTGATTTAGATTTACACAGTCTGGAAAAGAATCGTCGCAGAACAGTTGAGGCCGAGTCACCGTGTTTCTTTTCTTTTTTCTTTTTTTTACAGTTCACAGTTAATGTTAATCTTCCTCCATTCTTTGCAAGACTGAGATCCTCATGCGATTCAGGGTGTTGAACTAATTGTTATCTTTATCCACCGGCATAGATTATGGTATGCTATTAATCTGTTGTAAATAAATTGGAACGATCTGTACAAGTTCGAACTCAAATCAAATAAAATGAGCTTTGTTCGTTGTTACATCTACGGCTTATTTGAACCAGAACTGGTAGAAAATACTTTTAATGTGCGATCTTTATCTCTTTTGTGCGAAACAGTAGAACGATCTCCTTTTTTCTACCGTGAGAGAGATGACAATCCTCAGATTATTATCCAAGACACTCTTTTTTTCCTTCTTATTCGACGGCTTTTAGGAAGAAATTGAAAAGATGGAAGAGTAAACCTATGGATATTTTCTGTTTAGTCTGGGAGATATGGTTTGGACTCTTCCAGTATTACCGGCTGGGTTTCATTGCGTAGTAATGGATTTCAAAATGAGACTGGAGGTTAAATGAATTACGGAAACAATTAAGTGTCTACAGTTCTTTGGGTCTAAGCTTAATTTTTATTTGAACTCTCATAGTGTAATTTTTATACGTTTTCTATTAAGAAAGTGGTTCTTATTTCATATCCTCTTTTATAATTCTGTTGTATTTCAATGCACAAGGTCTCCACAAAATTTTCTGTAGGTAATGTGACGAAAATCGGTCTAGTATTGATATGTTACAGAAAAAATGATTTTTATCCAACATATTATTTCATAATCTCATCATAAGACGACAGATTCAGTCTCTGGCGGGTTGTTTTTTTTATCTTCCTTGCATTTCTTAAATAATTATACAATAATCCACAGGTCGCCTGTGGAGCAAAGAAAATGGCTTGAATGTTTTATAATTCCTTGAATTCAGGTTATCATCAGAGTACGTCCTCTCAACAGCACTGAGGTATCACTTCAGGGAAACAACAGATGTGTTAGACAGGACTCATGTCAGTCCATTACGTGGACTGGACACCCAGAGTCACGTTTCACATTTGATCTTGTTGCTGACGAGTACGTTAGTCAGGTAGTGTATGTTTTTTTTGAGCGTATACATTTGTTTTAGTTTTCTCCCATTTGTTAATGACTAGATATGTTCTTGGCTTTATAGGAGAAATTATTCAAAGTTGCTGGAGTACCAATGGTTGACAATTGCGTGTCTGGCTACAACAGTTGTATGTTTGCCTATGGTCAGGTTAGTCCTAGCTGATGTCCATTTGCTTGTTGGTGGGACACTCTCTCACGCAGATAGACATTCTATTTACGCTGTTCTTCTTTTCCTTATGTTTTGTCCCACAATGTCTATGTTATCTTGTTTATCTGAGACAAGGTTGTGTACTTGCTGCATGCTGTTGTCATATAAACCTTATTTCATTCATGTTGGGTTGACTGAACTAAAAATCTACTGCTTTTGATCATTTTTTTGATTTCAAAATTTGTCAAATTCAATTTCTGTGGAGTTCTATTCATGCCATTCTTTGATCTAATTACAGTATTTTTGACTTGATAATCTATTAATTTGGGATAAACATTTGCTGACGTACCCATTTGGGTAAGAAAAAGTAACGTATTTTCCTTCAGACTGGGAGCGGGAAGACACACACGATGTTGGGAGACATTGAAGGAGGCACTCGCAGACATAGTGTCAATTGCGGAATGACACCTCGTGTATTTGAGTATTTATTCTCAAAGATCCAAAAGGCAAGTGACTGTGGCTTTTATCTTCCATATGTCGTAGCAGTTAAAAATAATTTTCTTTTAGTCAAGTTTGTTCATGCCTTACTGAATATATGCTATCATTCTGATTTAAATTTCAAATGTTTATACACAAGTGGCATTGACATTTTCAGCGCTTTGCTTCCATATACTTTCCCCAATGAATTTTATTTCTCCTTTTCCCCTCGAATTATCTTAATTTTAACCTTTTTAATTTAAACTTTCTCGATAATGACGATCTATCAGGAAAAGGAAGCTAGAAGAGAAGAAAAGCTTCAGTTCACATGTAAATGCTCATTTTTGGAGATATACAATGAGCAGATTCTAGATCTTTTGGATCCATCCTCTGTCAATTTACAGGTAAAACTATCAAATGGAACTAGAGTTTGAAAAACTGTTTTATTTCTCGCTTTTGCCTACTAGTTTGCCAACTTTTATTGCCTGTAATATATCACTCTTTCCGTTTGAACCATGGTATTTCTGAGGAATAAAAATGGCTGTTAAAACATTTACAAAAAGTGGAGTCCTTTGTCCTCATGAAATAGGTTACTGCCATTCGCTAACTTATTTCTGTTGTTGTACTTCAGATCAGGGAAGACTTGAAGAAAGGTGTTTATGTGGAGAATCTGACAGAATTTGAGGTTACAAGTGCTAGAGATGTTCTTCAACAACTTCTAGAGGTAAATAATCTGTTGGTTCATACCGGGCTGTGCCTCATTACGTAATGAACTACTTTTTCCTCGTAGACATCAATGATGCCCCCCCACCCCTCACCAACACACACACAATTGCAGTAAACCCTAACATAACGAATTAGATTTGAATTTTAAAATAAAAGTATTTGTGGCTCATGAAGGCTATAAATGCGTTGAATGATCTGCTGCAAAAGCATAATGATGCCTTCTACTATTGCATATAGGCCTTTGATGTTGAACAATCATATTTGTGGAACTCTATGTTTTATCAGAAATTTAATTTTTATATAGGCCTTTGATGTTGAACAATCATATTTGTGGAACTCTATGTTTTATCGGAAATTTATTTTTATCATGTATATATTTAAAAATAATTAATTTTGTGTTTAGGTATTTAAAGCTCCTTAAATTTTGGATCTGCCTTGTGACGATGCATCAGAAATTTCATTTGTATTTTGATTGAATGAATGTTTGGTTTGCTCTATTGTTGGTTACCAATGGTTGATCGGACCTTTTCTCAATAAAGGTTTGTGTGTCACTCTAACATGGTTCTTACTTTTGTCAAATGTGGTCACAGGGTGCGGCAAATAGAAAGGTGGCTTCCACTAATATGAACAGAGCAAGTAGTCGATCTCATAGTGTTTTTACATGTGTCATTGAAAGTAAGGTTGGTACAGACATTACCTTATCCTTGGTCCTCAAGAATTTGAGAACATTTTTCTCTAAAGTGATTTTATGGCTTTTTTATTGTTTTGGCAGTGGGAGTCTCAAGGAATAACTCACCATAGGTTCTCTCGGCTTAATCTTGTTGACTTGGCAGGGTCAGAGAGGTGAGAAATTCAGTTGTTTCTGATATGGCAGTCAAGTGGAATATTATTTATTCTCATAAGCGTCTATGTGGTGATGTATGATTTCGCTGTAGTGTTTTGTGCATCAGTTTCCAGTTATCATTATACACACGTTGCAACCAGCCGGAGGTATCTGGCTTAGGCCTTAATTGAGAATGATCTATACCATTTGGTTGCTCGATTTCGTTTGCAATGTTCTAGAAAGTTACCCTGAAATTTCATTATATTTTTTAATGCTTTATATACTGTATGTAAGGAAATATAACTTCCTGCGCTTGTATTTTGTGTTCATCTTTTTGTATTGTGCAGTGTCACTAGCGATGATAATAGATAAAGATAGAGAAGGGTATTCTAGACCTTGGTTGAGTAATCGTTCTTCAAAACTTAGGAACTTTTTCGACAAAAGAAACTAGGAACTTTAAATTTTTTATCATTGCGTAATATCATTATATTCGTTCCATCAAATTTTGCATCATTCTTTGGAACTGTCTTTGCTTGAAACCAATCGAAGTATATTGCAGTTTACCTGCCACCCCCCCCAATTAATGAATAGAAAAAGGCATAAAGGACATATGAATTCTCACTGAGTAGTAGTAATTGTTGTTTCTTTTAATGGAATGATTTTGAGGGTTATAATTATGATGTGAGGTATATGCACCTTTTACTAAAGAGTAAAGATATTGGCACTGTAGGTAATGTTTTGTATACGTGGAGCCCAATTTGTTCAGCAATTTGAGTTGGGCCGTGTTGCTGTTTCAAACATTAGATGATCATAGAATATCAAAGGTGGACAAGTATAGTGGGGCAGCTCATTCATTTAAGCATACATATTTTGTAACACCTGTGTACAATTGCTTAATCTCAGGCAGAAGAGCTCAGGTGCTGAGGGTGAACGTCTCAAAGAAGCGACCAACATCAATAAGTCGCTCTCTACTTTAGGGTAAATGAACTTTCTCATGTTCTATAGTTTACCGGTGTTTCCTTTTTGTGGTTGTATAAGTTCTGATTTTGTTTTACGTTTTGCAGGCTTGTGATTATGAACCTTGTTGGTATTTCCAACAAAAAGGCACTTCATGTTCCATACCGTGATTCAAAGTTGACATTTCTTCTTCAGGTATATATCTTTGTTGAACTAGGTTTTGTGATTGAATATCCGATGACATTAATTTTATATATAATAAGAACTATACTAATTAAGTGCTTCATTTGATCATTATGAGAATCCTGAAGGAAGCTCTAGCTTAGTTGAAGAATTTATGTTAGTTTCTTTTTTCATGGGTGTTATATGTTTACTTGGTTTTCCCTAAGCCTTTGTGTACTACGCCAATCTTGTTTATAGGGGGAGTTCTGTGAGTAACATGAGTATAGGGTTCAATTCTGTTACGGTCTAGCTTCGGATGTGTTAGGTACATTTTTCTCTATGTTTTGATAGTTATATAACGCGGCCCTCAGTTATGATCGATATTTTCTCCAACCTTTGTTATTCTGAGTTCTCTGAACTATTTGATCATATTAGGACGTAGATGAACTCGCAGATGCATCTGCCTGTTAAATATTTTCATACAGTTATGCACCGTGGACAGTTGTTATCTTTTTGAAGATGTTCTTCTTCTGACAGGCTGCTGAAGTTGGAATGGATGATCTTTATTTCCGCAGATCTCTTCTAACTCCTTTTGTCCTTTTGTCCATGTGCCCTTAAGATTGTACCTGGATTGTTACGCATTACTGTTTGCTTTTTTATTCAACAAATTAAATATGTCATGCATTTTCTTTTCGGATGAACTTGGATAATGTATGTATCAAAGATTTCCGCCCTTGTCAATGCTTATCCGATACTACTCTTATTTTTCTTATTTCAGGACTCCCTTGGGGGGAATTCCAAAACAATTATAATTGCAAACATAAGCCCTTCAAATTGGTTAGTCGACCTTCATCCTCTTAAAGATCTTTAGTTTTAAGTTTTTTTGTTTAAGTCTGGATTTCTTCCTGTTATTTATGCCCAATTGTTGTCGTGTACTATGCAGCTGTGCTTTTGAAACACTCAGCACATTAAAATTTGCTCAACGTGCAAAGTTTATAAGGAACAATGTAAACACCTTCAAGTCTATATTAACTTTCATTCAGTTGCTTCATTTTTTCAACTTTTTTTTTGGTACTCTGTCATAGGCAATTGTTAATGAAGAAGCTTCAGGAGACGTCCTTACAATGAGGCTGCAGATTCAGCAGCTCAAGGTAGTATTCATCTTGTCGTATTCATGTCATTAGAGTGTTTAATACGAAAAGTTTGGTAATGGGTTTTTATCAATAGGTATGCTTTGATTTCCAAAATCTTAAGTACGATAAAATGTGGTCATCTTCAGTATTTTCTCCTCATAGAACATTGTGACTGTTGTTGAATTTTTGGGTTTAAATTTGCAACTATGTAGTTATTTTTTGTTGACTCATTTTATTAAGTGCAGTCTCTGCGTGTCTGCTTTCTCTCCATGAAACTGTGAATTCTTCTTGCTCTTAGTTCACCCTTTAATTTTTTTCCTATTATATTTATTTTGGTTAGCCTCCCTTTCTATGCAGAAAGAGGTTAGTCGATTGCGGAGTTTAATGCACGGAAGTGGAGGTGCAGAAAATCCGGAAAACGATGATGTGAGTGTTCCAGGATCTCCTGGCTCCTTCAAGTGGGAGGGGATTCAGGGATTATTCAGTCCACTTGCAATTGATAAAAGAAATTCACAGGCATGTATCTCTTGATTATACCATGTACTCATTGTCAAAATGTTGTGGGCTATCAAAGGAGCATCTCGATGTCAGCCATTGATGTAAGTCAACGTTTCTTTCTCTGAACCAGAGAAAAGATTACGAAGCTGCCTTGGCCGCAGCTTTTAGACGGGAGATGGATAAGGACAAGGCATTGAAGGCACTGAATGCTGAGAAAGAGGCAGCAGAACAGCTGGTATGAATGAAGCTGCTTACAGTTAACTAGAGAGTACAGTTGCATTTTTTTTTTCCATTGTCTTTGACGTTAGCAGTAACAAAAGCAATATTGATGTTTTCTATTCAAGTGGTAGTCTACTTTCGATAGTTATGTTTTGCGTCCATGAAGCATATGATTGAAAGTGGGCTGAAGGTTCTCCCAGGCTATCTTTTTTCTAAAGTAAATCTTTCCTTTGCGGGTAAGATATTCAGTATTTGGTGTATTTAATGGCTTGCAAGTTCATCAATCAATCTTCTGGATCCCGATTGCCTTCTTTTATTTTTAGTGTTAGACATAAGAAAAACTCTATATAGTTTTTAAAAGGCTACTGATAGGATGTTTCTTCCATCTGTCATCAATGATACATAACTAGATCATTCCTAACTAGTCGGGAAGAATACATCCAATTTCATGATGTACCACATGCTTTAGGAAAACAGTAGACTGTTATAATAATAATAATAATAAAAAAAGGCTACTGATAAGATGGTCTCCTATCCATTACTGTGAACAAAGAACTAGTAACATCAGCATATCGGTCATACCTAAGCCTTTTTTTTTTTTTCATTCATCTAATTCCATTGGGCAGCATGTAACCAAAACCCATGTCAGTTGAAAGTGCCACTGATAAGAAAATACCAAATTAGCAGCAACATGATACTTTCACCCCTTACATGTTCTTCTCATTGCAGACAATCCTAGAAGTATTTGATAATTTACCATCATACATGTTCTTTCCATGGTTACTATCAAGCACCGAATCAAACATAACGTGTTGCTAATGCCTGATTTACTGTGTACATCCTCACAATGCTCCTAAGCAAAAGTTTGTAATTCAGTGAATTACTAATATTCTTTCGGTGACTTTTCTCATATTTCCCCTTGCATTTTTCTGGGAATGGTTTGTTTTTTCTATTTTTATGCAATACTATTGTCCCTTCATCGATGTTTTGCAAAAATCGATAGGTTAAAATTTATTTATTTTTATTTAAACTTGCTAACCTATTCTTCATGAACCAGGCCAATCAAAGAATTGACGAGGTGAAGGGTCTGAAGATGAGACTCCGATTCCGTGAAGAAGGAATAAAAAGGCTGCAGGCAGTTGCTTCCGGCAAGCTCTCAGTGGAGTCGCATCTTTTGCAAGAAAACGAAGAGCTTTTGAAAGAAATTGAAGTTCTTCGTAACCAGGTGGATCGTAACCCAGAAATCACACGATTTGCAATGGAAAACTTGCGGTTAAAGGAAGAACTTCGGAGGCATGTCTTCTGTGCTTTTCTATGCAGTAAACTTTTCGACTTATTTAATACGAGGAACTGAAGCATTTTCCATCTCAAAGGGATATCTCCAAGAGTAAGATTTTTTTTTTTTTTTTTCTGTTTTTGATTTCTGGGTCAAATGAACAGATTGCAGTCGTATGTTGCGGAAGGTGAAAGAGAGATGATGAGTGAACAAATCTCGGACTTACAGGAGAAGGTGAACGAGAGATGATGACTAATGCCTTTCCACATATCTTTCTCCGAAACTTATGAATTGGTGTTAATATATATATAGTTGCTGGAAGCACTGGACTGGAAATTTATGCACAAAAAGGATTTGGGGGTTCAGGTCAGAATATGTTTAATTCTTGAGACGTTATGGTTTCATTTCTTGCGTCTTTCCTGAAATGGCAATCAATGAAACTGCGGATGAGAACCAGATCCATTCAGTTCCTCAAGTTTTTGGTGTTATCACATCTGTGCAGGAGCTGTCGCAGTCGTGGGATTCTTCTTCCATGAGCGCGGAGAATGAATTCCTTCGTCTACAGGTTGCTGTGCCATCGATGTTTCCTCGCCTCTGTCTGATATTAATCCCGCGTTATCTTCTCCTTCTGCTTACAGGCCATTGAAAACGACCGGGAAGCAGAAACTCTGCGCAGGAATCTGAACGTCTGTCTCGAAGCTAACGAAAAACTCGTGAGGTACGTTCGGAGCTTGGGACCCTTGGGACCCCTGGGCTTTCCAAATGTAGCCACTGTAGGGATGATGGACGATGATCGCTTAGATGTCAGTTTCTTCCACAGCTTCCTATTTTTAGATATCAGCTGGGGAAGATGGCCAGACCATGGAGCTTGGGGACCCTTGGGCCTTCTTCTACCAGCTCCTCCTCACATCACATCTCTCGTCTGCAGGCATGTGGATGAATTGACGCTGGAGCTTGAGGAAGCTAGAAGAGACCCGCATCGTCACCATGTTGTCTCCTCCGGTGAAGGGGAGATTGATGGGCAGATGGAACTCAAGGCCATGGTTGACGCCATCGCCGCCGCCAGCCAGCGGGAGGCGGAGGCCCACGAGACGGCGATCCTGCTGGCCAAGGAGAACGAGGAGCTGCGCGCCAAACTGAATGTTCTGATCGAGGAGAACAACAAGCTCATCGAGCTCTACGAGGCCGCCGTCTCTGAGGGCATCATCTCCAAGAAAGCCGGAGAAGAAGAAGAAGACCAGGAGAGCAGGAAGGAGGAGCTCCGCGACGTGCACGAGGAGAACGAGCGGCTCATGGGGCTGTACGAGCGGGCCATGCAGGAGAGGGACGAGCTCAAGAGGTTGCGAGAAGAAGAAGGGGAGAAGAAGAAGAAGAAGAAGGAAGAAGATGATGAGTTGCAGGGGAAGGTGGAGATGGCGGTGGGGGAGCTGGCGGAGGCGGTGGCTCGCTTTGGGGAGCTGGGCGAGCTTGCAGAGGAAATCCATGGCTCGGAGGAGGACCTCCAGCTGAGAAGGGAAGAGATCTCCTCTCTGAGGAGCTTCTGCAACGAGATGCAGCAGAGGAAGAGGACGATCATGGAGGAGAAGATGGAGAGGAAGAGGTTGCAGGTGCAAGATTTGGCCCCGGAGATGGAGATTTGGTTGCAGAGGGAGGACCAGGCGAGGAAGAAGGTGGAGCTTCAGGTGAAGCTCGCGGCGGAGAAGGAGGAGGCCGCCGCCGCCTGCAGAGAGGCTGCGAAGTCTGAAGCTCGGCTGAGGGCGGAACTTAACTCCCTGAAGGCGGCTTACAGGGAGGCCGAGGAGCAGAGGAAGGAGAGCAAGAAGGTGCTCTTCGCCGTCGACAACAACGTGCTGGCGGAGCTCGGCAGTGCCGCTGGGCCGCCGGCGCCGGTGAAGAAGGCCTGCGAGCTGCTGAAGGCGGAGGAGGAGCTGCCGAAGCTCGCCGCCGAGATGAAGCGGGTGAGGGAGAGGATAGCGGCGGCGCAGAGGATGAAGGGCGCGGAGGAGGCGGCGGAGGCGGCGGAGGCGGCGGAGGCGGCGAGGGCGGCGGCGGTGGCTGAGGAGGACGAGTTGCGGGAGGTCCGGAGGGGGAGGGAAGCGGCGCGGCGGACGGCGGCGGAGCTCACCGGCGAGTTCTGGGCGGCGGCCGTTGACTACCAGGAGAGCTGCTTCGTGGCGGCGGCGGCGGAGGAGGAGCTGGAGATGCGCGAGGAGGAGCTCCTCCTGCGTGTGGAGGCCCTCGAGGAGCTGAGGAAGGGTAGGATCTGCGGTGCCCAGAAGCTGATATCACTGCTGGAGCACTGCAGGGCTCTCCTGCTCTCTCTCGCCGTCTCTCCCTCTCCCTCTCCCTCTCCCTCACTCTCTCTACCTCTCTCTCTCTCTCTCTTCGCCGTTTAACGAGGGGCTAGCACCTCTGTACGTCGATCGCTCTCAAGAATCCATGAACGATGTAGTATGACCTTACGTATGGGACCGAAGAACCCCATCCACCTGTCCCATAGTCCCATGAGGGGGGAGGGAGAGAGAGAGAGAGAGAGAGAGGGCGAGAAAGTTGCACCAAGAAAGATAGCACCTTTCTTTTTTAGCTTGGTGGGTCCTCTTTGGATCACATTCATGGAGGATTCGTGGCGACGAAGTCTTCGGGAGGCGGGAGGGTGTTGACCTGTTGTTTTGACCTCAGCAGCAGAGAACTTCGCAAGGTGGAGGATTCTGCCTCCTCTCTGGTGGGGGGGAATCGATATGGGCTCGGGGCGGCCCGCCGGCGGCAAGCGGCGGCGCTTCAAGCGGAAGCTCCTGGAGATGGCGGAGGGAGAGGGAGAGGGAGGTGAGTTCGAGGCGTCGGAAGGCGCGGTGGTGCTGGCGGAGCACCGGCGGACGGTGGCGGAGCTGTTGGCGGAGCTGGAGGCGGAGAGATCAGCGTCGGCGACGGCGGTGAGCGAGGCCATGGCGATGATTCTGCGGCTGCAGAGGGAGAAGGGGCTGCTCCTGATGGAAAAGCGCCAGTTCCAGCAGGCGGCAGAGGAGACGATGACCTACCACCAGGAGCAGCTCCTCCGCCTCGAGGACCTCCTCTACCGGCGCGAGCAGGCGCTGCAGGCGCTCTCCTGCGAGGTGCAGGCCTACCGCCACCGCCTCCTCAGCCTCGGCATCTCTCCTGATTTCTCGCCCAACCGCAGCGAGGAGGAGGAGGACAATTCCGAGATGGGGAACCTGGATAGGAGGCTACGGGGGCTGGAAGCAGAGAGGGAGACGATGCGGCAGGTGGTGGGCTCTCTGCAGGTGGACATGGCACTGCTGAGGAAGATCGCCCGGCGAATCGGAGAAGAGGAAGAGGAACAGGAGGCTTCTCCTTCCTCCTCGACTCCCCCACCAGCGGCGGCGGCGACGACGACGACGACGGTGAAGGAGGCGCAGCACCCGCCCTGGTGTGTTGGGTTCTTCTTGTGGACGACGATCAGGGCAATCCCAGCCTTCTTCCTGGGGGGAAGCTTCCCATTCCTGCTCAAGATCAGGGAACTCGTCGAGGTATTACTACACAATCTGGTCCGAACCTCCCCTAAAAAATACGTTTTCTTTCAAATTCAGAGAAGATGACTCGCCCCTTTTCCTTCAACGTCTCATTTCTTCAGCCAATTTTCCCCCATAACTCTGATCTTCGCTTCCCAGCGGACCCTCTCGTTCGTCTGCTCGAGGAAGAACGCCGACGCCGGCAGGCGCGTAGAAGAGCACCATATGCGCGCTTCTTCTTCTTCTTCCCTCAACTTCCCAGTGATTGAATCCGACCCTCGTTTGATCAGCAGCCATCGCGAGAACAGGGGTTGCAGGCGGGTTACGCCGGGGACTCCAAGCGGCGGGGCTGCCTCCTCATCCTCATCCTCCATGGGCTTCCTGGTCCTGCTCCTCCTGCTCGACTCGTCCTCCCCCCGCATCCGACTCCAACTCCTGAGGCGTCTCTCCCAGATGCGGAGTTCTTGAGCTCCTGAGCTCTCTTGGGCATGGCCAGGTTTTTTTTTAAATAAATTTATTATTTATTTATTTTATTTTATTGTAATTATAATTTTTGTGATTAACAAGTAGATATGTTTATGAAGGATGTAAATAGTTTCCTACTTTTGAGTCCCAAAAAAGATGGGAAAGTGGGTTCGGATTCTTGTTTTTATTCTAATTTTTTATTACAAAAAAATACGATCTTTTATATGAAAACCCCTAGAATTCCCAGGGCACTCTCCCTTCTTCTCGGTCTCCACATCCAGCTGCGGCGGCCGGCGGCTCCCTTCTGCGCAAGATGCCCGCCTTCAAGGAGCTCATGGGGGTCGTCTCCCCCCGTCTCCTCAGCTCCGTGATCAGGAAGAGGAGCAGGAACAGGAAGAAGAAGAAGAAGACGAAGACGAAGACGAAGGCGCAGGAGATCAATCCCGGAGCTGCTGCAGATGAAGACCCAGAAGGTGGGATCGATTCCGCGGTGGAAATGGAGGAGGAAGCAGGAGGGTTCGACCTGAAGAGCTCCTCCTCCTCCCTCAGCCACGCCATCCAGCCGCTGGGTAATCTTCTCCTCGCCGGCGATCCCTCCGCCAACATCCGCCACCGCGGGCTTGGCTCCCTCTTCGTCCTCTCCGACGAGCTCCTCCTCGATGTCCTCTCCCTCCTCCCCGCCGGCGACCTCGCTCGCCTCGCCGCCGTGAGCAAATCTCTCTACGTCTTCTCCACCCACGATCCTCTCTGGAGAAACCTCGTCCTGGAGGACCTGCGAGGCGATTTCCTCTTCACCAGTTCCTGGAGGTCCACCTACGCCTCCGCCGCCGCCGGGTTCATATCGCCGGGCGGCGCCGCCGTCAGGATCAGAGACTTCTATTCGGATTACCTCTTCCAGAGCTGGCTCTGCGCGAGCATGGAGATGAAGCCCGAGTGGCTCAGGACGGAGAACATCAAGCGGCGGCGGGGAATCTCCGTGGAGGAGTTCGTCTCCTGCTTCGAGGAACCCAACATTCCAGTGCTCCTGGAGGGATGCATGGAGGACTGGCCGGCGGCGAGCCAGTGGGACCATGCCGGCCTGGTGGGGATCTGCAAGGGGGCCAAGTTCGCCGTCGGCCCAGTGGAGATGGACATGGAGAGCTACTTCCAGTACGGCGGCGCCGCCAGGGAGGAGCGCCCGCTGTACCTCTTCGATCCCAAGTTCGCCGACAAGGTCCCCGAGCTCTGCTCCGACTACCAGGTCCCCGAGTATTTCAGAGAGGACCTGTTCTCCGTTCTTGGGGACGAAAGACCAGACTACAGGTGGATCATCGTCGGCCCTGCAGGTTCTGGGTCGTCCTTCCATGTCGATCCCAACTCCACCTCTGCGTGGAACGCGGTGATCAAGGGGTCGAAGAAGTGGGTCATGTTTCCGCCGGAGGTGGCGCCGCCGGGAGTTCACCCGAGCGCCGATGGGTCGGAGGTGGCGTGTCCAGTTTCCATCATGGAGTGGTTCATGAACTTCTATGGCGCCTGCAGGGACTGGCCGAAGCGGCCGGTTGAGTGCGTTTGCAGAGCTGGGGAGATCGTCTTCGTCCCCAATGGGTGGTGGCATTTGGTGATCAACCTCGAGGATTCTGTGGCAATCACGCAGAATTATGTCAGCAGGTATGATCATCTCTGTCACCGATCTTCCCTGCAGAAGTTTGCTGCTGAAGATCCATCCGATGATAATTAGCTCCATGCTCTATTTTTTGCTTCGAATTGCATCATTTTGGAGCAAAATTCGTCAAAAATCTCTTGAACTTCTTCTCTGGAAGGCACTGATTTCGCTAGAAATTAAGAAATGATTATCTGAAATAAAAATGGATGTAAAGGCTGGGAGTTGTTCTTGTTATATCTAACAAGTGACTTTGGGTAGTCATAGAGATTGACTTCTTCTTGGTGTATGAAGATCAAATCACGGACTCTCTCACCATGAGAAATGATTTTCCCAAGGCATAGATGTAGCATGAATGGGAGCTTCTTCTCTCTAGGTTTCGAAGGTCATGGTGAAGGAGTCATCGTACATTAGTAGAAAAATGATTTTTTTATCAAAGTTTAACAATATTATTTTACCAAAAAGCATGAACATAAAACCCTTTTCTCTTGTTTATAATAGGAAAACTATAATGGACCTGCGAACTAAAGTATTGCTTAATCATAAAAGGCAATGATCAAAGGCCGATGAAAGGGAGAAATACGACACATAAATGGAAAATGAGTGGAAAATGCTTTGAACATTGCAAATGAGAAATCTTTGACCGAGGGGAAAAAAAAAATCTCCTAGTGGGGGAAGGAGCTGGAATATTTTGAAATTCTTGTTGGATGGAAATCTCAAAAAGATCAAATATAATACTTCAACATCTCATTTATTGCTTTTAAGAGGACACCAATGTGGGTGAATATACACTTCATTGAAATTCTTCATAGAAAGGAGAATAGAACACCTTTTTTTATCTTTGGCCAATGGGACTTGCCATCTAGGATCAGAGGTCATAACATAGGTGTTGACTTTAGTCTCAGATTTTAAAATAACAAGACTTGGTTCTTGTTATTTTTCTGTGCCACCACCGAAAGTGTGCTGTTTTGTGTCATAGTTACCCCCTTTGATCTAATCCGCAAAGTATGGGTTTCAGGGAGGATTATTATTAGAAGCCTATGATTAGCCATATGAAGTGCCATTTTATTTATTTCAGCCTTTGCAACATCGACAGCACTTCTACCACCGTCATAAATAGAAAGAACTCTGGAGCATCAGTCACACTGAGGAGATCACTCGCAGCGTTGCGCACGAGCTTCCCCTGGCCTAAACCTGCCCTTCCTTTTGTGACGAGAATCTCCCCGGCTGCTGTCCTCTGGGATCTGTGTTTTTCGGTTTCTCTCCTCTGTGGGCATTTGTGATGTAGTCAGGTCTGTGGCATCTGACCTCCATTGCAAGGGAAATAGTCACAGTTCTCTCAACTTTCCTATTTTTTCTCCTCCTCTTGTCTGACAGAGCTTCATACAGCAATCCTGATGTTAATTGTAGTCGTGGTTAGACTCAGATTCATAACCAGCTTATGGTCGATGAAACAAGGCTCAGATGCCATGGTTTTGGGTAAGAATTCTGATCCAGTGATAGTCATCCTCAGTGTCCGGTGCTGCTCCATAGAATTTTTTTTTTTTACTTCATCTGGCTTGGGGTAATCTTTCACCTTCTCTACTAAGGGGACGTTTCTTTGGAGGGCAAACAGGACTGTGTGCTCCATATAGTCTGGATTGCTGTCATCCTCCACTTACTTGCCTTCTACATTCTGTGACAAGAGAGAATAAAAATAAATAAACAAATAAATAAATAAAATAAGCTCTTGATTCCTGTAGCTGTTGTATTTATTCATCATCATCCTTGTTCTTCTGCTTCCAAGTTCAGTCTTGTTGTTTTCTCTCTCTAAACAGGAGGAATTTGCTGAATGTGCTGGATTTTCTTAGGAGGCCCAATGCAAAGGAACTTGTCTCGGGGACAGAGGACAGGGTCAACTTGTATGAAAAATTCAGGTGCGCAGTCGAGTCCTACTTTCCGGGATTAATCGATGAGCTCAGGAAGAAAGCGGAAGGGAAGATGGCTGAAGAGAAGAAGATGACATTCTGGGAGTCGGTCTCCGATGCTAACACTGGAGGGTTTAAGTTCTCTTTCTGACCCATTTCTATCCAGATTGGGGCACAGACAGATTTTCTATGAAGAAGGTTTTTGAAACCCTTTTTTTTTCTTGGCAGGTCATGATGGTTGACTTTTGCCACTGGGTTTAGAGGAAAAGGGCTGTTTTTTATTTCTTTAGTTTAGTTTTTTTTCTTTCTGTGGAAGGTAACAAACGGAGTAGAAACTCTGCTCTGCCTGTTGGTTGACTTTTAGCTCATCTTCTTGTATCATTTCTGGCATTCGCCAGTCCAAATTCATTTAGAGAGATCATACTTTGGGATTAAAAGGGGTGGGGGTGGGGATTTTTGAATGGAAACCCTTGCTTTTGGTTCCATTTTCCTTGGTTCAAACGTTTGATCTAACCCCGGTCATTGATAGGGTATGGTTTCAAGTATTATCCCCCATAAACAGCTGGCAAGCTCTGAAAATCCAGCGTTGACCTCCAGAAAAAAAACAATTCGCCAAGTTTATGAAGGCGTTTGGCTGCCCATAATGAAAATGTCAACCCACGAACAAAAACTGAATAAAACAAGGAGATGAGAAGTCAACGGTTACCCCCTGAAAGTTTGACATCCTTTCCAGCAGCATAACAGGTGACCATAAAAGTGTGTGATATTACATCATGAAACTTGGAAAATCAGAACATCTCATTGAAGGGAAGAGTGTCAAGATTTTTGCCATGCTTGGTCAACGCTTTAAAACCTTGGGCATTTCTTTGTTTGAGGGAGCTTCTCATGAACTCACATATAAAATAGGAGGTACGTGAATAACTGACTCAAAAATCTCATGCAAAAGGAAAGGAGCATGGCGTTGCCCAAATTCCTTTTCTCGCTCTCTTACTTTTTCCACCTATAATGTTTGCCGAGAATTAAGATTTCAGAATCGGTTCTTCCGTACATTACCCAGAATCCTTGGAACGTTTTGAGGAGAGTTGACCAATTACAGATTGGGGAATTAATCTGGTGGGTTTCCTTTTGATGCGGTTAATGAGGGAGCAGGCTTAGGGGGGCCTCTTTTGGATGGCATGAAATGAATGAGGTTGGAAGTCAACTTGTTCAACTGAAACCTTGCACATGAGCAGGTTTCCCTCACAGATTGTTGGACGAGGAGAAAAAGTCAAAATATTTTGGATACAGGTAGATAAGAATTTAACTGAGATGGGCTGCTTCAGCCGCCGCCGGAAAAAAAAAGATCGGCCAAAAAAATTGCTTTGAGAGCTTTGCGAGAGAGAGAGAGAGAGAGAGAGAGAGAGAGAGTTTACCATTTATCATGGTCTTCGACTGCCCACAAGCAAGCTGCCGGCGATCGCTCCGGCAGCAAGCTCTGCCAACAGGATCTTGCAATTTCGCTGCTGAATCCCTCCTGGGGGAAAGTATCCCCGTCTTGAGATGGTATCTCCGTTGACTCTCCCCTAAATCCGCTGCTGCGGGTGGGTGGGGTAGGGAATAATGAACGCTTCCAGGTCTGCTTCACCGCTCGTGGCAAAGGCACTGAGCGCCAAGAGCCCCGTTCTTCAGCTCCTCCTGGAGACCTGCAATGGGCTCCCCCAGCTGAAGGTCGTCCACGCCCACATGCTCCGCAGCCAGCTCATCGCTGACGTCTTCTGCGCCAGCCGCCTTCTCGCCTTCTGCGTCGACCCTCCCACCGGCGCCGACAGGCCATCGCTTCTGTACTACGCCGAGAAGGTCTTCTCCCTTGTGGACCAGCCCAATCTCTTCATGTACAACGCCATGATCAGGGGCTGGTCTGGCCACGGCGGCGACCCATCGAGGTCTCTCGATCTGCTCCGCCAGATGCTGCGCATGGGCCTCCGACCAGACAATCTGACGTTCCCCTTCGTGTTCAAAGCTTGCGCGGCGTTGGGCTATGGCGGGATGGGAAGACAAGTTCATGGGCAGGTCGTTCTGGTGGGGCTTTGGGGGGACCCTTATGTGCAGAGCTCTCTGCTGCACATGTACGCTCGTTGCGGGAATGGCGGCGCCGCCAGCCGGCTCTTCCGTGAGATCGAGCGGCCCGACGCGGTTATCTGGACGACCATGGTCCTGGTGTACAGTCAGTGCGGGGAGCTCCTCTCTGCGCGGAAGATGTTCGACGAGATGCCGGAGAGAAATACGGCGACTTGGAGCTGCATGATTTCCGGGTATGCCAAGAATGGGCACTTCGAGGAAGCGCTGGATTTGTTCCGCAGCATGCAGCTGGAGAAAGTCAGGGCAAACGAGGCCGCAATGGTCGGCGTCTTAACTTCCTGCGCCAATCTGGGGACGCTGGAGGGAGGGAAGATGGCCCATGAATACATGGTTCGGCACAACATCGTCCTGAATTTGATCCTCGGGACGGCGCTGGTGGAGATGTACGCCAAATGTGGAGACATTCAGCGGGCGATTGCCATCTTTGAGCAGCTCCCGGAGAGGGACTGGCTGAGCTGGACGACGATGATAACAGGCCTGGCAATGCACGGGTGCACCCTGATGGCACTGGAGTACTTCTCCAAGATGGTTGGAGCAGGGGTCGCTCCGAGGGCGATCACATTCACCGCCGTCTTATCTGTTTGCAGCCATGGAGGGCTAGTCAGCAGAGGCTTTGAGCTGTTCGAGAGCATGAAAAAGGACCACAGAATTGAGCCCAGAATGGAGCACTATGGATGCATGGTCGACCTCTTGGGTCGTGCGGGGAAACTCCAAGAAGCCGAAAGATTTGTGCTGGAAATGCCTGTGGAGCCTGATGGTTCTATCTGGGGTGCGCTTCTCGGAGCCTGTAGGATCCACAGGAACTCTGCAATGGGGAAGCGGGTAGGGGAGATACTGACCCAGTTACAGCCTGAACACGGTGGCTACTATGTGCTCGCGTCAAACATCTGCGCCAAGGCTGGTCAATGGGAAGGTGTTTCTGAATTGAGGCGTGCAATGAAGGAGCGGGGAGTGAAGAAGGAACTGGGACACAGCCTCGTAGAGTTGGATGGCCGGGCCCATCTTTTTATCACGGGGGACAAGTCTCACCCGGAGATTGGAAAAATTGAGGAGATGTGGGAAGAGATTCTTCAGAGGATAAGAGCTGCCGGGTATGTGGGCAGGACAGGGGAGGTGTTGTTCGACATAGAGGAGGAGGAGAAGGACAGTGCTCTGGCCAAGCACAGCGAGAAGCTCGCCATAGCTCTTGGGGTGATGAAGACCGGCCCTGGGGCCACGATTAGGATTGTGAAGAACTTGCGAGTGTGCGAGGACTGCCATGAGGTGACCAAGTTGGTGTCTGAGGTTTTCCATCGTGAGTTCATTGTGAGGGATAGAAACCGTTTCCACCATTTCAAAGGTGGCAAGTGCTCTTGTTTGGATTATTGGTGAAGATAAAAAAGGAAGTAGCCATTATTCTGAGGGTGGGAAGAATTCTTTGATGTGGCAAATATGGAGCTGCCAAAACAGATGCTCGACCAGTGAAACCCGTTTTATTGTTTCTTCTCCATGCACCTCAGGACTTCTTCAAGGTTGAACTGCTAGTTCATTGTGTTACCTAGAGCTTTAATTCCTTGAAGAAAACTTAGATAGAATGATGACAAGTGAATCTTGATCGTAAGTGACCATTATCATCAGATGTCACTAAAACATTTCTCATGATATCTTCTCTCTATCTCTTGAAACATTTTTTTTTTCACAATTACTTAACCACAATATCCCAGACTCATATTTTCGTGTTGCCATCCAGCATTAATGAACAATGCATAAGTGAGTCCGACATCTGTAGAGTTATTCTCTCCATAATTCTCCACTTTCTGCACATGAATATGTTCGCAGATCAATTAATTTTGTCCTCGTCAGTGTTGAGTTTTGATATCAAAAAGTGTGGATTTAGGAATAACTAAAGGGCCTTCTATGTTTTCATCTTTTTATATCTATGTTTCCATTTCAATTATAATTCATCTTCACTTAGAGTTCTATGTTTGTTGCCAAACGCGCTTTAGGAGCACATCTATGGATTGAAGATGGCCAAATCCAGGTGTTCAACTCCTTGCAGTAACGGAACTGACCGTTATCTGGGAGGTGTGCTCAATTTTTTTACCATTGTGTAGTTTATTGTTGTTTCAATATGAATTTTATGATAAGATATTTTGCCACTATTGACTTTTCTAGCGACCTGTTTAATGGGATCTGCATGGGTTTCAAGGCGTCACTTTGGCGAGGGTTTGGTGAGAAGTCAGCCCAACCAAGGTGTCTTAGCTCCCCCAGGGTGAGCATCCTAATTAGGTCCTTTGGTCGGCTGCATCACAAGTTTAGGAGAAAGTTTGATATTGTGATTTCTAAGGGAGAAAGACGAGTTTTGATTCTGCTACGAAGGTGATTTTTCAAAAATGATTCTTTTCTTTTTTGAATCATAACTAATTTTTAGTTAAAACATTTTATGTCATTAAAAAAAGAGATATCTCATTTATGACTCTAAAATAGAATTTATGGGTCTTGATATGCATTGTTAATTTTTCAGATAATTTTATATGATTTTTAGAATTGTGCTTATCTTGTTGTATACATGTAAAATTTCATGATGACATTTCTGATAGTTTGGCCTTTTTTCTTTTCATGTTTCTTTGTAGAATGTTTGAATTGATTTTTGGAATGTTATTCAGAATTGATGGCTATATATAAACCAGGGTTGGAAGAAAAGATAGGACGAGAACAATATAACTAAACCGTGAATCCTTTGTTGTGAGGAAAATGTGATTGTATGTGCTTCGACAGCTTGGGTTGGTGTAGTGAGTAATCGGTTGAAAAGTTGATTTCAGGTGAGGAAGTCAGGTGGGCTGATGAATATCGATAACATTTGAACAATTTAATGAGTATTTCAGAATATATATTTCCTCAGGTTGTATTAGATGATGATGTGAATAAAGATTACAATAAAAATGCATTTGTAGACATGTCTGCAAGAATGCATTTCTCTCCACAAAATAAGAGAGCCTATGATGTTCGATTTTTTGGAGCACACAGATGCTGATGCAAAGTTGGAAATTATAAAATTTATTTTAAATGAATATTTTATTTAACTTAGTACTGATAATTCAATTATTTATGGAGAATATTCAGTCTGAAACTTTATTTACTTGGTTTTTTGTATCATATAGAGACATATAAACACACTTTATTGCTCTCTTATTTAACTCTTCAATTATTAATTTCTACTTTGAATAGATTTTAAATGTGTTTAAACAAGGCCTTTTCGAGGTGTCATCAAGCAACTCAACTTGTTGCTTATGGAACTAGAGAGTATGCTACTGCCTTGGTTGCCTTGAAAGCCTTTAAAATTTAAGATTTACAGTAAAAATGTGCCCTGGAACACTGTCATTAGTTTTGTTTCTGTTTTTCTTTGTAGTTATTTAGCATATGCTTATCTGTCTGTTCTCTGGTGGTCAAAGTATATTCAGCTGTTCATCTTGTCTTTCATGTCATATGATAAGCGTGGAACTAAACACAACTTGTTCTGATTATAGTTAGTATGTTCGGGCTGTATCTAATGGAATCGAGTGTCAGCATTTCTCTGCTCCAAAGGGCACAGCACTTGGCAGTTAAAACCAAAAGGGGGGGGAAGCTGAACTCCTTTTTTAGTCCTGAATTGGTAATGGGTTAAGGATGGTTTATGAAGTTGTGCCCATATTAGTATGAATATGCTTGTGATGGGTTCATGGTGCTTTATGCAGATGCTTCCAAGGTCTCTCCCATCTCAATTTTATCAATTTGAAGGAGGACCAGAAGAGAGCAATCTCTTGCACTGGCATAAGAGATCTGTGAATACGGGAAAGATATACACTGCCATATAAATGGGTCTAATGGGACCTTAAGAACCAACGACATGCTTAAGTAAGGCCTTTTGAATATCATGAATATCATGAGATGGTAAGTAAGATTTATTCACCTCCCATGGGAAGGTCAATTAATTTTGCAGTTGATCAAAGAAAATTTGTACTGAAATAAAAAACAGTTAGGAGCATGCCCACTTGAGCCTCAAAATTTACCTTCAAGCCTTTTTGTGACCTAGGAGGACTCTCTCTCTCTCTCTCTCTCTCTCTCTCTCTCTCCCCCTCTCTCTCTCTCTCTTGCTAAATGGGTGGAAGTTGATGAACCATGTGTTCCATCTATTCCTGCGCCCAAACCAACTCTCCTTTCCTCTCTTCTTCTTTTCTCCTCTAAGGCTGCCTGCTCCAGCATTATCCTCTTCTGTATTCTGTTCAGGTTAGAGACGTGCATATCACTCTCTAACCCAACTAAAAAACAAGAAGCTAGACGTACAATATTTTTTTTGCGAGTATGATTTTGTTTGAATAACACTAACTTGTAAAGTCACTCTGACCAGGAACCCATTTTCGGATGACAAAAAATGTCCATGTTTCAGGAGAGTCATGGTTTTGACAGAACTTTGAAGGATATAAATGCAAATACAGGCTTAGCACATAAAATGTGCATTTTTATTTTGAACAAAATCTTTGAGCACACAATGTGAAGCCATGCACATGATTCTTGATTCTTGATTCTTGACATACATACTATAATAAGAACCATCTTTTTGGGGAGATAAATACGGTGTTGAGAGAGGACTATGGTAGGGCACTATATAGAAGAAAAAATTCACTGAAATTGCTTGGAATTAAAGTCTGGAACACACTGTAAGTAGCCAAACAGAGAGAGAGAGAGAGAGAGAGAGAGAGAGAGAGCTTGTGGTCAGTTAGATACCAAACTTATCCTTTCTGCATTGAATTTTTCCTCCTATAGCCACAAGTAACACAATTACTAGGCTTTACAATAGGCACCGTAGCTGGCCTAACAATACCAACTCCCATGAGCGTCACCTTGTGTGAAAGGTAGAATTTTGGGTATTATTGTTGGAGGGATGATGCTATTTTCCATATCACTTTAAACTCTCATGATTGTTTCCATTTGACTAGAACCTACATGGTGTTAATGCCTTGGTGGTTAGGATGGATTCTATTTGGGCCATCCATTGAAGTTCTTCATCAAGATAGGGTTTGAGGGGGTGGACGTACGTGTTCTCTTCCATTATTTTCTTTAGTTGAAAGAGGTGGAATATGGGTTGGAGTTTGGTGGCTATTGGTAGGTTCACCTTGTAGGCCACTGCACCAATTTTGGTCAGAATTTTGAAAGGACAGAAACACTTGGGTGAGGGCTTTTCATTTAGTTTGTGTCAGGGATCTCAATTTGTTTGGCCTGATTTTGATGTAGACTATGTCTTCCTCATTGAACTTGACCTCTTGTCAGTGATGGCCTACTCAAGGCTTCATTTTATCTAGGGCACAGTGTAACTAATGTTGTAGCTCTTGGAAGATGATGTTCCTTTCGTATAACAACTCCTTCATAGAGGTTACTCTAGTTGGTTCATGGTTTGATTAGACAATTGGTGGGAGACCCATCTATAAATTACAATAATGGAGTGATTTTAGTGGTTGAGTGAAAAGATGTATTATATTATAATTCAGTCCAAGATATCTAATTACTTTATATGAGAAACAACAACGATAAGTTTCAAGACACTTATTGACGACCTCAATTTGACCATTTGTTTGCGAGTGAAATGTTGTGCTTCTTTCGAGTTTGGTGCCCTATAACAGCGAAAATTTGGTCCAAAATTGATTAGTAAATATCTTGTCACCACTATATTTAATAGACAATGAAACATCATAAAGTTTGATGACATGTTTTAATAATTCTTTGGCCACATTCTTCATAGTAAACAAAGAATTTAATGAGACAAAATAGATATTTACTCAAGTTATCTTTGACCACTAAAATCATGTGATACCTATTAGAGTATGGTAGACCATCAATAAAATATATTACAATGTCGTCTTAAATTTTATTAGAATGGATAAAAGTTGAAGTAAATTTTCTTAGTTGGTGGCTTCCTATTTATTTTACAAATAGATAGGGGATTTCTAAACAAATGCCTTGATGGATTGTTTCATGCATTACTAAGAAAAATATTGAATGATTCTTTCATATGTCTACAAGTATTCCAAATGTCCTCCTACCACATTATTAAAGAATTGTTGAACTTATCATACTTGATTTTTGAGAGAATATGAGTTGATCTTAATAGATAAGGTGTCGTGATGGAACTAGTTTAACCCATCCTCCACATTGTGTTATAATTATACTTTGATTTTTGCCAACTTGAAAGTCTTTAGTGATTTGGTGCTTGCTTGTGGTAATCAATGAAATTGGATGTGATTGTGATTATGGAGTGAAATAGTGTTGGTTGTGGTACTTGAGAGAGAATGTCTACTTGATTTTTTGTGCTTGCTTGATACTTAATTATAAAGTCAAACCTAAGGATCTTGACCAACCATTTCAAGTGTTGAGGTTGCACTTGTTGCTATTCAAAAAATCAAGGGACAATCTATTAAGTAATGTTTTCACTTGAGAATAACTAGAACTATGACCATTAGCTCTCTTTCGTATACTCATTTTAGATGATTATTGGTGCATAGTGTTTTGACTTAAATAAGCTATTAATTTATGCTTTTACATAAGTACCACCCCCTTAGCATAAGAAGAGGCATGTATATTGGCCAATTTCTCTAATAAGCGGTAGTCCTTGGCATGGTGTGAAAACTCTTGGAAAGTGCTTGACAAGATGTTGATGTGTGGCTGATTTGAGCCGACAAGGACCTTCTATTATTTCCGTGACTAGTTTGTATAGTTCTAGGAGTACTTGCTGCCCTTGTTGGAAGTCATAAGTTATTGGTTTTAAAGAAATGTCCAACATCTATAATAGAGGGTTGTCATGGAGGGTCATTTTTGGTTGCTTATTAGAAACTTCATGCATAATTGTTTTCCATCCACCACCATGACATCAAGGGTGGAACCATTGTACCCCCAAAGTGGCATCCATAGTGTCCAATTGTAAGAACAAATAATCTTCTGTTATCTTCAGGCCTTGTATTTCCAAGGTCACTCCTTGATAGATCCCCCTGCCCCCTATGGTTGTACTAGTTCCCATGGTGACTTCATAGTGGGTAGTTGTGGTCATCATTAGCCAATTTTTGAGAGAGAAAATTTTATGTCACTTTGTATGTAATTGACACTGTCAATTCTCTACTGTCAAATTGTATTTCAACTTCATGATTTATTGTATTATTAATCTAATGATAAAATTTAGTAAAATGTAGATATTTGGTTCTAGGTCTTCAGCCATACCCTTCAATGCCTTGGTTGATGATGATTGCTTTGTATTCCCCTTGGAGTCCTTATCTGTTTCATAAACCAAATACAATTGTGATTCCTTTTGTAAATATGGCTTGGTTGTTATTCTTCTTCATATGAAAAAAAAAAGATTTGTCATGTACCTTTCTTACAAATTGATTAATTTAAGGTTTTTTTTCTTACTTGATTTTTTATTATATTGATTTATTTTCTTTTGTTATTGATTTATCTTTGGCAGACCTTCATTCTCCTTTCTTGAATTGTCTTACTATCCGAATTGTTTTTCCTGATCTTGAGATGTCCTAGCTCCTTGTACTCACCTCCTAAGTTGTTTATTCTTATTTGACCATAACCTATGGGAGTCTTTAGCTTGTTGTTTCTTGAGTGTATAGCCTTAGTTTTTTCAAAAAAGTGCTTTTGATGACATCTTCCAAAATATCATTCAGTACATTGGACAATAGCTCAAATTCTCTCTTGTAATTAGTCCTATGTCATTGCTACTTTATATATAGAAATTACTCTCACATTGTGCTAGTTAATTATGAACCTAACTTTTTGCTCAGTCTTTACTTAATATCTTCCCATTCCTTGAATGATTCATAAGTGTCCAACCACTAAAATCATATTAAAATTTCACTATTCATACTGACCCCCATAGCTTTCAATCAATCCTTGTTATTGGTTCATTGTATCTCAAAGCTCATCTCAACATAGAAAATTGATACATTTGGATTTCCTTTGTTTAAATAAGGACAATTACAAACATCGCCCTACTTAGCTTGCCCTAGTTGGGTCCTCTACTAGAGTATGTGACATGCTCTCTTGGTTTCAGGTTTTGCCCATCCTAAGGTCAAGGTTGATTTGAGGTTGACCTACTATCTTTGTCCTTTCACTATGTATTGTTGTGACAAGCCCTTTAGTATTTACTAATTCATCTTCCTATCTCATTGGGGTTGTCTAATTGGCTACATGTTGCAGAAGTAGGGCTACTATTAGAGCAAATTCCTTCATTGTATTCTTTTCAGACAAGATCTTGAATATCTTTGCCTCCATCTCAAGAACATGGCAAAGCCCTTTTCCTCAAGTCTTTGACTTTCTTCTCTACGCTCTTATACCACCCTCTGTGATTCTTAGGCACTATGCTATGATAGCAATTTGATTGGACACTGGGTAGAAGAGATAGGCTTATGCTGCATCCTAGGGTAAGATGACCTTTTGAGAAGGCCATAGCTTTTCTATGCATATGGGTTTCTCCCCTTATTAACTCTAGACTTGAGGGACCATATTCCTTCACTGTATGTGGCCCTTTACGATACTAAACTTATTATTTCTAGATTGACCCTTTGCTTTTATGGATGTGATCAACCAATTATTGTCCTTTACAATGGTTATTGTCTATCTTGTATTCCAAGGGGAGACATTATTCATGAAAGTATCTTATTTCACTCATATCTCATCGTAAAATGTGATTGGCACAAGTAAGATAGCTACAGGTAATCTTTGCATCGTATGATATATTTTCTTTATATTGTTGAACTTAAACTACTAGTGAAAACTTTTGCTTTATTTAGCAATAGATTTTTGTTAGGATATAAAAATCTAATTCAAGAATCTTGAAGAAAAATCTAGTTTTCTTGTAATACAAATATCATCAAAACCAAGAAATTAGTTTGAAATTATGGCCATGAAATCCCCATGTAGTATGGATCATGTGGGTTCTTCCTAAATTTCCCAAGTGGTGTGCAATATTATTCATCATATTTCATCCTCCTCTAGAAACTTACTTATTATTTGCTCCTCTAATGAAATATTGAGTCCTAAGTATGACCATATTTTCTTAGGTTTTTTTGGCCCATGTATTTTCTATTAGAAAGGATATTGAAATAAGGGAGGGGGGAGTATTTCATTATTTATCTCTCATTTATAAAATCATTGAGAAAAAGAGAGCCCCCCCTCCCAAATTGACTCTGAACTAGTGAAATAGTTTGGTCTTGGATTAATAATTGTTGTCGTTGCTTAGTTCAGTCATCATTTGAGTCAAGTACAAGCCAACTAAAGTCAACTGGGTTGACTTGGACGAGGTCAAATACTTACTTGCAAGGGCAGGTTTACGTGTATTTTATTTTAATCTTTTTCTTGAGGCTTGTCTAGTCCTCAATGCATATAAGAAGCGTAGCACCCCTCCCCCCACGAATTTAATCAACGCGCCATAAGATATCCACTCCCATAGTCAACGAGTAGACTGGTGTGATGTCAGAGACTTACGCACGAAGCCACCGGCCGTATGGTCTTAAAGATTGGATACGATCAGAGCGCCGCCCCCTTCCACGTGTGACATCATGCACCGTTCGAACCAACCTGCCCCGCACACGTGGCAGTGGTCTTCGTATCATTCGCAGGTGCGTGGCACACAGGATTCGATGCGAATCGTTTCAGAGAATATAGAGAGAAGTTACAGAGAGAAATATAGAGAGAGAGAGATGTAGAGAGAGAGAGAGAGCCACACAGCCGACCGCTTCCGGCGTATAAATACCGGGCGCGCCTTGGCGGGTGGCCGAGTATGTATGGTCCGTGTTGGACGCTCTGTTGATCTGCTGGTCTCTCATTTTCCGGTGAGCGTCCTGCTCCGGCGGTGGTCGCCCTCCTTCTCTGCATTCCGCTGGGGCCTCTCTCTCGATCCTTTCGGCGATGCCGAACGCGTCATCTCTCCGTCAACGATTCCAGCCTTTCCTTTGCTCTCTTCTTCTTCGTCCGAGTCCTGTTTCTTCTGTGCCTTGGGCGGGTGTTCTCGTCGGCCTGACCGCGAGACTTGTTGGTCGCGGTGCCTTTCGCTGTGCCACGGATTTAGTCTCATTCCTAGATGGGAAAGTTTTTCTCCGTTCTCTTCTCCTCCCTTTTCCTCGACGACATTTTGTGCGGCTTTCCGATGTTTTGGCTCTCTTCCCCACGCTCGTTCTCCAAAAAGGATGACTGAAGTAAAATAAAACGAAAATTATGGTAGAATAAAGTGTGGTTTTAAAGTTGATTATTTGAGATCACGCATCGTCTGGTTTGTTCATGCAACGTCCTCAACTCTTTTCACTTGCGTGGTGACTTTTGAGGAAAATCTTGTGGAAAAGGAAAAAATAAGAACATCTTAATTTGGATGGATCTTCCTGTTCTGCAGATTTCCGGGAGTCATGGATAGGTTCAATGGCTCCGCTCGTCTCATGATTGTGTCTGACCTTGACCACACGATGGTATGATGTGCATATGGTCTCTCTCTTTGATCTCTATGAGTTAACCTTGCTTCTTTAATGGCTTAACCCATCAGCTTCTGCTCTCAGGTCGATCATCATGACACGGAGAATTTATCGCTGCTTAGGTTCAACGCTTTGTGGGAATCCGAGTACCGCCATGATTCCCTGCTTGTTTTCTCAACTGGAAGGTCGCCAACACTTTACAAAGAACTGAGGAAGGAAAAACCCATGTTAACTCCTGATATAACCATTATGTCTGTGGGTACTGAGATCACGTATGGTGAAGCCATGGTGCCAGATGAGGGCTGGGAAGAGTATTTGAATGAAGGGTGGGATAGGAGTATTGTTGTTCAAGAAACTGCCAGGTTTTCCCAGCTTACACTTCAGGTAAGATTCTCCTGTCACAGAGTAGATTACGCTGTGTTTCTGTCAATTATTATCCTCATGCCCAGCCCACGTCTGATATTTTCTCTTCTTTTCATTTTTTGACACAGGTGGAAACAGAGCAGCGGCCACACAAAGTCAGTTTTAATGTTCATGAGGGGCATGCTGACGATGTGCAGAAATCTCTGTTGGCATCTTTGGAGAATCATGGGGTATAACTCGTCTCCTAATTTTCGCCATTGATTCGAAATCAAATATATGTTTGAAGATTATTCTTACCATTGAAAATTTGTGTGTTGCAGATCCCCTTTGTATTTTCTAACTTTTGCTTTACCGTGGTTTTTGAGTAGTTAAAAGTGAAAATAATTTATAGTGGCAGTCAAGACCTCGACATATTACCAGAAGGTGCTGGCAAGGGACAGGCACTTGCTTATCTTCTCAAAAAGTTAAAGTCTAATGGGAGGTCACCCTTGAACACTCTGGCTTGTGGTGACTCTGGCAATGATGCTGAACTATTCACCATTCCTGAGGTTCATGGGGTCATGGTGAGAAACTTGAATAGCATCCATTGATTTATTTACAGCCTCTATTTGACCTTCTTTACTCAAGTTGCTTTATGTATTTTTCTTTCTGAAATTTCATTCGAGAACAATCGATGCGTAAATGTCTCACACGTCATATCTAAATTAATGAAAAAGACTGTGCATGGATTTTTTGCACTTAATAATGGATTCTTTTTGCAAGTATTTTTTTCATGGAAAGTATACGAATTGATATAATTCTTTGTTGTGAATTCATTTTAACATTGTCCATCATAAATACGACATCGTTTCTGTGGAAAAGGTGCCCAACATGACAGCCACAGTCATGTAAAATCACAGAGATTTTGGTAAGATTATCGAGACTGCATCATTTCTGTGTGGACAAGGTGAGCAACATGATGACCATAGTCATGTACATTTTATAGGGCGTCTGGTGAACCTCTGTTTGTTGCAAATTAGGCTTTCGGACATCATACCTTTGGGTTTTGAGAGACATGGACGTTAGGTGTCCTGCTCCTACTGGAGTTCCACAGTGATATTAGCTCTCAGTAGCATGCTTATATTTCAAATCTGTATTGTTCCCCTTTCAAATCATATTGTTTTATTTGTGGAATAATCAAAGTATTAAATGGGATGGAAGAATGGGAAGAGAATGTGGTAGAAAGATAGGAACCCCCATTCTCTCCATGGAGAAGGCAAAAAAATTCGCACATCTTAATTGTCTTGGTCCAGTGTCGTAGCAGTGCGCCTAACTCATACACTGTTGAAGAAAAATGTTGGTTTAAGAAATGGTTTTTTCGATGGGTGGAAAAAAGGGATTAAGACAGAAAGAAGATGATTAGGATGGATGACTATCGTTTTAAGTCCAGAAAATAAGGAGATGGATGACTATCCCCTTGTTGTATACTTGTTGGTAGGAGTATGGCAAAAAGTGTTGAACACTCATCGGTAGAGTACGGCGGCAGATTTAAAGTGAAGGAGGCAGCCGACTTAGGTATTCCGGACGTCCACTTCCTTTGGGCTGCTGAAAGCATGGCGTTCTCATGGGAAGCAGTCGATGATGTTTGGTTTTTGATCAATGACAACCAGTGGTAACCTGTTGGTTGGTATTTGCTGAGAAGATGACTGCTGAACATCTTGCGATTAATTTTTATTAACAGTAAAAGAGTGTATACACTTGAGTATGAGGAAGAGAAAGGTAGAAAGGATTATCGTAGGCAAGGGTTTAATAACCCAACATGTATAGTGTCATGGCGTAGGAATAAGAGAGGGCACATTATGCATAGCCTTGGCGCAAGCATATTTTTTATCACAATATAACTTCATAAGCGAACATCTTGTATCCTCTAGTCATATAGGATATTTTCAACCACAGTAAATCACAGATTCCATGAGCCGTGCCCTTGAATTCAGCTTCAGCACTTGAGCTGACAATTACAAGTTGTTTCTTTCTCTTCCATGTCACAAAATTTTCTCCCAGGAACATGCAATAACCTGTAGTGAACTTTCTGTCAAATAGTGATTGTATATAGTCTGCATTTGTATAAATTTTGAAGTTAGCTCTCCACCTTTTTAGAATAAGAGTTCTCTCCCAGTTGTGTCTTTGAGGTACCGAAGTATTCTCTAAATTTCTTGTACGTGCCGACCTCGAATGTAGGACCTCCTCGGGTGTGATGTAGGACTCTATTGTGAATGTAAACTTAAGATAAATGTAGATTGATGTTCCTATATTTGATTTCGTGGAAGATCATTACGAAACAACGAATCCATGCTCTCATCTTTCCTAGAAGTCTTCCCTTGAAGATGCGGAAATCAGACTGTGTAGAAAGGGTTGTTCTTAGAAAAGTTAATATCCATACTGAAAGGACTATGTCTAGGAGGATGATAACATTTTTATTTTTGATTTTTGGAATAACTAATGAAGAATCATTTTAGGCGTCGAAGATGTAAATTAGATCAATGTCTATGTGGACGTGAAGAACCAAATATTTTTGAGGATACACAGCCTGTTTTGACACCCTTAGGATAAAGTTAGGACAGCAGCCCTAGAGGAAATTTATTGCCAATTTATTAAAATGCATCTACTTACAGGATTTTGGTACCCTAAATTAGAAAAACAATGCCCCATGACTTTTAAGATGTCTATTTTTGCATGTAGCAAGCCCATTTTTTGTTGGGAATTATCGACACATTAGCATCTGTAGACTATTCCCTCCTTCTGGAAAAAGAAGGTGAGAAATTGGGTTAAATACTCTTTCCCGTGATCATACCAAGCCCTCTTGATACTTTTTCCAAATTGAGTTTTAACCATATTATAGAGTATTGACATGTAGCATCAATTTTTTCTTAAATAAGATACGACCAAGTTTTACATGCACAATTACCAATACATCAGACAAACCACTTAGCATCAGTAATGGGAATTTTGGATAGGCCTGAAAGACCAGGATGAACTGAGGAGAAAAGCTCTGATGATTTTATTGAACACCAAAAAGGAAAGAAACATGATTATGTTTTTGCAAACTCGCTAACATCACATTGTAAGGTATCAATTGAAATGTTTCCACGTGAGGAAAGCGTAGTTCGAAGAGTCTGAAGAGATCAATGACCAAGTCTTAAATGACGAAACCAAATTTTGGATTTTTCCGAGGAGAGGGATGTATAGTTGGATGAGCATAGCGACAACTGATTTTTCTCACTAAAGTCACCTTTATTTTCTTCAAGATTAACAACCCGTTTCTTAGCATATCCAACGACCTTACCTTTAGTAAATTGTAAAATTCAGGTCTTTGGTAAATTTTCAGATGTATAGAAGATTGATTGATTGAAAATGAGAGGGTAGGGGTAACTTTAACGCTGCTGTGACCAGTGATTCGGACAGCTGACCCATCAGGCACATTAATTTTCCGATTTCCAAAGGTTAGGCATGTATTAATTAAGTTTATTTTTTTTATTGGGTTTTAGGGTTATTGGAACTAGAATCTGTGAGCCATGGCTCAAAGTAAATATACTCGGAAACTTTAGAAGTGCCAGAACTCAGACGCTCACCCCTCTGAGCCAATGAACGCATACAAGAAGTCTTGGTGAGAGAGTTGAGTAGACCTTTCAGTTTTTTGATGTCATCTTGCTGAATTATTTCCCATAATTAGTTAGCTCATCTTGGGAAGTATTCTCATTAACAAGGTTGACTTGGCTTAATTGTGTTTCGTTGAATCTACCATTCTTTATTGATATGAGCTTTCTCATGATGCTTGAAGAAATTATCCCTCGTATGTCAGGGCTTTTTGTTCTATCTCATTCTATCTCATTCGGACTGTTCGGAATCATTACCCTTATTTTTGAGTTCTGGATTCTACTGCATACTTTCTTCAGCAGCTGTACTCTTCTTGGTCATAATAGCAGAACCTTCATATGACTGTGTATTCAGTATAAAATCTTTCCTAGTTCTTATCTACATGGATGATGAGAAAAGCTCACTAAGTGACGGTAGTCAGTCCTTTCCTAACACTTGCACACGTGATCATATTCCATATTTAGTCCTACTAGAAAAGCAAAAAAATTGTATCATCAGCATACATCATCTTAAAATCTTGATAATGATCCATTTCAAGCCAAAGACCGTTCAAATAGTTGAAGAATTCAGTAATAGGAAGAGAACATGGCGCTTTATCACTTTCAGAAATCATTGCCGCGTATTTCTTCATCAAATTTATCTTTTGACTATTATCTTGCTTCATTGAATTCTATACTCAGGACATGATCATTGACTATTCCTCATCTCATGCTTGGAACATAAGATCATTCTCGCTCGGACTAGTCCCATCTAATTAGCAAATCTTCTCTTTTTCCTTCAAGAATGTTCTCACGATCTCTGACCATCGCAATTAGTTTTTTTCTATTCAAGAGGTAGGCGCCATTAGTGCATTGACACTTTCCACTGAGAACTCATTGATGGGAAATCTAGGACAACTTCAGAGGTAGACACACTGTTCTAGAAAATCTAAGATATTTCACAGAATAGTCAGAAATTAATGAAGAAAACAGGTGTCAATGAAGGTCATGAAATATTTCAGGGAGGTGCTGGGGTGGCGATAAAGGCCAATAGAGACAGTGGATAACGAAAAAGATTAGGCTTGAAAAATACTAGTGGTCAGGTTACCGTCGTGGCTCTGACGCCATGATGAAAGAATTTATTCTCTATAACATATATGGGGCTGGAAGAGATTCTCTCCTGCTATCTTCAGAAGGCCTGAAAATTGAGCGTGCCCAGAAGGGGATTATAGAAAGGGAAAACGAAAAAAAATAAACAGGAAAACAGAACTTCCTAAAAAGTTTCTAACAGCTTTAAGTTTCTGGAATACTATATATTAAGGAAAAGTGTTATATTTAGGAATATATCTCTGAAATTATTTGACGATATTCATCAATAAGCTTGCTAGTTGGAGCTGATGATTGATGCCGCCATTGCATTTAGTTAACTTGCCAAGATGAAAAAGGATAAAGCTTGCTTGAAACCTTTGGAAACCAAACCAAATTGATAAGGTCTTCAGCCGGAAAACAGTCGGAAAGGGACATCTTCTTACGAGAAGAAGTATTAAAGAAAGGAAGAACAGTCAATTCGAGTGCTCCGGTTAGCACGAGCTGAATGAAAACAGTGGATATACTCCCTTTCCATAGGACTTCCCTGCGAATCATGATTACGACAGATATATTTAATGTTTCAATAGTGAAAATTTTATGATCCTGCACGATGTGAAGCTCGTTGAGCATCTGCCAGGTACATACATGCCATCTAATGTGTCCATCTAGTCGTCTTATTAATGCGTGCGTAGGTCTGACTGCATATTCTTCTTCGGATAAATCTGACTGCATGATGTTCTTGACTTACCTTGTATGAGCAGAATTCTGACATTCAGTTCGTATGTAGGTCAAGAATGCTCAAAAGGAACTACTGCAGTGGTACACAGATAACGCCAAGAGCAACCCAAAAATACTTCATGCAACTGAAAGGTGTGCTGCTGGTATTATTGAAGCCATCGGTCATTTTAATCTCGGCCCAAATTTGTCTCCAAGGGACGTTGAAAACCTTTCCAGTTATAAGCTCGAGAGCTTCTGCCCTGGTCTTGAGATAGTGAAGCTGTACATCTTGTATGAGAGATGGCTCCGTGGTGAGATGGGGAGCTCTGAACTTATCCAGAACTTGAAGGCCATCTGTGTGAGTCCGAACACCATTGCATAAGATATGTTTCCTTTTCTGGAATAATCAAGAAGAAACATCCAAGCCTGGGTCTGGATTTCCTGTCTTTTCTTCTCCTCTTGGCCTTAATAATTTGTTTTACCCGTTGATTTTCTTCTCCTTTTACGTCTTTCTGACAAAACCAGTCATGATTTTAGTTACTAATTCTGGCGACGGCTAACCCGAATCTGCATATATATATATACTAATATATATATGTTTTCTGGCAGCACCCATCTGGCGTCATGGTCCACCCATCAGGCATTGAGAAAACTCTTCAGGATACCATGGACGCCTTGGAACCTCTCTATGGCCACCTTAGAGGAGACAGAAGCCGTCGCGTATGGGTCGATAAGGTTTCTCTTAGTCAGATTTGTTCGGATGCCTGGCTAGTTAAGTTCGACAAATGGGAGTCCTCTGGTGAGCTCCATTTCTGCTCGAATTCCCACTTTTTATGAACTTTACAGTCTTGATTATCCTCAAGACCTTTACAGATAAAAAAAATATTTTTTTTTACTCATGGAATATGCGCGCCCTATTCAATGCTGGTGCGTTGACATTTGGAAGCTCTCCTCACAGGTGGGGAGCGCCGCGGTTGCGTGAGCACTGTTCTACTAAAGTCAAAGGTAACTTAACCTACGATCTTGATTGTACTGTTCTAGTAAAGTCTCTGTCGCAGCCTGTTTATGTACTTGTTTAATCTTTGAACATCTATCAGCCGGAGGGCGCCAATGGGTTCGAGCTGGTGCACGTGCACGAGACATGGCTGGACGGACAAGGCGGCGGCGATGGCGCTGCTTGGGCTTTCTAGGCCGCATTCTCTTCTCTTTCAAGAACTCCACCGTGACAACAATGGGCACCCTCTCTTGCCCAGCAAGATCTTATCTTTATTATCCATCTGTCTGTCTCCGTCTGTGACGAAGAAGAAGAAGAAGAAGAAGAAGAAGAATATTGCAGAATAATTATCATTCGTCCTCAATTCCAGCAGAATAATCATCTCCTGTGACTGTTTGAGTGAATGAATGTTTCAGTCGGGGACGGAGGAGACGGCGGAGGGAGCGGCTAGACCGTTGCAGGGGCGGCGGCGGTGATGTCGCGGAGGCGGAGGGTGACAGCGCGGCGGTGGGCTTCGAGGCCCTCGACCTCGGCCATCTTGGCGACGTAGGGGCCGAGGCGGCAGAGGCCCTCCGCCGTGAGCGACTGCACCGTCATGTGCTTGAGAAACGAGTCCAGCGCCACCCCGCCGTACATTTTCGCGTACCCATACGTCGGCAGGACGTGGTTCGTCCCGCTCGCGTAGTCCCCCACGCTCTCCGGCGTCCACTGCCCAAGAAACACCGACCCTGCCGTTGACGACGACGACGATGATTAGAGAGAGATCTAGAGATGAGCGATGAGAGAAGGGAAGAGAGAGGAGACCAGAGGCGCTGACCCGCATTTTCGACGTATTCCTCCCATTTGTCCGCGTCCGCGACATTGATGATCAGATGCTCCGGTGCATACAAGTTGGAGAAGGAGATGGCCTGAGAGTAAGGAAGAGTCAGACGGCGGCAGCAGCAGCAGCGGCGGCGGCGGCGGCGGCAGAGGGTGCATGCATGCAGCTAATAATAAGCTGCTGTCCCTCCGCGGATGCATGGATGCAGAGGGGGAGGGGAGGAAAAGGAAGGGACCTCGAGCATGTCTCGGGCGAAGACGATGAAGCTGTGGGACAAGGCCTTGAGGGCGAACTCCCCCCTCGGCAGGCTGTTACACTGCTTCTCAATCTCCTCCTCGATGGCTCCCACGTCCACTCCGTCTCCGGCTACGACCAGAACCACCTGGCTATCCGGTCCGTGCTCCGCCTGTGAGCAGGAAGAGTGTGTGTGTGTGTGTGTGTGAGAGAGAGAGAGAGAGAGAGAGAGAGAGAGAGGGAGAGAGAGAGAGAGAGAGAGAGAGAGAGAGAGGAATGGAGGAAAACCTGAGAGAGCAAGTCTGCTGCTATATGGACTGGATTGGCGTGCTTGTCGGCAATGACGAGAACCTCCGACGGGCCCGCAGGCATGTCTATTGAAACCATGGCTTCGCTGTTCTGCAGAAATGATGGAAGAAGCCAAAATGAGAACCTTTGCTGCCGCGGATAACACCATAGCATCTACCTCCTCCCAAAATCGGGGGCACACAGAGAGGAGAAAAATGAGGGGGATTGAAGAATCCTGCCCACCTGGAGGATCATCTTCGCCGCTGTCACATACTGATTTCCTGGCCCGAAGATTTTCTCTACCTGGCGATCAAGCAGAGTTGCAGCCTCAGGGTGAGATATTTCCCTCCACAGGATTGTATAAAAAGATTTAGATCTACGAAGGAGCTGGAAATTGGGCTCCAAAATCTGATTTTGGTTTTTACCAGCATGCCAAGAACCCTAACACACCATCAAGGGAAAATGAAGAATAAAGAAGACTATTTCCAACATCTCCATTTCTGAGGACAACAAGGAGGTGCGGCAAACCTTGGGACAAGATGCGGTTCCCCAGGCCATAGCTGAGACAGCCTGCGAAAAAGATAAAAAATAAGATTCGACCCAAAACTGAGGCAAAAAAATAAATATGCCCCCATGACTGCCAATGGAAACGGCACATTCAGCTGAGATCTCATTGGTGCAGGACCTGCGCTCCCCCAGCCTTGAGAATATGAGTGACGCCAGCCTTCTTGGCGCAGTAGAGCACCTCCTGTGAAATGGAGAAGAAGAAGAAGAAGAAGAAGAATTAGGATAGAACAACGTCAAGTCCTCCATGGCAGGAGATGGCCACAGGCTGCCCCCCCTGAGAACTCACCCCGCAGATGCTACCATCCCGGCCAGGTGGCGTCGCAAGAACCATAGTCTTGCACCCAGCGATCTGCGCAGGCTGGCTTGCATGGAGGAACCCAAGTTGATTAATCACACATTAGATATCACAGTGCATATCAACATAAGACAAATTAGATGATGGCCACATAGATTACATAACTTTTTCCAGGAGGCGCATATATTCTGCACACAATATATTGAGCAAGAGGTCCGATATCTTTCACAGAAAAGAATCCACACAGATGGGGGAAAGGGGGGGGTGGAGACCCACGTACCACTGAAAGCATCAAAGCGGTGGAGGGTAGGACTGCTGTGCCACCTGGAACATAGAGGCCGACTGAAGAGATGCATCTTGCCACCCTTTTGCATCTAACACCCTGCCTAGACCAAACCATACCTCAGAAGAGTTAATATGTTCTAGAGGCGGCGAGTTGCACAGTGGAAAGGACTCTCGCCAGTGCAGAATCACAGGACTCACTTTCATGTTCTCGATGCTCTGCTCGGGAGTCCTCTGGGCCACATGGAATGCATATATGTTGTCGTACGCTACATCAAATGCTTCCTTGACGGCCGGATCGAGCTGCATTTAAGAGCAAACAAGGTCAATATGACGTTTGCTGATCAAATCCTCCTCTTCTGCTCTCGTTGTTCCAACTTTTTATAGCAAGCATTGCAGAAGGATGCAGAGCTGGCATAAGCTCCCGATCTACATGCCAGGAGTATGGCTGCCAGCTCTTCTTTCTTGCTTCTCAACACTGCATAAGCTCTCACTGAATGAAAATAACGAATCCCTCCAGTGTGGATGGCTTTCTGTTTCTCCTCAGAGAATCAAACCAGCATCGAGCACAGTGATAATCAACCTTTGAGAACCGAACTCGCCAAAGGATTTTCTATCCGCATTCAACTCGGATCTCCCAGGCAATTTTTTCTTCTCCACTTAGAAACTGTCAGAAATGCGAACTTGAAAGAGAGAATGGCGTGCTATGGACAAACAAAGATGAAAGTGAGTGGGATTCTGACCCAGGGCCACGGCCACAACAGGAGTTGACAGAGGCAATATCAGCCGCAGCACTAGTACTCTCTCTACTTGGAAGGTTTCCTGTGAATCAAGGAGAATGGTAGGGGCAACAGTGAAGCCTGATGACGTCAAATTCAACTACGCATCATATGAATTGAGTGGGTTTCATGTGGGAACCTCTATCAGACATGCTAATTCTCAGTTGTTTAATCTCTGACCTTGGGTTTTTGATAACACGTGATTGAAAGATAATAAAAAACTGAGCCCAAAGGCACGATTTTGGAAAAGTCAAGAGAGTAAAAAGGTTCCCTTCAGTCTCCATGATCCGGGCTAAAGTTCCATATCTAACAAATCTGACCCTGTGACGCCCCTAACCAGAATATCTCAAGAGGGCCCCCACTTTCTTGGAGAATTATTGGAGCCAGAGTGAGAGCAGCTCAAATCATCCAAAGCTTGTTTTTTTGTTTGGTTTTAGAACGCGTACCTCTGGATCGGGAAGATCGGCGACACATTCGACTATCTTGTTGAGCACCACCTTGTCGAAGCGTGCAGTGTAGCTGGAGAAAAAGGGGAAGAAAACGGAATCAGGTATAGTTATGAGAGTATCATATCAATCTGTGGAATGGGCATGGTACTTCTCAGCTATCGGAGGAAAATTTTATGCCCATTCTTGGTCAGAGAAAAAGACGCCAGCCAGTATGTGAGACAGAGGAGAAGGAACCAACTCTATGACAGCTGCATCACCTCGGCCACGGACGTCTTCGACGATAGGATTGACCTAGTTTAGGCAGTCATCAAGACTAGTCAATATGGTTTCCCCGAACATATCTCTAGAGTATGCGGGCCGAGATGAAATTCCTTCACTGGAAAGAAATGACCCACCACATCAAAAATGGATGAAAAATCGATGCGAGGACGGGCCTTGAGGTCATTAATCTCGGCGTCCTTCAGCTCCGACAGCCGGTATGACCTCATCGCGCACTGGATACGCTGGACCTTGGAACCACCTGAGACAAAGGAGGAGGCCGAGGGTTATCGAGAAGAAGACGCCACTCCACTCTGTTGTCTGCATATCCACCAACTAAAACTCCCACATCCGGCGTCAAACTCGGCATTCGACAATCCATCCACAGCATCGACAGCGAGTCAGAAGATGTGCATGTATAGCTAACTGGGTAGCACAGATAAATGATGGGCCATGGATGAGAAGTTTCAGTCGCATTTTTATGAAGAAAAGTGTCTGTGGGAATCCATTGTAGAACCCACCGGCTGGAAAACAGTGCGGACGAAGGCGGTTTGAACCCCTCAGAGAGCCTGATGTGCCGTAAAGGCGAGCCCTTCCCACCTCGAGCAGCACTCGGTAGTCGGACCGCCTAAACGGCACAGATGAAATGTCCATCCACAGCCAACCTGAAATTAGAACAAACAATCAAACAGAACGAGGGGGAAGGAAGGACCAAAAGTAGAAAAACAAGAGTCGAGGAAGAAGCATGCAGGGGAGGGAGGGGTTCATGAGCACCAATCATCCCCTTATCCTCTTTCTCTCAGTCCAAAATCTTCCCTTTTTTCTCTCTACCGAATCAACCCGGAGTAGCGAGCAGAGGAGAAACCTTCGGATCGGGCGGACGAGGCGCGGCAGGAAGCCCGGACTGCAGGGTTCCTCAGTTGGCACAACGGCGGCTGGTTCTCGAGGACCCCTCAGAGATGCTAAGAATGGCGACGGTGGCTCCCCACTGGCCGGTGTTGATAGTTCATCGACCACGGCAGATACGCATACCTACAGAGAAGGAAGCAGTTCATGGGCTTGTAACGCGGGCGAGGAACAAAACGTCCGGCCATACCTAATCCAGGTGTGTAAGTGGGCCAGAGCCCACCCAAGGCAGCCCAAGATTTTTCAAAACATTCAGTTGACTTCCGGTTCTCTCTCTCTCTCTCTCTCTGCTCTCTCGCTCGGTCCTTAGTCCAGCAAGCGCCACTCACCGTGCGTTTCCCCTCTCTCCATCCAGCTGCTGCCTCCTCTCCCTTCCTCTCTGGTGGTGGGCATCCTGCGAGGCGGAGGGTGTTTGTGTCATGGTGGCCAGCTCCTCGAAGTGGGGAGCTGAATGTACGCAGAGATCCATTCATACTCCTTGACACTACCATCCTGTGGTCTTTCAGAATATAATGCTGTGGAGGCTTCATAGAAGAGACCGGCGACCAACCTCCTAGTTTGTCCGTGGCCCCACTGAGTTGCAATGCTGACGATCAGTAGCATGTCTAGATTCTCACTGTTAATTATCTACACTGGTGATTGAATTCCAAACATTGTGTGTCCAAGTTACATGGACTTGAGGATTTGAGATATCTTGAAAGATCAATTACTGCGTGAGCACTTGAGGATTTGATTGAATTTCTGCAAGGGGAAGGCTGCCCATGAAATTAAGAGTCTAGAAGAAAATGAATTTCAGAGATCAATTCCTATAGAAAACATAGGCACGTGACAACTTATTGAAAGATTATTCAATTAGGATTCAAATGATATCAATGATAGGCCAAGATTTCAAGCATTCAAATTGTTATGAATTATATATATTTTTTGTGTTTTCTTGAATATCTTACTGCTGAAAATGACCAGGTAGAGATATTTGTTAGTGGATTGATACTAGCGGTTTGAACAACCGATAGTTAGCACGATTAAGTGTATAAAAGAATCTCTTCCACCCAGATTAGGATTTGAACAAGATTTTTAGGTTTCCTCACCAATGAAACATCTATGAGTCTTCTTAGAGTGAGGTTATCAATTTTTAATGTTGAACATAACTATAACAGAAGTAAATAACCCTATGTCTGCATCTTCAACAGCCCTACTTCACATTAAAAACTTTCCAACCTACTATGTATTTATTCTAAGCAAAGTGAGAGTGTGTGCTTTCAAGGAAAAACCATTGAAACTCGTCCTAGTTCCAAGTTAGCAAAAGATCTTAAGACTCATCAGAGAGCGACTGAGATCTTTGCCTCTTAGCTTCATCCAAGTAATTGACACCACAAGTTCAACAAAGCCTGGTAAAATTTTGATCTCCTGTAAACTTGACTCAGTCTGTAATTAGTAGGGTTAGAAGATAGCATAAGTCTCCAATTCTCAACACTTTAGCTCGTTAAGCCTTAGAAGAGTGCTTGTAACGTAAAGATACGCAAACTCATGTCTTGATGTTTAGTGTGGGGTGATAATACCATGAAATTTACTCTGTAAAGGAGATTGGTGATCTCGTGAAGTTCAACTATAATTCTATGAGAGAGAATACTGGAAATTTAAGTTAGGAACCCTCGGAAAGTAGACATAGGCAAAGGAAATGCCAAACAACTATAGATACTTGTGTTCCGGACATTTGGGATCATAATGTGTTGACCTATTAGAAAATTATGCCAGCCTACAGAATCTTATAACAACCCACTATGTTGACCAACAAGATTTTTCGTTGACCTAAGTTAAAATTATGTTGACGCAGTTAAATTGAAAAGCATAGAAATAACTTTAAAATATCTACCAAATATTAAATCATATCAGAAAATTAATTCACCCCTTCATATACCTACTAACTTATTATGACCCAACAATATCGTCACGCACATCCCTACTCACGATGCTCCTCCATTCATGTCATGTCATGATGATGTGCCCTGCTGCACGGCCTCATGCTAGCGGCGAGGTTCTGCCCACGCAACCTTGTTATTCTAAGTGTAGGATGCCAGAATTGGTGACTGGGGAGACGGGAAGCGCCACAATGCTGGTAGAAGCAGAGCTCTGCACAAGGTTCTGCCCACTGAAACAACAGCCATATATATCCTTGAGCGAGCTGAGCAAATTGACCAGCAATTTACGCGACGAGGAGGTACCCGGGGACGGCTCCTACGACCTGGTCATCCGTGTGACGCTCACCGGGCTGGATCTTAGCGTTTCCCCGAGTCTGCTTAAGTGATCTCCCTCCTGAACGCTCGATTCCAGTAATTGCATGCGTACATGTAACTCTCTCTCTCTCTCTCTCTCTTTCTCACAGGGAATGTGTGCAAGGATTAAGGTCTCCTGGACATCATGGGTTCATGTCGGTGGATGCAGCAGATGCCGAAGGTGTCAAGACTGAAAAACGAGAACTTCGTGGAGCTGCTGGGCTACAACTTGGGGGAGAACAATCGCATCTTGCTCTACCAGTTGGGGGGAGGCAAGGGATCTCTACGCGATCTCTTGCACGGTGCGAGGAGCTGATGAAATGTGCGCGAATGGACGTCAAGCGTGTGCGAGTTTCACCTACTTGAGGGTTTCGGAGAGAGGTGAAGGGAGCTGAGCCTGGCCCCGCTGAGTTGGAGCCAGCGATCGAAGATCGTCAACGGCGAGGGGATGGAATTCCTCCACGAGAGAGTTCAGCCGCCCCTCGTTCACAGGGATATGAGGTCCAGCAACGTCCTCCTCTTCGACGACTTTGGTGCCAAGATTTGCCAATTTCAGTTTGACCAGCCAGTCCCCCGACACCGCGGCGCCTCTTCACTCGACCCGGGTCTTCGGAATCTTCGGCTACCACGCCTCCAGTGAGGTTCCTAGCCCCCTCTCGGTCGACCGGGATTCTACGGCGGCGTCCGCAGTGGACTAACGTCTACGTGGTATCCACAGGTAAGCCATCCCCGGCAATCGACTCAGAAGATCGATGTGCACACCTTCAGCGTGGTTTTCCTCGAGCTCCGAACTGGGCGGAAGCCCCTGGACCACACCATGCCCAAAGGCCTTCAGAGTCCCGTCGCTTTCCTGTGGTGCTATCCACGGACTGTTCAACCGCACGATGATCCCTAAAATCGTGCATAATCTGTGCGTAGGCGACGCCTAGGTTAAATGAGTTCTAAGTGCAGCAGTGCGTCGACCCAAAGCTGAAGGGTACCCATCAAAGGACGTGGCCAAGGTTCTCCCGTTTTCCCCGGCTACCGGCCGATTTTCTCTCGCTGTTTCGAGCCGTTCTCCACAGTTGACTGCTGCTCTGGATGCCTTTAGATGGCTGCCGTGGCAGTGTTATGTGGGCAGCATGAAGCTGACTTCCAACCACACATGACAGTCGTCGTCAAGCCTTCCCATCCTCTTCCGAACTCGCGTGTAGAGCAAGGCAACCACATCTGATCTTCACATCTATGTCTAGATATATGTGGCCGTGCCTGCATGTCATTCTGATTATATCTACATGTTCTCGTTACCGGATGCGTTTTTGTGGAGAACTGACGGATTGAATTCTTCCTCGCGGCCTTATTTCGCAGGGAAGCTTTCTCAAGTCATCTTACACGTATTTGCTGTCCGCCAATTCCGTTCGCATAAGATAAAACCATAAAATTCACGCCAAAATGACGTACGAGAGCCTCTGCTTTACTCAATAGATCACTTCTTAGCAGAAGAAAAAGGAAGACTGATAATCAGTTACGGGAAAGAACATCTGCATGGCGCGAATCCTGCGATATCGACTTGAGCGATGAACTAGGAAGAGAATAGGACATGCTAAAGAGATTTGAGAGAAAAAAGGAAAACGAAACTCTCGCGCCAGTCCCCGTCTACTTGTGTTCTTTCCCTGATTCCCGGCTCAAGTTGGAACTCCACTGGACGAGAGTCTCAAGAACGTGGGGTAGTCTTGAGAGAACCGAAACGGCCCTCTCCTTTTCTCACAATTTTAGGCGGCCTTTATCTCTTTGGGCCCCGTTTTCCGCCTTTCCGTTTTCGTGTCTATTCCTCTCTCTCTCTCTCTCTCTCTCTCTCTCTCCATATACATGTATATATGATGGAGTGAGCCGTTGGGACCAGTGGTACGTGTTTTCATTGCAACTGGCGCTCCGGAACCGTCGTCAACGCCACCGGGGATTGCCCGGTCTCTTTGTATATGTACATCTCCCTGGGAACGAGAAGGAGCCGGTGATCTGCGACGGCATGGTCTCAACAGCGAGAACGATTTAGAAGAAGAGAAGGCTGCGCGGGCGACGCTCCGACAGGACGGCGGTGTACTCTCTTTTCAAACGCTTGCTTTCCTCTCATCTGCTTCTCCTCTTCCGTCGACAGTCGCCTCCGCGGAAAGATCCCCGCAACCGCCGTTTTCGATACTCCAGCCTCCGTCGCCATGGGAAAGACTTTCCCTTCCTCTGGGCCATTTCAGGCGTCGTCCAGCACAGCCCCAGGGGACGGGGAGACGAAGGGTCCTCCGTTGCCATTCAATGCGCGCCGGCGCACGGTACTGCTCAGCGGGACCGCCCCGCCAGGGGGCACGCGGTGCGCCGAGATGGCGGGCAAGACAGCCGCAGACTGCGCGGCGGTCTGCTGCTGCTGTCCGTGCGGGCTGCTGGGTCTGATGGTGCTGGTTATGGTGAAGCTTCCGGCAGGACTGTGTCGGCGGTCCTTCCTCCAGCGCCAGCAGATGAAGAAGAAGAGGAAGATGAAAACGAGCATGTACCGCGGCGGCTCTTCGGGGGGAGGCCTTCTTGGGGGCGAGGGCGAGATGGCTGCCGCAGGGGCCGGGGAACAGCCTGGAGAGAACTCGCCGTCGGCGGAGGTGTCCAAGATGGAGAAGGAGATGAGGGCCCAGTTCACGGCTGGAGGCTTTTGGCGGAGCCCCTCCCAAAGAGCGACATAGCGGAGGGGCTGCGATTCCGTCTGCAACGTCACCGTCGGTGGAGCGACCTTTCGGTTTCCTCCTCTCCCATTTGTCTCTGCGGCCTCTTTCCCTCAGCGAGAGCGAGAGAGAGAGAGAGATAACTGTGTAAATGAGGTTTGGTGGATGCTGCTTGTCGTCCCCCCCGAACCCCTCTCTCTTTTCCAAGGCCTCTCTCACTTTGAAACACTGACCTCCAAGTGGGCAAGTGCGTATGCGCTTGTGTTCCGGGATGCCCATCCAATTTCTGAAGGTTCCAACTCGCTCACCCCACACCAACATATGCACAACACAACCTCAGAATCGGAATATCTGGGCGGAATATTGACTTAGGCTCATTTGATTCGGCGATAATTCAGAAGCCACGCTATCATGAATCGGACGAGCCTACTAAGAGTTACATCAAAACTAGTATTTATATGCTGCATATTATTTATTCGCGTCTTACCAATTACATGATACATTCAATTTTACCAAAACCTTATTATTTCCCCTCATATGTTAGAAATTAATTATTTTTAAGCAATGATGAATAGTGGGTTGCAATTGGATAACAATTGTAAATTAAATTATGCATCATCCTATTGTCGTTTTAATTGACCTCTATTTCATTTTTTAGTGAAAAAAATTTGGGTCAATGCCTAATGCAGTTTTCACGTTTGGGTGCTTTAAGTACTTGACATGGTTAGTTAGCATATATAGTCAACAATATGTAATATCATCTTCATGGATTTCAATTGATTTTGATTCTATCAAATTTGACTAAAATTCCTTAGTTTCATATTAAGCAAAACTCTGAATGAAGAGCAGCTGCAGTCTGTGGAAAAGATCCTTGATTGCCAAGGAGCTCCTCCCTACGTCATATATGGCCCACCAGGCATGGGGAAGACAATGACTCTGGTGGAAGCAGTCTTACAGATCTGTCGGAGACAACCAGATGCCCGGATTCTTGTGTGTGCGCCTTCGAACAGTGCAGCCGACAACGTTAGAAAAACTCAGGGCGAGGGTGCAACAGAGGTTGAAGGAGGCAAAATATTCCGGTTCAATACCAAGAGCCGCAGTACGATGATCTGAAGCCCGATCACATCCAGTTTTCTTTCCATCTTGGTGGGGTCTTCCAATGCCCTCCTCTGGAGCTCTTACTATGCTAAACAATCATCATATCCACCTACATGAATTCGTATCAGCTTTATGCACAGGGCGTTCGGAGGGGCCGCTTCACCCATATATTCTTGGACGAGGCTGGCCAGGCCTCGGAGCTAAAGACGATGGTGCCGCTATCAGGCTTCTGCACTCAAAAAACTGTTGTCGTTTTAGCAGGTGATCCCATGCAGTTGGGTCCGGTTGTTTGTTCGTCGGAGGCTGATAGTAACGGACTAGGCAGATCATATCTGCAGAGGCTGTTTGACTTCGAGATTTATGAAAGCAAGGATCCTAACTATATGACAAAGTTGGCGAGGAATTACCTGTCACACCCGGCCACTCTGGATCTCCCATTGAGACTTTTCTACAAGGGAGAATTGATTGCTTGTAAGAATGAAAATGCCCCGATGTATGTGCTTCTGGATATCCCCAATAAGCAGTTTCCTGTTCTTTTCGTGGGTGTTCAAGGGCACGAGGAGAGGGAAGGGAGTAATCCATCATGGTTTAACAGTACTGAGGTCAGCAAGGTGGTAGAGATTGTCAGAAAGGTGATGGCGGCCGTTTACCTGAAGGAATCTGACATAGGAACTATTGCACCGTACGGTCAACAAGTGAGCACACTAAGAAACCCATTGAATCTGTAGATATGCCCGATGTGAAGATTGGGAGTGTTGAGGAATTCCAGGGGCAGAAAAACGAAGTCATAATTCTATCAACCGTCAAGTCAACTGTGAAGCATAATGAGTTAGATCGGGTGCGCAACCTTGGATTTCGTAGCAATCCTCGGAGGTTTAATGTCGCCATTAATCGTGCTAGATCCTTGCTTGTCATCGTCGGAAATCCGCATGCTATAACCAAAGTATATGAATATACCTTCATTGTTGTTCTCTTTCTCGGAATGCGAGGCTGAGTGTAATGCTACATGTCTTTTTTGATGAGATTCCCTGCTTTCTAGATGTACGGATATGAACTTATATAATTCGTCTTCGCCGTGCATCTGATTGGGGGGCATTTCTGTGCCTCACTTTCTCGTGTGATTCTCCTCTCATCATTTCGCATATTTCTTTCAACTGCGTTTCATTTAAGCATTCACGCTTTGCAGTCATCTGTTTTCCCTGGACCGAAGGACACAATCTTGCTATCTGTTTTAAAAAGAATTACTGATGGCACAATCGTTTTCTGGATGAAGATTCAGAGTATGAACGAAAATCTAAATTTCAGCGATTTAAAATTTCAGAGTATGAACGAAAATTTAAACCAGTGATTGGAGCATTTTCTAGCCTTGATTACTATGTTTTGTTACCTCCGTGCTGCGCTAGTTTATAATCACGGGCTTCTCTTCTCCACTTTCCATCGATCTGATTCCCTCTTTACAATTTTTCTTTCCTCAGGATCTGTGTTGGAATCAACTTCTGAGGTACTGTGCTGATAACGGCTCCTATCAAGGTTGCCCCATCCCCGAGCCGGAAATTTCCAACCTTCCTCCTCAAGATTCTCAGTCAAAAGTGGCTGTGTGGGACGAACAGCTCCCTGGGGAAGACGGGAATGAACTCGTCTCCACAGAGTCTCAGTCTCTGCCAATTCTCAGTCTGGTTGAGAGTGTCCGCCAATTCTCAGTTTGAAGACCCATCTCCACCAACCCTAAGAAGCTCTCTCATGAGGCAAGACAGCAAAAGTGACATCCCTTGGTGCCACAAGGAAAAAGAAGAAGAAGAGTCTCAAGAGAGGAGCCCAATGGGAAGTCATCTGAGCTTGATGACTTGATGACTCTAAAGGTTTTGTTTATATGTTCTAAATCTTTATTTTCAGACAGCAACCTATTTTATTTCGAAGCATTAATCAATTTAAAATTCCAAAATAATTTTCTAGTTTGCATGGTCGTATATTGTCAAAACCAGGACAACTCTTCATTTCTCTCTTCATTTCATCTCTCTCTCTCTCTCTCTCTCCTTCCTCTCACTATTTCCTGCCCCTTTGAATTCCCGTCTCCCTGCTTGGAGTCGGCAACACCTAGCTTCATGGGGCAGGCCGAAGCTGATGAGTAAAGTTTTCATCTTTCTTTCCTGACTATTCAAGGATGAAGACCAGAAGCGCGGATGCTCTAAGCGTCCTCCTCTGAAATAAGGTCGGAGTTGTATCTTCAGAATTGATTAGATCCAGGAGTATGCCGTCTGTGTGATCACAACGGAGCTTTTTAAAATAATGACGCTCAATAATTCTAAAATAATGATTTTAAGGAATCATCCAAGGAACATAAAACCTCATAAAGGAGAGATCTTTGGGTTGCAAATGAGCTGGGTTTTCAGAGGTTAGGCCACAAAATTAGACCTGCCCATCTTCCTCTCTCTCTCTCTCTCTCTCTCTCTCTCTCTCCCTCTTTCTTTCTCTCTCAAGGAGCTCCACTCTCCCACAGCCAACCTGCACCGTCATTACTCTCCCCAAGTGTTGCATCAGACACTCTAACTATGCCTTCATGGATCCTCTTCATGTTGTTTTGACGTGCGACTGGGGACCTATCCTTTCATGTCTCTCTCAAGAGATTGGACTTCCTCAACCACCGTCAGCGGGCCTGGATCAAGCTCCCTAGTGACCTGTGTTTCTTTCGTAGAAGTATCTAGCTTATCAATGGGTCCCACCGTGCCTTTGGTCAACGAGAGTAGAAGCATTTGGCTTCTTATCTAAAGATTGGGGCCGCTTAGCACACTCCAATGAGTTTTATGCTGGGGTTTATCTCAGTAGACTTCATCTATGTATCACATCCTACATCTGAGGGGTTGTTCTCTCTAGAGATCATGTGCCTAATATCGCCTCCATCTTCTCGACAGCCCTTCGAGTCACCATTGGTATGCTTATCCACTCCTCTTCTTCTTCTTTAGGTGCCACCTCTACTCCTTCGGCTCTTACTTTTACTACTCCATGGACTTGAGATGATACACCTCCTTAATGTCTTAATAGTTGTCGTACTCTTCGCAGACGTGGGTGTAATACTTTTCCTCCATGTCTCTATTGCGGAAGTAGAATCATCTAGCTACTAAGTGTTGGAAGTAGTTCAACAAGCTTGCTTCTGCATAGCCGATGATAACTTCTCTGACTCTGGCGGCTCCCGCTCTATCTCATATTTCAGCTCCTACCTTCTATGTGACCTTAATGTTTGCAAAGTATGACGGCCTTCGCCGCACCAATAGTATTAACGCTTCCACCTCTACTAGTCTCGCCTCACTTTTGGCCTCCTTCACACTAGGTACAAACGCTCTCCTTGTTTCCTCTTCGACGTCATAGATTATTAATTTGAAGGCCTCCACTCATATGACCAATATCTCCACTATTCTTTCTTCTTATTAGACTATCTTGACCCATCCCCTTATCACCATTGTTGATGGCCGAACCTATCCAATCAAAGGTCATAGTGCCACATCAGCTTCTCCCTTCCTTAACCTCACCCAAATTTTTTATGTTCTTGATTATCCTACTAACCTTCTTTCCATCATTACTATTACACGTGTCCTTTTTTGTACAATCATATTTTTTTCTTTTCACTATACTTTCTAGGATCTGTATACCTGACAGAGGATTAGTTTGGGTTGTGAAAACAGACAGGGATGTCTACGAACTTATTTTTGACGAACCCTCATCTGGCCTTTGGGCCCTTTTTGTCGCATGTACGACTACTTCTTCTTTTTTATGACATCGCTATTTAGGTTATCCTTGTTTCTCTAAATTACAAAAAACTTTATTGTGACTTTCTCTTTCTAAATTTGTGTGTGAGTCTTGTTAGTTGAACAAACATCATCATGCTTCTTATCCTAGTCATGATGGCATCCCTTCTTTCTCTCCCTTTG